CCTCCCCCAGAGTAAGGATGGCCTCTCCGGATCCGAAGAATGAACCAGGTTGCGCCCGGAGCTGTTGGCGAGTACATTCCTGTACTTCCCCTACACCAGCTCGAATCGTCGCCGTGTCATTGCTAGCCGTGGTCGACTAAGGCGGGCCACTAGTCCGCCAGAGACGGCAGTCGGTGGTGACCTTCCTTTCCCCGCTTAGTCGGCGTTTTGATAACACTTCGGCGCCACATTGTCGCGAGGCCAAGTCTGCTACTGCCTCAACTCAACTATTGTATCGGCGCGCAGGCCTCAGCCACCAGTTGAAGAATAATGTGCTTTGAAGCTGTGGCTTCTGCCTCGAGTCAGGACTCACGACGCCTCTTTAACTGGCTGCATTATCATCTTTTCTTGTTTCCGACATAATATGCCGTGTAGCTTGGGGGGACAAGAGAGCAAAAGCATGATCATTGCCTCGCTTCACTCCAAGTCTCGTATCGGCATATCGCTTCTACTCGTAACGAATTCAGAACGAGACACCGATTGCCTTTACAGTACGGTAATCTTTCCCCATAGTGAGGATATTAAACCCCCGTCACAGGACCCTTAATGCTTCAGACTCGGAAATCTAACTGAATTCAGCAACACGCAAATTTGGTGGCAACTGCATTGATAATTCCTCTTTTAGCAGTGACCGAGCTTATGGCTATGCCATCTACCAATAAGCATGTGGGATTCATCTGATGGACTCTGAAGTATTATTGGAAGCATCGTCGAGAGGGTCTGAGCTTCCCATTTTTCAAAGAAAGAGCAGGTCATGGTACAGTACCCCTTCTTGGCATGATCCCTGTTAGCAAGCCTGCATGCAGGTAAGATAACGCTTGCGTGCCATGTGGTTTGTAGTATCGTTTGTGGATATTAGCCCGGCAGAGATGTCACCAACCACTAGGGGAGGCAGGGATCTATCGTCTTGGTCTCTCCCAGCGATACCACCATCTTAAAATGCTCCCAGTAGAATGGGTTGTTCGCATTTGCCTGAGCCTCAGCAAGCAACTTTTTCCAGGCAGCCAGCGGCCAACTTACTTGCCCGATGTTGATCAGCTCTGCGGGCTCCCGGCTTTGCTTCCGAGGGATACAGTCTTGCATCCGCATTGCCAGCCATCGAGCAATCCTCCGAGCAAGCACATGATAATGTTCCGCAATGTTTGCAACCTGCCTCGTTGGCCTGGCAGAGCTGAGATGATGTGATCATAATTGCTCCATACTCTCATATCATTTGGACAATAGAGCCTGATTTTCAAACCCCATGAGCTCATAAGTCATTCAATCAAGTTATATACACTGACACCGTTCACCGATCAAATCAAAGAGCCTATCAAGAGCCAAGTCCCATATCTCACATCAGTCAAAACATTTGCCTCTTTTCATTCTCCATCCATTCATTTCATTGATAGCGCTAGTATTGTTCCCAAAGAAAAATCTTCCGACTTGGCACTTGGCATCAGCCTCATTCTCTTCCTCTCATCCACTACAATACGCACGCTCATGCACTAACATACAATACATTAACTCATGCAAACTACAGCTTCCCCAACTCCCTGCCTCTTTTCTCCAAAACGTAACATTACATACATACATACATACATACCTACCCAGGCACGGAGCAAACCAGAAGAAACTTTTTAACTACTACCTAAGCTTAACTCTTACAAAAAAGGTAACTCATTTTCTCTACGTAAATCGCAACAAAAAGTCCGCTGCTTCCTGCACCTGCTACTCCATCTCTGCTACCACTCATTCCGCCTATTCATAGACCCCAAGGCCCCATTAGTGTACTCACAACTACAAGGGGTGTAGATAACCCAGCATTCAACTGCAGTAGGCACTTCTTTAGACCGAAAAGCCACGGGAAGCAGGGCCCTTTTGATTGCCGCTATCCAAGGGAGGGGGTAGCCCTGTTGTTTTTTGGTCTTCGTGCTTACCTTGGATGATTTGAGAGATATTTATTACCACATCTCAAATAATAAAAAGCAACGACTAGGTGCCGATAACATGTGTTGACAATTACCTACATAGCAATAATACTAGGTACTAGCAAGCAATCACTGATAAATGACCAATACGCTCCACTTGATTATATCTGTCACGCTGATACGCCACGAGCTTCCAAATCACTCAGATGCGCAACCCAGGCAGTAATAACAAGTTTCTTCCTACCAGCGCTGCAAAAAATCCAATAGTTTCCGTAAATATACCACGCTATAGACACATGATCTTATCGCAGAATCCGCCATTTGTCTATGGCCCAGTGTCTTTCCAATAACGCTAAGAAGTTTATCTCAAACTACTGAGCTTGGGGGCCCATTTAGGTGTGCGTTTCCCAATTCCTCGATCCTCTCACGAGCACCGCGTTTATCAGTTGCTTCCCACAGAACTGTTTGCACTGCAGATATGGCATTGATTACATCATGAGGCCCGGCCTGGAATTGTATCACGGTTCGACGTTGATCGCCTGTCAGCACATGAGCTGCCGCAGATGGATCCGCATTTGAAGACAAGCTACAATCCATAACATGGAAAGAGACAGCTGATATGGATTGACCTTCTCCAACCATGATCACATCTTTGGGTCGGAGTAACAGAATCCTGAACCGATCAGTTTCAATCCGTGTGCTTAACCCATCGTGAGGCGGATCTTTGGGAATCTCATCCCGCAAGACAACAGCTGTCCAGGCGTCAGGCGTCAGGTTGCACATGTGCAATCCTGGATGGCTATAGGTTGGTTTTTCACCCACACGGTTATATACGGCAAAGGAAGCTTCCATTGGTATGGAATGGATCTCGTGAAATTTGTCGGAATGCACTGTTGACGACCCCCAAGCTAGATTATGCATTAAAAATCTAGTGAAGTCCACGGTTTCCTTTTGTTCAAGGGAATTCATGTTGCGAATCGTCTCGAGAATACTCGCCTGTAAGCGAGAAGAAGAAACGAAGCCGCCGCCAAGGAAAACATGTGCCAAAATAGGGCGATAGCGGTTGTTAAAGGTACTCTGGTATATTATCTGCGTGATGGGAAATGACTTGGACCCCACGCAATATGTCCTGTTCCAAGCGAATTGATGCAAGACATGACGTCGTGGATCGGTAAAGTTTATGGGTTTTGGGCCTCTCGAGCCCTCTGCTAACACAGAAGATATCAACACTTTGGAGCATCTATGTTTCCAGTTGCGCAGCGCACGCATGACCTCTTTTGGCAGTGTTCCGACAATTTCGTGTGGGTGAGTAAGTAGATACAGTGCGTCGAGATCATGGTCAATTGCAGCCAGCGTTTCTCCAATCTCGTCGTCGGTCATTGCAGCTGTTCCTGACAAATTGATACTGAGGGCTTCCGGACATGATTGAAGTACATACCGCACAGCGGCGGGTGTCAGACCGCGGAAATGCGCAAGGTTTATGTGAGTCTCTCCTTTGAGTGCCAGGGCAAGTAACCCAGATGCTTGACAGGTTACAAGCGTGTGGGCACTTTCAAGACAATATTCGCAGATTGAAGCTTTGATGTGAGGCAATTCCAAGACTGCATAATCAGTGATGTCGATGTTCTCAGTTGATTGAAAAAAGTAGGGCAATCTCGTAATGCAAAGATCGATCAAGGATTTGACAGCCGATCGAGGCGATATGTTTCTTTCAGAATTTGCAACTACAGCTAAGTGATGAAATTCCAGGATGGTTAGAGTTCAATATTAGCTGTCCTCTCCAATAAATGAATAAGAATAAATAGAAAGGAACAGCGAGAAGACAATGTTCTCTTCAGTCTATTCCATACGGGAACGATAAGGGAGGTGAATATCAAAATGGCACGCACCTGGCATTGTGTAGATGTTTCTCATAAGTTCGAACTTTGCGAGTGCGTGAGCAACTAATTGTCGTCTGGGAGCGTCCTGCTCCTCTGCTACCCATCCCGGAGCTCGGGCAAGATAACTCGAAACATTTTCTGTCGAGTTTTTATTCACGAAAAAGCAGTATCTCAATCCATCGAGGTTAGTGATGTCAATGATTGCTACAACGCAGTGTCGATAGGGAATAACGTAATCAGAAATTGGCAATACGCCTGAGAGTGGATAATCCTCCAGGTCGCCGAACCGCTCCATTGCATACGAGTCACGAAGACCACCTAGCCGTCATCATCACTGTTAGAACATTGAACGGACAATGGGTTACATGTCGAGATCTCTCTGGGGCTGTGGAAGCATACGGACCTTTCATTCCTATGAATAAGCATGTGTTGATGAATGGAAAGGGGGTTCTGGGGGTTCTGCCATTGCCGGACACGACATGACTATCGTGATTTCGGTAATCTGTAAAAGATACACAACATCAGCACCCATCAACCCTCACGCATGGTTTTGTTTTTTCCTTTTCGCACTAATCATTGGGTCATCCGGCCTGAGAGAGGACAGAAAAGAAAGTTCCTGTTCAATGGCGATTCTATTGGACGCGGCTGAGAATATGAACAGAGTCTGCAGTACTGCCTCGGCCGCTTCGACGCCCCATATCGGCTTGTGCGTTCCAAGGCTCAAGGTAGCAAAGCGGTCGACATGCCAAGCCATGATCATGATGGTGAATGACATTTTTGCAGGTTTTCTGAGTTTTTGATATGGATACTGGCATGGAGATGATGTATGAAAACGAGCGTTGAGTGTCTGTTAGGCGTAAAGATGGACTAAATATGATGACAAGCTGTGCGTTGTAAAAGACGAGAGTATTTACTTTCGGATGGCTTGTTCATCTACGGCGTTAAGTCTACAAGTTGGTTGAATGAGCACCTGCCTACTCAGGCAAATTGATATATATCCGTTTATTAACTTGGCAGGTTCTTTGAACCAAGGAGCATGGGCTTGTTGTCAATCTAAGACTACATGTACCTAGGGCATGGCATGTGCCTTCTTCGCATCCGCTGTGGCTGGCCTACCCTTGAGCAGGTGGCATTACGATGGCAGTATTGACGGCAACCAACATCTTACAAAATGCACGGAGCCAGTATTTTGACAAGAACACTAAAGAAGAGTCCAACGCGTGGTCAAAACTCTACGGAAAAGGAAACCGTCACACGAGATAAGCGAGCACGTCTAGATGCCGAGGTTGGCGTCCCTTTTTATAGGTGAGAGAGAACATTGAGCACGATGACTAAGAGCGTACACATGTAGATATACTAGTCAGGCACGATCAATTTTCCAGATACGGCAAAAGCTGCCTTGCAGTATCCGAAATTGTATTCCGGCAATTTCAGAGTTTATAAGCTTCCCCGCCGAGCTGGTTCTTTTCGGCTGTGGTTGCAACCCCAGGAAGGCGACTCATGTACAGCGAAACACGAGCTCAAGTGCAAAACTTCCGACTTGATGTGCCGGAACTCGGTTCAACTTAGGTAAGCTGCCGTATGCCTCGGCTCAACCCCACAAACCCCGGCCGGCACGTCCGCCAAGAGGTCATCCATAAAACTCGTGGCGCCCCGGATTCTGCTGCCCGATTCCAGACCTTGCGTCGATTTGCTGCTCCCTCGATCGTGCAGATACCCTCACCTTAAACTACGAGACTACTCGATACTAGTGCAACCATGGCTGTCGAACGGATTGGCTCCATCATCAAGCACCTGGCCCCCGGGTCATCGCTGAACAGCATGTAAGCAAACAGCGTGTCTAGTATCGAGGGAAGCTTCAGTATGCTAACAGGGCGTGTCGCGATGCAGCCAGTCCAAGAACCCCGATGATATCGTCATCACCTATGCCGCCCGCACACCGCTCACCAAGGCGCGAAAGGGTGGCTTCAAGGACACGAGCCTGGAGTACATGATCATGGCCCTGCTCGAGAAGGTCCGCGAGAACAGCGGTATCGACCCTGCCATCGTCGAGGACATTTGCCTCGGCAACGTATGTTTTCCTACAGCACTCTGTTGATTTCGGCTGGCTAATAGAATGCACTCACAGACCGGTGATGCCCAATCCGCCTACAAGATCCGAGCTGCAGCCCTGGCTGCTGGCTTCCCCCACACTGTCGCCGCCAGCGTCGTCAACCGCTTCTGCTCCTCTGGCCTCAAGGCCATCGCCGATATTGCACACCAGATCACCAGCAACTCCATCTCGGTGGGTATCGCTATCGGTGCCGAGTCCATGTCCACGGGCGGCGGCGCTGCTAGTGAACTCGACGAGGCCGTTATCAAGAGGACCCAGGAGGCCCACGATGCTATTCAGCCCATGGGCTGGACCAGCGAGAACGTCGCCAAAGACTTTGGTATCACTCGAGAGAAGATGGACATTTACTCCGCGGAGAGCTTCCAGCGAGCAGAGAAGGCCCAGAAGGCTGGCTACTTTGACGATGAGATTGTGCCCATCACCACAAAGGTCAAGGACGCCAACGGCGAGCTGAAGGAGGTGACGCTCACCAAGGACGAGGGCATCCGCCCCGGCACCACTGCCGAGGGCCTCTCCAAGATCCGCGCTGCTTTCCCCCAGTGGGGACCTACCACCACTGGTGGAAACGCCTCCCAGGTCACCGACGGTGCTGCGGCCGTCGTCCTGATGAAGCGATCAACCGCCATCAAGCTGGGCCTGCCCATCATGGCCAAGTACGTCGGCTCTACCGTCACCGCCTTGCCCCCCCGCATCATGGGCATTGGTCCCAGCCTTGCCATCCCCAAGCTGCTCTCCATCTACAACATCAGCCTCAACGACATTGACGTCGTTGAGATCAACGAGGCCTTTGCCTCCATGGCCGTCTACTGCCGCGACATTCTCAACCTGGACTGGGCCAAGATGAACCCCAGGGGAGGCGCCATTGCTCTCGGCCACCCTCTGGGAACCACTGGAGCGCGACAGGTCATTACTGGCCTGAGCGAGCTGCGGAGGACCAAGAAGAAGCTGCTGTTGACGAGCATGTGCATTGGAACCGGCCAGGGCATGGCTGGTCTGTTTGTCAACGAGCAGCTGTAAGGGATTAAAGGGATATTTGGGTCATTGATAGGGTGTCTTGTACAGATAGATATCTTTTCTTTTTGTGTAATTTTTTTGGATGATAAAAATGCAAGCGATTATTTTTCCTCCCTATGTTACTTGCTGTGTTTGACCATTCGATGCCTGACTTCCAGCCCATCTATCTCATCTAATCTACTCGCCCAATTTACATGTAGGTACATGTATTGGACGAAGCGTGTACAGTTCGGTCGGTACCTTAGCGTGTCCTATATGTACGACTTGAGCGCGGATCTCGGCAATGTTGTGATCCAGCCACGCATGGAATGTAACTGTGTGTGCGTGCTACAGGCAAAAGGGGGAGAGATTTGCCAAGATAAACAATTTGCTCATGAAGAAGCAACTAGTATTGTAGTTACCAGTATCAGGATTTGTATTCGATATCATCACCTTGAGGCACCTGCCTGGATACAATCTTATAAACTCGGAATAACAAGCTCTCTCGGCTGAACAGAGATAACATAAAGACCAAAGGCCTGCCTATTCCAGCAGGTTTGTCTCAATCCCGACGGAACCCAACGGCTAACCAACCAACCCGCTGCATTGTCCACTAAAACATGCAGCGTTTAAAGGCACAAACACACCGAGACCGGCAGCACAATGCACTTGCAATCCGCCATCACTCTGTCCACCTGCTCATCGTGTCAGGTGCGCAGCCGTCGTGGCCAATCGCCGGCGCTCGCTTGGCGTCCTGGGCGGTCTGGCGGCGTCTCAAATGCACGTTGAGGCCATCCTTCACCGCATTCGTCCCCCCCTGGCTCCCAGTGGAGCGGCGCCCTGTGTGGAGCCTCTTCAGCGCTGTGTCGCACTGCTGTGGCCGGTGCGCTCCCCCGCTGATGTCACCCGCGGCTTCGGCGTCGTTAGCGGGAGTCGCTCGCTGTGTTGATATTGATCGCTGGATGTGTGTGACCTCGCCCGATACAGTAGAGCCTCGAATTTTTTTTTCTTCCCACCATCGCCAACCAAGGGTCTTTTGCATGGCATCCCTTCTTCTGGCCTTTTGTATTCGTTTCGCCACGTTCTGCTAATTGGAAGTACCGGCCGTTGGCGGCTGGGTAGAAGAGAAGGGAAAAAAGGAAAACAAGAAACAGTAGAAATTGCCGACTCGTATTTTCGCTCCTCCAGGTCGTGTTTACTTTGTCCCGAAGCTCTCGCTCGCCCTTCGCTATAGACGCTCGGTTCGGCTTCGCACCAAACACCACACAGCAAAACACCACGAATTTTCAATTACCGCCCATAGACTGATCCTAATCCTCGAAACAAGACCCTTTCGATCCGGATCCCACATGCACGCCTCGACTCCGAGCGCCACGACCCCGAACCCGTGAAAATGTCGGGACCCCCGCCGCCGCTGAGCCGCGCAGACTCGTCCAAAGATCACCGCCCGCTCCAGCCAAGCACGCTTCGACAGAGCCATACGCCGGAGAGCCGTCCGGGCAGCGAGGACAGCAACCATAGCGACATCTATCCGTCTTCTACAGCAGTCGGCGACCAGTTCATGGGCGAGTCCACGCCGCTGATCCTGGGCTCCGAAGCGCGGGGCCGCAACCATGGCACCTTTAGCCCGCGGGCGTCCTCGCCCAATGGCCTCTTCAGCGGGAGCACCGACGACGGAAGCGATTCGATGAGGTCTGGTGGAAACACTGGCATATTTGCGTCTCTGCTGGGTGGTGATGACTGGAAGAGGTGGCTTACGAGGAGGATGCGGACCACTAAGATGGGCCACAGCAGTGAGCTTGCCGAGCAGGCAGGGTTCCGAGATACGCCCTTCATGTGAGCTTCTGCCGAGATGTTGTGCCGTTGTTTCGGGCATCTGTGGCAGTTGGACTGACTCTGTGGATAGGTATCTGGCATACTACATCCCGTGCCTGAATTGGATCCAGCAGTATAAGCTATCGTACCTCCAGGGCGACTTCATTGCTGCTGTCACGATGGCTTCGTTTTACCTCCCGATGGCGCTCTCACTTGCCGCCAACCTAGCACACGTGCCGCCGATTTACGGTCTCTACGGCTTCATTTTCAACCCCTTCATCTACGCAATGCTTGGATCCTCCCCGCAAATGGTGATCGGCCCCGAAGCGGCCGGGTCTCTGCTCGTCGGCACCGTGGTGAAAGCCAGCGTGGACTCTGGAGGCGAAGGCTCAGAAGACAACGATGCTCTACAAGCTCAAATCTGCGGCGTGGTGGCCGGCATGGCTGGCGCCATGGTTCTCATTGCAGGTCTGGCCAGACTAGGATTTTTGGACAGCGTGTTGAGCAGGCCGTTCCTGAGAGGCTTCATCTCTGCCATTGGTTTTGTCATTGCTGTGGACCAGCTGATTCCCGAGCTTGGCCTTGCAAACCTTGCGGAGGAAGTTGGCGTCAACCATGGGAGCAGCGTCGACAAAATTCGATTCATAGCCAGCAATGCTGGCAAGGCCCATAAACTGACTTTTGCTGTGGCGGGAGTGAGCTTCGTCGTCATTATGATATTTCGGTAAGTTGAGAGCCAAGTTATTTTGGTCTTATATCTGATAGCAATGGCTGACATTTTCATTCTTGTAGCGAGCTCAAGCGCCGTTTGGAAAAGAGATTTCCTGGAGTTGCCTACTTTCCCGACCGGTTCCTCGTTGTTGTTATCTCTGCTATTTTGTGCTGGCATCTCGATTGGGAAAATCAGGGACTTGAAGTTTTGGGTTCTGTCAAGGCCGACTCTGGGGGCATCTTTGAATTCCGATGGCCCTTTCAAGTTGCCCATATGAAGCATATCCGCACGGCCATGTCGACTTCCTTCCTCATTGCCCTTCTTGGCTTTTTTGAGTCGTCTGTTGCTGCCAAGAGTTTAGGTGGTAGCTCTATCCCCGGCATCGAATTGAGTGCCAACCGAGAGATGATTGCTCTTGGAACTGCAAATCTTGTTGGCTCCTGTTTCATGGCTCTGCCTGCCTTTGGTGGCTATGGACGAAGCAAAGTGAACAAGACAACTGGTGCAAAAACCCCAATGAGCTCTGTGTTCCTTAGTCTCTTCTCATTACTCTCCGTTCTGTTTCTATTGCCATATTTTTACTTTTTACCGGTAAGAAACCACTCTGTTGTCAGATAAGGCATGGTCAGAAACTAATCAGGTGTACGTGACAGAAACCGGTTCTTTCCGCAATGATTTCAGTCGTGGCATGGTCGCTGATAGAAGAGGCGCCCCACGATATTTCATTCTTCCTACGTATTCGAGGCTGGACCGAGCTGGGTCTCATGGCAGCCATCTTCTTCTCCACCATCTTCTATTCCCTGACTTTGGGTATGGCTCTTGGAGTAGGAATCTCTCTGCTTCTCGTTATTAAGCACAGCACTCGTCCTCGCATCCAGATCCTCGGCCGTGTTCCCGGCACTAACCGGTTTGAGAACCCCGAATCCCAAGACTCCCGAATCGAGTTCATTGAGGGATGCCTGATTGTCAAGATCCCGGAGCCATTGACGTTTGCCAACACTGGCGAGTTAAAGGCACGACTTCGACGACTGGAGTTTTATGGCACAGCGCTAGCACATCCTGCTTTACCGCGCATCCGAAGCACAGACTCCAACCGTAACATCATCTTCGATATCCATGGTGTGACATCCATGGATGGCTCCGGCACGCAAGTGCTCGAAGAGATTGTTCGAGACTATCGGGAGAGGGGCGTGCGAGTCTTCTTCTCGCGCGCACCACACCACCGGGATCACCCCGTGTGGAAGCTCATGGACAAGAGTGGAATCGTCGACTTGTGCGGCGAGAGGCATTTTGTAAATGACGTTGAAGCGGCGCTACGCTTAACGGAGTATGAAGATAGCGTCATGACACAGTGAGAGGGATGTATCTCGCTGTCAAGGTAAGTTGAATGAAGTTTTAGATGGAGGTTATGATCGAGGCTATTTGCCATAGCGCACGGCTCTGTTTATTCCCCTCTTGTTCCTCCATTTTCTTTTCTTTTCTCTCGTTTTCTTACTGCTTTTACATAGCGGTCGTGCATAAAGGGGCGAGCATGTATAAACCTAAACCTACAGCGTGAAGGAACGTGACCAAGATGTATTTGATACGATAGCGGCTATGCAGATTTAACATAGATATCCAGGTGTTTGTTTATTATCAACTTTACACATGTGCTCGGTCTGCTTATGATGAGGCCACAATCTGATCCAACCGTGCTACAGATTGTCTTACAACGTCCATTCCCGGAGCGTCGTCCTCAATGAATTTTTCCAGCTCATATAAGTGAGGCTGCCCGTCGGCAATGATTAGTGTGACTTTGTCCTGGCCTAAGCAATCACGCATATCCTCGCTCACGTTGAGCACCACATCAGGATCGTTATTGCCGTGAAAGATGACTGTCTTGGGCCATTGCGCGACGCGGTCTTTGGCGTCGGGAAGTTTCGCCCACTGGTATCCGGGATCTACAGATCCGACTAGATCGACAAAGGAGTTGTTGAACGTATAGTAGTCATAGAGCATGCCGCGGTAAATACTAGGAATATCTGATCCAGCTTCAGGAGGACTGTAACTAGGATTCTTGGCGCCGTCGGGCGTTAGTTTGTCAAGGACAAAGGCGGATTCATCGGGACGCATGTCATCGCCGCTTTGCACTGGGCCGGTGATGTATTTCTCCATTGTAGAAGGGGGGATATCTTCTAGAAGAGATGAGTTGAAGAAGGGGTGGCGAAAGGTGTTGATGCCTTGGATGGAGAGGAGGGCGAGAGGCTTGGGGCTGCAGTGATGGGCGATGATGGCGGCCATGAAGAAGCCTTTTAAGAAGATTGTTAGTTTTCTTCTTTTTTTTAGAAGGCAAAGAACTTACCGCCGCTGGCACCTCCCACAATGACTCGTCTTTGGGAATTCGGTAAAGTATTCCAGTTTCGTGAAAAATCGTAGGCTGCTGAGGCATCCTGAAGGAGACCATCTCCGCCAGCTTGGGGGAGAAGACGGTAGGTTGGACAGACTAGAGGCCATTTGCGCTGAATGCACGTCTATAATAGTTCTATTAGACTCAATGGTTGTCTTTTTGCCTGGAAATTGCTTTTGTCATAGTCATTGGATGTTTTCACGCTTCAACTCACCTGAACCAACCAAGGCGCGATGAGATCACGGTTCCCGTCAACAAGCCCTCCGGGATGAAAGTACAGGAAGACAGGAGTGTCTTTAGGGTAGTCGTTATTGGTGTAGATGTCGCATTTTAGCGACATGCCGTGGTTGGCATATTCTTCTGTTAGCTTCTGCACCATTATGAAACTTTTGTATAGCCAATTTAATGAGAGTATCGTGGGAAAGAGAGAATGAAAAGAGATTATAGTATTTGTTGAAGTAAGAACAACCGTGAATTTACGCTGCTATTTGGGCTAAGCTCTGGGCGGGGTCTAGCGAATTTATGATTACTTGTCTATCTATACTAGAGAGTTCAAAACGCCTGTGTAAATACGACGTAGGTAACAGTAACGCCTAAATCGTTAACGCTCTTTCGGAGATACTAAAAGGCGCGTTTGATCTCTTGAGAGGCCTGCTTGCTCTTACGCGTCATCACGTGGGCGTAAGCGTCTGTAGAGAGTCATTCCGTCGCCGAGTGCTCTTTTTTGCTTTTGGAGGGATGGACTATTAATTTGGAGGTTGAAGCTAGACGAGTTTTGGCGCCGGAAGCGCTGCTCCAGCTATTGCCTAGCCTCTAGTAGTTTGTCATCGCTCATGATGGATGGTACATGTAGATACTTATGGGTTAGCTCTGTGTAAGCCAGCTAAAAACTGGCTCGGATTTGTGAGAATTCTAAATGTATTTTATTCAAACTGCAAGATGATTTCTGAAGTGTAAGATCTTCTAGAGCTAATGGAAATAAGATCACATGGCGTTGGAAAATGAGGCTGGGCTGGCCCCTATGCGGTATTGAATGCTCTAGCTGAAACGAACATTTAGCAAAAAAAGTAATAATTCTAGGCTTCCCTGCTCATCTTGGAGCGACGGCACGTCATCTTTGCTTTTCGCTTGGCAACTTCATGGCTAGAAAAATCACTAGTACTATTGCTCTTGTTTCTTTTTGTGCCTTACCTGTTTTGAGATGCAAGGTAAATTTCATCGAGATGCTACCAGGATCTTCTTCCCTTGGTCTGAGTTATGCATACTTGACCGCTCGTTGCCCACAACAAAATTGACACCATCTCTTGAATTGTTTAGATAGAACAAGGTCCATTGCCAGTACGAATAGAGGCACCGGCAGTGGAGTTAGACATTAAGGATATACAGTCCTACGTAACGAGGTAGCTCTATGAGAAGCAACACGCCAGCGGAAGAGTAGCCCTGCTCTCTGCGAAAAATGCTACCTTTGTTTGACAAAGATGATTAGAGTTACATAGCACATGGTAGCTACGATAATTCTTCTAGTGTAAGTGCTCCTAAACTTCCCGAGGTGGCTAGCCAATGCACGGCGTGTTTCATTGCGATTTCGGTGAGGTATTCCCTGCATATCGCCCCCAAATAGTGGCTTGATTGGATCTGGTTTCTCCGAAATACGATAACCGGTGACCTCTTGCATGAATATAGGCCTATTTACGAGAGGCTGTGGTAGGAAATACATGGGGGCCAATCCCAACAAGATGGAGCTATTGAAGGGGCGCAAAACTTACCAAGGAATCAATATTTGGATAGGCAAAGGTTTTTCTTTACCAATCTGTGTTTGCCCATTGTATTCATATATGAAAGGTGTCTTGAATATTATATACTAGATACTTAGCTTAGAATGAAGGCAATGGACTAAGTTTTGCTTCTAGCTCAGGCACTGTCAACACCGCTGAAGAGGACCATGAAGGAAAGAGCAAACTGGGTAACAAGTAGGTGGGTAACAAGTAGGTATATAGTAGGAGTTTCATCGTACCAAAGCTATCGGGGCTCTATGAACAACATACAGCTGCTTGCGCACACTGATCATTAGCCATCATCCAGCAGACATATCCTACACTCCACGAAGTTCTAGATCCTGTTAGGCGAGTACAAGTAGGCTGTAGTCACAACAGTAACAGCCTCTTTTGCGTCCAACAAACGCTTCACCGATGACCCAACATGAAAAGTTTTGTGCTGTTCCTATAGGCTCTTATATGGCTTGGTTGCCTGCACCTTGTGCAGCACTATAAGCCAACTCTCATTAGCAGTCTCTGGATCCCTGCCAATGCATGGTCCGATGATAGGCTGCATGCATATGGAAATGTCACCAATGGTGCGATGGATGGCTTGAGGGGTGCGGCGCTTCCTTGGTTTCATCCCACTCTGGTCGATCTGAGGGGGGGAAAATGGTCATGCTCATGTTAAATGTCAGCCCCAGGGTTGAGGTTGTAAAAGCGCTAATTGGACCATCAAGGAGCGGGCCGCGTGCGCTTTAGCCTTGCTTGATACATACACATGCAGTGTTTGCGCCGTCGTATTGCCGCTGTTTGTTGCTTGGTTATAGCGGCAGTGTTTGCTTATGGCGGAGCTCGGTTTATATAGACGGGAGATGTATGTTTCTAACTCACGCTTCTTGATTTCAATTGTTGACTAATGCGTTCTACCTCATTTTGCCAACCCGGTAGGGGTAATGACTTCGCCCGTAATAGCCCCTAAACTTGCCTCACGGAGTGTCTTGTTACAATGTCAATGACAGCCTTGCTACATGGGGTAACCCCCGTGACGTGGCAGTTATGCACCTCAAGCAATTAGGAAACGTAATCCATGTATATATACCGAAGGTATACACACTGTAGCAAAGTACAGATAAACTACTCATATCCGACTTCGCCGGCAGAACGCCTGGAGGTTGGCGGATGATGAGAATGATCAAGCGCTGTTATGGTGTTGGCAAAGCACTGACGGAAGTCTTTATGCAGATTCAACTTGTATGTAATATTAACTCTGGATGTTTTGACTGGTATGGGTACTCTGAGATGAAGCTGAAGACGAGCCTTGGGCCTAATTGCCGCTGCCGCCATTACCACCTTCCTATTGCACTTTGCCCACGATGAAATACGTGCACCTTGGCTATGCCTTCAATGTATCCATTCATACTTATTTACCTTACATGTAATCTGCTTTCATGAACCTACCTACATATTTCTGTTGCTTTTGACGTTCTGTCTCCTAATCTTATGCTATTTGCCACGACCGACTTCATATTTTAGTTGATGTATAGATTTATTAAATATGTATCTCTAAATACATTTTGGAGGGACTCTAGAATCGCCAAAAGTATCTCTCTATGTACGCCATTTATACCCGTACATATATATTTACCTCTGAGTCCAGGTTTATAAATATTTCTTCTCAAAACCTTTTTCTATTCGTCTTCTTGTGCATCTCACCTACCATCTCACCGGATCGGATAAGGCCCTCGGCATACATGCATACTGACATATTGCACGCATCATACCGACATTGTCCCAATCAGCTTGGATTCCGTTCATGCACTGCCGGCAGTAGCGAGACGGATGGTTTCAGACGATCTTTGATTGCGAGAGTATTTCACGGGCCGAAGCCCATTCTCCCTCGCGAGCCAGGTCCGAAGTTTTACGTGAAGCGCCCGCTATTCGCCTCAGGATTGCAGCCCAACCGGTTGGTCGCCGATAGGACAACGTGCATATTTTTTCCCTCACCCCTGTCAATCAATTGCGTACTAACACTGCTAGCCCAGTGGCACGGCATGCGTTTTCGCAATTGCATGAAACGCTGGCGAAGCTCCTCACTACAGGCTGTTGGCTTCTCCGAAGACGAACTACTGATAGCTACTTTGTATTCTTAACCGGGCCTTCTATTGTCTTGCTAATGCCATGGTTGAATATGAAAACTTGAACAACACCGGGGTTTCTGCTGCCATGTATATGTAATGATGGCCTTGAAAAAGGTGGCCAAGACGAGAATAGCACTTACAGACGTAGAGGCGGCCTGCAGATGGACCGGTGAAATCAAGAGGGGCCGGATTCGGCCTGCGCCTGTCACACAGACGTGCTGGAATCCCGCAGCCGCCGCATCCCGGGCTATCAAAAAGCATGCAAGGCTAAGGGGGCCCTGCGAAGTGCCTTTTTGTGCGGATGCTGCAGCGGGTCGGATCCAGATCCATGTGGCTAGGCCACGCCCGTCGACGACGTCCTGATTGCCTAATGGCCGTTGTCGTGGTCGTACAGGCCGTTGCTCTCGACTCCTTGACACTATATAGAGCACATGCTCCAATATCATCCATATGGCTTCATCACTCTCTGTCTTTTGATGCAATTTTCCAACAAAGACTGAGACTGACATCAACACTCCCGTCTCTCCCTTTGGTCAGTGTAATCACCTGCCCGGTTCTGTTCCAAACCATATCCCTCCTTGCATAATCATCCAGCATCCCGGTACCATTTGTTTGCTTCTTTTGCGCTCTAAGCCGCACTAAGACTTCAGCTGCCTCCCTTTCCGCGTCCGACTGAACCACTTACACGAGACCAGCCCTTGCATTCCATACTTTCTTTTTTCCAAAAGGCCTCTTTTTCGCCTCTGGCTAGACACGCCGTCGCTGCTCCGGTGTGCCGGGTCACTTGGCCGTCTGATTGCTCGTCTATATTGCCTCATCAGGCAAACATCGATTCGATCCAGCCAATAACAACCGCAGCCGAGGCTCAATCAGGGTGCGGCTGAACTGAGCTACGGCTGACAAGTATCTTCTGATCCTTGTATAAAAAAATTAGCAAGGTCAATCCATTAATACGCCCTAGAGCTTTACTTGATACATAAAGCCAGATCGATCTATTTATTAGCGAGCAAGTCCCGTGGACCACCTACACACTCATTGCCCTCATGACTTGTCTTTTCAACATTCGTTTCTTGACAAATCTCAGACAGAAAAGAATACAGCAGAGCAACATGGGCAGCGACGACGCATATCTCCTCACGGCTTCCGAAGCCCTCGCCAAGATTCGCGCTGGCGGGATGACCATTGAGGGCTATGTTCGCTCACTGCTGCGTCGTATAGACGTGCGTGACGTCGACGTCGGAGCTTGGGCCTATATAGACAAGGATTACATCCTCCAGCAGGCGAGAGCCCTGGATAAGGTGCCGATGAGCAGGAGAGGCCCGCTGCACGGGATGCCCATTGCCGTCAAGGATGTCATTTACACCAAGGGTGAGTTAATCTTGCTACGGCAGAGAGAAAAACCGGGAGAGAGAGAGAGAGCAGAGAGAGTATCATGTGGCTATGGAATGGTCAAGTGATAGTACATCATATAACATGTGCATCAATACCCGAATGCTGTGAGAAGAGGGTTTTGTGCTGGACGACAGCATACATCGATGTTGTCACTCTTGTTGGACCAATACTGATGCGACGTACCTCTAGATATGCCGACGGCACACAACTCGCCAATCTACAAAGACGACTTTCCCAAGCTCGACGCAGCCTCCATCATCCTCCTCCGCCACGCAGGCGCCCTATTCCTCGGTAACTTGCCTTCCACAGCTATCCTCATGTCTTTATCCTTAGCTTATCCTGTGAACTTAGGCAAAACAACAACGGCCGAATTCGCCGCCTCCTACACCGGCCCGGCCTCCACGCGCAACCCGCACAATCCGGCCCGCACCCCCGGAGGCTCGTCCTCCGGCTCGGGCGCCGCCGTCGGCGACTTCCAGGCGCCCGTGGCCCTCGGCACTCAGACCGGCGGGTCCACCATCCGCCCGGGCTCGTTCAACGGCGTCTACTCCATCAAGCCGACGTGGAACGCCGTGTCTCGCGAAGGGCTGAAGATTTCGTCTTTGATGTTGGACACGATTGGCATTTTCGCTCGCGGCGTTGATGATTTGGATCTCGTGGCTGACGCGTTCGGGCTGCAGGACGATGAGGCGAGTGCCTTTACGGGCATCAAGGGCGCGCGCTTTGCTCTGTGCAAGACTGTCGTTTGGACAATGGCCGGAGAGGGCACTCGCCACGCTATTGCTCGCGCCGTCGACATTCTGCGAGCTCACGGCGCAGAGGTCGAAGAAGTCGATCTGCCGCGCGAGTTTGACGATCTCCCTCGCTGGCACAACATCGTCCTGCAGACCGAAGGCGAGACCTTCTTCCTCCCCGAGCACCGCGTCGCGAAGGAGAAGCTCTCGCCGCAGCTGGTCGGCTACGTCGACCGAAAGGCCGGCTACGACCGCCGCGCACAGCTCAAGGCCCTCGACAGCATCTCCGCCCTGCGGCCCAAGATTGACGAGATTGCAGGTCGATACACGGCCATCCTGACGCCCAGCGTTATTGACGAGGCGCCAGAGGGGCTCGAGTTCACTGGCGATTCGGCATTTTGCGTGAGCTGGTCGGCGCTGCATACGCCGGTGATCAACGTCCCGGGCTTTCAGGGACATACTGGCATGCCGATTGGCGTGTCGCTGGTGGCTCCGAGATATCGCGATAGACATCTTTTAAAGGTGGCCAAGGAAGTGGGCAAGCTTTTCGAAGCAGAAGGCGGGTGGAAGCGAAATGCATAGGACGGTTTATTGTGTCCTATGATGTGATGGCGAAAGATGGAAGATACACGTTTCCCTTAAAATTTAGGTGGTTCATGCCACTTGTTTTAAAGAAAGAGAATAGACTAGAGAGAATCATTTCTTTGAGCATTGATAGACTCTTTGTTAAGACGGAAAAGAACAAGTAGTGTAACAGAGGTGAATGATATAAACTCTAAAAACAGTAACAAGAATGGTCCATCCAACAAGACTTTTCTTTACCCGCTTCCAATTTTACTTCCCACATTATATATGTTCTGCAATAGACGGCTCAGTAACTACAGTGATCAAATACATATGAATAAGAAGACATTATAAAAGAAAGGAAATAAGGAATAAAAGATCTCTTACATCACGATCTCTTTCCCATGATACACCGCGCCTCGTATCTGCACATATTTATCTCCTTCTCCATTTCTTTCCAACGCCTGCTACTCCCCCTCTCTCATCTCTCATCGACTCTCACAATTTCCCTCATCGCCTTCCCTATGACGGTCCATAAAGTGAAGAGATAAATAAAAGTAGTAGTAAAGAGATTTCATGGTCATTATGAAAGATGTAGCTGGAGGAATTTAGATTTACAAGAGACATGAAAAGCCATCAGGCTCCATTCTCGTACGCATTTTCACGTGAAATTATGAAGATGAGGCTCTCTCGAGGCAAGCTTGTAGCTGTTTATAGAGTTTTTCAATTAGTTGACAGTTTTGTAGATTTAATAAGTGGTGAGACGTACCTCTTGGGGCATAAGACCCTGGTTGCTGAGATATCGGCACATGCTCTTGACTAGCTCGACCTGCTCTTCAGGCTGCAAGCTGGTGATGGCCGTCTCCAGGACGCTGCCCAGAGAGACCTTGTGAACCTCAATGAAGGTGTGGAAATACATGTAAGCAAAGAAGCCCATGATGAACTGGCAATCCATTCGATCCGTCATGCCACCGTGTCCGGGGATAGAGTCGCCAAAGTCTTTAATCTTGAAAGTGCGCTTAAGGCCGGAGGCGAAGAAGCCGCCAAAGGGAGCAATGAGAGATGCAAAGGTGGACAGGGCCAGGGCATGCAGCTGCATCGGCGCAAACGTCAGGGAGAAGCTGGTGTTTGGTGGCAGGAAGAAGAATCGTGGGAGCTCGAAGGTGTGAGGCACGAAGACAGGGTTGACATCGCATTTGAGTCCAGTAAAGACATTAGCGCCGAGATCCTGCAGGTTAAAATCATGGTCAGTACGGTATTGACAAAAAAAAAATGGAATGTTGCATCTGATTGACTCACGTTGACGGGGCAGATAAAGTATTTGGAGCGCATCAGGATGTTGACAAGCAAGAAGGAGAACAGGACAGTCATGATCCAAGCGCCGACAAATCCTTCAACCGTCTTCTTTGGCGAGAGCTTGATGAGTTGTGTGCGACCAAACATGATACCGCAGATGTAGGCAAATATGTCGTTGGTAATTACCAGAGCCGCTGGTAGGAAGAACCAAATCATTCCCTCAAAGATGTTGTTCATGACGAAATGGGCCTGCACTACAATAAGGTACAGGGCCATGTGAGTCCAAGCAAAGTTGGTGAATTGGAATTTGTAGTTGCCAGCTTGAAGTGAGGCGACGAAGAAGACAAACCCTATCACGGAGCGTGTTAGATAAGTACATAGCTTGAGGTCGATACCAGGTAAAGAGCAACTTACCAAACACATAGAGCACAAAGCTGATAAAGCGGTGGTGGGTAGCCAGAGGAAGAAGCACCTTATCAACAAGGACAATATGCTTAAAGTAGTAAATGACGCTCTCTCCGTAGAGGAAGTACATCGTGGTGGCCAGGAAGTACCAGTTCATGCTCTTGGTGGAGCGCAGAGATCTGGCTCGGCTAGGAACGTTGGCAATGGCAATGACTTCCTTGAAGGAGATGATCTGGACTGCAGTGACAATGGCAATCATGTAAATGTGGCCCATGAACAATGCGCCAAAGAAACCAGCGATCATGACCAGCGTCCATAGTGTTCGAGTCCAGAAATTCGCCTTCTTCTTCTCGTACTCGGCCTTTTTCTCTGCGGCTGTCGAGGGCTTCTGTTTGCCAAGTGTCAGCTCCACACAAAGTTTTCTGGGCGATGCTCGGGGAAGAGCAAAGCAAAATAAAGAGAATAGCAACAGCTATAGAGTCCGAGAGCTTACTTCATCCACAACCGCCAGCTTGGCCTGGTTCTGCGCCCTGGTTCTTGTTGGGGACCCCTCTTCGCTCTTGTCGCTGAAGCTCGATCGGCGGCCCTCAGAGCCGCTGAACTGGCCGTTGGCGTTCTTCATGGGGGACTTGCCCCCTCTCTTTGATCTCGCCATGGCGTCGTATGGCTCTCTGAGATGCGCCGGGGCTGGTCAAGCAGTTGCGATCTGGCGGCGGCAGGATATGCTCAGCGGGTTGCTCGGAGCAAGGTTATCGACGGAGGAGCTTCTGCGGACTGCGATGCGAAGTTGCAGTTAGCGGACTGCGCAATCGTCTGATTCACCGGACCCTCTGTTCTCCCTCTCACCTTATCCTCTACCGGACATTCAAGCGACAGCGGTGGTGACGGTGCGCTTGCGACCCAAGCAGAAGCAAAGCTGGGCGAATTTGACGGTGATGAGGTGGAAATCAAAAAGGCATTTCGCCAGACGCTGCTAAATCCAAAGCTAACACGCAACGTGGACCTCACCCCATTTAAGGTACCGGCCAAAACCTGCTGCGGCCAGCCACTGACGAAGTACAGCCAGGCCAAAGCTCCGTGTGCTGGGACTGCGCGCTGTAGTGCCCCGAGGCTTAGCGCTGGAAGCGAGCCAAGGCTCTAGCTGGGCTTCTTGAGGGGCCTCGCACGGCGGAATTTTTGCTGAAACCTTTCAGTTTGATTTGGATCGGACTCCTGCAACTCCCCGCAAAATAAAATCCGCATGTGACAGTACTTTAATTTGCTGGCGTCTGCCAGACACAATTTTACATAATCCCCTGAAATCTGGCTGGGTGCTTGCATTCGTGCTTTGGTATACATCTGAAGTGAAGTGCTTTTATTGATTCCAGTCATTCCAATTCTATTTTAGTGGAAAGCTAGCTGCAGCCAATGCGACCAAACTTGTCGAACATGCTGCGATGTACCTTGAATGTCCGCAAACGATGAGGCGGCTGTGGCTGCGGCCCTCTGATTTGGCATCTACGTCATGCGACATGGCCTGCAGTATTGAGTGCTGGCATGAATTCAGGGCTCAGCGTGCACCGCCTCTTGCAGCTGGTTTGTCCATTTGTCCAAGACGCTGTAATTGGGCCGCTCTTGCAGCTGTTATAATTGCGATATGATTGGATGCAGTGAAAGATTTTGTATGTACTGCTGCTACCTACATACAAGGTGCAGAATACAGCGAGCTGTGAGCATGAGATTTGATGATAACCCGCCACGTGCTCGCAAATGTCATCTCCCCCTCTCCACACTCATTATTGGGTCCTCTTTGTTCCTTCAGACTCTCCAACTACCTGTAGCCATAGGTACTTCTTTGTAATTTAATAGATCATCAACAATTGGCTATCGAAATGTGCCTACTCGGAGATTGAGGCATCTGCCTGGAGGTGCTAAGCCACATTCTTTAAAACCAGCCACTTGCAAGCAAAAACGTGACCTCGCGTCGCGTCGACTTTATCGATATCGTATCGTCCACATCCCAATCCACCGCGGTATCGTCCCGCAATGACTATTGCAGGCAACCCATGACGCAGTGCCGTGCCAAATACGCTGCGCATAGACGCCTCGAGCCATGATGCATCTGCGCTGAAGAGCCATGAAGGATGGATCTCGACGAGTTTTCCGACGATGGGTTCGACGACCTGACCGATAATGTGCTCCAAGAGCTCGAGAACAACGCCATTCAGTCCACCCAGGCCCAGCATGCATTCACGCAGCAAGCAGACCAGCTCGACTATGCTTGGGGGCAGGAGGACGACGATTTGGACACCACCGAGGTGATAAACGATGCCGGAGTCCCTGTGGGCAGGCCAATTGTCGACAAGACGTTACGACAACAACAGCCCACACGGTCTTCCATTCCTCCTGTGCCCAATCCCCGATGGAATCCGGCGATTGACGCCGCGGCCGCCAGGCCAGGAGCTCCTTTGGCGGAGCGGCCTCGAATGACGAGCGTTCGGCCAATGAATCAGCCGTTTATGGGATCCCAGCGATTCGATTCTTCACAAAGTGTAGCGCGCCCTCAGACTGCGCAGCTTGCGGCGATGCCGATGCCATCCCAAGCGCAGTCTGGACCCATGGTGACGGCGCTGCAAAAGCGAATCCGTATTTTGGAAGCAGAGCTCAATGCAGCCCGCGGTGAAACATCGATACTTCGCTCAAACTCCACAAAGGCGCAACAAAATTATGATGAGCAGATTGCCCGCCTCCGAAAGCTCAACGCCGAACAAATACACAAACAAGAAAAGGCAATGGAAGCGGCTATAGCGGCGGAGAAACATGCCAACACGGAGCTCCAATTCATGCAGCGCGATATGAAAGAGGTTAATGACCGAGCCCGCAGAAAGGAGCCTGCCGCCATCAGCATGACAACGCCGAAGAAGGCCAGCAAAACATGGGGCTTTGCGGATGGCTTTGACGAGATGGACATTGCTGCGAGTCCAAGCAAAGGCCAAGGCAGAAGCAAGACTGCCGGCTCCGTTGCTACCAACATCGGAGAGAGAACGCCGAGTAAAGGGAAGCGAAAGCGTCCTGTATCAGAGTCCCCGATGAAGCCTCTTGATATACACACGGGCGATGCAGAAATGAGCGAGGGCATAAAGCCGGTGTCTCAGCTGGCTTTGCAGCAGCAAATCGTGGTGGCAGCCCCCACAGCCCCATTTGATGTAAGTTTGAAATAAAAATGAAAAGAGAATGAGCCAACATTCTATTCTTTGGAGTCTTTGAGAGTCTTTGAGAGGTGCTAACATTCCCAACTCTGCCAGTTTTTGCAAATCGTCCTCGATCACGGCTTTGCTCAAGGGCAGCCCCCAACTTTCGACATTCTCTCACGCATCTCCTTCCCTTCTGACCCAAATACATCCTTCTCAACCCTCATCTTCGAAAGACTTCCTCTGATGGGCAACCCCTATCAACCAATGCAGCTGCTCGTCGATTTTACGGAGCAACTCATCATTTTATGGACTAGATGCTTTGAAGAACAATTTTGGGAACCTATTAAATACCTTGTATCGCTCATCGCTTTCACCTTTCAGCTCCATACCTCGTCTGTTGCTCCCCTCATCATCTCCAGACTTGTGCCTGTGGCACAGACGATAATATTTACTGTTGCGGAAGGGCCCTCGCGCCTTTCCGACGGCACGGTCGCCAACAACGATGACCATGCCGTCTTGGAACAGCAAATCGATACGAGTCACATTCTGTCATTGCTATACACTGCGTCCTTGGCATGTGCAACGACCCCAACCGAGACTGAAGAGGGGATCAAATACACTTCTGCTGCGTTTTGGAAACTCATCTCTCTCGATTTCACTCTTCTGCTTTTGATGCCCAAGCAGAAAACTACCGATATTATTGGAATGCTTGATCTGCTAGCGACATCCTCGCTTCCTGACTCTATCGGCCCTATATCTGACGAAAAAGATATGCCATCAGTGGCGCGAGCTGTTATTGAGCGAGTGTCTGCCAAGCTGATGGAGCACCCTCGTGCTACAACTACCCCCGCTCAGAAACGAAGCGTACGACTGGCTGCTCTTCGAACGCTTATTACCTTTTCAAGATATGAATTCGGAGCCCAGCAGTTGGCATCTCACGATAACGCCATCCCACGCTTAGTGGCTTGCTTGAGCACATCCATCGACGAGCTTTACGATCAGCCTATCCCTCCCAGCATTCTCCCTCCTCTTCCCGATGTCATGACGTCTTCATCGCTGAAGTTTTCCGAGTCTACAACTTCTGCTGAACTATATCGCATCATCTCCCAATGCGTGACCCTTATCCACACTCTAGCTACAGACCCATGCACAGCCAATTTGACCGAAATCACTCGAAAACTTTCACTTTCTCATGGAGGCAGCCAGCGCTATCTTATTGCTCTGGGAAGACTGACCTTTGCTGAAGAAGACCTAGTTATGGAGGCGGGAATTGACGGCGAAGTCGTTGAGGCGGCCCATGAGCTGTTGGAAATGGCCGTGACGCCGGATGAGGGAGAGATCGTAAGCGAGGCTTTTGGAGCATGAGTGCTGTGGTAAACCTTTTTGCCCTTGATGAGAGAGGGGCTAGTCAATTCGATGATTTGTGACCTTTAGACCACACTTCATGAGATATCTTGTTCTATAGGCGGGCGAGTACTTGGTTAACTGGTCTGAGCCAGCGAATGGAGAGCTAGACAGCGATGACTGGTCGGGCTTGGACAAATGATTCTGAAAGAGAAACGTGCTTGGAGTTGCAATGGTCAGGAGGCACATTTTGTATGCCTGGTGTTTAGGATAGGGAGTTGGATATACCATGTATGACTGTGAGATTATAGTTGGTTGCATTATTGAATACTATCTTAGTCGAGGCAAAGACTCTATCTTTCCGTACAGACGCTGTTGGCTACTCGGCTTCGTTGGACCAAGTTTTACATCACAAATTGCACAAGTCGTTACGATCATAAATGTCTTTTAATAGTTAAATCCATTGATGAAAACTACCTGAAGATCCGAACTATCGCATATCCTCAAAGGAAGGAAAGAAGAGAAAAACAAAAGGAAAAAAGAAATTCGAGAAAGAAAGGAAAGAAAAATAACAATCATAATCTCAGTTCCCTTCCCTCGCCATCATGCCTAGATGGCTCCCTCGCTACCATAAAATCATTTATTCAATTCCAAAACCCATTTCTATGCCCAATCCATATCCTTTCTCCCATACACAAGCGCCAATTCGATATACTCAATCCGTCCGCAGGAGGAGCTTCTTCAGGAAGACGGATCTTCCTAGGAGCCCGCCCAAGAGACCAGTGCCGCCGGTCGTTGTCCCTGCTGGCCTGGTGGTGTTTGTGGTAGTACCGGTGGTATTGGTGCCGTTGCCTAAGGAGCCAGTGAGTGTGATTCCGAGACCAGGCGCTGTTGTGTTCGTGGTGGTGGTATTGACTGGGACTGTGGTTCCTGTTCCTGTTCCTAGGAGACCGCCCAGAAGGCCGGTACCAGTGGTGCCTGTGGTATTTGTTGCTCCTGTAGTGGTATTGGTGCCGTTGCCTAAAGAGCCAGTGAGTGTGATTCCGAGACCAGGCGCTGTTGTGTTCGTGGTGGTGGTGTTGACTGGGACTGTGGTTCCTGTTCCTGTTCCTAGGAGACCACCCAGAAGGCCAGTACCAGTGGTACCTGTTGTATTTGTTACCCCCGTAGTAGTATTGGTAACTCCTGTAGTAGTGTTGCCTAAGAGGCCAGTGCCAGTCGTGTTGGTTAATACTGTAGTGGTATTGCCCAGGAGGCCACCGACAACGCCGGTGCCAGTAGTACCAGTTGTATTAGTGACTCCTGTGGTGGTGTTGGTAACCCCTGTAGTAGTATTTCCCAAGAGGCCGCCGAGGAGGCCAGTGCCGGTGGTACCGGTTGTTCCTGTTGTATTGGTAACTCCTGTGGTGGCATTGGTAACTCCTGTTGTTGTGTTGCCCAAGAGGCCGCCGAGGAGGCCAGTGCCGGTGGTACCGGTTGTTCCTGTTGTATTGGTAACTCCTGTGGTGGCATTGGTAACCCCTGTAGTAGTATTTCCTAAGAGGCCGCCGAGGAGGCCAGTGCCAGTGGTTCCGGTTGAGTTGGTCACTCCTGTGGTGGCATTGGTAACTCCTGTAGTAGTATTTCCCAAGAGGCCGCCGAGGAGGCCAGTGCCAGTGGTACCAGTTCCAGTCGAGTTAGTTGCTCCTGTAGTAGTATTGCCTAGGAGGCCGCCAAGAAGGCCAGTACCAGTTGAGCCTGTTGAATTACTTACGCCGGTTGTGGTGTTTGCTATTGTCCCGGTTGTATTTGTGATACCTGTAGAGCCAGTGCCTGTCCCTAGGAGGCCACCGAGAAGACCGCCAGTTGTGTTGGTTACTGTACCAGTGGAGTTTGTAACACCCGCTGTGCCAGTACCTCCTCCTAGAAGACCGCCTAAGAGACCAGTAGAGTTGCTAATAGTGGTTCCATTTGTGGGAGATCCAATTGTACCTGTCAGATTCAAGCCTGTACCATTTCCTAGAAGACCGCCAAGTAGAGTGCCATTTAGGAGACCGGGCAGAGTGTTATTCAGGAGACCAGGCAAAGTTCCATTTAGGAGACCGGGCAGCGTGTTGTTTAGGAGACCGGGCAGAGTGCCGTTGAGGAGACCAGGCAGAGTGCCGTTAAGGAGACCGGGCAGAGTGCCATTGAGGAGACCGGGCAGAGTGCCGTTGAGGAGACCAGGCAGAGTGCCGTTGAGGAGACCGGGCAGAGTGTTGTTGAGGAGACCGGGTAAAGTTCCATTTAGAGTGCCGTTTAGGAGACCAGGCAGAGTGCCGTTGAGGAGACCAGGCAGAGTGCCGTTAAGGAGACCGGGCAGAGTGCCATTGAGGAGACCGGGCAGAGTGCCGTTAAGGAGACCGGGCAGAGTGCCATTCAGAGTGCCGTTTAGGAGACCGGGCAGAGTGCCGTTAAGGAGACCAGGCAGAGTGCCGTTAAGGAGACCGGGCAGAGTGTCATTGAGGAGACCGGGCAGAGTGCCGTTAAGGAGACCGGGCAAAGTTCCATTCAGAGTGTTATTTAGGAGACCGGGCAGAGTGCCGTTGAGGAGACCGGGCAGAGTGCCGTTAAGGAGACCAGGCAAAGTTCCATTGAGAGTATTGTTTAGGAGACTGGGTAAAGTTCCATTCAAAACCCCTGGCAGCGTGTTGTTCAAAAGATTAGGCAAAGTTCCATTTAATATCCCTGGCAGAGTATTATTCAAGAGATCGGGCAAAGTTCCAGTTAAAACACCTGGCAGCGTGTTATTTAGGAGATTGGGTAAAGCTCCATTCAAAATCCCTGGCAGAGTATTATTTAAGAGACTGGGTAAAGCTCCATTTAAAACATCTGGCAGAGTGTTATTTAGGAGATCAGGCAAAGCTCCATTCAAAATCCCTGGCAGAGTATTATTCAAGAGACTGGGCAAAGTCCCATTTAAAATCCCTGGCAGAGTGCCGTTTAGAAGATTGGGTAAAGTTCCAGTTAGAAGACCTGGCAGAGTTTCGTTGAGGACATTTGGCAGAGTTGTGCTAAGAAGACCTGGCAGATTTTCGTTTAGAAGACCGGATAGAGTGCTATTAAGATTGCCAAGAGTGTTGTTTAAAAGACCAGGTAGAGTGTTGTTCAAGAGGCCAGGCAGAGTGATGTTTATGAGACTAGGTAGAGTTGCATTTAGGAGGCTTGGCAGAGTGCTATTCAGGTCTCCTAAAGCTGCATTGAGGACACCTGGTAAAGTTGCATTGAGGAGGCCTGGTAGAGTCGCATTTAGAAGGCCGGGTAAAGCGTTGGTAAGATCGCCAAGCGCGCCGCTTAAAACGCCGGGCAGCGTGTTATTCAAGAGACCAGGCAGAGATGCATTAAGGAGACCTGGTAGAGTCGCATTAAGAAGACCGGGCAGAGTATTGTTAAGATTAGCAATAGTCCCGTTTAAGAGGCCGGGCAGAGTGTCGTTTAAGAGACCAGGCAAAGATGCATTTAAGATACCGGGTAAAGATGCATTTAACAGGCTTGGTAGAGTCGCATTTAGAAGACCGGGCAGACTATTGGTAAGATCGCCAAGAGCGCCGTTTAAGAGGCCGGGCAGCGTGTTGTTTAAGAGCCCAGGCAAAGATGCATTGAGGAGACCTGGCAAAGATGCATTTATAAGACCTGGCAGAGTGTTGGTAATATTACCAATAGTCCCGTTTAAGAGGCCGGGCAGAGTGTTGTTCAGTAGACTAGGCAAAGTTGCATTGAGGAGACCTGGCAAAGATGCATTTATAAGACCGGGCAGAGTGTTGGTAAGATTACCAATGGTCCCGTTTAAGAGGCCGGGCAGCGTGTTGTTCAGTAGACTGGGTAAAGTTGCATTTAGGAGACCTGGCAAAGATGCATTTATGAGACCTGGCAAAGATGCATTTATGAGACCTGGTAGAGTTGAATTTAGGAGGCTTGGTAGAGTTGCATTGAGAAGACCGGGCAGAACGTTGTTAAGATCACCAATAGTCCCGTTTGAGAGCCCTGGCAAGGTTCCATTTGATATACCTGGAAGAGTATTATTAAGATCACCGGGAATGCCGTTAAGAAGACCAGATAGAGTACTGTTCAAAAGACCAGGTAGAGTGTTATTCAAAAGGCCGCCAAGTAGATTGCCGAGGTCACTGGGCAGAGTATTATTGAGGGGACCGCCCGGCAAAGTTCCGTTTAGAATACCTCCTGGCAGAGTGCCGTTCAGAAGACCAGATAGAGTGCTATTCAAAAGACCAGGTAATATATTATTCAAAAGGTCGCCAAGTAGAGTTCCAGGGTCAGTAGGCAGAGTTCCATTAGGAAGACCGCCAGGCGATGTGCCGTTGAGGATACCACCAGGGAGAGTGCCGTTAAGAAGACCAGATAGAGTGCTGTTCAGAAGACCAGGTAAAATGTTATTCAAAAGGTCGCCAAGAAGAGTTCCAGGGTCAGTAGGCAAAGTTCCATTAGGAAGACCTCCGGGCGATGTGCCATTCAGGATACCACCAGGGAGTGTTCCGTTAAGAAGACCAGATAGAGTGCTGTTTAGAAGACCAGGTAAAGTGTTATTCAAAAGGCCGCCAAGTAGTGTTCCAACGTTACCAGGCAAAGTTCCATTAGAAAGACCGCCAGGTGATGTGCCATTCAGGATGCCTCCTGTATGAGGAGGCTCGAGAGCGATTCCCACTCCGAGATAAATATCAAGAATTCCGTCGCCATTAATGTCAATGGCTCCAGGCGAAACAACCAAAGTATCAATAACTCCGATGAGATGCAAAGCAACACCTCCGCCGAATTTGATCCATATATTAGGAAACCCATCTCCGTCGGTGTCAATGCCACCGTCAGGGCCAATTATTGTATCGGCTATTCCATCAAGGTTGAGATCAACTGGAGAGCCAATTTGGATACCGAGACCGAGGCCGAGATTACCAAGGTTAGTAGGAATCGTGTTATTGCCTCCTAGAACAGGAACTCCTGTCCCGTTTGTCCCATTCAGAGAACCAGTATTGTTAAGATTCAACCCGGTGCCATTTGAACCAATGAGACCGCCTGGTGCAATAATGCCAGGCAAGATTAGGATATCAGGGAGGCCATTACCGTTGAGGTCGATGCCTCCATCCAGGCTGATAATGCGATCAGGCCTTCCATCTCCATTGATGTCGACGCCACCACCGGGCAGAATAGTAATGCTAACAACAATGCTGCCGCTGAGATCAATGCGACCTCCAGAGCCAATTACAGTGTCCGGCAGTCCATCTCCGTTGAGATCGACGAGAGAGCCGACGCCTATTTGAAATCCGGTAGCGATGCCAAGAGGCCCAAGACCACCAATACCGTTGAGTAGACCTGAAACCAATCTACCCAGGAGACTTGTCATGACGAAGATATCAGGCTTTCCATCGCCGTTGATGTCGATGCCTCCATCAAGACCAATGACAACATCAGGAATTCCATCATGGTTGATGTCCACACGGCCATCAGGGGAAATGATGATATCGGGAATGCCGTCGCCGTTGGTGTCAATGCCACCTCCAATGCCCACGGTGGTATCTGGCCTGCCGTCTCCATTGAGATCAACAAATGTACCAGCACCCAGGTTTGCGAGAACAGAGGCCAGAGTATTGCCAACGGAACCTACCACGCCGCCAAGTAAGCTACCGAGCAGAATGGTCAGATCAGGCCTGCCATCTCCATTGAGATCGATGCCCCCGCCAGGAAGGACAAAGGTGTCAGGTAATCCATTACCGTTGGTGTCGACTCCGCCACCATTCAGGATGATAATGTCAGGCCTGCCATCTCCATTGAGATCGATGCCTCCACCAGGAGTAATCCGAACATCAGGCAGCCCATCTCCGTTAAGGTCGACAAGAGCGCCGATAATGGACGTGCCATTAATCTTGACATCAGGCAGAACGCCACCGGTTGTGTTGCCGCCTCCAATAACAATTGGTGGATTGCCCGGACCGAGGTTTGTAATATATCCAACGCCGACGATCAAATCGGGCTTGCCATCACCGTTTAGATCGATGCCTCCGATAGCACTGATTACGATGTCTGGTTTGCCATCGAGATTAAGGTCAACTAATCCATTCAGACCAATTCTGATATCCGGCTTTCCATCACCATTAAGATCAACACTGCCATCAATGCCGATTACCGTCTTGGGTATGCTGCTACCAAGAATATAGACCGGTGCGCCGATGAGAGAAGGGACAATGTTTCCGACACCAATTGTAAACAAGATTTTGAAGTTGGGTCTACCGTCTCCATCAGTATCAACGCCGCCATCTAGGTTGACCATGGCGTCTGGGATTCCATCGCCGTTAAGATCAACAGCGCCGTTAAGACTGATCACGAGATCTGGAACGCCATCGCGATTAAGATCGACAACACCGTTAAGCCCGATATAAACGTCTGGTACGCCATCGCCGTTTGTATCTATGGGAGTGCCAGCACCTAGAAACACGGTTGGAAGAACAAAGCTATTGGTAGATCCGCCGGTAGTAGGAGTGCCTCCAGGATTAATAGTACCATTTCCAATCGGGGGGATGATGGTGCCATTTAGCTGGAGAGGAGGTAGAGTAATGATGGTACCATTTCCAAGCTGGGATACGGCAGTACCATTCGTAATAGGCTGGGTAATGATAGTACCGTTTCCAAGAGGCAGGGTAATAACACTGCCGTTTCCGATGGGCTGGGTGATAATAGTGCCATTTCCAAGTTGGGGGTCAAAGGTGCCATTTGCAAGCTGTGTAATAATAGTGCTATTAACAATGGGCAGTGTAATGATGGTACCGTTCCCAATGGGTTGGGTAATGATTGTGCCATTTGTGAGCTGGGGAATGATAGAACCATTCAGTTGTGGGATAATAGTACCATTCAGGTTGGATATGATAGTACCGTTCTCAATAGGCTGAGTAATGATAGTACCGTTTCCAAGAGGCAGGGTAATAACACTATTGTTTCCGATGGGCTGGGTGATAATAGTGCCATTTCCAAGTTGGGGGTCAAAGGTGCCATTTGCAAGCTGTGTGATGGTGGTGTCGTTTCCAATGGGCAGCGTAATGACAGTACCGTTCCCAATGGGTTGGGTAATGATTGTGCCATTTGTGAGCTGGGGAATGGTAGTATTATTCAGCTGTGGGATGATAGTGCCATTTCCGGGCAAGGTAATGATAGTACCATTTCCAATGGGTTGGGTAATGATTGTGCCATTTGTGAGCTGGGGAATGGTAGTATTATTCAGCTGTGGGATGATAGTACCATTTCCGGGCAAGGTAATGATAGTACCATTTCCAATGGGCTTGGCGATGATAATTCCGTTGCCAATGGCTTGAGGCTCGTTATGACCAGTGGGAGCATGAGGGTGCAGCGAAATATCCGGTCTTCCATCTCCATCAAGGTCAATGCCACCGTCAGGGCCAACGGTAGTATCAGGCCGTCCGTCCCCATTCAGATCGACTCCGCTACCAGGCAAGGTAACTAGATCTGGCTTTCCATCACCATCAATGTCGATGGTGCCATCAGAGCCGACAGCCACATCCGGCCTGCCATCCCTGTTTGTGTCAACCCCAAGAAGAGTGCCATGGGGCAGACCATTGAGTAGGCCCACATCACCCACAATGATAAGAGGATGGACACCAGGAACAGTAGGAATAGTAATCCTAGGGGCCCTAGGACCTGCACCGGGCAAAGTGATGGTAGGGTTGTTCAAGCTAGCAGGATCGCCAGCAATGGCAATCGGTGCTTTATGGCGTGCAGTTGGCTGAACTGTGACTGTAGGATCTCCTCGACGGGCATCGGGTAGCGTAACTGTAGGGATGTGCTGCACAAATCCAGGTGTACCAATGACTACAGTTTCCAAAGCTTCACGGTTGAATGGCTTCAGAGTGATTGAGGGATCGCCCTGTCTAGCTCCATCAAGAATAGTCGTAAACGCCAACGATTCACTGCCGTGATCGTGTTGCTCACCACTGCCGTCTTCTTCACCATGGCTCTGTTCCTGGCCGTGGCCATTTTGTTCACCGTGGCCATGATCCTGATCGTGGCCATATCCCTGGCCGCGGCCCTGTTCTTCATCATGACCGTTTTGCTGACCATGCCCTTGCTCTTTATCGTAGCCATATTGTTCGCCATGACCATATTCTTCACCATGGCCTTTTTCCGCACCGTGGCCTTCTGACGGTCTTGAAGGCTCTATAACCACAATCGGAGGCTTACCACGCTCAATCGGCGGTAGAGTGGCTCGCGGGCCATCAGGCTTTGCACCGGGAGCGGTAATGGTTATCGGTTCGCGTCCAGGGTTGCCAACAACCACAATCGGGTGTGAACCAGATTGAGGTTTTCCGTTGTACCCAGTTGGAAGACAGGTATGAGTTGGAGCTCCAGCTCCTTGGCCCCCTCCTGGTACAGTAACCGTTAAGAGATGATCCGTAAAACCATGAGAGCCGATAATGACGGTTGAGGGATCTTCAGGACCCCAGCCTGGAATAGTGACTTTATCGCCGTTGGGACCGGCCCCTTCGCAGGTGAAAGTTGTAGGATTCGGGTATTTGGTAACTTTTGGTTCGCAGATAATGACAGTGCCCTCGCAGCCATGGCAGGTAGGGTGAATAGTAGAGACAGAAGGTCTCTGCCAATCGGCAGTAGACGTGCGTGTGACATAAGGATCGCTAGTAGGTTCGTAATGAAAGACAGTTCCCGGGCAGACGGGACATTTAGGGGGCTTCGTTGAGGTAGCGTGCTCTGATTGACGAGTGGGCAGAGTGAGGTGCACATAAGGCTGCGTCTCCTCGGCAGTCTTGAAGTGTTTCTCTGGAGCACAGGCCTTGGCACAAGCACCCAAGTCAAGATAAGTCGTAACAACAACTTCAACAGTCTTGATGCCATCCTCGTGAGCCTCGGCTGGGTTGAAAAGGAGTGAACCCAGGACGGCCGCCTTGACCGCCCGGGAGAGGAAACCGTCTGCGCGGCGACTAGCCATATTCTGGGACCAGCCGTTGAGCATTTACGGTAGAGAGAAGCTCACAAAAGCCCTAGAAACAAGCAGAAAAAGGAGTGTAAGGTCGTTGCCAATTCACAAGCGGACTAGAAAGTGAGCGAACGGCCATCGCGGATTATAAAATAAGAATCTCTACATATAAACGGATTATGGGGTTGGTCTTTACATTTCAGTGTCACGGTTTGCCATTTTGAGGAATGTTCAATATGGTTATCAAAATGTGGCAATGGCGTAGGATAGCTACCCTTTGAAGGAACATTCGTGGCTATGAGGCCCATACATAGCCGTCTATTGACCTAGACAGTCCCTCTGCATTCCAACGCCTCACTCAAAGATAGAATGAATAGCTTCAGCTCACCAGCAGCAGCTCGGCTACTGCTTGAAAATCTAGCCATAATCTTTCTCGAGCCATTCCACTGCACCGCGTCACATTAAAGTGGTTTTCAATTCAAAACCGCCATGTCGCGTCTGTAACAAACAACCCGTCCTCTCTTTTCAGTACGTGTTGACGTGACATATACCTGTGGAAAGACGATTGGCGCCATACCGAGCACACAATGAGCAATCTGAGTCTTAATAATTGACCTTGATGTCTGACGGCAATGGAATCGACACAACGGACATTGACATCCCTTCCAATGGGCAGATGAAATATAGCCTTTGGTTGCACAACCATAATTGCACCATATTACACTCATATTACCACGAGCCAAGCGGAAATCAATTTTGTCCCAAATGCGGGTGGTAGCCGAGCAGCAGCATTACCAGACATGGGCAGCATTGATACATGCACTGGATCCCAAATTGATGACCAGGCAACAAGAAGGTATCATGCTGGGCGTGCTCATGGCAATGAAATCAAATTCAATTCCTCTGAGACACCGTTGCCGGGTATCTAAGACATGAAATCGATGGGCAAAAAGGTCCGGTAAGACCCCTTCCCCTCACAGGCGTTGCTCTCCCTAGCTGGTCCTGGTGGCATGAATATTGAAAAGGGAGAGACTATATTATCTGTAACATTGGAGCGGCAATGTACATATTGCTTTATGACTTCTGCATTACACATTGTTAAGTTCAAAGGCCGACTACGGGGACAAAAGGGAAGACGAGCCTATTCCTACTATCATCACAATACTCATTGAGGTACCACTTGCCGCTACACATCTTAGATATGAGGAGCTATCAACGGCTTGTATTGGACTTGTCTATCTGTACAACCTAAAAGTGCCATTTGATTGTCTAAGCTCATTACTCAATCAAGACTCTAATAGTGCAGTGTCTGTTACATACCCGACACGGGCGTTATGTCTTCCCGCGACACCAACATACCACATGCCGCGAAGACACTGATCCATGAAACATCCCAGAACCCTGCCAATCTCCGAGAAATACTCTTCTCAGACCTAAGCCAAGGCGCCTCGCTGTTCTAGGTATAGTATCATCACCGATCTTCCCCTGCCAAAGGCAATGGCTCGCTGAGAGGGGGGGGGGCCTTAAATAAGTGGTGCTAGCCATGTCTCAGGAACGCTGGCCAAAGTGATTCGCGTCTTAAATGCCTTTTTCGTCCAGAGGCGCGTCTAAGGACTTATGTTAAGACTTTCAAGGCTTCCAAAGCATTTTTAGGTTTTCCAAATACAGATGTAAGTCAGGTAACTGCGCCATGGCCTCTTCGGATTTAATGGTGAAACGAATGCACATGCGAAATAGATATGGAGGCTGGAGTAGCGACGGTAGACTAATAAAATAAGCTTAAAGATGATCCGGCTTCCTGATGTTTCTAAAATTACAATTGATGCCTCCCTTTGGCATCATGGTATGCGGATGGGTCTCACTATTCCGCACATGTATTCATAAGAACGTGAGCTCCCAATGACCTCCTTTCCCTTAAGTGCTCTCTTTGAACACTGACACTTTCCTTCAAAATCCGGAGACTCTTCTGACACCAGCAGCCCCAACAATCCATGAGTTGCCAAGTTTAAACGCACCCGGCCCCTCCAGCTGGGAGTCCAGCTTTCCCATGGCCATATTTGTCAAGAAAGCTCCCAGGTGATCGGTCGGTGAGTGCAATCCCTTCATCACCGCGATCAAAGGCGTCATTAACGTCGCTAGAACCTTGTACGTTGCGCCGGGATCCGGAATATAAGGCAGGATAGCTTTGTGCTGTCTGGCATCCACAAATCCCGGTCGCACAGAGTCTGCGCGCAGGCTCGTCGGCATCTCAGCCGTCATGTCACTCAGTTGTTTCTCAGTCTCTCCCTTGACGCGAGCAAAAATGGCCGAGAATCGGCCCGGAGTCTGCGTAGCGCCCTCGCCTGACACGTAGATGAACCGGAAGGGCTCTGATGGCGTCGTCGTCAGTGCAGCAAACGATTTTGCAGCGGCAATGGTGTAATCCTTGGTGATCTTGACGTATTCTTCAGCGTTGACCTTGGTCTGGCTGATGCCCAAGGCCCAAACACAGGCTTTTGCGCCCTGTAGCTGCTTCAACACCTTGGAGTCGTAGTTCTCAAAGTCGCGATGGATGATGACGTTGATTCGAGGGTCTTTGGAATCATCAGCCATCTGAACCGGCTTGCGGCTGAGAATGGAGATTTTGGTGATGTCTTTGGCCTTTATCATGGCGTCTAGGACGCCTGATCCCACGAGACCCGTGGCACCAGTTAGAATAATATGCATGGTGGTGAAGATGAGTTGTGTGGTGTATCGTAGTGTGTAGCTTGTGGATATTTGTGAGGCGGTACGCTGGCGAGATTCCGGCGCTGTCAAGAACAGAGGTAACTGGTTTGCAGCTACAGATGAGAGAGAAGATATGTAATGCGGCAGTGAGCTGTAAAAGATGTCAATTGAAATACAAATCTGCCAACAGAACATCCAAAGAGTCGGCATCCACAAGTATATATATACTATAACTCCTATACGTGTATAGGACGATGCAAATGCCAGCTACTAGACCCTAACTCCAGCCCAATGAGGCATTACACGTACTGCATGGGTCTAGGTTCGGACATAAGCGCTTGCTGACAGGACATTTCCCTAATTAGGCGACGCGAGGCCCTTGGCGGCTGCGGAACTCTTGCAACTCCGCCTTCTCCACCGCTGGGCCGCTCCACTGGTCTGGTTTACACAATGCCGGTGATAGTATCTCCGAATGGGCGGATGAAGCGAAAGAAATGGATGCTGATATCGTAGTGTGGCAATGAAGCAGCCTATTTACAATCACAGAGTATCCAGTACCCAGTCGCTTTTTGGTTGAGAATATCCAAGAATATGTGCGCAGTTGATGCTTATGTCTGTGCCCGAGAATCGAGAATTACAATTCCGCAATGGATAGTCACGCACTTCCATAAACCATCTTCAATAAATATCGTCTAGCCCAAAGAAATGGATATTTAACATTCCTTTCTAACTCTAGAAACTGACAAGACAATAATACATGGGCTCATCGCAGCCACTGCTGCCCTAGGCTGGCTTCTCGCTCGCATAAGCTGACCTTACCATGCACAATGACTTAATAATGGAGCAAAATCGCTCGATTTGGCATTTACACTAATATCTGATGATGCAGACGTTACTTTTTCATGATGGACAATAATCAGCTCGAAAAGACTATATAAGAAGGGCTGAATGCCTCAAGTGCAGTGAGCGTTGCATGCCTGAAGATATGTGCTCTGTACCTATGGTATGATTAGTTATTACGCATTAGCTGGGAAATTTACCCCATTCAACCCCAACTTGATATCATTTTCACAAGTTCAGATTCGGCACATACCGAAGCACTGGGTTTCAAGCGACGTCTATCTCAGATACACTTATACTAGCCATGGGCACGGATATTGACGTACTGGCGGCCACTGCTGAGGAGCTCCAGCAATTGCTCAGCTCATCTGCTGACATAACCAGCAAGCATCTCGTCCAAGTATATCTCTCACAGATCAAGCGCCACAATGACTACCTCAAAGCGATAATCAACACAGCTCCAGAATCGCTCCTCCTGGAGAGAGCGGACATGCTGGATGAGGAAAGAAAGAATGGCAAGCTTAGGAGTCCACTTCACGGTATCCCCATTCTAGTCAAAGACAACATTGCAACCCACTTCAAGTCAACTGGCCTTGATACAACGGCTGGAAGTTTAGCCCTAGTCAATTCGAGCCCACGTATCAATGCACCGGTTGTAGATCGGGTAAGTCATTATGCTACAATCAGTTCTAGATGCCCGACAATTAGCTAACTAAGTTGCGTCTAAGCTGCTAGATGCAGGACTCATTGTGATAGGCAAAGCTAGCCTGTCGGTAAGTGTTCACCAACACCAGATTGCTGATTTGAGATCCGGCAGCTAAGCGGTCCCATTTAGGAGCTATCATGGTGGAAGTAGGCTGCCCTGGTTTGCCACAATTAGCCATCAAAAGTGCTGACCTTAATCCTTCGCCAAGAGGCAAAAACTTGATCTGCGGATGGAACGCGGTTAGCGGACAGGCCCAATCTCCATATGTCAAAGGAGGTATTCGCCCTGATGATTCGTTTGCAGGTCATAGTGTAAGTGAAGGTATCGTGGCTCTCACAGTTGCAAACGGCTCATCTAAACATTTCTGCTTTTCTCTAGAACCCGGGAGGTTCTTCATCCGGCTCTGCGATTGCGGTCGCGGCCGGCTTTGCTCCAGTTAGCATTGGTACGGAGACATTTGGATCGCTCATGCTACCTGCTGGCCGAGCTGCCCTCTATTCACTTAAACCCAGCCGTTCGCTCATCTCTCTTACCGGAATTGTCCCTATTTCCAGCTTTTCTGACCAGCCAGGCCCGATGACAAAGACCACCAAAGACTTGGCTATGCTGATGGACATCATCACCGATCCTGGCAACGTTCCACCGGGCGGCTACGCCTCGCGAGTGACAGGTTCATGGGAAGGTCTCAAGATTGGCACAGTAGACCCGGAACTATGGAAGTATACTCCGGACATTCGAAAGGTTCTCGATGAAGACATGGAGAACCAGTTGGTGAGTATTTATAACTGACCTTGTCTTATCATGGAATTTGTTCTCTGTCACTAAGCGAGTTAGATCGAGCAAGTTCGACATGCGTATGGAGTTATTAAGGAACACGCAGCAGTGTTCAAGGATAATGTCTTGTTAAACATTGTCGACACGTTTTTCGTCAACGGCGAAGAGGTTTTGCTTAAAATATTCGGTAGGTTAAATGTTCACCAATGCAGTAATTACACACTACTAAAGCACTGGGAAAATAGAAAAGGGTTTTAAAGAAGAGTTTGAGAACTATCTAAAACTCCTTGATACCCCTCAGATCAGGACGTTGGGCGACCTGATTGCTTTCAACAAGGCGCATGCCGATAAAGAGCTTCCTCAAGGTAATGCTGTAACATGCGGTCCAATAGTTGCTTTTAATGACTGCTAATAAGAGCTCCCAGGATACGATAACCAGGACATCCTTGAGCTCTCTGAAAAGTCTAACGTGACCTCCGAAGACCGCGAGTCTTATGTTTCCCATTTGACCGAATTCGGCCGCGATCAAGGCGTCAATAAGATATTTGATGAACATGACCTCAACATCATAATGGGACCAATCGAGTCGCCATTGTACTATTTTGCTGCGGCCTGTGGTTCGCACCCCTTGTTTCTCCTATCCCGTCATATGAATTCTTACTGACGCTTCCGTGTTAGGGTATCCTGTTGCTGCTATGCCGCTCGACTATCTTGACTATAACGGACGGCCGCATGGGCTTTGTGCTGTCGCCAAAGAAGAGGGCCTTCTAATCCAACTTCAGAGTGCTTATGAGAGAGCCTTTCCACCGCGGAAGCCGCCAACTTTGTGAGCAGAAAGCATGCGTTATCGGAAATTAATCTATTGCTGTAATGCATTGAGAAACTGAGAAATTTGGTTAGCTATGTATAGCAAGTAGGAATAGTTACTGTAGTTGCAGTCGTATAACTTTAACCATGATGTAATAAAGTGTTTGCTTATTTCTAATAAAACATTACTCAATGATAGCTGTATACCGACTGAGCCCGAAGTTACAATAATCTAGGTACCCAAGTATATATACTCCATACACCCTTTCTTATATACACTGAAACAACGAAGAGAAAAATAAACCAAGATGGGATGCATCATAGTATCGTTAACACACCAATCACGAAAGCCGCAGTGCCAGCAGCCAGTCCAACGTTCGCACCCCAAACTGACCGAGATGCTTCATTCAATTTGGCACTTCCAGTACTTGCCGTCGGCCTAGTGGCCTGGACGTTGATGCTGCTCGCCAAGCTGTCTTTCTCTGGGCTGTATTGCTGCGGTGGAAAGCCGCAGACCGACATGATAACCTCTACATCTGTGTGATGAACATTAGCAATAGGAACGTAATAGAGGCTTGGACGAAAATCACTCACCATTTTGCGAATTGGCAATCATATTTATGCAGCTCGCACATAGCCCAGTAATCTCTGCCACATTAAAGCTCTCGTTGGAGCATACGCACTGCTCTTCTGCGTTCTCCGTCATTCCCCATCCGCTTGTTTCACCCCCCGTATCTCCATCTAATCCCAGAACAGTCGGCATCATTGGTTGGGGTTGGCTAGCGGTGGCTGTTGAAATGGTAGCCAGGTCGGGAGTTTTCATCCCTTTCTTGATGGAAGCGGTCGACATAGGTGGCCGAGAATTCGATGTTACAGTTGGCGTAGGGGCTGGACGTGGTACTGTAGTGTCCGTAGAGAGAGGATTACTTGATGTGGTTGGGAGAGGTTGGACCGACGGCCGCATAGTAAGATAGTTGTTTGGTAGCGGCGGCGTAGATGCTAGAGGCTCCGAGGGTAGAATCGGTGACGATGACAATGATGATTCTGGCCATGGAGCTGGCGGTACCGGCGAAGCTGATGGCTCTGGTGGAAATAGACTATGCAATAGTCCTAATAGTCCCGAAGGCAACGACGTAGGCGCTGCGACAATGACTGTCAAATGCTTCTCGATTCGCCTGCCATCGAGGTGCTCGGCTCGCTTCGGATAATGCGCTTCTCTATTCATACCACTTTCGAGACTCCCCAAAGATCTTTTTGGACTGCACATCGAACTCAGCTCGACGATTGGTCCGCAGATGGCGACGCACATGGCCGGAATAGAGTTAAGAGGAAGTGCTTCAGCAGCCACCAATGACAGCACAGCTAAGCATGCAAACAAGCTGAAGCAATAGACCGCCATGGCGCGTCAGAGTAGCCGCCCACTGCCTTTGCGACTGCAAGACAATTACCGGTTTCGATTTGCGAAGGGCCAAAGCCACGGCCCAGTGCTGACTTGCAGCCAGCGTGCCACCCGCACAAGACTGAGACTGACAAACTGGAAGTGGTGTACTTAATAAAGCTTTAGATAATGCTGTGCAGGTACTCGAAGATGAGGTAAGTGAAGAGAGAGCAGCCGTCCATTGGTCCGGCAAGAGGGTGATCTACTGAAACGTGCCAAAGGGGCTATGTGGCCACCTGCCTTCTAGAAAACGCCTGACCCAGCTACTTCATCTATCCCATCAATACCGTCCATGGTGGAGTATCTATGTATAAATGCAGCCATACATGGCGCAAACCCGTACCTTTCCGCAGATAAAATTTGTCTGTTAAACACCATCTCGACTTGGCACGATCGATCGATCCATGTGTCAATTCCCCAGACAAATGCCATCAACGAGCGAGGGGATGAATAAACAGCGATCATCAGCTGCCATTTCCAGCCCCAGCAGAGCAAGCCTCAAACGATAAGACTCCTCGACCGGGGCTCTGAAACGACCCAGCTAAAATTGCTTCGGACAGAGCCGTGCCAGCGATAGGACGAAACACCATGCGAAACAAGATCACGCCAGAATATTTATCCGCGCTGGAGGAGAAAGATTCGCCAATTGCACACTTGCGCCAAGAAATAAATGACAGATTCTGGTTTATATGACATGTATTGACAAATTAAGTGACGGAGAAACAAAACAGAAAAAGAAAAGAAGAAGAGATACCGGGTGAGCAATCCCGAAGCACCGTGCACCTGCTATTCGCGGCATCATTCCTATTTGGGACGCCTGCGATTCTGCAGCTCGACGCTCATTGGTTCCCGGCAGCCGCTCCTAGTAAAAAGCATAGCAAAGTACGAAAAGCCGCAGCCAGGTCACCTTTTCCAACACGTACAATAACGCAGCGCCTTATAAAATAGATGCGCATCGTAATCACCGACGAAGCAAGCTAAGTGAATGCCATGGTGGACCAGGCTGCCTCCAAGTTTGGAAAAGATGGGAAAAGGCAAAGAAACGAGCGAAAGAGGCTCAGGCAAGATCCTCCAAGTGTGGCTCAGGCACCTCCATTCCCTTTCGCTCCAACTAACCCAAATCAGCTTTATAGCACGAGAAGCGACCTAACCCAACGTTTTTAGCTCATGCAGGCTGGGCTTATTTTACAGGCATCGAGCTAAACAACGCCTAGACCGCAGCTTTACCCATCTAGGCTTCTTACCACGAGATTCACATCACAGGAACACCAATAAGCCCCTCGCAAGGAAAGGGAAAGGATACACGTAACCTTAAGACGCGGCAGCCTGTAATATGCATGCAAGTCTAACGCAAACCCCATTTACGGCCCTCGTCTAAAGGTCCGTGGGAGGCGGGTGTAGCCGCTAGAAGGGCATCATGGCACGAGCTGAGTCGTCTTTGCACGAATATCCATCCCAGCTGAGCAATGCCGCCTCGTCGTGATTCGTTGAGTCCGGGTCCCGGCAGTGCTTTTAGATATCGGGGCATTGTTGGCCCTGGGCTCGGCTGCAGCTTTTAGATCAAATATTTTTGCCGTGTTGTGTTATTGGAATAGAGGATATGCTTGCTGTTAGTTTAAAAGGCTTTCATGCCTTCGTCTGTTTGCCCTGTTGTTGTAGGAAAAATCAACATCAGTCCATCTATCCAACAGATCAACATGCTCAACTCTCACGAGTCCCTGGGCATCGCCCAAGTCGTCTTTTACGTGCCCATCGTCCCAACCGCCATCTGGCTCTTTCGACGCAATGGCAAAAACCGCCCACGCATGGCCTGGTGGTGTTTAATACCCTTCAGTCTGAGTATGCCTTCTCTCCCTGACAAATTTGACTGAAAGTTCCTTGGAATCTTACTTGTGCCGCTTGGATAATAGTGCGTTTGGCTGGTGGCCCCGTCCTCATCGCCTTTGAACAAAAGCCCAGCATCGGACTCTACGTCGCAGCCATTATCCTCCTCAACGTCGGCGTTGTTCCTCTTATTTTAGCTACTCTGGGTTATGTACGCATCGTGTAAGTATCATTCTATTTGTCCATCTGAATGTGTCCTAGGCCAGACCCCCCAAATTATCAACAGAAAGAAGAAAATATACTAATTCAGCATTCTGCAAACAGCCTCCTCGACAACTACAGCTCTAATCCTCGAGCGAATAAAATTGGTAGTATCCTACGTTTCTGCATCTTCGTCGCTATTGGCCTCCTCTCTGCTGGCGGAGGTGTCAGCTCCGTCGGCACACCGTCCGCCATGAACACCAGCCGTGCACTCTCTCTTGTCGGATACATCCTATTCGCCGTCATCCTCGGCGTCCTCATTGCCATGATGTCCTTTTTCCTCCAGAAAAAGGAAACTCTTCTTCCCAGTAGCCAAGCCGTATGTCATTGCCCAACCGTTGTAATTATATCACCCGCTTTTTTTCTTTCATTCTTCTTACTGACAGTGAGCTTCCTTTTCAGATCCTACGCGGTGGCCTCCTTGCGTCCCCCTTTCTCATTATCCGTACTGTCTTTGGTCTTTTCGAAGTCGTCTTCCAAAACAGTGCTACCTCGCCCTTTAGCCCCGTCGAGGGCAATGCTGTAGCCTTTGCGCTGATGGCACTGCTCCCGGAATACATCGCCATACTCACTTATTTTTACACCGGTTTCTCGATTCCTCCTGACCGAGGTGTTCCTGCTGCCGTAGAGATAATTACAGAGTCCGCTGATAAGAGCGGTGTCTAAGTGGTTTTGCTCACACTTTAGAGGCTTTGCACTTGTCTATAAAATTAGAGGGTGCGTGGCAAATGCGATGGATGCAAGGAGATCTATTGGCGATAATATTACTAGAACGCATTGCTAGACATGGGTCAAGCATGGTGGACTGCGTTGGCATTGTGTCTATGTTTTTGCTTTTTATGTTCTTTAATTGATCATATATTCTGAGTACTATTTATATTATACAAAACTTTCATCCCTTCATCTCACTGCATCAAATACCCAACTATACCACATGATTCAAATCTAGATTGTTCAAGCCAATTTAGAGGTTCTGGTGGTGAGGTTAAGAATGCCACACAGTCACACTCGTGATCGTCCATTCTCTCCTTCACATCAGGCAACCACCCGCCAGCAAAGCAAATTTTTTCTCTAATTGATGCAGCGCTTCCCATCATCAGCCACTCAACATAAGCTTAATCTTGAATTAAAAACAAATACAAGGTAGTTTGTTCTAGGCCCACCTGCATTACCAATGCACAGCCACAAAAAAAGGAGTAGCTAAAAGGGTGTATAGCCTCATCCCGCCCTTTAACTGAGAAGAAAACCCGCCAAGAAATATTTCACGCATCTTAGAATCGGTGCTGGCGACCGACGCTCTCTACGCGAACGCCCAGCTTCACCATCTCACGAGAGTCGATGACACCACGGCCATCAAACACCCATCGAGGCTTGGCCATGGTTTCGGCAATGCGCACCCAGTCCAATCGCTCCTTGGGCTTGTACTCCTCGGCGCTGCCCATTCCAGTGGCAAAGCCGTTCTCCTTGGACTCCCTCGCCTGGATACAGTCAGGGCAGTCGTCGTCGCAGTCTGGCTCGACATTGAATCGATCCAGAGGGTCCTCAGAGGTCTGACCATCGCGCTGCACCAAGTGCTTGTGCAGTGCCAAGAGGTCGTTCTCTGTGGGAGTCGACTCCTTGAACGGTCTTGGGTCTGTCTTGGGGTTGGGCTTGCGGCCAAGCATCTTGGGAGCGGGCTGATCCACAGGAGCCGGAGCGGGCTTGGCAACAGGCTGGTTGCGGAACTCGTCGAACTCGGTAGCGATGACGACCGCGGTGCTGTCCTTGCAAGCGTCGTAGGCATTTCCATAGACGTGGACACTGGCTGTAGTTTGAGGTCCGAGGAGGGCCTTGATTTCGTTCTTAACGACGAATGGGTTGCAGCAAGGGTCAAAGACGGCAATCTCGCGAGGGCGCTCTTCCAGCAATGTCTTGATCATTTCCAGAGCAGGTGCCTCACGGGTATCTGATGTGTTCTTCTTGAAGGCATATCCGAGAATGGTAACCTTTTTACCTACAAGGGTGTTGTTGAGGCACTTGATGACACGGTTGGTGAATCGGTCACGAGCGTACTCGTTCATCTTGACGACCTGTCTCCAGTATTCGCCAACCTCGGGCAGGCCCATGGTGTCGGCCAGATACACAAGGTTGAGGACATCCTTCTTGAAGCAGCTACCACCGAAACCAATACCGGCCATCAGGAACTTGTTACCGATACGGGGATCGACGCCAATGGCGCGGGCGACCTCGTCGACATCAGCACCAGTTTGTTCGCAAACGGCGGAGATTGAGTTGATGCTGGAAATTCGCTGGGCAAGCATCGAGTTGGCGACCAACTTGGCAAGCTCAGAAGACCACACGTTGGTGGTCAGGATGCGCTCACGGGGAACCCAAGCAGCGTAGACCTCGAGCAGAGCCTCGGCAGCTCGCTTGCCAGAAGGAGTAGGGGCGGAGCCGATGAGGATTCTGTCGGGGTATAGAAGGTCATTGACGGCAGTTCCAGCAGCCAAGAACTCAGGGTTGGACAGGATCTCGAAGTGGACGCCAGGACGGTGCATGGCAAGCTATTCAGAGAGAGCGGATATCAGAATCAATTCCGAGAAATGTCGACTGGGGTATTATGCGTGCTGATACTTACAGTGTCGGCCACCAGCTGGGCAGTTCGGCAAGGAACTGTGCTCTTCTCGACAATGATGGCGCCCTCACGAGCGTACTGGGCCACAAAGCCGGTAACAGCCTCGAAGGCAGTCATGTCGGTGGCGCTGCCGGCACCAACACCGCGTTCCTTGGTGGGGGTGTTGACAGCCACGAGGACGATGTCGGCCTCGGCAATGTGGCCGGCGACATCAGTGCTGAAGAAGAGGTTGGGCTCTCGTCGAGCAACTGAGGTCTCGCCCTTCTCCGAGACGATCTCGTCGCTGGGCTGGCCAGAAATGTTGGTCTCGCGGCCGCCATCACGGGCAATGCGGACAATGTCGTGCAGGCCAGGCTCGTAGATGGGAGGGTGGCGGGAGTTCCATCTGCGGATTCTGGTCACGTCTCGGTCCACAACGGTGACCTTGATGTGCGGGTTCTGGAAGGCAACGACTGCGGCGGTAGGGCCACCTATTCAAAGACGAGAGTCAGTATTGGGATAGGATTGGGATAACATTGGAACAGCCCGAAGCGAATCGACGTGTCCTCTGCCAGCTGTAGCCGAGCGGCAACTACTACAGATCAAGACGCAGGGATCGGACTACATACCGACATAACCAGCACCAACGCAGCAAATGTTGCGAATGGTAATCTTGTCGCCGTTGGCCTGGTTAGCAGCGCCATTGAGGCTCAACTGCTGGACCGAGTCGATAACTGTTTCGGTGAGCGAGCCCATGGTGACGTGGTGACGGAGGGGCACAAGCGAGAGACGAAGGTATCCAAGGCGGTGCAAATGCAAGCAGAGCTCAACGAGGGGATGGGGATCCGGGAATGAGGGTATATGGATCAAGCCCGTTTCTGCGAGATATAAACGAAGCAACTCCTGAGAGGAGATAAATAATGCTGGCACTAGACGCAAAAGAAAGGAGTTGGGGATGGGGATGCAAATAGAGTCTTGGCATCAGGGCAGATTTAATAAGCCAAAAGCCAAAATGCACGCGCGTCTAGGCCATTTCTGGCCACAGGCGCTACTGCTGCCGTTTCTTGCCCGCTGTATCTCGAAACAGCCTTACCACGTCCGCTAGCATCGTTGTAGTGACGGAATGGGACCGCGGACGTATCTCTATCAAACGTATCTCTATCAAACTCAATTATAGATGTCATGAAGTCGAGGCACCGCAAAACTGTTAATGCGAATGCATACATACTACCCGATCAAGCAGTTGTATTGAGTATTAACTTGAAACTATTATAGAGAATAGCAAAGAGTTCATTCACGTCGACCACGAGGAGTCCATGTTTCGTTTCAATGCTGCCCCTCTCTGGTACAAGGCATTGTCTGGCGCCAGCGCTGGCCCAGGTACTAGTAGTGGATCAACAGGGTGCGTGCGCATTTCTTCCCGGTGCGTCAAAATTCGATAGGCGCTAGGAGAAAAACAGAGGGGCCGGTGGAAATCTCCAACGAAGGCAATAGGCTAGAACGGCATTGAGTTTGATGAAAAGCCAGAGTTAGCAGCCAGATTATTGGCACTACCTGGTCTGTAGTCTGTAGTGCGACTCGGGGCAGTGGTAACGCGACCGTGTGCTGGATGTATCGGATCGGGATGTTGGTACAAGCCGGCCAGCATGTGAGAATCTCTGCAAAAGAAAAGATAAGATAAAGTCCAAGTGCATAGGTACATACATACATACACACACACACACAATAGAGCCTGAAGGCGGTGAGTTGTGCAACTTTGACACGGCCGCGCCCGATAGGCGACTCCGTCGACGCTGCTCATTGCCTATCAGAGCAGGACCCTTAGCTGGTATTTTTGGTCTCTTGTCTCACCTCATATCGCCCATTGTGCTTTTCTTCTTCGTGGTCCGTTTAGCACAGTGTCACTCGACCGATGGCAGAATCGTCCAACTCGGACATCTGATGTCCTGCCAGCCAATCCAAATCCGGCCCAACGCTGCAAATATACACGTGGTTCCTGCGTTGCCGCTTTCAGGCCTGCGCGCTTTCGGACGCCTGTTTAAGAGACGACATGGTGTGGAGGGGGCCATTCATACAACGGACGCTAAAGTGACAGGCCTCCATGCGAAAAGAGGTGTGATGGAAAGTGTGATGCCCATCAGCTGCGGTGCGCCAAAGCTCTTCCAGGCTTGACGATAGGGGGCCTCAATAGCGGCACATGCCAGCTTCTAAGTGCAGCTGCTGCGCCCTGAAGTAGAGACCCCGATTTCAATATTTTTCATGTGCACCGGACAGATAGCTGAGAAGCTACAGTATATGCGAACACGATGGAACCTCCAATACCGAAAAGTGCGAGTCGCACCTACATACCCGCCCCCCGTCCATCTGTCGTGGACGATATCCACACTATCGTGACGGGGCCCCTGATAAACCCCATACAGTTACGCCATCAAGTGGAACGACCGTGCACTCCTTGAAAAATGCACGAGTACGGAACTGGAATTTGCGGGAGGAAGACACGGCCAGATAGGAATTGCACGCGTGAAACTCGAAATGCTCACGCGACACGTAATCTATCGGATAGTATTATCCCCATGGCGAGGCTGAAGTTGATTTCCCAATGTAAGCATGAACATGCATCTGTCCGGAGAAACAAAGGAGTCGCATCAGAGCAATTTCACACACGTCGCTCTGTTTATGACCGAGGGATTCCAACCTTGCCAGCGGACTAGGGTCTTGGGACTGCTCAAGGGGTCATGCTGAGCATTGGCGCTGTTAAGGCTAAGCGACAAATCTATCTGCCGCTTGGAGGTTTTTGCACCATTGCGACACGAAGCTGGCCAAGCACTGATGACGCGGTGCGGCCAAGGGCACGAGGGTCGAGTCTCGCCTGATATCGGGTATTGCGGCCAGTAGCCCGCCAGGGCCAAGGGCAGTGCTTGAGCCTCCATTTGCTGTATGGAGCGCCTGTACGAGGTGTATGGCATAGAGTATAGACTTGCTATGTGTCTCACAATCACAGCGGGACCAGTATGAGGCGGATGGAACAGCGGCCTGATTGATGTCTCCTCTGTGCTTTTATATTGGCCTAGGTACATATAGGTCTTAAGGTAGGCGCTGCATACAGTCACCACCGAATACCCTGACAGACACAGTAAATATGCTATATCTAAAAAACTAGCTACAGCATCTTAAAGAAAGACAGATTAATACCGCCGCCTGGCAACAAGTCTCCTCGATATGATTCAAGCTAAATTGCTCCATGAAATCTCGACTCCAATGACCACTTACACGCTGTTACTAAGCACGACCGACGTCTCTGACACTTCACGCCATGAATCTCTGCCTCTAACAACAACCAAAATTCGGCAAATTAAAAACCATCTAAAAAATAAGTCAAATAAATCGGGGTCTCGATTTCTATGCGCCCCAGGCGCGGCACGCGAATCGTACATGCAGCACCCATTATCCACGCCCAATCTCTAGCTTCACCTTGTCTGTCTCAAAAACGCCAGTCACTTGAGCCAAGTATCACACGTGACTACCACTTACACGCACTTTCTCTTCTCAAAAAAAAAAAAAGGTCTCATCAAAGCTCCAAGTCCTAGAAATTATTGCCTCTTCGCCTCCTCAGCCGCCCGTGTCCAACCAGGCACAGCACGAGGGCTGCCCTCCAGACGCCGATTCGCAGTTTCGCTTGTTGCAGCACACCAAGTCGCTAGCCGGGCTTCTATTGGCCAGCGCTAGCAATGTGGCAGCGCTGCGGCTCCTGATTCGCCCATCTCAAGATCTGGCAACGACACTTTGGATACTTGTACCTTGCTTCTGACCTGAGGCTTCTCATCTTGACTCGCCTTGTGCCGTGAGACAGAATTGGGTAAGGGTAGTGCAGAGGAAAGGTCAGGCTTCTCGGGTCAAAGCACCATCTGTGGGCAGCATGCTCTAGTCACAGTACGCAAAGCTGATAAGAACTGCACCTTCTCAAGAAGAAGATATAAAATCGAGAATGCAGCTGATATCGTCTGGCCGTATAAGGCTGTGGCTTCTTGGTCAACTACTGGAACTGCCCCTCCATATATAAAATCACAAAAATAGTGTAAGACAGCAATCGACAAAAAGCTGCCAGCTACTAGGCCTAAATCCCGTGTATGAGGCTCGCCATCGGTCCATCCGGCGCTTAACTCGCCACATGATGCTCAGCCATACAGTACCGGCGTGTTTGCAAATCTGGTAGGCACCTTGCCTGACCCAGTAGGTATTACACAAACAATATAGCTCTTCCTCCCCACGTTATCTAGTCTCTCTTGCTGCGCTTCCAACCGACGAACTGCGTGCAGAGCATGCCCCTCGTGCCCACTCTCTGGTTATCCTATTGTATGTAGCTTCCCATGTCTCAAAGCCACTCCTGTCATGCGCAACATATCGGGACGGATCCACGTGGGATTTCCTCATACATAATCTTGTTGGGCATCTAGATCCGGCTTCAAACAGTAAAAAGGAAGCACACTCGCTGTATGGCGAGGAACCACGACCTACTGTCCCTCAGAGCATCTTCTTTTCTCGTCCCCTAGACAGAACCTCAGCTCAGAGCCGTTGCGCCTCTTACTCACGTCCGTCATGGCGCCAGCATCGCTTAATGGATCAGCACAGTATCCCGAACATGATCTGTCAGAGTTCCCGGCCTCACTCAAAGGAAAGCGCATTCTGCTATGCACCGAATCCTTTGGCCCTGTCAATGGAGTGAGTCGGACAACTCTGATGCTGGTGAACCACTTGCGCGATCACGGAGTTCAAGTTGCGGTTGTCGCCCCTCATAATCACACAAACACCAACACCTTTTCACCTCCTCCCTCTCCCACGCTCTCTCCTGCAGACAAACAGCCAGAAGTCAGAGTAACTGGATACCCCTTGCCCTTCAACCCAGAACTTTCCATTGTATATCCCGTCCGCAATTCAACGCTATATTCTCGCACATTTGGCGATGATGCACCGCCCGATCTCATCTATCTTGCATCTCCCGCAAGCCTGGGCTTCCAAGTCATGCTGCAGCTGAGACAACAGCCAAAGGAGAAGCAAATTCCCGTTATTTGCAATTTCCAAACCGACTTGGCGGGCTACTGCTCCATCCTTTTCCCAGCACCGCTCAGCCACGCGGCCGTTTTTGCATTTGACGCCGTCCAGAGCTACCTCTTCAGACACTCGTCTATCAAGACCATCTTCTATCCCTCTAGATTCGTCAGACGGTATTTAGAGAGCCAAAAAATACAAAGCAACAAATTGGAGGTGTTGACAAGGGGCGTCAACACGACAATGTTTAACCCAAGCCGCAGGAGTGAAGCTCTCCGCAAAGAGATTGCACCGAATGGAGAAATCATCTTTGTTACTGTTTCCAGGATTGCTGGCGAGAAGGGCTTCGATTTTCTCGCCAAGGTGGCCAAAGAATTAGACGCCAGGGGGCTTCCGTTCAAAATGCTCATTGTGGGAGGAAACCGGAACCCTGATGTGGAAAAGGAAGTTCAGGAGCTATTCGACCCTCTCAGGACTAAAGGCAGCGTCGTTTTCGCTGGTTTCAAAGTCGGAGAAGATCTCGCTACTGCTTATGCTAGTGGCGATGTCTTCCTACACTGCTCCGTCACAGAAACTTTTGGCCTTGTTGTGTTGGAGTCCATGGCCAGCGGCGTTCCTGTGGTGGCCCGCGATGAAGGTGGCCCGTCAGATATTGTTTCCCACGGGGACACGGGCTACCTGGTACCGCCCGATGATTTGGATGGATTTGTTGCCAAGGCCGTCAAACTCGCCGAAGACCACCAGCTGCGATTGACTATGGCCAAACAAGCTCGCGCCGCTGCCTGTGAGGCAACATGGGAGAAGATCAACAACAAGGTTGCATGGCGCATGGCTGATACCATTGTCCAGCGCGAGGAAGAGCAAAGAAAGGCTCCTCAACAGTCTGAAAGTGCAGCGGTGTCAACCGCAGCAGCAGCCCAACAGTTGGTCCCAGTTTACGGCTGGCTCATGATGAACAACGCTCTTCGCGAAACCGTCACACGCAGTGTCGTCGACGCTCGACTTATGGGTGGCCTGGGTGTTATTCTTAGCTTCTGGGTCATTACGGGCGCGTACGTGGCATTCACGGAAGGCCTCTTATGGGCCAAGGGCAGAATGAGAGCCGGAGATCGCAATGCGCCACTCTCAAAGTAAGCACTCTCCGGTGAGACAGATTGGTATACAAGATGACATTTGGATGGCTTCGGATTCTTGGGAGAAATATTTAGGATTGGGTGGGATGGAGTCTGAGTTTAATGGCGTTATATGATGGGAGGTCACTGACCATGTTACCTTTCAATCTTTTCTTTTCCTTTCTTTCTTTCTTTCTTTCTTCTTCTTTCCCTCTTTACACATGATTTTACGCCATGGTATAGATTTCAATTTTTTGGGTAGATGTTATGGTAGATGTGCATAGTATGCATATCTTATGATGACGTTGATGGCCTTATGAGCCCTCTTTTGTCTTTTCTTTTCTTCTCTCGTTCATCTCTTTTTGTTTCTTTTATATACACAGCGACACAGCGAACGTCCCATTTTCCGCAGGATGGATATACCCTACCAAGATTGACACTTGGAACTCTGCTTCAAATTTTCAGTATTAGATAGATTCAACTCTAGATATCATTCTGATTCATGATACTAGTACATTTTGCTTGAAATTTCCAACTGGTTTTCCAAAATGTTTAGATGCTTCCACAGAGATGATACACCGTATGGGGTGGGCGTAGAACAAATAAAATAATAAAAGGCTGTAAAATACTCCGGGGAATCATTAAAACGCATTCCGCCCATAACTCGTCTTTGTTACCAAACTCAATTCAATCCTACTCTTATCTTCCCCCCTTTCCTCTATGCTTGCTGGCACGTATATCGTTTAAAGAGTGCGGTAAGCACTGTCACCCTTTGACGCATGCACGGCCCTTCGCCTATACTGTGTCGCATACTGAATTCGCTGATAAGTGCCGAAGCCATACGCAGCGAAACCAATAACCATCCAGAGAGAAGTGATAATCAGTCCAACGGGGAAGATCATGATGTTCACTCCTGGCAAGATGAAGGCCACGGTGCCGTTCTTCAGAGCTGCTTGCTGGATCGCTACGGCCTTTTGAGCTGCGGCGAAATCGGATAGGACGACGTCGTTGGAGAAGACGCCGACGAGGAAAGACGCTTCGTTGAGAGAGACGTTGGAGCTAATCTGGGAGCCGGAAGAAGTGACTGCGGAGAGAGTGAGGGTGGGCATGACGAGAGCTTGGAGAGCGGCACTGGAATTCCGTTGTTAGTCCCTTGATGCATTACGTATATACAAAGGTAGATGTTCTTGATATGAAACTTACATTGACAAGTTATTCTGCATCTGGTCCTTGTCGATTTGTCCAACAAGCATATATGACTGCAGTAGAGTCGGCGTAGAAGAGCCATCAGACCGCTTCGTGATATTGACAGCCGGCGAACTCGATCCCGAAGTCACTGGCTTCATGGGACTCACACTGGCGCCCTTGTAGGAAACGCCAACCTGGATCCCACTGGGCGGCACACCGACAAACGCATCCCTCGGATCAGACACGCGGTACAGCCGCAGATCCGCCTCAAACATGCCGGTGTTGACGTTGAGCATCGGCAAGTTGTAGCAGATGCAGTCGCCGGAAGGGTTCGACGTCCGGATGATTTGGCTGAGGCGCGCCTGGCACGCGGCGCTGGTGATGTTGTTCCAGGCGGTAAAGTCGAGCGATCCGTCGGGCAGCAGGTGCACGTCGGACGGAATGCTCGAGTTTGTCGTGGCCTTGGAGCTGAGGCCGCGAGCTACTTCCATGGTATCGTCTGAGAAACCGAGAAGGGTGGCGTATGGTGTTGAGAGAACATCTTCGGTGCGCAGGACGTTTTGGGCGAGGGCGGCGGTGGCGAAGAGAGCTGCCGTGAAGCTGGCCTTGGTGAACATCTTTGCGATTGATTTTCCTAGAATTGAAGCTGGCTAGGAGAGGAGTTGTCTAGATGGTCGGGCGCTGTAGAATAGAGCTTTGCGGTTTCGGCGAAGGTGATGTGGTAGCTCCCAGAGCGGACCAATGTCGAGCAGAAATTAAGAGAAGAAAAGAAAGAATGGCTACTCAAGGTAGAAAACAAAAATTAATTAAAAAAATGATCCCGTCCAGCGGTGAGTATAGAATAAAACTTTTCAACGATTGTGTATTACGCCGTCGCCTACTCGCGATAACAGGAGCAAAAGGAAGCAAAGTGCCAAGGTATAAGAGAGAGAAGAGAGAGAGAGAAGAAAACCACGATCGCCGTGAAACTAACAGGCCTAGCCAAGCGCTTGACAGATCCTCCTCACAGATCCAGCAATACGCAAATTTGCATCTGATCCCCTTGTCCCAATGGGCAACATCAGGCCATTATGGCATTGTCGCGACGAATCTCTCCAGCTAGCAGAGAGAGCCACAACGCCAAGAAGCGACGTCAAACTCAGGACAAGGCGCTTCACATTTTGGGTAGAAGCGGGGCCCCTGGTCGTCGCAAATGAGTTTCCGAGGAGTGATAGGGGGGCGTCAAGGGGGGGTCATTCTAAGGGGACGTCTTTGGAAGAAAAACACAGACGCTGCTAGTGAGTTGAGAGAAGCGGGAGATCTTCCAAGACCATGTTTCCCATTTTGTCCATCTGCAAAGAATGCGTGCTGTACTGTAGTTGAGTCGCCCTTCAACTTGTCGGAACCAAGTTGTCGCCCTGTCTCGCTAACGCTGCAGATGTTACACTGGCTGTTTTGGAGACGGTGGCGCGCCCCCTCGATTTGGTGTGGATCGGGACTTGAGGCCAGTCGGAGGCGTCCATCTCACAGCGATTAAGCGCCGCGATACAGACGTGGCCCGGTACACAGCGAGAAACTGAATACGATGGCGGCAATGTTCGTCCTGCCACTACTACTAGCATTTCAAATAGTTTGAAAGCTAGATTTTCGCTTGTCGCATGCTGAAGAGGATAGCCTCGAGGCGCCGGACTGTGAGAATTTGTTCAATGCTGAGAACCGCGTACCTACCTAATCAAGTACCATCATCTATACTCCTCTCGTTTTGATGGTGTCCTCTCGGACAATAGCAAATGCTACCTGTGGTAGATACCTGGTTGAGAATGGCGTCTCAGGCCAGGGGCGCTCAAACCAATCTCCGACGCCATGGTGGCCCTGTAAATACGGAGTCTAGCGCCCGGTATCCTGTTCCTTGAGCTGACTGTTTCAGATGGCCTCTCGTCAACAGCTCGATTATCTGAAGCTAACTGGAGAATTTCAGAACTTACTGCTGTTTCTCTGAGGATGGGGGGCATGATTGATATTCTATCATTACTATTGCGTACAAAGTAGATTCTTCTTATCTGCTATCGCATCTCCTCGCATGCGGCAGGATGCGGCCCTGTGCGGCTTTCACTGTAACCCGAGATAGCCTGGCTTCCCAATGTGGCAGTTGGAAACGACGCACTGTAGACGACACTGTATCTATCTTGTCTTCCACGGCCGAATGCTGCTAGCAGAGAACCCCTCTCCACAGTGCCGATATAGCCGCAACCATCTCATTGGCAAAACCCAACAGCCACTTATCGCCAACCTTCATCCTTCCCCGCGATCCATCGTGCGGAGAAGCCTTGATGATTGGCACTGACAGCTACAACCAGCTCTTCTTTGCGGTGGCTGAGGACCCGTTGGCGGGATACAGGCTGTTATGATTCCACCCATCTCGCCTCTAGCTACCTGATTAGGGCCAGTGAATGACATCAAGATCTCCTCGGACTCGCACATCCCGATTGACAGCCGAGGGGGATGCTGCTTGTTATCTGATATCAAGATTGAGAGGGGGCGATAACATCAAGGAGGCGGGGTGACTGGTTATCATCCCGAGTGGGTTGGCTCTAGAATCCTACCATGATACAGATAATAGCTCTCCATGTTTAGAGTGTCTGGTTTGTGTGTGTGATGATCACGAACATGCATGTGTGCATCCAATACACATCCAGCTGTCCGGTTATAAGCGGCCAATTGTCACCCAAAGTCAAAGTGTTGCATTGTCGATCTGCCCTATATATACACATATCTGCCGCAGGCTGGCATCCAATACTACAAGGTGCCACACAGCATCCTCTAAAGAGCACTTGAAGACATCATGCCGGGCAAGATTCGAACTGCACAGTCTGTCTCCCTTGACATCCCAGCTGCAGACCAGCCTAGTTTGCATAATCGGTGGCATCCCGATAGTGAGTATTGATGAGACATCTCTATAGGATGAGAGTACAAGCCAATAAACGTTTTAAGACTAATATGGGTTGGGCTTTATAGTCCCTACAATCGGAACCGTTGAACCTGGAGAAACTGTAAAAATCGAATGCGTCGACTGGACTGGTGGCCAAATCGGCAACAACGATAGTGCTGAAGATGTACGCACTGTAGATTTAACCAAAATCCACTACCTAACTGGTCCTTTCGAAATCAAAGGTGCCGAACCGGGCGATCTCTTGGTTGTAAACATTACAGATGTCCAACCTTTTGAGGACTCACCATGGGGATTCACTGGAATCTTTGACCGGAAGAATGGCGGTGGCTTTCTCGACGAGCACTACCCAAAGGCTGCCAAGGCCATTTGGGACTTTGATGGCATATACTGCACCAGTCGACACATTCCTGGGGTGCGATTTGCCGGCTTGATTCACCCCGGAATTCTGGGATGTGCTCCGTCAGCAGAAGTCCTGGCCGAGTGGAATCGCCGAGAGGGCGATCTTATCTCGGCTTGCGTTCACAGTCATCCTGAGAAAGTGGTCGCACAGCCGCCGTTGGAAGTGAATGCGCATGCTGGACAAGCTTCTGGAGATTTGAAGGCGAAGATTGCCCGCGAGGGAGCGAGAACTATCCCTGGACGGCCAGAGCATGGAGGAAACGGTACGTTACTTGAGAACATGCTGTAGTACAATTATTCTAACAAGTGGGAATAAAAAAGTCGATATCAACAACATTTCGAGAGGATCAACAACCTATCTGCCTGTACACGTTGCCGGCGCAAAGTTCTCAGTCGGCGATCTCCATTTCAGCCAAGGCGACGGTGAAATCAGCTTCTGCGGCGCCATTGAGATAGCAGGAACCATCACCATCAAGTTCGATCTCATCAAGAATGGCGTCCAGTCCCGAGCCATCAAGAGCCCTGTTTTCCGGCCGGGCGACGTAGCTCCCAATTTCAGCCCCGGGCGATATCTAACATTTGAGGGCTTCTCTGTTGATGAGAATGGCAAGCAGCATTTTTTGGATGCAACTGTGGCCTATAGGCAAGCGTGCCTTCGCGCGATTGAGTATCTGAAGCAATTTGGTATGTCATAGGATGGAGCGAATTGAAGCGAATTAAATAGCTAACTGACTTCTAACAGGATACTCGGGAGAACAAATCTATCTTCTCTTGTCGTGCGCCCCGATCAAGGGTTCGATTGCCGGTATTGTAGACGTGCCAAATGTCTGCACAACGCTGGGGATCCCTATGGACATATTTGACTTTGACATCTCTATTGAGGCCGTGCCGCAGAAGAGAGATCTCGGGTCTTGTCCAATTTCGAGCGTGTAAGTCAGCTACAGACTAGTGCAGTAGCGGATACTCGTCGAGGTTGTGGTGCATTTGCTTATGACAACGGGGCAACATGGGCTGCGGGTAACATGAGGCTGCAGTGCTGAAGAAGGAGTTGGCCGCAATGAAGTCAAAATCGGCAAACTTGAGATGCGTCTTGATGTAATTGAAAAAGCCATTGTACGAGGTTTCCAGGCATAGATACTCAATGCCAAGACAAAGTGATAGCTTATTGGTGTAGAATTGTATCTGCCGTGCCTGCTGCCAGAAACTTAGTGCCATAGAACCCCTCAACTGCACAACGCTATATTCATTCTCATGATGCAGCTTTTTCGTTAGTTTTAGAGTCTCGGTATGTCACAGTTAATATCAAATTCATTGAGCTCGTCAATTACTTGTCAAAGTGTGGGGTTAACGTTGCCATTCAGCCTTTAAGCGTAATGGTAGTCTTTACCCCATATTTTAGTTTACACCTTACAAGTACCTACCTTGCCTCTTGGGAGAAATATCCGCCAATCATACGCCCAAGCGCCGGATATTTGTCCGCCAATAAGCAGACATGTCCCCGTCAGCGACTTGTCGCGTTAGGAAGGCGATCTTCAAATGAGTTACTAGAGATATAAATAAGATGGTATACTATTTTCTGACAAAAAGGGGCACAGTTTGCCTTCTGGTCGGTGTTGATTGACCTTTTGTGTCGTCTCGTGCCGTCAACCAGAAACTGTCATTGTTTGTAGACTCTTTGGCTCTGAAGCCGTGTGTCTATCTACCCCTAGTTGAGACGCCATGAAGCTCAACTCTGTGGCGGGCCTCGTGGCTGCAACAGCCGGCATTGCCCAAGCTACCGCTTCATCAGATGATTCGCTCGCGATATTCGCGAAGCGGAGAACGGCGGATCTTGCTCAATTCCCTGATCCTACGTGGTTTAGCAAAATCGACTCTTGGCTGTCTTCACAAAAGGATGACGGGACTTGGTCTGATGTGAATTATCTGTCGGGATGTCCTGCGCGTAAGTGATAGCCGTGTCGCGTTGATTTCACCGAGCACAAACTGCTCTTAAAAAGAATAGAAGAAGACAAGTATAACAGTATACTAATTGTTTGTTTAAAGAGCGCGCCAATTGGCCGATCCAAGAGCATTGGAATAGACTGATCACCCTGGGCGCTGCATGGAGCGGTACCAACCCTGCGGTTTCTAGCAGTCGGGCCAAGGACCCCAAGCTTCTGGCGGCGGTGCAGAAAGGTATGGACTATTGGTTTAGCAATGACTATACTCCTGCGGACTGTATGGGCAACGGTGGTGACGCGTAAGTCGTGTGAGGTTGTTAAATGCATTACTCTTATGCAGTGGTGCTGACGATCTGCTAGAACAAAAGGATGTCCTTGTGGCACGCCGGGCCTATGGAATACAGTATGTGCCGGTATCCTAGTCATGGAAGTTGTACTCTGAACAATTGACCAACGAAAAATCTAGAATTGGTACGATCAAGCCATCTTGATACCCCAACTGTGTTCGACTGCATGTCTGCTCGTCAAAGACGCAAACCTCACTGAGACTCAGCAAGCTGGATGTGAGCGCATCCCATATCGAGCCTACGCTCTTCGAGACGGCACCTATGGCACAGGCGGCAAAATGACCGGAGCCAATGTAGGTTTATTTTCCAGTTGCTATTCTCGATACTCTAGTCTAATTCTTTGCACTATAGGTCGTCCTGATCATGCAAAATTCAGTTACCCTGGCCCTTTTTACTGATAACAGTACTATTTTATCGGACTCCATGACAAGAGCCATGAACGAGATGACTGTAAGTGGCTTCTTTGGCACACAAATATTGGATATCGATTAACCAAGACTAGTTCACCGATACTCCTGGAGCAGACGGTATCCATCGTGATGGTACATTTCTTCAACACGATGGCGTCTTGTATAACGGCAACTATGGAAAAGATCTGGTAAGATGAAGATTTCCCGTGCTCTAAGCCTCAAATTCTAATTACCGATACCGTACATAGTTGAATGCCTTCATTCAGCTCGAAAGTGAAGCCATTGGCACTTCATTCGCTGCTGACAACGATACACGAGCAGCTATGTCAACTTACGTCAAAGGTGACGAGTGGCTCATTTACACGGATTCTCAAACAAGAACCGAACACTGGGACTTTGTGAGTACTTCTTTCTCACAGCTTTGTAAATGAAAGAATCTAGGGCTAATTGTGAGAACTTGTAGAACGCCATCGGTCGCTTTGTTTCTTTCCCCACGGTTGACTTACAAGCCAGCGCGGACATTAACTTCAACGTCTCGAAACTCGCGGCCGCCACGGCGGACTTTCAGGGTCAATACGCCGTCAACGATACTATCCGCAGACTTCTTTCCAATGGAACCGAAAAGCTCACGGGCAACAGAGGTTTCTGGGCCAGTGACTACATGGTCCACCGCCGAACCAACTTTATGCTCACTAACAAGATGATCTCAACTCGATCAGCCAATTCGGAAAGTGTGAATGGAGCCAATCCCTATGCGTATCACATGGGTCACGGAACACTGTACTCCTATGTAAAGGGCAACGAGTACAAGGACATTATGGGGGCGTGGGATTGGAATCTCGTGCCCGGAACGACTACCTTGCTTAACCAGCCCAAGCTCCAGGCATCTCAAGTGAAGTACTATGGCTTGAAAGACTTTGTCGGCGTTGTAAGTGATGGTACATTTGGCGCCGCTGTTGAAGACTATGTCGATCCTCTCACACAAAACCTTTCTTACCGAAAATCTTGGTTCTATGTAGACGAAGGTGTTATCGTCATTACCACCGATATCAAGAAGAACGCCACTGCTGGAAACACTCCCGTTATCACTGTTCTGGACAATCGTGCCGCAGATTCTACTCGCGCTCTCGTGAAAAGCGGCTTTGTTGCGCAACAGGGCGAGCAGCACCTCACCACAGACACTCTCTACTACGCAAACAACGGCTATCTAGCCTACGACACTCCCTTCCAACTTACCCTGTCTCAAGGCAAGCGAAGCGGCAATTGGTCAGAGATCTCTACCTCAACTCAAGGCGTGGAAACTGTCGACATTTTCTCCGCGTATACCACCATCAAGGGCAATTCGTTTACCTACGGCTTCTTTCCTTCCATCTCGTCTGTGAAGCTGCTCAAGGAGCTTGTAGACCCTACATGGACACCCATCACCAAGAATGGAATCTCTGGTGTTTACGGCAAGGGCAGAGCCAGTCTCGCATTCTGGCCTGGCGGCGCAAAGTCTGTTAAGCTGGACTTGAAGGAGCTCGGATGGTCGAACAAAGCTGGAACGCTGACGTTTACTTCCGATCAGCCCGCTTTGTATCTACTTAGCGCGCAGAAGAAGGACAAGAAGGGCTTGCACTTGACAGTAACGCTCGCGGACCCTACTCAGAAACTCGCTGCTGCCTCCTATTCTATCAAGGTTTCGGGCCAGCGCTACAAAGTTAGAGAGGTGGATGAACAGAGCAAAGGCCTTGAGAAGAGAGGAGATGGCAGTATTGGCTTTGGTGTGAAGCTGCCTGCTGGGGGATTGGCCGGATCATCGATTAGTAGCGATGTAACCTTGGAGTTGAATTAGACATAGGGAAGATTTCTAAAATAGAAATGTAATGGCTCGCTATTAGTTAATTGAACATACTTATAATTATCGTCTTCAGGCGTATATAAGCTCAAGTTAGGGTAGCTTGTTCCTTTTGCTCATTTTGGAGATGTTGATGAAACTACTTCATACCCGGAAGATTTATTCACAAGCCACTTTCTATAACTACTGAACAAAAAATCTAGCGTGAAAGATTTTAAGAGAAAATGTAACAACTTGTGCATTCGTGTAGGCAGTGCAGAGTGCACATGTACTGAATAAGGCAGCTTCTTCTTCGTTTTGTCCCATCTATATGCCGGCTAGTTGGTCATACATGCAGCTTGTCGGTTAATAAGAGACCATTTGTCTGTCGGCAATTTCCATTGCACCCTTGGCTACTGGGTATGAACAATAACGTGATAAAACGACTTCATCGAGGGAAACGGGACCTGCGCTAGGCTCTCGAGGCGACAGTGGATCAAGAGTGGAGATGCGCGGCACAGGATATGAAAACGGGCAATCAGTGCTGACGATTCGGTGGACTCTCTATGCCTGTAAATGCTGCTGGGATGGTCGAGCCGAATTTTGCCAAGGGATGAAGCTCAGCTGTATCTGCTGCTGGCACGTACGATGATTGCGCTATTCTCATGCTGCGGTAGTAAATCTTGGTATATATATATATAAAAAAAAAGCCACAATCATGACATAATTCTCCAGTTACCGGTGAGGGATATGAGGTAACAGTACTCGGATTCTTTCCACGTCATTGAGTGCTTGAATTGGTACATAAACTTTGCTCGGGCGTATCCACATACCTACAATCCGGATGCGAATAGGTACTCTTCATACAAAGTATAAGAGCAGAGGAACATTTTTCTGAACAAAATACTATTGGGAACAGAGTACGACTTAGTACTGTAGCATCACGTTATATGAGTATGCTTGATAAGATATGTGGCATTCAAGTAACGCCTCCCTATAGCGGAGGGATGCTGCTGGGGATGAACAAGACTCGGCCAAATCAGAATCCACCCAGCGCCGAACAAACTTCCTCGAATTGGTAGGTATGTAGCACGGTCAATTCGGCCACTAAATAGCCAACTGAGTGTGCACCGGTCCAGGAGCCACACGCCACCATTTCGTTCCGATGGACACCTGAGCCGCATGGGTGCAGCATCAGAAAGCAGCGAGCATCAAAAAAAGAGAAGCCTAGAAGAGCCACCCCTGTAAGCTCCTAGAGCAGTGGCCAAAGCTTCGGTGACGCGATTGGATCCTCGTCTGGGCAATGACCGGATGGGGTACCGCGTAAGATGGGATATGAAGAAGAATAGAGAGCAAAAGGAGAAAAAGATAGATTAATGATCCGTATAGGAAGGCAGACAGCGCAGCGAGTGTAATCACAAGTGAAAATTTTCGAAAGCGAGGTACCTGTAAGATTCTGGACTTTTGGGAATTTCCGGATCTTTTCCCCGTTCGGAGCCCTGGCGATCTGCGATGGGGCGGATTTTGAATTCACGTTAAGCTCTTGGGGGGCTCATTCTTGGTACCTCGGAAGTCGAGGAACTTTTTGCGATGCTGCTGCCTTGCGAGCGCATCAAGTAGCAGCTATGAAAGTGTACTCTGGAGTCTTCTTACAGCATCCACGACATGTGCCTGGCAATACTTGCGTGCCTTGAACTTTCACATGGTATTGAGAATACTACTATTACCGGTATTATCAAAGTACTTCGCAGAAGCTCTTCAGCTTGCGGAGTATAGCTTCCTGAAATGCAAACGGGCGCTCTCATCGACTTACAGAGCCCTGATCCTGTTTTTTCTACGCCTTCTCTGAACCCATTCTCGTCTACATACAAGTACTTTGCCAAGTGGTATCCCTGGGTTAAGCACGGCTTGGCCGACGCCTCAGCTCTAGCTTTCCCGCAAGCCACCTGCGTCTAGATGCCGCTACACAGCAGTAGCTCCGTAAACACTGCCGATCTGGCCAGGAAAAGCTCGTTGGACAGACCTCACGGGCCTTGTAAATCTGCTAGCAGCCCTGTCGAGCAGCCCACGGACTCCCCCCCACACGTAGCTGTTGTGGTGGTCCCTGTCCAACATCTCCATCTTGATTCGTGCTAAAGGCAATCACCCAAGGCCGCGAGATATTGCGCCATCGACGTACAACCAAAACATCCCCGACATGGCACTTAGTAAGACCTGCTAGCTAGCATCAGAATGAAAGCCACAAAAGCTGAATGGGATGCTAACAAGCAGATGATCAAGGCATTGCGTGCGCCCTTGACAGAAAAGGTGGATTGGAGAGGGCCTTTTCGGCTCGTGGAACCGTGGCGCGTAACCGTTATTAGCAGTAGTACGAGGCATGAATGAGGTCTTAACGTAACTCTTCTCGACGCAGACTACATGGAGGTAGTTCCTAGCGCCATGTGTGAAGTAGCATCGGCTTTCATCTCGTGTGGTAAGGTGGTATTACACATGGCTTGGCCGTGTACATATTAAGCGTCGAGGCGACAGGCCGAAGGAGTGCTTTGACTCTCGTCATTCAATTTTTTTTTCTGATCCATCTTGCGTTGACTGGGCAGAGTCGCAAGTCAACCTTTTGTCTCATTAAATCTCTGCAGCAAGCGAGTCTTCTTTGTCGTATACTTTGATTTAACTTTTGTTTATTCCTGGCATCTGTTTCGCAATGGGTTCGCCATCAGATGACGGCAAGACTGTGCCAGTCCGAGATCCTGTCGAGACAAATAGCGTTTCTGTCAGTAGCGATGAAGATGTCATTCCCAAGGGCGCCCTCGACCCTGTGTACGAGGCAAAGGCCAAAGTGCTGAATCACGCTGTAAGCCAGTCTCCCATTTAATTAGCTTGCGACCACAGTGACAAAAACAGCTTCATGATTATGAAGCTAGAAGCATTGTCCTGTTGAGGCAACAAACAGAGCAATCGTGGCTGATCAAACATGTCTCACTTAGATTCAAGAAATCGGAATGGGATGGTACCAATGGCAGCTCTTCATTGTCGTCGGCTTTGGCTGGGCCAGCGACAATCTATGGCCCATTGTAACCTCCCTCATCTTCACACCCATCGCAAACGAATTCTCTCCTAGCCGCCCACCGCTCTTGACTCTCGCACAAAACATTGGTCTCTTGGGTGGTGCCGTCTTTTGGGGCTTCGGTTGCGATATCTTTGGCCGCAAAATCGCCTTCAATCTCACCCTCGGCTTGACGGCTCTCTGGGGCATGATTGCTGCTGGCGCACCCAACTTTGCCGCGATTGGCATCTTCGACTGTTTTTGGTCGTTTGGTGTTGGCGGAAACCTGCCTGTCGACTCGGCCATTTTCCTCGAATTTCTTCCTCCGACTCACCAATACCTGCTTACCATCCTTTCCATCGACTGGGCTGTCGCTCAGGTGATTGCGACCTTGATCGCATGGCCTCTTCTGGGTAACCTCACCTGTTCTCAGGAAGAGAAGCCATGTCTCAAGCACAACAACATGGGCTGGCGATACTTTTTGATCACCATGGGCGGATTGACACTTCTTATGTTCTTGGCTCGATTCTTGCTCTTCTCCTTGTACGAGTCGCCCAAGTATCTTATGGGCAAGGGCCGCGACGAAGACGCTGTTCGAGTGATTCACGAAGTCGCCAGGCGCAACGGCAAGACCAGCTCCTTGACAATTGAAGATCTCAAGGCATGTGAGCCCGAAGGTTATGTTGCCCAGGTCGACGTCTCGGCTGTTGTCAAGAGACATCTGATTGAACAGATTGACACCAAACAAGTCAAAGCCTTGTTCTCGACCTTCAAACTTGGCTTATCGACGACTCTTATTGCAACCATTTGGGCATTGATCGGATTGGGTGAGTTTCATTTCTACTGATCATACTTTTTATCCAAACTAATAATCATACCAGGCTTCCCTCTTTACAACGCGTTTCTGCCTTTTATCCAGAACGAAAAGGGTGTCGACTTTGGCGACGGGAGCACATATCTCACTTACCGCAACAGCTTGATCATTGCCGTCCTGGGTGTTCCCGGAGCACTGGTTGGTGGCTTGCTCGTTGAATTGCCTCGAATCGGCCGCAAGGGCACACTCTCTATTTCTACCGTTCTGACTGGCGTTTTCCTGTACTGCTCTACAACCGCCAAGAGCAGCGCGTCGCTTCTTGGCTGGAACTGCGCCTATAACTTCTGCAGCAACGTCATGTATGCTGTGCTCTACGGCTATACTCCTGAGATCTTCCCGACTCCTCAGCGCGGCACAGGCAACGCCATTGCTGCTACTGCCAACCGAATTTTTGGTATCATGGCTGTACGTATTGTTTCTCCTCTCCATACCTGCAATTGAGACTATAAGGATTCGCCAAACTAACATGAAACAACAGCCAATTATTGCCATGTTTGCCAACCTTCAAACATCCGCGCCAGTTTATACGAGTGGCGCCTTGTTCATCGCTGCCGGCATTCTCACTCTTTTCTTGCCATTTGAGTCTAGAGGAAAGGCTGCTCTGTAAAGCATTGGACGATTTTCAAGCATATTTGTACATAGAGAAACAAGAGGATTATGCTGGACCTAGGCCTAGGAGCGATGAAAAAAGGGAAAAGATAACACTAATGCGATACCCTGTTGTTCTTGTTCGACAGACTTTTAACTCATCTGGTTCGACTCTCCGCACATACAAGTCAACGATTGAGTGTAATGAACCTGGAGTCCATCATCAAGAACATGATCCAACACACAAGCCTCTTCCCTAATAATGTCATTCGACTATTAAATAGCATTGTAAACCCCTTTGTTAACATTTTCCCAGTTCTACGCCAGTAGGTGTAAATCGATCTGTAATTCACCTTGGGTGCTTGCCTGTACATTGCTCTAGCTTCAATAGGCAATGTTCCAGCGCTTGGAATCAAGAAATCTCACTATCCGATATGGTGTAGTGGCTAACATCGCTCGCTCTCAATAACCTTTGAACCGAGCAGCCCTGGGTTCGATTCCCAGTATCGGAGATCTTTCTTTTTGCTTTTTACATAATCTCTCTTCTCTCTTTTCTCCTCTCTCCCTCTTTCTTTCCTCTTTTTCCCCCTCCAAAAGCCAATTTGACGCCGCCTCTGTTGGTCGTTTTTGCTCATCGGCAGTCAGATCCTGTTGTGATCGTAATCTCCTCTCCCAAAAAGGAATAAAAGAAGCCAGAAAAAGAAAAGAAAAAATAGATTGTGAACCCCGAATGAAGTCACCCCGCTCCACTATTTACTACAATAAGTCAATAGATTAGCTGGGATAGTCAGCGAAATGCTACTTCACTTGTACAGGCAGAACCTTTATGCAATCTTCGGAGGGCGTACTGAATGAGGATCTAGCCAATTAGTTTGCCTTCCATCCACTACAAGCCTCTTTTCTTTCCAAGAAGGGTATATGCCCTCATTATAGTATCTGTCAATCCTTGGTTGTAAAAGAGCGGGAATGCTTCCATTGTAACCTAAGATAAAGGGTAGGTAGCAGATTGTATCATCGTCTTCCTTTCCTCTCTCTTTCATTTCACTATAAATATCTGAGAGCAAGCCATTCTTAGCTTGGTTTACTTGTACAAACTTAACAGTTTGAGTAAAACCATTTGCACCATTTGGAACAAACGCCTTCTGCAAAAGAACAATTCCAACTGATCTACAAGATTAGCAATGGCGCAGCCCATTCGAAATGTGATAGTATTTGCGGTATGAGATCTATCCATGTCGTTCGAAACTGCCGAGATATCTAATAAAGCTTACTAGGCTGGCGGAGGCCTGGGTCGGGCCTTTGTAGAAGCACTGCAGCGAGAAGGATTCAATGTGTCCGCTGTGACGAGACCATCGAATTCTATTTCGTATGGGCCAGATGTGACGATGCATCGCAGTGAATACGATGATTTCGACACACTCGTCGCCATCTTTCGGGGACAGGATGCAGTCGTCTCGACAACCGGCACTTTTGCCGCCAAGTATCAGTTGACGGCTATCAACGCCGCAGCGGCAGCAGGCGTGCGCAGATTCTTGCCTAGCGAGTATGGAGGCAATACGTCTTTGGTTGGAGTAACTAGCTATCCTCCCTTTGCTGCTGAGAAAAAGGCTATTGTCGACCATCTTCGTACGAAGGAGTCACAAGGACTTACCTGGACGGCCCTTTGTGTAGGAAGTTTCTTTTCATGGGTGAGTCCCTCTTCCATAAGATATTTTCTTGAGTTGCGCTGATGTGTTCACATAGGTTCTAGAAGAAGGTAAAGGAACCTTGGGGTGGGACATTGACAAGGGCGAGGTGACAATCTACGATTCAGGTGACCAGGAATTTGACACAACCACCGTTAACCAAGTAGCAAGAGCAGCTATTGCAATTTTGCGAAACCTAGAGGAGACTAAGAACACCTATGTATTTGTAAACTCCTTTGTTATCACACAGAACCAAACCCTATCTGCGCTGGAGAGAATTCAGGGAAAGCCGTACAAGGTCAGTCATGACTCTTGGTCTGCGGCAAGATCTCGGGGTTTAGAAGCGCTGGAAAGAGGGGACATTGAAGTTGGGTATCATGATCTTGTAACAGGAACGATATACGACCCCGGGCATTTCGCACACTTCAAGGCTGATGAAGTTAGCAAATGGAAGAAAATTCTTCAACTAAACGAAAAAGAAGATCTCGATGGAGTGATCATGGAAGTATTGCGCAAAAAGAATTATATCTAATTATTTCAATAGCTATAGATACTTTTCATATCCGAGCCTACAAGCGAACAAATAGAACTCGTCGCATCTTTATCCATGCTCCTATTTATCACAATGAAGTACATGGAGACAGATGTCACATGAGACCGACGCGATGGATCACTCTTACCTGCGCTTTGAGACAATGCCAACTTCACGAAACCGTTGATTGCCAGATCTGTCTTTCTTTAGACACTTGTAGTACATATATGCAACCCGGTACTTCTCTTTTACAACTTTGAGATTCTCTTTTACTCCTTTCAGGTTCACTTGCTCAATGGGGTTGAGATATTTATCAACTATAGGCGTATACTCTAAAATAGCGAGGATCTTCTCAATTCAAATATCCGATATGGTGTAGTGGCTAACATCGCTCGCTCTCATCAATGAGCGCCGAGCAGCCCTGGGTTCGATTCCCAGTATCGGAGATTATAATTTATTTTTACCTTCTTTTTTTCCCCAGTCGTTCTTCTTCTACTTTTTACAATGCCAACCAAGAATCATTATTTCCATTTCATCGTTGAAGCGGGTCTGTTGCATTGAAAATGTCCGGCGGCTAATTGGCCTCTATTGACAGATCCCTGGTCGGCGGATATCGATAGTTATGGCTCTCTACCAGGCGTTGAGTAGACAGCGAGGATGCATCGGTCCCGGTCAAATATCCTAAGAAAGGCAATCTAGATCTAAAATCATATTTGCTTTGGGTATCGCATATAGTTAGCAGCGTGATCCTCTGATTTTTACTCAATTGACTTGCATCCAACGTGCACATGCCAAGAAACAAGTTGACATTGCATCACGTGAGCACCTTTATGGCCTTGGAGCCACTGGGCTTAACTTGCAGGTCACGGGCCGACAGGCGGTGATACGACAATATCGTACGAATTGACACCTAAAAGCTCGTGAGGGGTACAATCAGATTACTCGACATATAATTGATACCACAATCTTTGAATACAGGCAGCGATCAGCATGGGAGAAGCGTCTGAACCCACGGCGGAGCCCCAAGTGACCTTCTCGTCGGGCCGCTTTGAGAGCAACAGCAGTTCCGAGACACCGGATCTGCGGATATTGCACTACAACGATGTTTATCATGTCGACCAGGCCAGTGCAGAGCCAGTTGGTGGTCTGGCGAGATTCATGACGCTCTGCAAGGAGTACAAGGAGGGGGAGCAGTATCAAGGCCAGCCTGGACTTCTGACCCTGTTCTCAGGCGATGTTTTCAACCCCAGTCTGGAAAGCAGCGTTACAAAGGGAAGACACATGGTTCCGGTATTGAATGCTATTGGAACGGATGCCAGCTGTGTTGGAGTGAGTTGTCTGAATTTGGAAACGCCTCTGTGAGATGGAGCACGGCAGCTGATGACACCCCCCAACTTTAGAATCACGATCTTGATTTTGGAGTAAAGCAATTCGAGCACTTGGCTGAGAAGTGCAACTTCCCATGGCTGCTGGCCAATGTTTTGGATCCCGCGCTGGGAGAGGATGTCCCATTGGGCAACGCCAAACGGACTCATATGCTCACTACTTCCAACGGCATCAAGGTGGGTCTGATCGGCCTGGGTGAGAGGGAGTGGCTTGCAACTATTAATAGTCTTCCGCCAAACCTCATCTACAAGTCCGCCAGCGCTGTCGCCAAAGAGCTTGTACCAAAGCTGCGAGAGGAAGGCGCAGAGATTATCATTTGCCTGAGCCACATGCGTGAGCCCAACGACAACAAATTAGCTGATCAAACAGATGGCATCATCGACATCATTCTCGGTGGCCATGACCATTACTATGCTCATAGCTTCAGGAACGGCACCCATGTCCTACGTTCAGGGACTGACTTCAAGCAACTCAGCTATATCGAGGCACGGCGGAAGCAGAATGACCCTAAACGGTGGGATTTCGAGATCTGGAGACGAGATATTACATCCGATGTACCTGAGGATGAGCCCACAGCCAAACTGGTAGATGGCTTGACGTCTAAGTTACAAAAGTCGCTGTCCAAGCCCGTGGGATGGACGGCCATGCCGCTCGATGCTCGATTCATCACGGCACGCTTGAAGGAATCCAATATGGGTAACTTTGTGTGCGACATCATGCGTGCCCATCATAATGCCGACTGTGCCATCATGGCAGGGGGTACGATTCGCGGTGACCAGATCTATCCGCCAGGAGCTATCCGAATTAAGGATATCACTTCCTGCTTCCCCTTTGAAGATCCGGTCGTCCTTTTGAGGGCAAAGGGGCAAGCAATCTGGGACGCGTTGGAGAATGGGGTCTCATTGTATCCTGCCCTTGAAGGCAGATTTTCGCAGGTATCGGGCATCGAGTATGAATTTGACCCATCCAAGCCATCTGGCCAGAGAATACTGTCAGTGAAGATTGCGGGCAAGACTTATGAGCCTGAAAGGAAATATGTGTTGGCGACTAGAGGTTATATGGGCCGTGGAAAAGGTAGGCCTCTTGGAGAGCATAGAACTTTGTCAAATGCAATGAGCTAACTCTGGTGCTAGATGGCTTCAGCAGCTTGCTCGTCGAGTCCGAAGGGGGAGAGGTAGAGGAAATTATCGATGAAGAGAGCGGAATGCTCATCTCTGCTATGCTCCGGCAGTACTTTATGGCTCTCCGAACAGTCGGCCAGTGGAGCCACTTATCTTCGCATTGGAACCACGTCGCCGATAAATGCGGCCACACTGAGTTGCCGTCTGAGGTATTCAAGGGCGAGAGCCACGTTTCACGACTCAAGCTTAATGAAAACTATCAAGATCCATGGCACAAATTCTTGCGCTCACGCTTGGGCTTCAACAAGAAGCCTCACGACGACGATGACGATCATTTTGACACAGGAACAGAGAGTGACCATACAGGAAGCGATTCAGACAGCCAGATAGACATGGAGATATTGTTGATGAAAAAGTTCTGGGGCCGCTGGGCTCATAGAGCAGGCATCAAGTCCAAGGTGTGTGACTGCCTAAAGGAGGCTGAATGTGCTATCGACTGGACGCGAGTGATAGCGCCAGTGCTCGAAGGACGCATCAAGATTGTCGGATCATGAGCAACGCAGGCCCTACTCCTTTTCTTCTGGACAGAATACACAATAAAAACAATCCTACTTGTTTTGGATTCCACTTGTATAATATGCTGCTTGTCTTAATAACTGATCAACATCTCAGATTTCTATAACATTGCCATGTATTTAGACGCCCAAAAACTCATCCGATCTCGCGGATGGTAATATATACAAAGGAAGTTCCAAACTCGACTTTGAAGGCGTTTCATCTAGCTTCTCCCGGCAACTAAGTTATTAGTTACCGCAAGAGCCGTTAACACACTCCCAGGGATCGGAACAGTCGTCGTCACTGCCACAAGGAGCACCGAAGCAGTGTCCTTCCCATGAGCAGGAAGAGCTGCCACCGCCGCCGCCACCACCACTACTTCCACCACTACCGCCACTGCATACGCCGTTGCTGCAAGTCAGATCATCGGCGCAGTCATCATCACTGCCGCAAGAAGCGCCAGAACAGTGTCCTTCCCAATCGCAAGAAGTGCTACCGCCACCACCGCCAGAGCTGCCACCACCGTTTCCGCCAGAACTTCCACCACCACCACTGCTGCTGCCACCACTGCAAACGCCATTGCTGCAGGTCAAATCATCAGAGCAGTCGTCATCACTGCCACAAGAAGCACCAGCACAATGTCCTTCCCACGAGCAAGTGCTGCCGCCGCCGCCTCCTGAGCTACCGCCGCCTCCGCCAGAGCTACCACCACCACCACCACCGGAACTGTTTCCGATACGGGCGACAAGGCTGTCACCGAGGGCGCTGATACTGTTCTCAAAGTCGGTGTAGTCCTGAGCATTCCATTGAGCGCCACGAGCGCCAGGAACGGCACCAGAGCCAGTGAAAGCGATGTAGAGAACATCATCTTGATCATGGCCGTTGTCACCGTTGATGCCGTTACCAAAGCAGGCAGTGGCGAGAGCAATGGAAGCTTCGCCAACCACAGGGAAGTCACCATCATCGCCATTGGAATCTCCCCAGACTCCATAAACCTAAACAAGATAGCATTAGTCGAGGAGTTTATCGTAAATAATTACAGTTAGGGATAAAAAGAAAACGCACCAATTGATTGTTGCAAACAACAGCCATGACGGAGAGAGGCTCGACGCCAACGCTTTGAGGATCGAACGTCTTCCAGCCAGGTCTGCTACCATCGTTACCAAAGACGACATATGGGTGAGCGTTGGCATCGAGATCTCGTTGACCGGTGCCGTAGCTCGCGACAGTATCCTGGAAGGCGGTGATGGACTGAGTATCAGAAGAGTCGCCACAGCGGCCGTCGTCAGCAGGGCCTCCCTGAATACCGTCACAGTCGATATCCATGTTGGCTAGCCTGCCGCCAGTGCTCTGGAGGTAGACGATGCCATAGTCGTTAAGATGGTCACCGCAGTAAGAGGTAGCTATATCAAGGAACAAGCTTCATGTCAGACCGCTGTTCATCTCTCTAAATCCCCTTGAGGACAAGACTTACTGCCACCATCGTTATCCTCGCTATAGAAGCCAGAAGCGAGCTGGTCGTTGCAAGATCCTTGGGCAATAATGGAGTTGTAGAGATTCTGAAGGTTGGCGGGCACAGACTTGGCAGCGGCCGCGCTAGCAAGTGAGGCAAGGACAACAGCATTGAAAACAGCCATGGTGACAGCCAGAGATGAGAAGTGACCTCTTGCTGAACCGAATTGATTCCCAAGTGGCGAGCTTGTTGAGAAAGAATGTCGATCCGGAAGGAAGCGATGTTGGCTTTTTATATACGTTTCCCGTCCAATAACTGACCAGGATCGTCAATATAGATGAGATTATGTATACAAGGTTCGGCAAAAACTTTAACGAGGTATAATCGGCCCATCGGATCATCGGTAGCAATCCAACGGTGAATCTCGAGCTTCCTTTTTTGATGATTTTTAGCACGCGCTATCGATGCGAGGCTCTCACACCACCTCCATGCGGTTAGCAATTGCGAATGGTAACATGGCTAGAGTTGTTAATGCCAAGGGAGAATATTCTTAGCACAGATATGTAGCCCTGGCCAAATACGACAAGGAGGTAATCTACAAGGCATTCTCAGCCTTATCATTGGGTTTGAAGACGAGTGCTGGTGGCTCGGGAGCACATACACCGAGCCCTGTATTTCCTATTATTGATCTCGGATGAACACAGTTGGCTGCAGTCATCACCACAATGCCTGTCTCGGCCATACCGGTTCACTCCGTTCTTGGCTCATTATACCCAATCATGATCTCTCGCTAATCAATCTTCTTACAACAATAGCCAGGAGTGGCACATCCCAGTTTGGGATTGAATCGACTGCATCAGGTGCTATCGTTACATCCGATCCCTGCTACGTGTATAGCAACGCGGTCCTCGTTGGTGTTCAAACACGATGTGACCCCCGCGAACGGTTTCCACGTTGTCTGGGAGCTGCCTTTTCTAGTTGATCAGTGTATATACCAGCGCCCCTGGTGCTGATACGATTACATGAGGAAGGAATAGAGTGGTCCATTTTGTGGGCTGAATCGAATGGGAGCCATGGGGCTTATTGCTGACTACAGCTCCAGCTGCTTAGACACTTTTTATGCCTTCATCTTAGAAATGCATGCTTAATTTAGCCTTATGAGCATTTCTATGATTGATTGGGCGACGCACTCTCCTTGGATCAAGAACGATAGGCTCACAACGACCCTCTACTATTGCATCATGTCTTACGACCCCAAGCCATCCTTAACAAATCGTATCCTGTCGCCATCAACCTTCAGTGAGGATGTTTCCACATAGGTCTTTCTTCGGCCTCACACGCATACGAGCACACGGGTTCTGATCTGGCGCCCGGCCCAATACAGACATGCCTAGCTGACAGGGGAGCCACATAAGGTTAAGGAAAAACCATGGCGGGGATTCTAAACTCTTTTTCCACTCACATGCTTCGTTTACAACCGGCATACTACAAGTATTTGCGAAAGAGAGTGTCCACATTTAAAAGTAGCCTATATACGAAGTAGGCAAGAAGAGAATAACGCCAAGGGGATAGTTTAGAGCCCTGGATATGAGTTGATTGGGCGGGCTTAAAGAGATCACGATTATATACGGCTATTTGATAGATGCAGCACACGGGCATTGTTATTTCCATCTTCTCTCTTCACATATTCGCGAAGTGGTAATGTTGGTGAACGATTGGGCCTGGCTTACCATAGGCCAAAACAGCCTGCACGATCCTGCAGGCATAAGAAGAAAGTGGGCTCATGAAAGAGTCTCCCTGGGCCCGACCCTTGCTGACCACCCTTGCTTTGGACCACCGAAAATGGGAGATGATATTTCTGTTTTATCATCAAACATTATACTATAGGTCCGTTGACCAGCCGGGCAACCGGCTTGGCCCGCTAGATTCGGCTGCTGGCTATTTGATTGCACGACAAATACCGACAGAAGACGCGGCTTTTTAGCCCCATAAGCTGACTGACTGCACCTACAAGTACTAAAGACCCGTATGCGCAGGCGAAAGGCTTCGAGCTGCCGAATCTGATACTGGTCGGGATATGCTAATTATTGGCGCGGAATATACTGCATGGTTGAGTTGCCGCAAATGGATATAGGTAATCTAGGCGCGGCTTAGGCGCGCGCGCGACCTGGAGCGCAGTACAAAGTAATGAGAAGGCATAAGGCCAGTGAGAGAATATGGCGAGTAAAGTATAAGCTGCGTGTACTTTTGACTACACAGCCAGAAGGAAGAGAGAGTGTATCTATGGCTCATGATGACGGCTGGGGGCCAAAACGTGTCTGCTTAGGCAGTAAGTTGAAGAATCTTGAAGTATGTTTTCGATCAATTGAACATCTTCAAAATATGCAACCAGATGGAATCATTGGAATTTGCTCTCTGAACTAATCAGCTGCATTAGTTTCGTTCTTCAAGCTTCCTATAACCCACAACTCAAGTTTATCAGATAGGCGTTGCCTTTTCTAATATTAGTTGGTGCAATTTACGCCGAAGATGCGAGATGATGTACAAAGTAAATGGGGAAAAGGAGGTTTTTTGTTAGTAGTCAGAGATCTTTATTAATCACTCTATGCAGCGGAGTTTTAAGATGCATACATAGACCAATAATGGTATGCATGGTCAGCTAAGCTAGGCTTCGGAACATCGCCATGCCATGCGCTTTTGTCTCGTTGGTAAAATACGTTTGACTTTATTTTTATTGCTCTCTACCAAGCAAGAAGTGAAAATCTCGTCACAGACAAAGAAACGAGTCGCGATGAGTTTCCACTCGGCCTAGGATGGAAGATTCAAGAGTCGCAAGCGAAGAAATAGTCCAAAGTCATTTATCTAAAGCACTCTTTGTACAGTATGTAATCAAGAAAACTATGGAAGTGCCAAGATTATTGAGAGTTAAAACTACGCAATGTCCAATTAGCCCTCATTCAATGCTACCGCTACTCGTGGCAATCGCGTTCCCCTGAGTGTTTATTAATCAGGATTACTCATGGTATTTATAGTCGATCTTTATCCAACCCGGACGCAAAGTAGAAGAAACCCTGAATAGATAATTAAGAAAGACTACTTGCAGATACTCCTTGTCTTATTCATTATATAATTACCATGTATATTGAACAGTCGTTTCAGCCTTGCATCTCTAATATTGCCTACTTGTTAACGAAGAACATGGGATAGATGAATGCTTTTGAACTGAGTCCAGCAGCATTGCCATAACTATCTCCGCGCCAAGAATATACCATACATCTCTTTGCTTACGATAAGTTACATAAGCCCAAACTATTTCATGGGGCCATGAGACAGCTCATAATTGAATCGTCTTTACTATCAGCACTCGTTTTTACTTACACTACGGTTTATCATAACTTTCGACTCAACGCCAGATCATTTACAACAAGAAACGTTACAGGTGGATATGCATTTGAAGAGCCACTACCACCGATATTCTAATTTTCTTACGCTATGACTACAGACCTTTTCGCATGTATGAAGCTAAGAAGAGCACTGATGACTCTGTAAGCCTCGCAAAATGATCAGTTGAGGGCTGTGTAAGGTCTTACTATGAGACTTTCGTTGAAGGGTGTTCTCACTGCTCAGCCATCCTGCTCAGACTCATGAGATCAATACGAAAGCAAATTACGCGATCTCATTACCTTTCCCTTTCATTTTCGGTTTCCAAGGAACTCTTTAGCTAATGAGTATGGGAGAAACAACTAGGAAACACGTTTAGTTATGGTAACTAAACCCTTTTTTTCTACAATTTGGTCATGTAGATGCTGGTAAATCCCCTTAACAGACGCTCCTTTATTCGGCAGTAATGGATATCATCCTACATTTGCTTAATACCTTTTTAATGAGACGCTGTTATGAACATGAAGTTCTAATTCTTATATCTCTACGCACAACGACTGTTGTGTATAAATCTGGTCTCGACGCTATTCACAATGCGTGTAAGCCATAAATAATATGTAAATTCTGCTGTTCTTCATTAGTCTCTCCAAGAATGTGTAGAAACTATATGACAAGCACATAGAGATGCATGTTCAGTAACAAATGGAAGCATTGGCCGTTGCATCAAAGGTACAGTAATTGGGATCTTAATGTTAATACTTAAGGGCCAGTACTCACCAGACTAGCAATTCCTTTACTGGATAACTTGCTGTAGGCAAATATTATATGTGAGCAAAGAAAGCGTTTAATCTTAACATCCCTTTCGTTGTCGCCTAGTGTCCCGGAATAATATGGCGAGTGGCCGACGCATATATGGCAGCCACTTCAAATACTGGAGAGTCTCTATAGTATCTGCATAAAACGAACGGCAATCAAGTTCACTCAGCTCATTTGTTTATGATTCTGCTTACAATAAGGATGCGACGAAAACACGTGCCATGAAAATACTACCCTTGATCAAAGACATCGAGCTAGAGCAGAGCCATGTTTCTCTTCTCCATCGCACGACATTCGAGGCAGCAGTGGAAAACAATTTTTTCCTGATTGCTCAGAGAACATCTTCCGCATGGCAGCACAGAGACCCCCAAAAATTAATAATAATTGTTACGCGTCAAAGGATACGCGAGCCGAAGTAAGCACTTTCAGCGCAGAAATCTCGAGCGAGATAACCCCCCAATGAGACGTGCCTGGTAGAAGCGTTGCTCTAGTATCCAAATAAACTCATTGTCTCTGGAAGAAAGCATAGGCGGTCAAAAGTTGGAATTTTCTTTTTGGCTAGAATGTGTACAGGCTAGCGACTAATATATTGAGAGGTTCCAAGATACATCATAGCGCATCTCTACCTGGACATACCTACGTTTTGTGGGCGCCATTCCAAAATGTATATGAAAACTATGTTTTATGAACTGGTCTCATGATTAGATAAATATAGAAGAAGAACAAATGAGAAACACAAAGGTTCTTTATGGAAGAACATCGAAGTCGCTCGAAGTCGAACAGTAGTCGCCATACACGTTCTGACATTAATCCCGATCCGCATTTCGATTAACTCCAACTCACGTCCATATGTTGATTGAGCGCTCGACCCTACTCTTCGTTTCCAGGAAAAAAAATCGTAATGATGATCTGATATTCGAAACATTTCTCTCGTGACAAGCCAACCTGGGTATCTGAAAGCGTATGCCGTTGCTGTGTAGCTGCAAGTATTAAAACATTATAAAGGGGGGAAAAAACAAAGACCCCCAAATCGTCAATTTACATCTTGAGAAGTGCATTGTTCTCAATGATCCTGTCCTTCCAGCCTTCGCAAGCTACTTTTACCATTGCTTTGCCCACCTGGGTGGTCGTGATAGCGCCATAGAGACCGCCGACAAGCCTTTTGGAGATGGATGCATTGGGCTCGATGAAGCCGGAGGGCCTCAGGATCCAAGTCTCAAACTTGTCAGGATTTGCATCCGCGAGGTCACATAGACCTTTTTCGACTTCTCCCTTGATACGGCGAGAATCAGCCATGAAGAGAAGAGGCCGCTTCTGATTCCACTCCGAGTATTTGCCACTGCAAAAGACAAATCGAAACTTCTTGCCGCTGGGAACTTTGTCGGCGAGATGGTCCAGCATCGCATTCGCAGCTGCCAGTGTATATTCCACGCCAACTTTGCGGCATAGTTCTTTATCATTGTTGAACTGGTTGACTCTTCCTCCAATCGCCCTGGTAAGTCGTATTAGCGAGAAAATTTCATCGACAAATCGTACAGTCATTCCAGCAAGCATGAATAGAGTCAAGGCTATTTGCATGCCGCTTCTCGCATCCGCGCTATGGCGTTCATGCCGGGAGCTATCCTTACCATAGGCATATTTCGGCCCCTTCAAATCTGCGCATCATCTCTTCGGGATACTGAGAAAAATCTTGATGCAACACTACTTCGGCTTTGGGGTGACTTTCAACATCTATTGCGACTGACTTCCTTGTCAGGATAATGACCTTGGTGATGCGCTCGTCGGCAAAGCAGTGGTTAACGATTTCTGAGCCGGCATGGCCAGTAACCCCGGCTACTATGACTTTCATGGTAAAATGGCTCCTGATACACCGTCCCCTCCCCCTTTCTCTTGGTCTTGAGTTCCTGGCGGCTTGGATTCGTGATTTTGGGCGGCGTTAGTCTGCCCAAGCAACCGTTGATCGATTAAACGTCGAAGATCGAGCAACTCAAGGAGAAGTGGCGATATATTGATATGACTAGAAAATATTATGACAGCTTGATCCAGACGTCCAACTAATTTGAATAACGATGCGCCAAGCTCATTTGGCAGTAGAGTTAGTTTCCCTTTTGAGTCGGAGAAAACAAGAGTGAAAGCAGGTGGTAAGCTGATCAGGGTCCATTTGGTTTTTATTACTAGTTGACAGCTGATCGTATTGCGGCTACAAGCTACCAGAAATTAATATTTGTTCCTCAGGAAGCTTTCTAAACCAGGGTCCTAGTGTTGGACCGAGCCGTGTATCCGGCTGCTGGAGTGCCGGTGTGGGTCTGGCTCGACACAACTCAGCGTTGGCGCATGGTAATATGATTTAGGGCTGCTGAGATTGTAATTGCAGCGGTGGTGTCCTGGCTCCAAGGCGAAGCCGTGACTTGTCATTGTGCTTTAGAAGAAGGAGTGTAAACGAGCGCTCAGCGAAGTGGCGTCGAGGTGGTGGCCTGTCGTCGTGTTGGAGTTGATATTGGCCCTCAGCTTTCATTGCAAACAGCGGCGTCCCTGCTCAAGGTGACACGTTCCTCCGCACAGACGAGCTCTCGGTGAAAACATCGTGGCTATGTATCTCGCTGGGGCCTAATGAACAAGAGCACTGGCTGCCTAACGCTTCGTTAGCCAGTGGTCATGAATCATTCGGCAAAGGGATTAAATCGAATACGGCTTTCGGTTCATCCATCCGGCGAGAGGCAGCTCTGCGGAGATGCACTGGCGCCGGCCATAGGACTACGGCCCCGGCTCTCCAAAAATGCAGCCACTCTGCGCCAAAATGCGTTCACACGATGACCCTAGCAACGGTCTTGGCGTTTTGCCGGTTCTGCAGCTCTCCTATTCTGGACATGGCTTTCTTGAGCTCCATCATTGTGTCACACGGCCTCGCCTGTTATCTCGATCTGCCCCGTGCATGGATGTGAGATACATTGTCCTGTGTGTATGATTTGTTAGCATGTCTCACACTTTGAGCAGCGGCCAGTCCCGCTGAGTTGAATGAGAAACGCGCCGGTGCGGAACCGAGAGTCGGGTAGAATACGAAGAAGCAGTGGAGTTTAGAGCATCTTCGCTCTCTTTGTTGTCCGAGATCCGTGCTGCGTGCGTCCAAGACTAGATTAGAGACAGTTCTTCATTTCGCTATTTTCTTCTCTGTTCCTATTGTGCTGTTGTGCGACTTTTCACAGATCCTGGTGGTGGTGGTGATGGGGGCCACTCCCAAGATGAGCCTATCAAACAGTTTTGCGATGCCGGATTGCCGTCCAAGACTTGCTTCACGCCGCCCTCTTTCTGTCGTGGGTTGATAATAAGGCCTTGTCACGCTAGGTCATGCAGGTGGCTTTTTTCACGCATCTGATGGTGCGGCGCTCATACTGTAGAACGCGATCCACGTCCTTGAATGCCATTCACGCACATTGACAAGATGCAGAAGCGAGGAGAAGAGTAAACGAACAACAGATCTGCATGAAGTTGGTGATTACCTCATTTCAAGCTACGAAAGTACTTCCCCGGATCTGGCAGGTGCGATCGCTGGGCTGTTCCTGAAGAGCGAAAGCTTGGCCTTGGCAAAGCAGGAGCCAACGGGATCCGCGGAAAGCAGCGATGCAAGTCTTGGCTTTGACTTGGCTTTGGCGTGGGTTACTTGGCGTTTTGCGATCGACAGAAGGGATTTTCCAATTTCCAACACCTTATACCGCTAGCAGTAATAAACGCCTATGTACTACTCTGATTTTACTCTTCGTAGGTAGTTACTGGTAGATCTACAGAGCGCGCTGTCTCGTGGGTAATATGATATCCTAATCCTAGTTCTGTATACTGCCGCAACAATGTTACCAGAGAGCGTAGCATTCCATATTTTTGCATTACAACGAGCACCATAAACGGGATCGGAACTTTTGACATCACTCTGGGTTACAGTGCAGTGGAACTTGGCCGAACTGTTATTTCCGCTCTCTGTTCATTATAGATAGCCTCAACAAAAAGTTTTTTATTTCCTTTTTCTCCTATACTCGCTCATCGCCCCTCCCAAGCAGCAGCATCGTAGATTACAAATAGGCTGCCATGCCAAGATTGATACAAGATGTTACCAAATGCAGGCAACAGCTAGATTAGCAACCATGCAACGCGGTGCGTCACTAAATTCGGATCAACTCAAAGCCAACCATCGCTAGCAGCTCGGCCAAATCACACGGAATGAGATAAGGAAGTTGTTATACTCGCGATAATGCTATTATATTACTACTCTATATTGCTTTATTCAATAGATGATGCTATTCACAACTTATATCCATATGGGTGTGCCTTCGTTGCGCTACAAGCACATACGATGTACTGCGACCAGTTCTTATCGTAGCTCAAAAGCCCGAGCTTGCCCTGGCGTTTCAATACCTAGATAGTCCATCCTGCAGGATGGATATTGACAATGCCTTTTGTCCCCTCGGTTTCGCCAAGCGGGCATCCAACTTGCCATCTCCCTGCGAAACCAGTATATGTCGTGGTACCTGTTCCGATCAGCGTTGCTAGAGCAAGTATCGAGGATCCAGCTCTCTGAGCCTGCTATGATGGGAATCTTTGGTGACGTACATAGAGCAGCCAGGGTGATAGGTGTGCTCTCAGCACAATAGTAGCTTATGTTTCCTTTAGTCGAACCGGCCTCAATGCGTTGATGAGGCAGCGGAATCTCAAGCCATCGGGAAAAGCTCATTGAAGAAATTTGTTTATTCCATTGTGGGTGGTGTTTGCATCCGTCAGGTCCCCAAGGGTACCGCGTCGGTCTGAACTCTTTCTCCCAACAGCGTCACAAACATCCACGCTGCTCTGGACAGATCATCAGTCACGTCTCCCGACTTCACAATCTTGATCCGAGACTGCGAGAGGAAAAATCCCCCGCATGACACTTGGATGACACGGACACCCGGATGGAACAGATTCAGTGCCATGTGGTGGTTGAGATGGCTCGCTAAAGCCTCCATCAAGGGATATTCAGAGCCGTCTTTGCGCTTCAGCCATCCCCATCCGTCATCTATGTGCGAACCTGCGAGCCTGCGCCGTTCTCTATCATCACGTTCCCACAGAGCAGTGCCCGGACCGGTATTCGAAGTTTTCTGCAGTGCTTTCCCGGCGCGTAAGAAGCGGCGCAGGTCTGACGCCGAGATGCTAATTTCCATAGATCGTAGCCCAGGCTCCGTTGCTTCAGCTTCGTCTTCGTCTTCATCTAAATCACCGTCCGGTCGAAGTACAGCCTCTCGGCCTGGATCTGTTACGGGTGCATTGAATGCGAGAGTCAACACAAGATCCGAGTCGGCTCGAGGTAGTCCGGTTTGCGGAATCCAGCTTTCCAGAATGCTGACCAGTGTCCGAGTCCCCAAATTGAGCTTGGTGACACGGCAGTCAAAGGTTGTCGACAGCCATTCGCCGATGACAGCCTTGAGAGCTTGGGGCATTCGAAGGAGCAGCAAAGGCAGACGAAGGAACTGGCTACCATCAGCCTCGCCCATGTCCGGAGTATCAAAGCCCATGTTCCATGATTTCGCAGCTGCGATGTTTATGCTAGACCCCTGACGTGAACGCGAAAAGCCAGGCAGCAGGAGCGCGACATATGCTGCGTTCTCATGCCGCATCTCGATCCAAAGCCCCCTCTTCTGCTCATCCGACAGCTCTCCCCAGTTCTCAGCCTTATCGCCCAGAATATCCTCTGCCTGAAACCAGCGGAAAGTTACGGCTTTCAGCGGTCCAACCTGACCCGTGGGCGTGTCTGTAGCCTCCAACCCAATCTGCACTCCACGAACCACATCTCCAACCAGCGTATCTCGCAGCCGGTGAGCAAGTCGATCAAGGCGGGCCTGGTCCAGCTTCTGAGCGCCAGTAAAGAGCGGAGACACGCGGTGAGTCGAAAACGTGGTGTTAAAAAACTGCGGAATCGCAACTTCACCAGCTTCGGCTTCATGCTGATGGCCTGACTGGTTTCCTATGGATGGCTGGGCTGATGCGGGTCCAGCCTTTTGGGTCTTTTGTGTCTTTTGACGCGCCATGGCTCGAAGCGCGTCTATGCGAACTGCCAAAAAAAGAGAAATCGGACGTCGTCTAGCTTTCAAGAGAATTTATTTACACGTTGAACGCGTCGCTTGGCCATTGATGCGATAAAGCGCTTTTGCTTTGTGAAGATGAGAAATGCTGGCTCACGCTCAGTGTTTGGGGTTTGCCATATTGCCTATTTGAGCACTGCTGACTAAGCATTAGCATCGCAATGCCGTAGGGGCTGAAGATATTCTTACCAGCATCTCTTTAAAAAGCTGCTTGCGAACTTGAGTATTTATTTTTTGCTACGAAATTTATCTTATTTTTTCGTTTCCCTTTAGTTTCTCCCTTTCTTTTTCTTTATGCATGCCCATTCTTCTTTGTTCTGCACTATCCTTTTAAATGGTCTTAGTCCTTACACGCTTCCCTGGTTGGCGGGCTGTACTGCTTTAGACAAACAAGTGTCAAGAATGCTTTTTGCACGCTTTCCTGAAAGTGCTATTGTAATAGTCATATTTGATGAGGTCCATCTCCATTTATCCAATTTGTAAATGAAAGCGCATTGGAACTACTTAATAGTGCTTTGCTCTTCTCCTATCTTAGCTTTGCGCGTGCTTCCATAATACATTGACAAGCTGCCACGAGGCGAGAAACTTCTCCGGGCGAGAACAAGCTAAATGAAGACTACTTTAGCTTGCAAAATAAGATCAAAGCCCCTAGGGCCGGAGTTTGCGTTAGAGAGGTTTGTCATTTGGGTTTTTTCATGAGTGGCACATAAGATGGTGAGGAGAGTTATTGGGTGTGTATTGTGTATATGTACTTGCACTCTATAAGTGGATGTTTCGAGCCGATAGTGGCTATAAATAGGTGAATTGGTGTAAAATAACAAGTAACGCTATGCAAAGTATGTACGTAACATGTCCTTGAGAGCTAATGTCGGTTTCATCTCTCATTATGTACAAGTAAGAAGACGAGGGACACTCATTCCGCGCTGTATATACTTTAGCTCTCCGCCGCCTAGTTGGTCAGAACGTCAGGCTTCATCCAGTCAAACGTATCAAAGAGTTCAAAGTTAAAGTCGAGCTGCATATCATCAATGGTTTCTTGCTGCCAGCTCACGCCATCGCTACCGGCGTTGAGAACATGGTCCAGCACACGCCTCATGACGGCACCGGTAGTCACACACATGCTGCCGTTCGGCCTAGAAGGATCGATCCACTCGAGAAAGCCAATCAAGAGACTGAGCTGCTGTATAATATTCGACCGTGTTATCGAGGGGTTCTTTGGGTGACAGCCTTTGAAGGAGGAGTTGAGTAACTCCATGCAGAGTATACCTCCACTAGGAGTTGCAAAAGTCATGACCTGGAAAAGCCACAGCGGCGTCAGTATATACTCTCGATTCTTCTCTCGATAGTTTAAACAAATGTTGGGATTGTCTTACCAGCCACTCAAAGTCATCCCTAAAAGAGGCAAAGCGATCTTTATGCGTCCAGAAGAGCAGCGTCAACTCAACAAGTCGATAACTAATAGGCAACAGACTGGATTTGTTCATTTCCCCATGTTTCAATAACAGCCTCTCAATGAGAAAGAGATTCTGCAGTTGCTCAAGTTGTAATAGTATTCTTGCAAATAGTACGGTAATGTTTGAATCGGGATGGGCAATGCCAGACGGGTCGTAGTCTAATGCCGAAGGGAATTCCTTGACGGCTTCAATCTGCCGTTCTTTGACATCTCTACATCCACAAGTTAGCAAGGCTGGATATACAAGACACACTTCATAGGCATTGAACTCACTGGAGGAGAGCACTGGCAACCTTTTGCGTTACTTTGCCAATTCCAATCTCAATCAACTCGTCTCGTAGAAGCGATAGAATATATCTCGCTCGGGTGAAAGTCGCGGCGTATACCTTTCCGTCTGTGTTCCATCCATTTTTATCCAGAGATTTGACAGCTTCTTTGATGGCGTCTCCGCCTTGCAGCAGATCCTCGTCTCGTAGATCAAGGGGAAGGGGGGTAAACGCATATCGATGTGACAATCGGGGTGGCCGACCTGTAAACAGCACCGCATGCTTCTCCCCAACAAACATCTGAGCAAAAAGGAGTCGTCGAGATTCGGAAGCTAGTGATGGTTCGTAAGATGGGAGGTTTGACTCAGCATGTAAACCAAGGAACGTCGCCAAGGCCACCGATTCTGCTCCGGTCCCCCATGAGGAATAGCCTGTTAAGAGTTAGCAATGAGAAAATGGATGCCATGTGACACTTAGTTTCACCGTATACTGGAGCTTTGGAATCACACATTGCGATTACGGGGCTTACACTTACTAGCATCTCCAGTATAGATAGATTCCTTCGTAGAACGGCGCATGTAGAGCTGGGCCAACAGACTATTTGCCGACGCAAACCTCCTGCTCAGGTCGATACAAAGGCCAAGACAGACACGAGAAATCTGTAACCACTGCTTTCCGCCATCAAAATCGAACGCACTATAGGTTTCAGGCACAAAGTATATAAAACTAAAGATCAATCCAACCGACTCCCATCTAAGATTGGGTCCTGTAAATTGCCCAATCCATTTTTCGGCATCCGGCTCGTCTTCTTGAAATGGTTTGGCAGTATTCTCGCTCAGGAAAAGCGCAATCTCTTCAAGTTGGGAGTCTACACGGCAGAGCCCCAGGTAAGGACCGAATCTTTCATGTAATTGGGAGAGTACGCGCATTGCAACCATTCTTAGCCAACCATCTCGATAGAGCGGAGAGTCTTTATTGGCCTCGATGAGGCCCACATTTGGAGCCGGTATACCTCGAAGCACCACGAGGCACATCTCCTTTGTCGGTGAATAACGGTTCCTGAGCTCTTCGACATTCTGTCTCAAGTCATTGCTTGCTAGCTGGGGTAAGAATGCTTGAAACCCCTGAATCATGGACAGGCTGTTTTCAGTCTCCTGCAAAACTGATGAGTGACTGATGTACCCCAAGTACCCCGGCTCTTGGTCTTTTGCTGGGGTAGGCGCCCTGTCCGAGACGAGATGGCTCCCTGGCGTTGCGGTAGTTGAAGCAATTTCGTGGCTGATCGACTGGGTACGGCGTCCACCATGGTCCACGGGTGACTCAAAGGAATAGGCAGTATGCGACGGCCCCAAGGGTGATGTCACCTTTCGGGCGTCATGAATAGGTGTATTGGCCTGTCGCCGAAACTCTGCACGACGCAGTGATCTGTACCCCTCGGCGGATCCAGGCCGCCGGCTCGGCCCCAGTCCGGCCGTGCTCGGAGTAGACGCCTCAACGTGAAGACTGCTATCGCTGCTGTTACTGGTGTAAGTCGTAGTGGCTCCGGCTGCGACACCCGGACCACGCGATGACAGCTTTTTCAAGGATAGCGGCTTTCGAGGAAGTGAAGACGTGTAGACACACTCGTCCTCCTGGCCTCTGCTAATGCAGCGTCTGCAGACCGGCTGCTGGTGATCGCAGGCCACTTTGCGTGAACGGCATGGATCACAGGCTTGCATCCGTCCATTTGGCCTACGGAGCATGACCGGCGGAGACGCTGACTCTGCAGCCATTAGCCCAGGAAGCTCCTATACGCCCTAGCTAGGATCCGGTGCATTTGATAACTGCCGTACGGAGCGAGAGTAATGGAATCCAGCTGAGAAATACAGCAAAGGCGCAAGCATTGGCAAAACAGAGAGAGCCCAGTGCTTGTCAGGAGCAGGTCGTCGGATTTACAAGGCGGCTTCGGGCTCGGGCTCGGGTCGTCGCTCGGAAACACTAGTCACCAACTGAGCAACCACACACAGCATAAGGGCGCAACAAAGTGGACCGAGACTTGAGTCCGAGCCAATCGGGAGGACGCTGGGCCTGGATGCCTTCGTGACGACGACTTACACGCGTGAGAATGCAAGCCACGTATGGGCCACCCAAGCAGGATATTTGGTAGGTCTTCGACTAGCCCGCCAGATGACTCAGAAAACGGAATGGCGCAACCAAGCTTGTCAATCTTGTGGGTTAAGCCGACACATACGAGAATCCTTTTGGCAGGATTAATAAAGTTTGTAGACGGGCTGACTGGAAATGTGCTCCGAGCTTGAATATATATATGGCTGGTGCCCTCCTTGCTGGGACTCATTTACAAATACAACAATCTGAATATCTTGTGAATAAAAACATTCAAACGATTATTCATTCTCAAATCGACTCTCTCCAAACTCACTTTACTCTAAACGCGATATACTCAATCTTACATCTTGTTCAACGACAACTCTTACTCGTCGACATCACTCTATATACGATTCAAGACTATTTCAATACAACAATCGATCGACGAAAACTACATACTCCTACATAGGACCAATTATCCCAATTTCCAAAGTCTCACACAACCATACCAACCATGCCTCTCGGACTCTTTTCAAAAAAGGCTTCCCCCCTGGCTGCTAAGCCTGAAGCAATGTCTTCCGAAGTTACCTTGGTAGACTCGTCGCATCCACGATCGGATAAACAAACTGCAGCTGGTAATGCTCTCGGACTTGACCTTTATCATACACAACCAACGGCATAGCTGACAGGCTTATTGATAGGCCCTAGCAACAAAAAGACAAAGATGACATGGAAAGAGGCTCGAGCGCTGTGTAAAAAAGAGGAAAATTGGGAAGCCAGGGTATGTGAGTCTGAAAACCCCTCTATATATGTATGGAGGTGTCGATACTAATTTTCGAAAAGGTGCAGCTGTATAGTACGCTTTATGGCAAATAAGACTTGCCACAGAGGCCGAAAAACTGGTTTTTGATTATAAGTAATGCTTAATTACGGTACACGATGGGTCGGAGTTTGTTTCAAAAGCACGCAACAGATTGTCTTTCATAATTTCAAACCTCTGCTATCTAATTAAGAGGCTCGCTACACGATTATGGCAAGCTTCTGTCCAAATAGCAAGAGCAGATACCCTTGGAATTAATATACTTGAATTTCTCCATGTCATTAACGTCTTAATCGTTCATTCTTCGAGCATATAGTACCAGAAAAAAGCCGTCTCTTGCTTATTCTGCGAAATTCCTCTGTACAGATACTCATCGTAGCCGCCAAATTTGAATCCGTATCGCTTATAAAAGCGGCATGCGGCGACATTATTCGATTGGGACTCTAGGCGAACTCCAGCAACTCCCAGCTGGCGAGCCCACTTCAACACCTCATCCAGAAGCATCTTACCATACCCCTGACCGCGAATGCTCACATCTAGCACAATCCAACGAATCTCCACCATATTATTCCAAGACCGTGTTGCATGTATGTATCCGTAGACTATTTCATCATCCACTATAGTGAACAGGGCCGCATCGTGGTCTTTGATATTCTCAAACTCGGACTCGTCAAACCCGAAATTTTTTTGTACTGTTGGAATTGGATTGGTCATTATTGTCTCGTCTCGTGTAAGTGCATCGAAGGGCTTGGCTACTTCGGCGGATATCTCAAACGTGAAGTCTCGGCCCGAGATGTCTTTTTTTGTTAGGCTCGTGGCCCTTCGTATTTCCATTCTAGTACACTTGAAGGAGCTTCTCTTTACTAATCCTGGATGCGAAAAGAGTTTGCTAATAAAAATATTAGACCGCGGCCAAAAACCACGGTTTATGGAAAGATTGCGTTAGTTCTGCGTGACGTGGGCGCATCAATTAGTTCGGCGGGCGGATAAGCATACTCTTTACTTAATACGCTACCGGCAATACGCTACCGGCGAGTGAGTCAAGCCGGACTGGCTACGAAACTGCGAGGCTTGGCTACAACAGCTTTCGCAACAACAGTTTTCGGTGCCATGGAAAAACGGACAGCGATAAAAGATGAGGAAGATGATGATTGAGCTTGTACTACTATCATCAAAAAGGGGGGCAAAAGCATGCGGCTTGAGTTTACGCAGTTGATCTCGGAGACGACCTCGGAGACAGCCACAGTCAAGCCGAGAGGTAGCATTGCTATTTTTATACCCAGACTAGTGACGATTCCCGCTGAGTATTCGCGACTCCGAGCCGAAAAAAAATATCAATCATATTCATACCTTGTTAGCTGAGACTCGCTATAGTCGAACTTTAAGCATACACCGTGTGATGTAAGTTTGAATACCGGTTGGCAAATTACATCTAACTTTCAATCCTCTACACTCCGAGCGGTGTAAACACTGTAAACACCTAAGGTATTCACTGCCACCGGTTTCTAGTTATCTTGACAACCACTTCTTGAAACTATTGCATAATTTTCGAAAACCGAACCTTCTCTATTCCATTTCTTTCGTTCTTGTCGCGTTTGTTCAATATAAACATTTTATTACACGCCGTTGGGACCCTTTCCACACCTTAGAGCGAAAGCGGGGATATTCCGCAATGTGGGGTATTTCCGTAGCGGCGGGTTCCGCGAGTTGATATGGAGCTGCTTCTTATCGCGAAAAAAAAAATTACACTACCTGAATCGCAAACTACTGCCGCTGCATTGACCGTCTGAGACATCATTGCATTGCATTTTTTTCTCATGCGAACAAGATCCAAGTCACAAAACACCGATCCAATGGGTCCCTCACTCCCTTCGCGGAAGCGAAAAGAAATCGTCGAAGAGGTTGTCGAGTCCGACGACGAATTTGGCGGCGCTGAACTCGAGGGCATCCTATCGCAAAGCGAAGACGAGAGCGGCGTTGAAGAATCAGACTCGGAGGGCGAAGAGCCCGAACTCGATGAAGATGAAGATGAAGAAGAGGACGAGGATGAGGACGAAGATGTGCGAAGTGACGCCGAGGAGGACAAGATCCCCAATGGCGAGCGCAACAAGAGTGCCAACGATGAGGAAGTAGACGACGACAAACCAAACTACAGAATCGTCAAAGACGCCAATGGAGGCGAGCGCTACGAGTATGAAGAGATCGACCCCGTCTATGACAGCGACGACTCCGATGCCCAGGGCCCAACCAACACCATTGGCAACATCCCGCTCTCCTTCTACGACTCATATCCTCACATTGGATATGACATCAACGGCAAGAAAATCATGCGGCCTGCCACCGGCGAGGCTCTCGATGCCCTGCTGGACAGCATCGAGCTCCCCAAGGGCTGGACTGGCCTGACCGACCCCGAGACGGGCAAGCCGTTGAACCTCAGTCAGGATGAACTGGAGCTTCTAAAGAAGCTGCAGATGAACGAGATTCCTTCTGATGACTATGACCCCTATCCAGTATGTTTTCTTCTTCTTCAGTCTATATCATACAGCAGTAACTAACACAATCCGAACAGGACCTGATTCCCTACTTCACCAGCATCGAGGAAAAGATGCCCCTGAGCGCCGCCCCAGAACCCAAGCGCCGATTCGTCCCCTCCAAACACGAAGCCAAGAGGATAGCCAAACTCGTCCGCGCCATCAAGGACGGCAAGATCCTGCCCTACAGACCCCGCGAGCCGGAGGAGGAAACCGAGGAAGAAGAAAAGTACTACGACATCTGGGCCAACGAGGAGCCCCAGGACCGCCACATCATGCACATCCCCGCGCCCAAGCTGGCGCCGCCCGGCTACGACCTCAGCTACAACCCGCCGCCCGAGTACCTCCCCACGGCCGAGGAAAAGGACGCCTGGGAGAAGCTCGACCCGGAGGAGCGCGAGAAGGAGTACCTCCCCAGCCAGTTCGACGCGCTGCGCAAGGTGCCCGCCTACGGCGAATTCGTCAAGGAGCGCTTCGAGCGCTGCCTCGACCTGTACCTGGCTCCCCGTGTGCGCAAGAACAGGCTCAACATCGACCCCAGCTCGCTGCTGCCCAAGCTGCCGCGCCCCGAGGAGCTGCGACCCTTCCCAACCGTGTGCCAGACCATCTTCCGGGGCCACTCCAGCCGCGTGCGCACCGTCGCCTTCAGCCCGGACGGCGAGTGGATCGCCTCCGGCAGCGACGACGGTACGGTGCGTGTCTGGGCGCTCAACGGCCACCAGGAATGGAGCGCCCAGCTCAGCTCCGCCGACGAGCCCGAGCCCGTCAACATGGTGCGCTGGCGGCCCAGCAAGGAGACCTTCATCCTGGCCGCCGCCGCCGGCGAGGACCTCTTCCTCATTGCGCCCCCAATCGTCAGCGAAGCCATCGAGCAGGCCAGCCGCGATGTCCTCGACGCCGGCTTCGGCTACGCCACCAACGGCGCATCATCATCATCAGCTACAACAGCCGACGGCGCCAAAAAAGAGCCTCCCGCCAAGTGGTCACGCCCGAGCTCCGCCTCCCTCGTCGCAAAGGGCGTCCTCCTCAAGGCCACCGTCCGCTCCACCATCAAGACCATCAACTGGCACCGCCGCGGCGACTTCCTCTGCACCGTCTCGCCCACCGGCCAGCGCAGCTCCGTCATCATCCACACGCTCTCCAAGCACCTCAGCCAAGTGCCCTTCCGCAAGCTGCCCGGCCTCGCCCAGACGGCCCAGTTCCACCCCACGCGCCCTTACTTCTTCGTCGCCACCCAGCGCATGATCCGCTGCTACGACCTGCAGCGCCAGGAGCTCCTCAAGGTCATCCAGCCCGGCGCGCGCTGGATCTCCTCCATCGACGTCCACCCGGGCGGCGACAACCTCATCGTCGGCTCCTACGACCGCCGCCTGCTGTGGCACGACCTCGACCTGTCCAACCGCCCCTACAAGACCATGCGCTTCCACCCAGAGGCCATCCGCGCCGTAAAGTTCCACCGCGGCCTGCCCCTCTTTGCCGATGCCAGCGACGACGGCTCGCTGCAAATTTTCCACGGCAAGGTTGTCAGCGACTTGATGGAGAACGCCACAATTGTGCCTGTCAAGATGCTGAGGGGCCACAAGGTGGAGAAGAAGCTGGGTGTCATGGACGTGGATTGGCATCCCAAGCACCCTTGGATTGTGAGTGCTGGTGCCGACATGACATTAAGATTATGGGCGTAAGGGAGAGAAAGAAAGGAAAAGGAAATGTAGTATTTGTTTTTTGTAGTTTAGGTGAATACGGTAATAAAAGTGCATATATAGAATTGCCAAGTAACAACATCATCCAAGCAAATCTTGTGTATCTAAGGTATTATTTCATCAAGGGATTTATTATAGTCGTCACTTTACTTCATATTCCAAGGCACCAATAAATTTGTGAAACATAGGTATTACTATAAAAGCAAACTAACTCAAGTACCATTTGTCATTGTTGACAATTCATCGCCTTTTGTCCCAACCCTTTCCATCCCCCATAATTCGTAAAATAAAGCAAAAGACAAAAAGTCCTCGTTACCTCTCTACATCTTACAATTGACGACCACCTCCCTCGCCATGGCCATCATATCTTTTGACCTGCGTTTGGTCTTGTATAAAGTGCATCTACCGTGCGTTGCTAGACACTTTAAAGCTCATTTCTAAGCTTCTCGCCCTTCTTCTTAGCTTCAGCCTCGGCCTTGACAACCTCCTGTTTGGCAACCTCGCTGCCAATGTTGAGCTGCTTGGCGATCCAACTCCAACCATCCTTGGCTGTCTCTCCGATCTTAGCAAGGATAGTGCCTCCGGGAGAAGAGGAGCCATATCTGAAGTATGTAGACTGCTTGCGCGCCTCTGCTTTGAGCTCATCAATCTTGGAACCCTGGGGGACAGGAACTCCGTAGCTGTCGAGATAGGCTTTGAGGTCACTCTCAGACCAACCATCAAAAGCATCCTGCTTGGCAGAAGCGGTCGCGGACGCAAGGTAGCTGGTAGCAGACGCGTATTGTGCGCCACCGGCCGATGAGGCGGATGAATAGGCAGACTGGGCCGCACTCACAAGTTCCTCGCGGGTAGCGTCCTTCTTCTTGGCCGCGGCCTTTGCGGCGGCGTTTCCGTGCTTGCTCAGGTAGTTCTTCAAGTTGTCGTAGTTGTAGTCATCAAAGTTCCACGCTTGCCAGCCAGAAGCTGCCTTGTGCGCGTGCTTTCGAACAAGAGCTCGAAGCTCATCGGTCTTGCTGGCTTGGGGGACAGGGACACCACGGGCATCAAGATAAGCCTTGAGTCGGCTATCTGACCACTTGTCGACGGCCTGGTCGAAGGCATCCTGGGCGGCAAGTGAAGCGCTGTCAGTTGCCTTGGCATACTGGTTCTGAGCGTTGGAAGTAGCAGCGCCAAAAGCAGCCTTGACGCTGGCGCCAACAGTGTCGCCCAAGATGTCAGCGCGGTGTTTCCGAACAAGAGCTCGGAGTTCATTAAGCTTGGTGCCCTGAGGGACAGGAATTCCGTTCTTGTCGCAGAATTCCTTGAGCTGTGACTCGCTCCAGGCGTCAATAATGGTGTCTGTGAGATATTTGTAGGCAGCTTGGATCTTAGCGGAGGCGCTATTGGCTTCCTCCTGAGACTTCAGGTATGCAAGTCGAGAGTTGCGGCGAACCGAGGCAATCAACTTGTCTCGAGTGGTTGGCTGAGGGGCAGGGAAGCCGTTCTTGTCAAGCCATTCCTTGAGATCGGATTGAGACCAGGTGGAGTAAAGCCAATCGCCAGGATAGGCGGCAGTCTCTCCAGCTTTGTCCGCGACGGTCTGATAGCTCTCACGAGCCTTTTGCAGTAGAGTATCACGAGTACGCGGCTGAGGAACTATACATTGAGCCTATGTTAGTGTCCACTCTAGGTTTCAACCTGCACACATGAGATAGCTATATGCTAGAGGTTGCATACCTGGAATGCCATGTTTGTCACAGAAAGCCTTGAGCTGTGAATCGGTCCAAGAGTCGAGAATCCAATCCTTGACACTGGCCCAACCCGCATTGGCAGAATCCTCGGTTTCATACCAGTTCGTTTTCACATGAGAGAGCAGGCTGTCCTTGTTCTTCTGGGCCTCTGATGCCACGTCGTTGCCTCGAGCTTGCAAGTATGCGCTCAGCTGGGATGTATCCCACTTGTTGTAAGGCTCCACGACGTAGTCGTTCCAGTTCTTCGAGACAAGATCCTCCAGGTCCTTGCGGTCAGCTGGAGTAGGGTATGGAATATTCTGGTCAGACAGCCATCGCTCAAGCTCCGTCTCATGCCACTTGTTGTAAACTGCGTCACCTAACGTCAGCTTTCGTCAGAGGTGTTCATTTCCGTCGCCTGCTGTGTAGATAATCTAGAGATTTCTACAGACAGAATCTCAGACTTACTGGACTTGGAGCCAGGGAACCAGGTGCTCGCTGTAGCTCCCGAGAAGGCGAGTCCAACGACGAGGAGATCTCGAAGTCGCCACATGGTTGCAGCAGTGCCGATGCTTATTGGGATGCCCAGCAGGAGTGTTCAGTGAATTCGTCAGTTCACCTACGCACTATTTGTTGTGTCTGTTGATTTTCCAGGAGTCGTGAAGATGATTTTCTAATAGGAGAATTGTTGTGTGCAGAAGTTGAAATAAAGTATGACAAGAGGGGAGATGGCGAATTTAGAAGGCTGGCAGCTGTGAAGAGGAAATGAGGTAATGGCCTGCTGTTGAACACTTTTCGATCACGTCACTTGCATGACACCAAACATGAAACTTGCACCTGCCCAAGGTGCTTTCACAAGCTTCACGAGCTCCAAGTACCTGTGTCTGCCTGTACCCGCCAACTGCGCGCCATTCGCCTGCATCCACGCGTACTGAATGACAGCAATACATGCTGCGGGTGCCACTAAGCTCCATTGCTTGCCTGGTATCCCAGATCGGGGATGCAATCGAGATAATCCTGGCCACTCAGCTTGCAGTTTGGCGCTGATTGACAATGAGCTTAACTTTGGTCGCAATCACAATGACGTAGCTGTTGACGGTGGTCAATGTGGGGGGAACAACGCCGATCTAGCAGGAGGGAATGGTCCGGGCTAGCATCGGCCGTCGGGAGCTACCCTGGAGATGATACAGCTTCCTTGTTTTTTTTACAGTACAAGCTCATTTCGCTTATGCCATCTATCCGAATAAGAAGCTTAAAAATGAGAAATTATTGATCTATTTAGAAGCTGCTATATGGTTTGTTCCAACTAGTGGATGATACCAAGGCCCATGCTCCAGTGTAGACGACTAATTTATCCTTGGGTTACATGGTCTCATTTATGCTTAAAGACTAAGTGCCCAAGCTCAAGTAAACCTCTAGCACAGTTACACAAACATCAAATTACAGACAAACATAATCCATGCTAATTAGGGTTTTTTTTGTTCTTTTCACGATACTCTATTCGCTTTGCACCAGAGGCTCCCGTCTCATCTACTGGGTTGGTTTGCCTCTGCCAGGAATTTGGCTGATTACACGCGTCCTCCCAGGCCTTGACTTTTCCCCCTCTATGCCAATACCACACGCCGTATCAGACGCCATCCACCGCCTCTACATTGGACAAACAAGAGCTTGCCTCCCATGATCCTCCGCTGCAAATGTGAGAAAACCAGATTATGCGTAAAAGTTGACAGTCTAGAGTAGAGCATATTAGTAAAGCACGCACTGACAATGATACCCCTGAAATTTTTGTTGATGCTTACATCCTTCTTCTTGGCCTGTACTTCGGCGATGGCATCGACGTAGTGCTCGTGGCCGATTTGGTTCTTTCCTGAGCGCAGGGCAATCATACCAGCCTCAACGCAGACTGCCTTCAACATGGCACCACCAAACTCGTCCGTGCTTCGAGCAAGCTCACCCCAGTTGACGCCGGGGTTGACCTTCATTTTGCGTGAGTGGATTTTGAGAATCTGTGCGCGGGCCTCTTCGTTTGGCAGAGGGAACTCAATCTTGCGGTCCAGACGTCCAGATCGTAGCAGTGCAGGGTCGAGGACATCGACTCGGTTGGTGGCGGCCAAGACCTTGATACGGTCGTCGGAGGCAAAACCATCAAGCTGGTTGAGCAGCTCTAACATGGTTCTCTGGACTTCTCGATCACCGCTCTTCTCGCTGTCGAATCGCTTGGTACCAACGGCGTCGAGTTCGTCAATGAAGATGATTGCCGGGGCCTTTTCCTTGGCTAGGGCAAAGCAGTCTCGTACAAGCTTGGCTCCGTCACCTATGAACATCTGCACAAGCTGAGGTCCTGCAAGCTTCAGGAACGTTGCCTCCGTCTGAGCCGCGCAGGCTCTGGCCATGAGAGTCTTTCCGGTACCGGGGGGGCCGTACATGAGAGCACCTATCATGATTATCGTTAGCATTGTGACTGTCCTGGAAAACTCATTGCCTTTTTTTTTTGGGACCTGGTACTACCTTTTGGTGCCTTGATACCAATCTTCTTGAATCGGTCCGCCTCCTTCATAGGCCATACGATAGCCTCCACCAACTCTTCAATCTGCTTATCCAGACCTCCAACGTCGGTGTACTGTTCTGTCGGCTTCTCGTCCACCTCCATGGCCTTGACTCGACTGTCATACTCAGCGGGTAGCGTGTCCAAAACCAGGTATGAGTCCTTATTGACACCGATGAGGTCACCTGGCTTGAGAGTGTCGGAATCAACGAGGCCAATCAGCGGCAAGAAGATGGTTTGTCGTGTGGAGGTCTTGATGACGGCAGACTTGCCGACTCTAGTAGCGTCGAGGTCGATATTGGCTCCTTCTTCGGAAGACTCAGCAGTAGGATCTAGATCTAGTAATTCAACAACGTTCCCGACCAGGTATGGCAGTTGTCTACACGTCACGCATTGGGAGTTAGCTACATGACAAATGCTTGAAAACACCAAGCGAGCAGCTCGTCGTTTGGCAAAGCTCGTGGGGAAACGTGCCTGTTGTTTGCGATTTTGTCCATGTTCTCCTTGATCTTTTCACCCATGGCGGCCTTCTCGTGCGTTAACCTCGAGAGCTCGCTCTTCATGATCCGAGAGTCGTTTTCAAGTAATCGCTTCCGAGTCTGAATGTCTTGTGTGCTTAGGCTTAGGATCTCCTCGTCGAGGATGTCGTCCTTGTCCTCGGCATCCTTCATTTCATCGTCCTCGTCGGCAACAGTAGCCTTCTTGTCATTGTTCTCTCTTCTCTTCTCCTCCTTCTCCCGGCGGTCGAGATCATCGAGCTCTTCGAGGGTCGACATGATGGCAGGGGGCCCTCAGCTGGGTGAGTCGGTCGTTTGTATGAGGATTATGGCTATGAAGCAGAAAGGAAAAAGCAACTTGAAATGCGAATTGAGAATGGATTTCTCGGTATCGATGGGGGATCGCCTTGTAGAATGCTAAAGAAGGAATTGGCACTAGCTCCAGCAGTTGCTCTCGGCCAGCTTACAAGAGGCTGAAGCTGCAGGGCACCAAGTCCAAGCAGGTTGAGGTGTCGCGCGCAATCAGTCTGGGTGCCTGGTAGCTCAAAGCGCCAAGTACTGGGAGGTAGCGCTGAGATAGTGCTGGGCGGTAGACCGCGCAAAGCGCTGCCCCTCTGTACTTGGCAGTACATTTGATGACAATTTCAGTGTCGGAACGGCGGGTAATTGATCCGACATCGCCGGCGCTGGTGGGGCCACTTGAAAGTTCGCGAGAGATGCTTTCTCAATATTCTAGTCTCAATAGCCAGTCTGGGTCAATTTATGTAAGTTTTTCGCGCCAAATTTTGCGCTGCGTAACTATCGAGACTAATTCCAGCTAGAATGACAAGAATATTAAGCAGAGCGGCGAGGCCGTGCCTCCGACGGCTCAGCTCAGAGACCACAAATCTTCGAGGGGCCTTCTCTCTCAGCTCATACGCCCACAACTTCTCGACATCAGATGCTCAGCATGCGACTCCCGGCTTGCGATCCGTTCCCGAAGGCGCTCAGCCGCCTATCGAGATTGCTCCCGCAACAAAACCCCCCAGCGCGCGACCAATTGATACCCGAAAGAGTCAGATGATTCGAACATATACTTCGCTGCTCCGTACCACGCCCCTCATCCTGTTCTTCCAGCACAGCAACCTCACAGCAGTGGAGTGGGCTGCCGTAAGGAGAGAGCTGAAAAAGGCATTGGACGGTGTCCCACCAGTGAATGCCATTCCAGGCGCTGAACCTGTGGATCTTTCTTCAAAAGTACAGCTGCAAGTGCTGAGGACCAACATGCTGAATGTGGCCCTGAAGCTTGTGGAATTCTACGACCCCGAGACTGCGGCTGCCTCAAAGACTACGCCTCGAACATCCAAAGGACCGGTAGTTCACGATCTGTCAAAGGCTGCTTATGAGCAGATCAAGACCGCCGAAATCTCACCCGAGTCTGCCTACGCCCAGATTGAGCCTCTCATGGTTGGACCCCTAGCCGGCCTTATCATTCCTGCGGTTTCTCCAGCACACGTCGCAGCAGCCTTGAGTGTTCTCGCCCCGGTCTCTGGAAAATTCCCTGCCCCGACTCGGAGGAAGAACCCCGGATACTACGATCCCACTTTCCAAAACGGCTTGGCGAAGCTGGTGTTAATAGGAGGCCGCATTGAAGGCAAGGTCTTTGACCAGGCAGGAATTCACTGGGTCGGTGGTATTGAGGGTGGTCTTGACGGCCTTCGCGCGCAGCTGGTGGCCATTCTCCAGGGCGCAGGTCTGGGCATCACATCCACACTGGAGGGCGGCAGCCGCAGCTTATGGTTGGCTCTGGAGGGACGAAAGGAGCAGTTGGACGAAGAATCAAAGAAGGATGCGCCTGCGGATACATCTTCGTAGATGCTTGTATTATGGAAACGAGCGAGACGAAAATTGGACAGCGGTTTGGATATAAGGCTGTAAAAAAGTTATTAAACGTGTACATTACTACAGATGTATTCATAGAAATGCATAGCATGACGAGAAACTCGTAAAACATATTAGTCTCATTCCAATGCTGTGTGAAATCAGTCTCGAGGGTTCAACTAGACAAATGCGCATACATATGCCGGAGTATCATTGATTGTGTGCGGTGGTTTATATGAAAATTGCCTCGAAAGGAGGGCAATACGCGTATTTAGCAGCTCTCAAAGAACATGTATGCATTGGTAGGCAATTTCAGATTTGACATGGTATATGAGATGAGAAATTAAAGATACCACAGTCTTCTAGTACCATCATTCAATTGAAAGCTGGTTTATAAAAAGACGTTTTACCTCCACCTCTTCGTAGCCATATCCTCTCGTCTTTGCACTTATGGCGATTTATCTGTCTAGGTGTCATATAAATACTAATGTTAAATACAAAGACAATAGAATACACTCTTCAAGATAGGTAAAAGTTGATTGCTTGCTAGCTTAATACTCCCAAATATCTTACATATCCCTATCTCTATGCCAGCTCCAAAACAAGCAGCTGGATATTCGCATTCAATGTTCACATCGGCTCGTCCCAATCGCCCTGTAGTGGGTACCGTATCAGCTGAGGTACGTCACCACAGCCGCCAGTCGCCAGCGGGCACGGACCCTTCCGCCCTCCATCTCTGTTAATGTTTAGCATCCATCCCACGGAGCCCACTTTCAGCACTTTAAGCCCTGGTAAACCGCTAAATGCTACCCTCTGGGGCAGCCCGTTTAGGTCCCTAGCAGCTTCAAGGCCTGCAGCGCCTCCAATAGCAGCGGCTCATGTGATGTCGGCGCAATCAATCAACCTCCTCCACCTTGTGTTTATTCAACGACTACCTACCAGCTAACCATTGCCCTCGCAAACACCTCATTCGATCGATTTTTTCTCACAGCCGCATGTTTTTGATTCAGTGGCCTTGAGCTGGTACTCTTCCGATTCGACGCTCATTCGCCTCTGCTCGATCCAGCCAGCCTCGTCTCGTGCTACTCCCTCCACCACAAGGGTAGCTACGTAGCTACGCCAAGCTATCCCAACCTCCAAACTCCAACCTCCAACTCCTCAACACCAAAACCAAAATCAACACCACAGCCATGGACTTTGCGCCCTACCAATCCTCCCCCCCAGAGCACACCCGCTCGCCAATGTCCTCCCCGCGCGCCTCCGCCGACATCGCGCGCCGGCCCTTCTCCCCCTCCGCCATCGCCTCCGTCGCGCGCAGCCCGCCTCCACTGCAACACCCGCAGCCGCAGCGAGCTTGGAGCGGCGACCTCGACGGCGCGGCCAGCAGGCACGGCAGTAATAACGGCGGCCTGTGGGGGCTCGGCAGCGGCAACAGCAGCGCCAACGGCACGCCGCTGGCCATGCCCGGCGCATATCCCGCCGAGATTAGCGAGTTCGACACGAGTCTGGGCCTGAGGCTGGATTACGAGGCGAGTCTGGCGTATCTGGCGTTTCCGCCCATTGGGGCGGTGATATTGTTGATCTTGGAGCGGAATAGTGACTATGTCAGGTACTGTGCTCCCACCCTTACTCTATACTAACTACCCATACCTATGTATATAACATACAGCATTGAAGTCAGCCAAATGACTGACAATTTTGATTTGAATGTATAGATTCCACGCCTGGCAATCCGCTCTCCTCTTCACAGCCATCATGGTCTTCCACCTCCTCTTCTCCTGGTCCTCCTTCCTCAGCTGGATATTCTTCATTGGGGACCTAGTCCTCATGGGCTTCCTTGCTCTCAAAGCATATCAAGACGCAGAAATACTCGAAAGGTACACACGCAAGCCCTTCTTTCTAAATCATCAGAGATAAAGTTACAAGTTCAAAGGCTAATTGATATCTCATCCCGACATATAGGTTCGAAGTTCCCTTTGTCGGAAGTATAGCCAGTAGATGCCTAGATGACGAGTAGACGAAGCTATGTCCACTTCATTTCGTTTGTTTGTTTTCTTGTTTTCTGTCTGGATTTTATTTTTTTGGGGCGGTTCGGTTCGGTTCGGCTATGGTTTTCTCATTGTTTGCGATTTGGTGGCACCGAGTTACGTTTCAAGCTATATCCTGTCTCTACTTTATACCCTCTCTTACGCTCCAATGATCTCTCTACATGTGGGCGATCCCATCAGGTTGCTCTGCCACCATGTATCTCGCACCCTCTTCCGTGCATCTTTGACCACATTTCTCATAATATTCGGAGAAGATTCACCTGTCTACTTTCGACTAGAGTCAAAAGTATTTTTTTCCCATACCTAGGTACTACACACATATATATTGGCATCCCTAGGGTGACGCTACTCGCCCAGCTGAGCGGGTATATCATATAAAACATCGCTTTGCCGCTGTGGCATGACTTATCCCATTTTCAACTTTCCCTCATCTCTGTTCGCTCTGTTCGCTGTTCGCCAACCATATTGCCCTATTGAACCCAAGGTGTGCAAGTTTCCGCTGATTCTTCTATCTGGACAAAACACCTTTGACCGCACCTTTGACCATTGGCTTCTCTTCAAACACCACCTCTTGGATCTTGTTCCCTTCTCCACCAGTCCCTTCTTCCAGCCACTTGCCCAGCAGATCGTTGCTCTCCTTCGGCTTCACCGCATCATCTCGCGTTCCGACCGTGATATGCGCAACGCGGTTGACGCACTCCCATTTGCCCTCCCCATCGACAATGCGCACAACAATGGCCATGATGCGATCGTCAAACACAACCTGTTTAAACGGAGGGGGAAAAGTCAGTCAATTGAATGTCATAGTTTCAGTGGATTGATTTAGCAAGAGATCACTTACCCGCTCGAGCATCACGTCGCAGTCACCCAGCTTAGCATCGCCTCCACTCGCGGCTTCATGAAGCTCCTTATATCGCTGCCATAGCTCTGGGAACTGGTCCTTTGTAGCTCTGTGCATCAACGTGACGTGGAACTTGCGCTGCACTCTTCTCGTGTTCTTGAGCTGCCAGTAAAACTTGGACGTCGCTGGGCCGACTTCCTTAAATGATCTTTCGAGGAGTTTGTTAATAGAGTCAGTGGGTACTTCTACGGACATGTACTCCAATGACCTCTTCTTCGGTGGCTTCTGCTGCTGCTGCTGCTGCTGCTGGCCAGCCTTAGCATCCTTTCTTCCGCCTCTGTCGGGGATAGTATGTCTGAAATTAGGTTTGTAGTTTAGGGCAAAGTCCATAGCCTCATCGAGTTTCTCAGAGCTTGGCATTTCTTTGACCACGTTTGGCAGTGATAGATTGAGCTCTTTGACCAATGTCTCGAGATTTTGTCTGCTATCAACCGTAGGGTCTAGATCGATGACAAGCTCGAATCCGGCATCCGGCGCAGAGTTGGGATTGCATTCCTCGAATCGTTTAATGAAACCTTCCATTACTTCGAGGAACTTGTCCTGATTTGAAGCCGCCTGGATTGTCTGGTGATTGTCTCCTCGCTCAATAACACGATCCTGAGTCACGCGTCGGATATCATCAATGGACTCTTCGTCATGTCGAAAGTTTAGGCAGACAATTCGAGTCCCTGGGCTCTGCGTCTTGACATCGCCGATGAGCTGCTTTCTCTCGTGCTTCTGCGCGTTGTTGCGATCTGCAAAAACAACAGGGTGCTCCTTCAACTGGTCCATAAGTGCCTTGACAAATCGCGGTGGCCGACCTTTGCCTGAGATGTTATCATTCTGAATGTGGCCCCAGCCAAACAGGTGCGTCAATGCCAGAGCAAGAGTAGTCTTTCCGCAGCCGAGGGTCGCAATAGGTGCCAAGATTACGTCCTTGGTAACCTCTGACATGATGATGCGATCAAATCCTTCAAGGTTGGCAGCCTCTGATCCCTTGATGTTTTTGTATGCCAAGAAGTCGTCTCGCAGCTTGATGATTCCATGATTTTGATTGTATTCTTTGGAAAGTTTCGGATTGGCTGCCAGCTGTCGCCGGGCAAAAAGGAGATACTCCTCCGTGATTTTCACGTGTTTCTTAAACTTGGCTTGTTTGCCCGCAATGACGGCTTTAGTGCATTCACGCCACTGTCGGTACATCAGGTAGGGCTCCTCAAACTTGTACTTGAAGAACCAGTCTTGAAAAGGCTGCTCGGCAGGGTTATGTGACATTTTGCATCGAATGACGAACCCCTCAACGTCGCGGCCGTCATAGGCTCCCGTTTTAGCGACATCCTCCAAGAACGTCTTGACCTCGTCTATATTCTCCTTGATCAGCAGGTCTGTCTTGATAAAGCCCCACTGGCTTGCAAACTCCTGAACCAGATTACTTGGGTAAGTAGCAAATTCGGGGAGGTTGAGGTTGATGCCGTGAAGGTATAGCCCGGCCTTGTCATCCTCGTAGGCCAGAATGTGTTCTTCAAACGAGTCGTCGCAAAGCTCTGCTACGGCAGTGATATTCCGGGAGTGTAATTCCCTTGCAAGGTCCTCCTTAGTCTTGCCAATGGCGGCCAGCTGCTTCTCTATCCGAATCTCTCCGGCACGAGCATGGCTGAGCTCGACATCGCTGCGGTCGCCGGTAGAGTGTTTGCTGCAAACAAGAAGAGTGTCATCCTCGAGGCCAGCCACGAAGATGATGCAGCCATTCTCCTTTAGAGTCAATTCGTAAGGCCCCTTTGTGTTCTTCTGAATCACGTCCCACTTGGTCTCGTTGACCTCGTTGACGTTGAAGAACTTGTCGTAGCCTCGGACTGCGATCTCGGGTGCGTTTCTCCTGGTTTTGGTGGTGAATAGGCCGCGAGCATATGTAGGAAGCCCCTTGCGCTTATAGTCCCAGTCCTGCATTCTCCATGAGTCCACCTCGATGCCGTCTTGGGATTGCTTGACTGAAAATGTAGTCTTTTTGCAGGAGAATCCGCCACGTCGTTTGTCTTTCCTGGCCGCGTCCAGAGCCGAGATCATCTGAGAGACGGCCGACACATCCTGAGGCGTGTACGGGGCTGCCATCTTTGCACTTTGGGCGTTTTCAGTGTTGACCAACTTAGTCGCCGTGATTGCGTTGTGAAGGCTGAATGAGAAGAAGCTGTATAGTCGAAGTCGAAGTCTGGGTATTATATTCATACACCGGCTTCCCAGCTAGCTTTTTGCAGATGATGCTTGAATGGTCTGTCTAGAATCCAGTCCTCCAGTCGCTGCTATGCCGCCGTTTTTAATCTCGAGAAGCTCGTCTCAAACAAGGATACACTTGCTAGCGGTGCCTAACACTGCCCTCTTTTTGCTCAGCCCTGGAAGGTTTGGTGAGTCAGACGCATAAACAGACTCAGAGTTACTCCTCACCGAAAAGCTTAGGTCATGCACAGACCCGCCACAGGAAAGAAGCGCCCAGATCGAGATTGGCTGTCTTTGTCCTACGTGCCTCACAAGTCAGGCCAGACGGTGGCAAGAGCGAGTTGATGGGTCAAATTTGATGTGTTGAATTATTTTACTTTCAATATTTTACTTCAAGCTCCTCTAGCTCTAAGGTGGTGGGTCAACAACCACTCCCGCTGCTGTATAGAGGCTCCAGTGGGCTTTAGGCAGCACGTCCAGTAGAAGCCGCCCTACAGCGATCCCTAGCCCTGGCCTGCGGCTGATGGCAGGGATGTCACCAATCTGCCTTACTTGGATAGTGGGGGGAGGGGTCAAGTGGCAGCGCTCAGATTTTCTCTTCCGCAAAATTCAGAGTCTACCCCTCTATAATAGCCGCTAACACAACGCGAGAGCTTCTTTTCTTCTAAGCTACCTGTACACACTTTCAAGGAACAAGCATCCATCAACCATCTGCCGTACAAGCTCAAGAAGGAAATCATCATGGCGTCTTCAAATCCATTTCTCCTGGCAGCCGACAACAGCCCTGCGCTGCTGCCTCTCCTCCGAGAAAAGCCTGCGCTGGCATCGGCCCAAGACGAGCATGGCTACTCCCTTATCCATGCTGCGGCCAGCTACAACCACCTCGACTTGCTCCGAACGCTGATCCAGGAATTCAAAGTCGATGTCAACATCAAAGACGAGGACAACGAAACTGCTCTGTTTGTTGTCGAGACTCCCGACGCTGCCAAAGCCCTGGTCGAGCTGGGCGTGGACGTCATGCACCGAGGCGTGGAAGGATTTACAGCGAGAGAGAAGATTGAGGGAGAAGCCGACTTCCCAGATGTTGCCGCCTACCTAGCCACTATTGAATCTGACAAGGCCGGAGAAGAACTCGAGGCTGCTGCTGCAGAGATTGCGAGGAACGCCCCCGAAGGCATGACAGTCACTGTTGGCACCATGGACGAGACGCAGGATATTCCCGCCGAGTTCGACCCAGAGTTCCGTCGCAGGATCGAAGAGTTAGCGCAGCGAGAAGACTTCAACACTGCCGAGGGCCAGGCGGATCTGCGCAAGCTAGTGGAGGAGGCTCTCCTTGATCAAGGGCTGTCCGAGGAGCGTAATGTGCGATCTAAGCAAGCCTAAGCGTTTCTGTTTCAATCCAGACTCTTAATCTCCCACATGAGGAATTCCCCTGAGCTTTCGGGTGGCCGAAGAAAGGTCAACTCGCTGCATCCGCCGAGAATATTGCGGGAGAAGGTCGTTGCGCTAAACGCGAACCAAGACTGTGAAGGGCAGTTGGTGACGATGTCGACGAATAGACCACGTAGCCAGCTCGAGGATAGAAATCCTTGCCAACTTAGCTTACAGACCTGCGTTTGGGCGGTGGAACTATCGGCTTCTGGCGGGCTATATCGAGAGAGATACGGGTCGATGGCGTCCCCAGTTACAATACGAGGGCTCTCAAGTCGAACAAGCGACAGCCACTCATACATTTCCGTTGCAGAATATTCCAGAGACTCGCGATCTCCTTGAGCGAGGATTGTGGAAGGTATTCTGAGAGATGTCTGGTTGATTCCGGTATCTGTAGCTAGCCTCGGTGCAGATATTATCTTTGTTGCCCCAAAGCTCTCTAACAGATCTATGTTCAGGTCTATAGGAATTAGTATCTAATGCATAGTTGTGCCACATAGAGAATAGGCTAGTAGCAAGAGTGCTGAGAAGCAACGTAGAAGCTTACCAGAGCTGGAGGCGTTGCAGACAAGCCATTTCATAGGCTGGTTCAATACATTTTTGCATGCATACCCCAATCTATCGAACTTCTTTCGTCCGTGTACCATTGACTCTTCTCTGAGATTGTATGATACTTCTGAATGGTAGATTAGTATCCACGCAAGCCCGAGCATGTATAGGATTCGGAACATACTCCACCTGGGCTTGGATCCCCGGTCGCCTTTGATGCCATGAGGCTTTCCCTCAAGTCCAGCGCGTTCATATGTCTCCCTATCAAGGTAGATATTGAGAATTCCCTCTCGAAGGGTGAAGAGCTGACCCATGGCTGTTTTGCCCTCTGAGAGCATCATTAAATTTCCTGCTGGGCATTAGCTTTGAAGACGCCGAAAGTAATGCAATGATGCAACCAAGATTTTTAGCATAAAGGAGAAACGAGTAATGTTTACGCACCGAGCTTGATATACTGGGTAAGAAATTTCGTTTCTAATATCTGGCCAAGCGACATGGTTACTCTATAATAGGAGGGCGACTCGCGCTCAGCCATCTTTTGAACAACAACATCATATATGTCCTGAGGAATGATCAAATCAACCTATTTCGAGTCAGCATTTCATGAATAAAGTAGTTGAAAAGATGAGGTGATCAACCTTGTGGATGAAGTCGAGCTCAGATATGGCCGTCCAAGGCTTCCCTTTGCTCGGAACCTGCTTTGGATCAACGTGACCCATTGTGCCGTACGTGACGAAGCATGTTGGCGCCTGATATATTGACGGAGCCTGATGTAACATGATTGAATCGGACAGTGTACTGCGTTGACGTGGGCGGCTTGAGAATGAAGACGATGCTCTATATGAATTGCCGCTTCTTTTGTTTTCAGAGCCGGAGCTTTAGTTGTTAGAGCCGATTTTTAGAGGGAGAAGCTAAAAGTGGTAGAAATGAATGGGACATGCAGGTACAAGGTACTTGTGGCTGGCTCCCGCTGCACGCCTGATTAAGACTCATAATTTTTTTTCATCTTTTTTTTGGCGGGGCTACTAAAAGACAATTCTTGTATACAAACTTTTATATACAATAAAGAGACAAGATCTCATTACTCTCACTTTCATTAAGCATTACGGTAATTGTATTAAAATTGAAAAAAAAGTGAACATTACTCATTTCCTCTCTTAGATTTCATGATTATCACTTTGTGAATGATAGAGAAAAGGAGCACACGGCTATCTAAAAAAACCGCCCATCTTAGAATTTCACACATACACCCTGTCTCATTTGAAGATACCCTGAAATTTCACACGCCTCGGCAGCTGCACAAAAGTTCAAAAGGAAACGAGTATACGAATACTGGACTTCAAAATGGATTTCCTCATCAAGTTTGCTTCCGAGCATGAGTCCTTCAGGCTCCCCGAAATCGAAGCCCTCGCCGTCCTCGAGGGCGTCGACCTCAAAATCAAAGAATATAGCAGCGAGGTAAGGAGAAGCAGGCCGATTCATATCGAAATCATCACTGACATGCCACAAGTCTCCATTCTGCGTCGTTCAACTCCCATCCGTCGAAGACGCAAAGAAGCTGCTCCGGCGCTCAGTCATGGCTCACTCAATACACGAGCTCTGGGGAACAGGCCCAACCCTCGAGGCTCTCCACGAAGCCATCAAGTCGCAAACATCCCATCTCTGGCCCCAGTACAAGGAAACCTCCTTCAAATTCATCGTAGACTCCTACCAAGGCGCGCACTCCAACAAAGACCGCCTCGCCCTCATCGACTCCTTCAGCTACCTCCCCTTTGACGGGCCCATCCGCATGTCCAAGCCGGACAACACATTCACCGTCTTCGAGCTCTGGCCCTTCAACAGCGTGCCTCTCAAGATTGAGCATCCGGACAGCATCCGCCTGGGCCGCTTCGTCGCCACTTCTGCCCGCGACATCATCCATAGGTACGACCTCAAGAAGCGCAAGTACATCTCCACCACCAGCATGGACGCTGAGCTTTCCCTCGTCACTGCAAATATTGCCCACGCAGCGCCGGGGAAGCTCTTTTACGATCCCTTTGTCGGTACGGGATCGTTTCCCATTGCCTGCGCGCACTTTGGGGCCATTGGCTGGGGCAGCGATATCGATGGACGAAGCATGCGCGGCGAAGGCGACAAGAAGAAGAGTCTGCCTGGCAATTTCACTCAGTACGGGCTGAAGCCACAGCTGGGAGGATTCTTTTCGGCGGATTTGACGAACACGCCTATCAGACGACGGAGAATCTGGGACGGAGTCGTTTGTGATCCACCTTATGGCGTTAGAGAAGGATTGAAAGTTCTCGGACTAAAGAACCCCGAAAATGCCACATGGCTCATCGAGTTGGGTGTAAATGAGTGGCAGTAAGTATTTTATCCCTTCTCAGAGCTATAAGCCGACGGCTGACAAGCTGCCTGTCAAGATCACCAGATTACGTCCCCCCAAAAAAACCATACAGCTTCCTCACCATGCTCGACGACATCCTCGCCTTTGCATCAGACACGCTTGTAGACAACGGCAGACTCTCATTCTGGATGCCCACAGCAAATGACGAAGAGCAAGAAATTCCCGTTCCAGCTCACCCTTGCCTCGAGGTAGTCGTAGTATGCGTCCAAGTTTTCAACAAATGTACGTACTTATCCCTTGACACACCCCTTGATCTTTCATCCCTCTTTCTCGCTTCCCGCTGCATCCTGGATGTCATTGGGCTAACTTCTTCGCCAGGGTCAAGAAGACTGATCACCTACCGACGACTGCCAGACTCTCAAGTCTCAAAGTCTGATCTTGAAGCACATGAAAGACAGAGGGCCGAAGCAGCAGCCGCAAACACAGGCACGACAGCAGACGACCTCAACCCGTTCCGCCGAGGCTACTTTAGAAAATTTGAGGCTGAATCATAAAGATGCGCCCTACAGTTCCAAATTATATGCTCACTCAAGATAAATCGCATCGCGTGCCTAGCTAGGTATTCCTGCTTGAAAAAACAAACAAAATGCCCCAAAACAATCATTCCATAGAGCTTTCAAGGTACTGTCACATCAGCATGTTCCATCAATTCATATTCATCGCGTTCATAGCTAACACATTTCCTCGTGCCAGCCAAGTATTCATTCAGTTTAAATCCCTGCAGTGCATCCCGACATAACCTATACTAAACAGCCAGGGCTCCTTGCACGCATGCTATGTATATCCCGTTAAACACCTTCCATAAACGATCCACTTGGAAGAAAACAAAAAAAATATAGAGACACAAATTGAGAGTAGAACAAAGAACAACAAAAAGAAAGAAAGAGAAGAGAAGGAAAGATAGTTCCTTCAATGATATAGATCCCACATATCGTTTCCATTATTAGTCGACACATAAAAAAGAATCATCGCTTGGGTGTTTATCGAAACTCCATGGCACTGAAGCATCCCCGGTCAGGGACATGCTTCAACTCCAGCTGTTGGAACCTGGGCACGAGCTTGTTAGTCTCCACGTGCATTTAGCGGCGGGTTGGACGATGTGGACGGTAGTGGCTTACTTTTCGCTCTTGGAATGAAAATAGATTCCACTTATTTCTCCCTTGACTTGGTTGAAACAGATGTAATAGAAGCCTTCAAAAGAGGCCCCAATTATTGTTCGAACTCGGTGGTCTGGAACCAAAAAGTGCTCCTTCCATCGCATGAAAATGTGATCTCTTTGTGCCAGGTCCGTGATGGTGACGGGCCCCTTGCGGGCTATCTTCTGGTATGGCCGGAAAGCGCCAAACTTGGACCAGTGGCTAATGTCCACTTTGTAGTTTGCGCCCCAGTCGTCATGCTTGGTGAAGAAATTGTACTTTGTGCCGATGATTTCTCCCTCGAAATAGGTGGTCAGTGTTGGGTGGTCCTCGGTCAGGCCTATCCGAAGAGGGCCAGGCTGGTTAGCTATGACGCAACTCGAGACTTGTGCCGAATTGGAGCGACAAACCTTGGATGCGCAAGTAGCCGCAGAGGAAGGATTCGCGCAGGTCAACATGCTTGATCTCGACCTGGACGTCGTAGACCTGTCTTTCGGATTGCTGTGTGCCGCGGAACTTGCTCCCAGGTCGGAGGAAGGATGACGCAGAGACGGGGATGTTCTGCGTACAGTGTGAGCAGGCTAGATGCACTCTAACAGCGAATATATTCTTACTCTTATATACGTGCAGTCCGATGGCATGGGCGGAGCATCGTATTCATCTTCCTGCTCGAGCCATTCCAATGAGTCGGGCTCACGCTGATACGACTCCGAGTTCTCGACTTGCAGAGTTCCCGACAGTGTGGATGATTCTCGGCTTAAGCGATCGCCGGAGTTGCCTCCCTGGTGTTTGAGGTCATCATCTCTTTCACTCGATGTGGGAGAGGTCGCAACCGTCCCGCTAGACAGCGGTCGCAGAGAAGCTGAAGTATCCATGGGCGAAGCCTCAGCAGATGCTTGGCCGTCTATCAATGTTGACTCTTCTGTTGCAAGATCGTCATGAGAAGTCGCCGACGACTGGGCTGTAGGAGATGCAATGCTTGTCGGCGAGCTCTGGGTGGCTTCTGTGTCGGACGTCGGTCGCGTGGCGTCTTGTGTCGGACGAGCAGATCGCGAGGGATGTGGTTGGTCTTCAGGACATGTCGAGAAGCTGTAGGGGGGCGGCGAGGATTGATCAGGAGGCGGATTGGAGGATGGAGTCGGCATTGTTGCAGCTTTGCTGGATAGCAAGACCCGAGTCTGGCTGTGGCAGGCAAGGCTGGTGGAGGGAAGTGACGACAGGCAAGAGCGCAGTAGATAAGAAACGCGATCAGAAAAAAATAGTAGAGAAAAAGTTAAACGAATCCTAGTGTTCGTTGCTCAGTGTTCGTTTGGCGTTTGAGCCGCGGTGACGAGTTTGGGCGGAGAGGCTGGCTCTGGCCGACAGCGGATCGAGTTGCGATGCAGTTAAGGACTTGGCGGTGATGGCAACGGGTCCAGCAGCGGTAAGGCGGCCCGCGACGCTGGGGAAGAGACTCTTCAGGGATGAGACGCAGCGTGCATCTCGCAATGGCACGTGCTGGCGGTGATGAACAGCGGAGGATGGCGATGGCAAAGAATGCGAAAAAGCCACACGGCCAGGACGATGAGGATGGCGTTTGCTCGGGAGGCAAAGTTTGGGCTTGATTCCCTGTATATTTCGGACGACAGCACCGCTAAGGCGCGCCCACTTTATAGCGCTGCTGCCGGGTGGGCTAGATGCAGGTAGCGGTACGGCGATACCACTGCCCAATGACAACGGCACGGCGCAGCTGCATATATGAGTTTGGGGGACCGAGTGTAAAGCAGGCTGATCCACTGGAAAGAAAAAATCATCACTTTGTTTCGAATTTGGAGGCCACAGGAAGAATTGAGTAATGAAGTAGGCGTCTAGGCGTCTTCAATGGCCTGGGAATGATTCCACGTCTTGCAATGGACAAGTGCACGGAACCTTGGCAAGAGGTGAGATGGAGATTTGCGGAGACGGCAGACGCTAGCGGGACGACTTGACCGGGCGAGGCTGTTGAAAGATTACAGTACATGAAGGCGGTTGTTGCTGAATACAGTGCTGCCATAGGTTTTATTACGCAGTAAGAAATATCAGTATTGCTCTACTTCTGGATTCTATACAGTTTGTTATGCGGTTTGTAACCCGGTATTGATCAAAGACTTCATGCTCTTATATACTAGACGTTGCGAAGATCTGCTACCACTAACACCGACAGGCGTTGGCTATCAGTGGTAGTATTCCGAAGCGAGACAAAACGAAACTAAAATGTCTGCCTCTTGCAAATCCCCCTGGATTGCGGCAGACCCTTTGACTCTCGTTTATGTGGTGATACACAATGTCTTAGTACGTGCTGCTAAGTACATGCTACTGCTGGTAGCCACCGCAATGTGGATCGTCGCGGGATAAGATGCAGCCCAGGTCCCACTCGGCGTTGAACACGCATTCCGTGTATCAGATCATGCTCCATGGCTTGATCGAGATAAAGCAGCGGACTGATTGATTAAACCGTCCCATAATCCAGCACATAATAGAGCACAAAACGTGCTGTTCTCGTGTCATGGAATATCAGCATGCATCCGACGTTCTATCACATGCACGCCGCTTACCGGTTTTACGGAGCCGAGTCTGGATTCGGCAAGAGAGAAAAAAAGACGGCAGCCCCCCAAGACATGACGGCTCCTGGCCACACATGTAAGATCAAGATCCAAAAGAATGTGATTGAGTGTCCATTTAAATTGTATTCTATGTAAGTAAACATTCGATGTTAATCCACAGCATTATCATCATCTCGCGTCCCAAGGCTATACCAAACCGCTGCTAAAGATCAAGTGAGCCGATTTTTGTATTCGAATTTCCCCATACGCCAGCCTAGACCCGGATTGAATCCACCACGCACCGCACAGTCGTGCGTATATCCACCGCCTCTTCGAGGTTGAACTGGTATCATAACTTGTGCTTGTTTCTCTGCCGTTTCCCAGAATCGACTCAGATGGGCTTGACCTTGAAATGGAGCGCTATCAGACTGAAGACGAGCGCTTTGAGGTCTTGCACAAGGTAGTAAAAGACTCTGAGGCCTTCGGGGTCTGCTGATTCGGTCACGTCGACCAATGATCCAATCTTGGCCGTCTATCGAGGAGTTAGTCTCGTACTATAACAATTTGCCATCATCAAAGACAAACCTCGAATGAAATGTGGTCACTTCCCAGCCGGATTTCCAGCTCCTGTCGGCCGTCCTTGTTCTTTTGCGGCCATTTGGAGTCGTCTTCTTTTATTATTTCGCTTTGCTTCACAATCCGCTTGATCTCTTCGATGACTGCAGAGCTCACGCACACTATTTTTTTCACGTATCAGCACGCTATTATCATGATGTTGGCGCCAAATAGAATGCGACTCTGGGGCACATTGCGTCCATACTTTCTTTCCGAATCAGACTGTCGTTTCTGTAGTTTGAGTTGTTTGCATATCTGGCGACCGCGCTGCGCCCATCTCCAACGACACGAAAGTCGAATTCTGTATTCCCGTGTAAGCATCAAAGCTGAGAATCGACGAATTGCAGCCAGGCGTCCAAAGGTGGAAGGCTGCTGGCGTCCGTCTCGTACCTAAAAACTCGTGGCCAAACCGGCCCATGTGTCCGGAGCTAAGTTTAAATCAGTAACTGAAACACTCAAGAGTCACAAGTGCGTAACATGTGGTCTCTTACTAGTAACGGATGTAGAACTGGTCGTTTGGCGCCGTCATGATTGCTGCTGCTGTCCCTTCAAGTTGTTCCTAGGCTCAGTCTGTCGCAAGGCTGCGAGTGAGCTCCAGCGTCACTGGATGGTGGGGCACGGCAGAAATAAATGCGGTGAGTCGATAGCGCGCTCTCACAGTGGCTGTAGGTGCTGCTGCTAGGCAGTGCTAGCACAGCTCGCATCACGTGAGACCCCACGTTCGGCCTCGACTGCTGCTTGGTGCCACCTGTACCAGTGAGCCATCGCCAGTAAAGAGCCAGATTGTCTGAAGCCGCCCAAGCAGCAACGCATCAACTTCGCAGACGCCCGCCAGCTTTGCCGACCCCTCCTGGCGACTCTGGCAGCTCGAGCCCTGGAATTGGCGCCGCGACGACTCTCTGGCACATGGCTCTGGTGAGCTCTCGGTCTTCTGCAACTCTCGAAGCTCGCCCTCCCACCTCGCTCTAAGGCCCCTTATCCCTCCCCCACCGCCGCTGCCTCGACGCAACGATCCTGCTGGGCCGAATCGCTCAATTGCTCCCAGCCTTTTCGACTCTTCTCTCTTTGATCTACAGACTCAAAATCAGCCACCATGTCTGGATTCCTGGAAAACGCCTACAGCCTGGTGCACCAGGACAATGCCTCGGACGTGCCCTCGCTCTCTGACCTGCGCATGCAGTTGGAGAAGGGTACTGACGAGAGCAAGGTCGACACCATGAAGCGTATCCTGACCATTATGCTCAACGGCGACCCGATGCCCTCACTCCTCATGCACATCATCCGATTCGTCATGCCCTCCAAGTACAAGCCGCTCAAGAAGCTCCTCTACTTCTACTATGAGATATGCCCGAAGCTTGACGCAGCCGGAAAGCTGAAGCAGGAAATGATTCTAGTCTGGTTAGTTGGCCCGGTTCATGCCATTGACACTTCTTCTATCCAATAGAGCCCCAGTCGACTGACCATTATGAAGCAATGGCATCCGAAACGATCTGCAACACCCCAACGAGTACATCCGTGGAAACACACTGCGATTCCTCTGCAAGCTCAGAGAGGCCGAACTCATTGAGCCTCTTCTCTCTTCAGCACGATCCTGCCTCGAGCACCGACACGCCTACGTCAGGAAGAACGCAGTCTTTGCCGTTGCATCCATCCACCAGCATTCGCCCTCTCTCATTCCCGATGCCGCAGAGTTGATTGCAACCTTTTTGGAGACTGAGACGGATGCCACCTGCAAGAGGAATGCTTTCGCAGCGCTCGCCAGCATCAACCACGACGCCGCCCTTCTATATCTCAGCTCTGTCTTTGATGGAATCCCCAACGCTGAGGAATTGTTGCAGTTGGTCGAACTGGAGTTCATCCGCAAGGACGCTGTTCAGAACTCTCAGAACAAGGTATGGATTCGCCCCGTGGTATCAATTGTGGCTACTGGGAGTTCTCTTAAGCTAATAGGAACAGGCTCGATACCTGAGATTGATTTTCGACCTCTTGGAGGCCGGCGCATCTACTGTCGTCTATGAGGCGGCTTCATCGCTGACTGCCTTGACAAACAACCCTGTTGCCGTCAAGGCTGCAGCATCCAAGTTTATCGAACTGAGCATCAAGGAGGCCGACAACAACGTTAAACTGATTGTCCTCGACCGAGTGGACCAATTGCGCCAGAAGAATGAAGGCGTCCTAGACGACCTAGTTATGGAGATTCTACGGGTCCTCAGCAGCACAGATATTGATGTCCGCAAAAAGGCACTCGAGCTCTCCCTGTCGATGGTCTCCAGCAAGAACGTCGAGGAGGTTGTACTTCTGCTGAAGAAGGAACTTTCCAAGACTGTTGACCAAGAGTATGAGAAGAACACCGAATATCGATCTCTCCTTATCCACACTATCCATCAGTGCGCCATCAAGTTCTCAGAGGTTGCCGCCAGCGTGGTGGAGCTTCTCATGGACTTTATCGCCGATTTCAAGAACACGTCTGCCGTCGACGTAATCAACTTCGTCAAGGAGGTTGTCGAGAAGTTCCCTGAGCTTCGACCTACCATTGTTCGTCGTCTTGTTTCAACTCTCAGCGAAGTGCGAGCCGGAAAGGTTTACCGCGGTATCCTTTGGATTATTGGAGAGTATTCCCTGGAGGAGAAGGATATTCGGGACGCTTGGAAGGGAATTCGAGCCAGCCTGGGAGAGATCCCCATTGTCGCATCGGAGCAGAGGCTGTTGGAAGAGCAGGATAGCGATGAGAAGAATGAAGAGCAGACTAACGGTAGCTCAAAGCCCGCTGCGCCAACTGGCTCCCGAAAGGTGCTCGCCGACGGTACTTATGCGACCGAGACTGCGCTCACCAGCCAGTCATCCGCCGCTGCCAAGCTGGAAGCTGTCAAGGCCGCCCAGAAGCCACCCCTGCGACAGCTTATCCTCGATGGTGATTACTACCTATCGACAGTTTTGTCTTCAACACTGGTGAAGCTTGTGATGCGCCACGCCGAGATCTCAGCGGAAAAGGCACGCACCAACGCCCTGAAGGCCGAGGCTATGCTCATCATGATCTCAATCATCCGTGCTGGACAGTCTCAGTTTGTCAAGGCTCCTATTGATGAAGACTCTGTTGATCGAATCATGGCTTGTGTTCGCTCACTGGCGGAATTCAACGAGAAGAAGGAGCTGGAAGCGGTCTGGCTCGACGACACACGCAAGGCATTCCGCGCAATGGTACAAGTCGAGGAGTCCAAGCGCGCAGCTCAAGAGGCCCACGAAAAGGCCAAGACTGCTATTCAGGTCGACGACATCATTCCCATCCGCCAACTGTCAAAGAAGAACGCCACCGAAGGCTTGGACGAAATCGAGATGGACCTGGAAAGGGCAACTGGCGGCGAAGGAGGTGCCGAAGATCTCACATCCAAGCTCAGCCGTGTTGTGCAGTTGACCGGTTTCTCTGATCCTGTATATGCCGAGGCGTACGTCAAGGTGCACCAATTTGACATCATTCTGGATGTGCTACTGGTCAACCAGACCACCGACACCCTTCAGAACTTGTCAGTCGAGTTTGCAACTCTGGGTGACCTCAAGGTCGTTGAGCGGCCGACGACACAAAACCTGGGACCTCACGACTTCCACAACGTCCAGTGCACCATCAAGGTCTCCTCAACCGACACTGGTGTCATCTTTGGTAACGTCGTATACGATGGCGCTCACTCAACCGACACCAATGTGGTTATTCTGAACGACCTGCACGTCGATATCATGGACTACATCCAGCCTGCCACATGCACTGAGACTCAGTTCCGAACAATGTGGACAGAGTTTGAGTGGGAGAACAAGGTCAACATCAACTCCAAGGCCAAGTCACTACGCGAGTTCCTGGATCAGCTCATGGCATGCACAAATATGAACTGCCTGACGCCCGAGGCCAGTCTCAAGGGAGACTGCCAATTTTTGAGCGCAAACTTGTACGCTCGCAGTGTATTCGGTAAGTACAAACTCTGGCTGCAATACCCATTGACAAATTCCTAAAATAACTTGTTGCTAACACTATTCCCGCAGGTGAGGATGCTTTGGCCAACTTGAGCATCGAAAAGGAGGGAGAGGACGGCCCCATCACAGGTTTCGTGCGGATAAGGAGCAGATCACAAGGCCTGGCCCTTAGTTTGGGCTCACTAAAGGGTCTTAATAAGATTGGCTCGGCCGCTTAGACCTAGTCGAAAGGAAGAGGAAACTTTTTTTTAAAAAGACTACACAAAAAAATTAGATAATTTTACGAATCCCCCTTTTTTTCATACTTTGTTTCGCGTACTTTCGTGGGAGATGTTAATCTTCCTTTTTGCCTTTGTTTGTAGAATCAGGTAGATATAAGACGGTGGCATGTTTATTTTCTTCTACACTTATCATTTTCAACAAGGAAAAAGGAGAATCTGGGAACGGAGTCTTGATGACCGTGAACAAAAAGGAGGACGTGACGAATAAAGATGCCGCGGTGAATAGGGTGGGATTACTTCTGTGTGGATTTAGTAGGCGACGATTTGAATCTCGATAAATGTATAAAGACTTTTTTATTTATTACTTTTTGATGTATAACTTGGAACCACCTTGATGTAAAACTTTAACTACCTATGAGACATCAAGATACTGGTAGTAGGTTCAATAGTTATGTATAGTTTGCCAATGCAATTAACTAGTAACTGAGAATATTGCTTTGTCTAATAGACGGGCAATGAACATAAAGTAGAAGCCAGCTCTTTATCTTGTTCCTCATTTGTACGATGAAAGCTATCCACCTGCCACGCTATATACAGGCAATGTTTTATTATGTTGGGTACTTATAAAAAACAAAAAAAAAAACAAAAAAAAAAAAAAAAAGAGAAAAAAAGTGTTCTTGTAATGAAGATGCATGCTAGCATCGTAAAACTGATATATGCTCCGTTATTAACTCCGAATTGTACCGTAAAAAGTGAGATGAAGGGGGGTATTTATCCAGAAACATTAAAAGTGGTAAGAAGAAGAAAAGCAAAATGTAAATACTAAACGAGTGCCAAGTGCAAATGTTGTAAATGGAACTCATAAAGGAAGAAACGAAGGGTGGAAAATGACGACGGTGGTGTCATCGGTTAAAGACGAGGGCGTTGATGACATGGCCGACTTGCCATCCCTGGGCCTCTAGAGAGGCATTCTCTTTGAGTATCTTTCCCATGTAAGCGAGGCGAATCTTCTTTTCAGTTGGGGCCTAGATAGATAAGAAGATAATTTAGTACATATACCACGTCAGGCATGCTAATTAACAGACATAGCCGGACTTACCACTGATATTTCTGTAATCTTCTTCACAACGCTCCTAACGCTGTCCGTCTTGGTCACAGGGATAATGATATCCTGGCCCGTCTCGCTCAGTCGCGCGCGCAAAGTCACCATTTCTCGCTCATCAAGCACGCCCTTGCCCTTTTCTTCTCGTCTTCTCTCGGCCTCTTCAGAGTCAACATCGTCTTCTTCCCCTGCGGTTTCATCCTCCGCCGTGGATGTATCGCCCTTGAAGTCCGCGTCATTGTCATCCGCCAAGTTGTCCGGATCAGATACTATGTATTCGGGCAGTGCATACAGGTTGCCCAGCGAGTCGTATGCACCGTTGACGAGATCGCCGGTGGGCAGCGAGATTTCGGCGGCGTTGAGAATAGTTTGCGCAGTGGCCAGCGCACTGTCCTCGTCCTGCGAATCCTCTGGGTTCGCCTCCCACAGCACCTGCAAGGCAGCATGCAGCGTCTGCCAGATCTCCGGCCTGCAAACCACCCTTGTTTCAAAGAATTCCTCGCGCTCCTTGGTAAGCTCGCGCCGGGTCCATCGCCGCTGCCCGGACGTCCATTCATGCTTGCGCAGCGGGCGGTTGATGTGTTGGTCGAGAGGAGGCCGTTCGCGACGGGGCTGGTCGCGATGGGCTTGATCGCGGCGACGACGGCGCAACGAGGAAGCGGTTTGCGAGCCCCCAGATAGGATGGCCTCGGGCAAGGTCAGGAGAGGAGGATTGCCGGCGCGCGAAGAGGCATCTGGGACGCCACCGGGGTGCGGCGAGTTTGGACCCGCGGAACGAGAGAAACAACAGCCCTGGCGCCAAAGAGTCAGCATGTGCAGTGTTAGAGAGAAGCTTGACAGCTACTAGATGGCTCACCATGATGTCCGTCTGTTGAGACGTTGCAGTTGTTGTTTGGTCTCAGCTTGTCCACAAAGAGCTGCTGGACGGTGAATTGGCCAACGCCATACCAGATCTGGCCTCAGATGCTAGTCTCTCGCGGTGCCAGCTTCGCTAGCGGGCTGCGAATAAATAAATAGAAAAGGAACAAGGATGGAAACAGGCGAAGAAGAGAAGGAAAGAGACTGTCCGGTGGCGAAGTTGGGGAGCGGGTGATTTTCCCTTTTGTTTCTCGAGCTTTAAAACGAGTGGACGAGTGGGAAGAAACAAGGTTGGTGGGCAACGGAAGAGCTGGTAGCGAGGCGAGACTCGAGGTTGGTCGGGAAGCGAAGCGGCGCAGCTGACTGGCGCAACTTTGTGGCTGTGAGATGGAGGAAACTATCTTTTTCCCGGCCGTGGCGGGAGAAACGAGAGATTTTGGGTTTGGAAATGGAAATGGCACCCAGAGAGACGCGGTGGATGTCGAGCCAAAGTCTTTTTGTGAGAGAGCCGGGATTCGGGGGAACTCGACAGGGCTGTGGTAATACGCAAGGGCGGATGCGAGTGAACAAGGCGAAGAGGATGTCACTATTGCTGATATTGTCGATGCGATGCTTGATGCTTGGTGCTTTATAGAGAGGAGAGGAGAGGAGAGGAGAGGAATAATTAGTTGTTATTGAGTGTCTTATGATTTGATCGCACGTCTGCATATGCTTGTGAGAAAAGACAAGGAAGAGAGCAACACATCATGAAGATGCTGGAGACGATGCCGATTGGAGAGGAGACAGAACCGCTGCAGCTCTGCTAACACGTGCGTGAGGGGTACAGGTGCAGCACGGTTGAGAGCTCCAAAAGCTAAACGGCGCAATCCTCTAGCGGGCCAACCCACTGAAGACCTCCGCTGGAACCCTACCTGCAGAAGCGATGGCGCCCACTACCGGCCATCGAGGGTGTGATGAGAGATCAAGGTCGGCAGATGGCGTTTATTGGCCGCCTGCTAGTGCTGTCATTGATCGTATGGGTTATAGCCTAGGTATAGCCTAGGCGATAAAAGAGGAGCAACAATTCTGATGCTTCGTATCTCTTGATAGCGTAATACGATCTGACTGCTGTTGTATCGAGGTTCCGCAAACGTTTGTACGTCGTGGATCCTTGGACGTCATACTCCGCTTAATGAGATGCTGCTACTGCGACTGAGATACGTCCGTAATACGAAATTGCCGCAGCATCTGGACTGCAGGCCCGTTACAGAGAAGGAGGCATCAACACCGATGCAGATATACGTGTAAATCGCTAATTGATTCATCTCGTTTCCCCCACTTGATTTCTGTGGATCGAGCATGGGCCTTGCATCCATCGATCCGCTCACCGAATGGTTTGCATATCTCACCGCGGTGCTCACCGAGCTCTAGGGTAGGTCCCGGCTCGGCCTGTAAAAAAACACGCACAGTTAGCATCTTCAGTCCGCTACCACTTGCATGAAGCTCATCAATCTCAGTCAATTCACCACCACCACTTTCTTATTTTTCAATGATGCATATTTAATCAGTACATTCAAAACGCATTACTCATGACACAATAAGCATAAGCTCGAGTTCGACTTTTTTCTTCTCGCAATTAACCATATCTACATCTTCGGCGCGTTACATGTCGTTCATCAGCAAGAGCCCAAGGTCATGGTTGGTGGCTGGATACTGCAACTCGTGAGCAAACAGGAAATCACAGAGCGTGAATTTATCAAGTAGGAGACAAAGCACCTACAAGAAGAAAGATAAGATTAAGATAAGAGCCATGGAGGAAGCTACGAAGCAACATTTCTTCTTCCACGACAAGCCGGTATGCAGTCCGACTCTTATGAAAACCCCAACTAATCTCCATCTAGGAACACGCTGCCGAAAGAGAATCATGTCACTTTTGCCAGCTCCGCGCCTTTCCCACGCACAAGGACACCCCCGTCTCCATCGTCAACGCGCTGGACCGGGCCGTCATCTCGCCTCACTTTCGCTTCATAGACTGCATGGTGCTCGGCGAGGGCGTCGAGCCGGCTGAGGATAGTTTCCGCAGCGGGTGCTCGTGCGAGCGAGACGGCGATTGTCAATTTATGGGCTGCCACTGTCTCGCCGATTTGGAGGACCTGGGGAATAGCAGCGCCGATGAAGACGAATATCAGGATGAGAACTACAGGGCAAACGGGCATCGCAAGGGGAAGAAGAAGGTGTATGCCTATCACTCGCATGGCGCCAAGAAGGGACTTTTAAGGTCTAAGATGCTGAATTCCAAAGAGCCGCTGTATGAGTGCCATGTTGGCTGCTCGTGCTCCGGGGATTGTCCCAATCGAGTGGTGGAACGCGGTCGAACGATTCCACTGCAGATCTTTCGCACGCCGGATAGGGGATGGGGTAAGTCAAATACACCGATTTGCTCCATCTTAGAGAGGGAAAGAGAGAGTGGGAGAGAAATGGAGAGAGAGTATCTTGCTGACCGGACTGATCCAACCATACAGGAGTCCATGCCCAAGTCGCCATAAAAAAAGGCCAGTTCGTCGACCGCTACCTCGGCGAGATCATCACCTCCGCCGAAGCCGACCGCCGTCGCGCCGCCTCGGCCATCTCCCAGCGCAAGGACGTCTACCTCTTCGCCCTCGACAAATTCACCAACCCAGAGTCGCTGGACCCGCGCCTCAAGGGCCCGCCGCTCGAGGTGGACGGCGAGTTTCTGTCCGGGCCGACGCGCTTCATCAACCACTCGTGCGATCCCAACCTGCGCATCTTTGCACGCGTGGGCGACCATGCGGACAAGCACATTCACGACTTGGCGCTGTTTGCCATCCGGGAGATTGCTGCCGGGGAGGAGCTGACGTTTGATTATGTGGACGGTGTGACGGAGGATGGGGCCGAGATGGAGAGGGGGAATGGAGCACATATGACCAAGTGTTTGTGTGGGAGCCGCAAGTGTAGGGGGTTTTTGTGGTAGAGCATTGTTTTTCTCTTGTCTTCTTAGCTGAAATAGCTGAATGCATGAATTTGACTCTTATTGTTCTTTGATTGATTCAGTTTGACAAATGTATGAGCGTCCCATTCGACTTGGTCACACAACGCTTCTTTCATACCCGGAGCAAGGGTAGCAGCTTGCCGTTCTTGCGATTTTAATGATTGTCAAATTAAGAGTGAATTCCGCTTTGAGACATGTATCAATGAGCATTGGTGGTTTTGTGACAAACAGAGTTCTGGAGGCGGTTGGACTTGGTTCGCCACTAGCAACCTCAGCCCTGTTTCAACTACTCCACTCCTTTCTTCCTCTCAAATCTGCAATCTCTTTTCATTGCTTTATTTACAATTCCCAAACCAGCCTTTTTGCATGAATGTGCACGTCAATTGTTGACCATGCGTGATTTACTGTTATCGAACCCAGAAGCTGTAGGCTGCCGGATGCGGCTCGCCATGTCTACGCCTCCTTTGTATGTTATCAAGCCGTGGCGTTCTCTCTACAACTGTATAAAATGAAGTGTATCTTTGAATTACGAAAGGCCATGGCCCCATTGCTCTTCTTCTGGTAGACTACGTCTTTTTTGTGCAAATGGATACATCGCCGCACAGCAGTTCTCACTTCTCCAGCTCTCCTCCCAGTCCCGTGGCTCTTACACTTCGGCGCCATCGAAGGGACGAAACAAGGCGTTTACAAGAGCAATACTCTCACGGCAGACCATATCCGGGTGAGAGATTGTGTGGCAATGACGACTGCTTGCTGCGCTGCTGCTGCGTATACAAGACTACGGGCATCCATCTTCCTTGGTACATTCTCATCGATAGGGATGAGAGTGAGGATGGCGTCCCGGTGAAGGACATCTTGACGGAATTTGCCTACCTTGTGACGACTGAGGTATGGCCATCCATAGAGAAGCAGAGCGACGTGTTACTCAAGGCCAGGTCGATAGAAGCCTTTGTCAGTTCGCCACCAGTCAGGGCGGCATATCTCGACTTCCGGACAGTCTGCCAGAAGAACGACTTTGACTTTTCAATCGAGTCACGTCTAAGAGAGGCCCTCTCTAGCACAATGCCTCGATTCCGCGATCTTGTCACTGAGTTGGATGCTGCAGAGCAAGATAGCCAGCGCATCGAGATGCTGATCCATCGCCACTTACAACCTCCTCAGCAACCTGGACAAACATCCTCAGGGAGGCCGCCTCAATGGACACAGGAGAGCTGCATCATGCGCTTCCTGTTAACGAGTGAACTATGGCGTCGACATGGCGAGAGGCACATGCGGCAACGCAACTGGGCGTGGGAGGAGCCGTGGATGGTGGCCGAGCTGCTTTCGGCGGTGTTGCTGAATTACTGGCTGATGGACGGGGAGAAGTGCTTTGCGAAGGAGCCGACGAGGAGCAGCGAGCAGGTCGACGAGGCGTGGCAGGACTGGCTGGACAAGTATCCTATGCTGGAGGATGAGAGTGACGATGAGAGCGAGAGGAGGAGAGTGAGGAGTCCGGATCTGGTACCAAAACCGTTTGGGATGATCAAGGGACTGGACTTGGATAGGGAGATTGGATATGTTGGCGGCGTGGGGACGGCGGCGAGGGGCCCGTTGTGGAGAGACTTACGGCAGAGACATGATGGAGACGATGAAGGAGAAGATGATGTCTTACCACAGCATTGAGGTTTAGAGAGGATGCTGGATATACTGTAGCACTTACTGACAGTATCTCTTTGTTCCCTTTCCTCTTCCTTGATCGTAGCATTATGATCTCTAGGCCTAATTCTGGCAATCTGGATCTTGCAGGGAATCTACATGACAGCGGGTCCCTGAGATTAGATTCTCGTTCCTTGCTTCTTTTTTCTCTTGGTCCCTGCTTCTGGTTCCTGGCATTCTAGCTGTGTTCGGCTACGTAAGGGGAACTTTTGGGCGACCCGAAACCGTGCTGTTTGCGGGTATGGGATACCGCAGAGCGGACAAATCCGGAGAGGCGGCAATTGACGGCATTCAGAGGGCTTTAATTCTCGTGGTACGATTCAAGATCCAACAAAAAGAAAGAAACTAGAATTAAACGCAATGGAAAAGGCTGTAAATTTTTCATTCAGAGTTTTCATCATCAGCATCTCGTTTGGATTCCGAATCTCCGATGTTGCATTGCTGTCAGGCAACGACAGCGTGATTGCTGCCGCAGCGGCCAGGGGGAATCAGGCGATGCTGGCGAGATGGTTGCACTGCTCATGTACATCTGGGCGCATCTATTTTGCTGCAGCGGAAATTAGTAAAACAAAAAGAAAGAAAAAAACACGCAAGTGCCGAGATTTAGACGAATTATGAGTAGTGCATGTTTTCTTTCAGAATGAAAAGTGCAGTAGGTAGTACAAGTAGGCTTATACCAGTGAATGTTTGCCAACACATGCATGATGCACATGCAAGCGGTATTACACGGCAGCCCAGAGACACCACAACCAGTCGCAGTCAGTACAATTACTTACTGCATATTATATCTCTATTATCATTCCCACACACGCAGCGTATTTAATCAAATGAAACAAAATGAAATAAATGAGACTCTTCCTCACGTGCTCGTCTCCTTTTCCACTGCCACCCGGTCAGCCGAGCCATGCCACACCTAACCTCGGATCACACACCCAAAGCCTTGACACAATATCAAGGCAAAAAGCACCAAACCCACTAAAAATCGAACCCAAGCCCACCTCCACGCAAATCATGGCCACCCATCCCCGCGTTCTCCCGTCGAATCGGACGCCGCGGCTAATGCACCGCCTAGGCTGCAAATGGGGCTCGTGGTTCGACTCTGATGCCGGGATGGGTTGGATTGTGGCCACACCATGAGGAGAGAGTCGTAGCAGCAGTGCGTAGCACTATGGGCCCTTTTTTTCTTCTCTCTTTTTGTCTCTATACTGTAAGAGATTGGCGCTGCTAGGGGGGCACACATGATGGACGATTGTTTCGTCAGGCTTGGAAATGGGCGCAGTCTGAGCCACCCTTATTTGTCTAGGTCTTGGTCTTGACTGCCTGACCCCCGTTTTATACTAAATACCTACCTAGTAGCCTTGGGGGAACTGACGGTGGCGTTTGTTTTCTACTTAATCTACTTGAGTCTTGAATTACTTCATACATACACTTCTCTTTTAGCTGCCTACCTAGCTATCCAAACGAAGCTCCTCTTCTCTTCTTCTTGGGACTCCGCCCCAGAGCAACAGACCATATCAACTCTACGACCCGCCTGAGTACACACTTGTAGTAAATCTACACCTACATCTACCTCCATTACCCCACAAACAATGAGCAAAATGGCACGAAGCTTCTCAACAGCTGCCAGAGTGCACCCATCCATCTTGCCACATCTCCGACCACCACCGCGCCGAGCTCCGATCCGCCGATGGTAAGCAGCCATAAGCTCCCAAAAGAAACAACAAAACAAAATCAAACAAAAGACATAAATGAAAAAATAAAAAATTGAAGAAGAAATCTAATATATGAACTTTTTTTTTCAGGCTCAAAACCGCCGCCGCCATCACCGTCGTCGGCTACGCCTCCAAAACCTACCTCGACATCACACGCGACCAGCGCCGCTCCAGCGCCATCGCCAACGAACAGGCCTCTGCTGACAGGCAGCGCATGATGGAGAATTTGTATGGCGGGCGCGAGACGCTGGAGGATTTGGAGAAGGGCGTTGCAGAGTATGAAAGGAGGTAAAAACACGCCGCCATCGCTCTTCATTCATTGAAAGGGAGATATTGCATCCGAGGCATTATTTAGAGCGGGTGTGGTGTGGCGAGAAGGGCATTTTTCATGGGAACGACAAAGCAACTTGGAGCGAGCATACTTTATGGGTTTTTCTTTTGTTGATTCTTACTGGGCATCACTATACACTTGGCCTCTGTATCCCCTCTACCTATTTCGGTATTTGAATGGGAATTGGAGGATGGCGTTTTTGTTTGGGCGTCTGATCATTTTGGCCCAGCTTGGGTGGGCAGCAACAGAGAAGATTGACAGCATATATACGCCGCACGAAGCGGCTATTCGTATGCTGATGTTCAAATATACTTTTCTCATCATCTCTTTACTTCACCTCTTAAAAGCTCGTGTTGATCAATGCCTGTTTATTTCTGTCTGTCTGGTAGCACTGTTACACAGCTCCGCTTCTAGCCGAACCGTCTCCAGGCCCAGAAAAGTCCCTTCTAAGCTGCTAGAGGTAGGTACCAAGCTCATATCGGGTATCGTTTCGCTACTCTCCAGTCGCTCTCAGATTCAGGTCGCAGTTGTTGTCTATAATCATCATAAAAAGAAGCAGAAAGGGAAAACATACAGCAGTCCCAGAAGATGCTTGCTAACTCGCAGCTCATGTCCCCGGTGTAGATGCTTCAGTTCTCGCCTATGATCGATCCTCTTGCTTCACCTCCAATCAAACCCTGCTTCATGGACCTGCAAGCTCCTTGCGCTTCACCTTTGTCTTCGTCGTCATCGCCTCCGCCAGCTTTCTCGCAAAACCCTTGGACACTTGCGCCACAAACTTCGGTCGATCGGTAACTTCCTCCATACAGCTGTCCCAGGCGTCGTAGGAGATGCCCTCTACGAAATACTCAATGATTGTCTCTCCCAATGTTTTCTGCAATGGGTGTGCTTGCTCCAGAGCCTCGTATCCATCCGCAAAGTCTCTCATCAGGGTCTTCTGCTGGTCTTTGTCGGCATATGAGCGGAACAATGCTCGATGTCCATCTCCAATACCCGTCAGGATGCACTTGTGGAGGAATTCGCTCATTTGCGTGCTGATAAAACGGTCACATAGCTTGAACACCTCGATGAATTCGCAAAGAGGCGTGCGCTGTGCCCGGGCCTCGGGGTTCTTGGACGCTGCGGGCGGCGTGTGCGGCACAATGGACGAATAGCTGTATGCTATACCGAGGTAGAATGCCATGTAGCGAGGATCAATGTCGTCGAATTTCACCACGCCATCTGATTCCATGAATGGCTTGCTCAGGCACGATTCAAAGTATTCCGAGTGCTGCTTGAGGACGTTCGTGTGGACCTTGAAGGATTCGTTTTTGCAGATGATTTCGACCGAAGGCTCATCAGACCTAGAGAGGCTACAATATCAGTACGACGCAAAACCTGACAAGGAAATAGATACATACGCAAGGAGCCAAGCTGTGCGATAATCAGCGAGAAGCACCGACGATGGCTGGGCCTCAGACTGCGCGTTTCTCGCCCTCTTCTTCGCCGGTGCCATAGCAAGAGGTAGCACAAGGCGGTGATACAAACAAAGGCAGAGTGCAGGTTTAATGCTGTTGATGAATGAGAAGAGGCGGAATAGGTGAATGCGATGTTGATGTTGATGAGAAGAAGCGTGCTGCTCAGTATTTAGCTTTAGCGGAAGTGCGTGCTTGAGCAGCCTCTTATCTGCTTGGGTGTATTTAATCCGGGGTCCAAAGTGCTGCGATTCCGATGCGGCGGCAGTTACTGGCCCTATAATGAAATCCAAGTGAATGATCGAGTATGGCAACGCAAGGGCCAAAGGCGAGTGAATTGCTCGTTGCCGGAGCTTCAACTGCAGCCACTCCGCGAACAGCTGGCAAGGGCGGATACGGTGCAAAAGATACACTCCAACAGATACACAGTCTCTTAACAGATGCTTCTATAGGCCTTTATTAGCAGATAACACTTCCCAAACGCCGCGCATATCCCGTTTCCCACATCTTTCTGAGCAGTCCGCCATTGTCATTATCAGCGAGCCTTGATCTTGCGAATCACCACTTTGCTGCCCTCCAAGTCCCAGCCAACTCCATCACTTTGCTTCAAGTCGGCCCATTTTGAGCCCGTCGCCTGCTCTAAATAATCCAATTCCACTGACAGATACGTTCTTCCAAAGCACTTGAGCGTGTGCATTCTCAAATCGCCCTCTGCCCATTCCATAATTCTTGCCCGATGGCCATCCACGCTTCTCTTGACCTTTTGGAACAATACATAGTTGTCATGCGCCAATGCTGTCAACGCTGCGTTTACCTTGGAGTCCCTTAAACCATACTTCTGCCGCAGAGCAAAGGCTTCTGCCAGCGCTCTACGCCGACAAGCAGCATCAAGCACTAGATACGCCACCACTTCTTGTAGCTCGACAGACGTGAGCGGATGTTGTGGATGGATTGAGCGTAGCAAGTGCAGAATGGCTGGGTGATAGGATTCGAAATGCTTGACGAGGATGGAGAGTCGGATGCAGAAGAGATAGGCCTGGACGGCAAAGTCATCTGCTCGTTTCGTGGCGACGATGCCCTCCCTCAGTTTCCTCAGAGCGGCGACTACATCAGAGAGGGCTTTGGTGCTGGCAGGGCTCTGGAGCGTTTCACTGTTGATGGCGGGCAAGATTCTCCGAGAAGTAGCCGGGGCGGGGGCTGGAGATGAGTTTGAAGTCGAAGGTGCCAAAGACGAGAATCTCCGAAGCAGTTCGTCTCGTTGTCCAGCGTCGGAGCAAAAGGTCATGTACCGGTCCACTATAATGGTATAGTAGCTCTCTTGCGTTTTGAGATTTAGCAGACTAATTCGACGTCAACAAACTTGATCTTGACTTTGTCGTGCTTGTTTATATTCTTTTCAATCAATTCGATGGAAACGATTGGTATGGTTTGACTTTGTTGGGCATTTCAACTCACCTGGTGTCACCTTTCGACGGAAGGCCGATGCTCTCGAGGGGATCCTGCTCAACGGGCTTGAGCCGGCCCCACGGGCCTGATGGATTCCTGCCACCTTTATTCGGCATCACACCTGGTGTTTGGCCATGAGCTTTTTTCCAACAGGCCGATCTAGTGAAATGGTGCAGTCGGTTTAGAGTGAGAATGGACAAAGTAAACAAAGGCCGATTGAAGTTGAAAGTTCCCCGCGGTTTCTGAGGTAGTGGGGCCTTTATCTTATCAGCAACAACGGGCAAGACCTGATGAATTCGACTGCCTCAAACATTCATGGTAACAATCACAAAAAAACTGCTTAAAAATGTAATTGTACGTATGATTAAAGGCTTGTGATAAGAGCACTTTCGTATCTATCAATGGTAACGCAATTAGAGAACCTCAAGGCAATTATCTTGGCACTTAGATGTGCCGTGCATATGTCCTTCATGAGCAACGAAGTGACCGATGGGCAACGATGGGCAACGATGGGCAAGATGGCTCGTGATATACTTCTTTTCATTCTATTATATGTAGCAATGAATCGTTTACCCCAGATAACAGGTATAAAAGCTAACAAGTGGTGGATCGTCGTCATCGTATTGGCTGCTATGAGTCCTCCGGGAAGCGTCGGCAATGCTTCATCCAGAGGGCGGACATCGGCTGTAGACTCTTGCAAGAAGCAACACTATCAACATCTGAATAGGGATCCGAGTTATTAGAACTTATAGACATTGGCATGAATAAGCGGTGTAGAAATGGCATTGGCAATATCCTCTTGATCCTTGCCGTCGCTTTACTGTTTGGATCTTCCGAATAGCTTCCCGCTCCGCGCCGGGTCAAAAGTACCTGCATTGGAAGAAATCGGGACCGCGAGACCCGTCTCCAATATTTGTTACCACATACCCACAGCCTCTGGATCCCGATGACCTAGACTGGGGGTATTGGTCTAAGAAGAATTGGAGAAATTGCGTAGATGTAACGACATTGAGCTCAGGAGAGCAAGTGGCTCATGAGTGCATGAGTGAGGCTGCATACCTAGGTATAGAGCAAACAATATGTGGTGCTCTGTCTCACTCGCTGCAGGCAAATAGCCATATATCATACTGCGAGCAACTGCCAAAGTAACCAATCACTCATTGTCAGTAATAAATGCTAGGCCACCAAGATTCAATAGCACAGCAATTGACCCCAAAATATGGGAGCCAAGCTTCCTTCGCTCCCGCATGTTTCCGCTGCTTCGGCTACGGCAGGAGAAGCTCCCGGCAAAGAGGAGCAGCGCTGAGGTCACACGATTTGCAGCGAGGGCCCCGCTCGCCGCTGCTTAGTTTCGACATACATCAGATCTGCCGCTGCCAGCTCTCTTCTCTATTCTCTTCTCCCTTCTCTCTTCTCTTCTCTTTTCTTCTCTTTCTCTTCAACCATCTTCATCATCCTGCGCCTAATCCTCGGCTACTCACCAATTGCTTATCCTGCCCTGCCCTGCAGCTGGTCTCTTCCCTGTAAGTCGCTTCCCACTTATTTGCGCTGCCCTGACGTCTTTTGAGCCCCTCACCATCCCACGTTGCCCCTCCATGCCCCACCTTGACCTCTTGTTTTCAAGCAGCAGCAGAATCGGTAGAGCATCCGAGGCGTCATAGCATATCGAGGGATGAGAGATCGGATTGAAATGGAGCAAAAAACAAGACAAACAGAAGCAATGGAACAACCAAAGCAACGCAAAAACTCGAAGCCAGAGGAGCAGGGCGAGACCAAAGAAACACGCCACGAGTGAGAGAAGATGGAACGACGGCCATTGGACATGGCCTGAGCCAAGCTCAACCAGCCATTTCTTTCCATTCCTTTCGGTGCTTTGCCTCAACCATTTCCATCTCCACCTTTTCGCAGACGCCGTACGCGCTGGGCGACCCTCCCGACGCCGTCGACGGGCCAGTCAGATCCGGCATCTGCAGCAAATCTCGTCAGCCTGTTCCATCCGTCAACGGAGCTGCCCCTCCCTGGATCCTCTGGATCCTCCTTGGCCCTCCTGCTATCTCCCCTAAAAGCCCAAAATGCCTGCTAGCTGCGCTATCGATAGCTGTCTCGCCGAATTACGTTGAGCATTGAGACTGGAAAAACCCCGCGCTGCTGCGAGTTGCCATTACGGCCCAGCAATTACTATTTTTTTCTCTCTTCTTCTTTTTATCTCGCTTCCTCTTCGTCATAGGCAAAATTCTCTTATTAGGACGCGCCCTTGCTAACACCTTTTCTCGCAATTTCAACTTTTGCAGCAATCAAATCTCTACGAACTCGCTTTCAAGCTTCATTCCGACCTATATCCATCTACTCTTCTCCAAAACTCGCAAAAATGGGTGCTACCGATGTCCTGAGCCGCAAGACCGGTGTCATCGTCGGCGATGACGTCCTGGCCCTGTTCAAGTATGCCCGCGAGCACCAGTTCGCCATTCCCGCCATTGTAAGTTTTCGCGCTTGAGATTGCTTCTCCCTCTTCTCGATTGCGCCCGAGTCTGAACTTTGTAACTAACTGTTGCCACCTAAAGAACGTCACCTCCTCTTCAACCGTCGTTGCTTCTCTGGAGGCCGCTCGCGATGCCAAGTCCCCTATCGTCCTGCAGATGTCCCAGGGTGGTGCCGCTTATTTCGCCGGAAAGGTAAATTCTCGCTCAACTCAAGATAAGATTGCGCGCGTTTTCTTCATACAAGGTGCTGATTGGGAAATCAGGGCGTGGACAACAAGGACCAGGCTGCTTCCATCGCCGGTGCTATTGCCGGTGCCAACTACATTCGATCCATTGCTCCCGCCTACGGCGTCCCCGTCGTCCTTCACACCGACCACTGCGCCAAGAAGCTCCTCCCCTGGCTCGATGGCATGCTCACCGCAGATGAGGCTTACTTCAAGGCCACCGGCGAGCCCCTCTTCTCTTCTCACATGATTGATCTGTCTGAGGAGCCTGTTGACTGGAACATTGAGACCACCGCCAAGTACCTGAAGCGCGCTGCCCCCATGAAGCAGTGGCTCGAGATGGAGATTGGTATCACCGGTGGTGAGGAGGACGGTGTCAACAACGAGGATGTCGACAACAACTCTCTCTACACTCAGCCCGAGGACATCCTCAACATCTACAACACCCTCTCTCCCATCTCCCCCTACTTCTCCATCGCCGCCGGCTTCGGCAACGTCCACGGTGTCTACAAGCCTGGCAACGTCAAGCTGCACCCCGAGCTGCTCGGCAAGCACCAGGCCCACGTCAAGGAGGCTATCAAGGCCACCGAGGACAAGCCCGTCTTCTTCGTCTTCCACGGTGGCTCCGGCTCTTCCAAGCAGGAGTACCTCGACGCCATCAGCCACGGTGTCGTCAAGGTCAACATGGACACTGACATGCAGTTCGCCTACCTGTGCGGTATCCGTGACTACATGCTGAACAAGAAGGACTACGTCTTGACTCCCATTGGCAACCCCGATGGCGACGACAAGCCCAACAAGAAGTACTTTGACGTAAGTTTACTCTTTCTGATGACATTGTCTCCCCAGCCAATCACTAACTGTGCAATAGCCCCGTGTCTGGGTCCGCGAGGGCGAGAAGACCATGTCCAAGCGTGTCGCCGAAGCTCTCAAGGACTTCAACACTGCCAACCAGCTGTAAATACTGTTTGCGCTTTGTGCTTTTAAGTTAAAAAAGAAAGGAAAGGATATCAATTTGAAAAAAACATTTTGGGGCACTACACTCGTTGCGGTGAACTCATGCAAGGACTCGAATGGTTGATTGAAGTGCCCTATATCACCTCTGAATGTTCTGCATACCTCTTGGTTTATTCATTAAGGACCGCCACGAACTGTGTTTGTCACTATCAGTGGACGCTGGAAAAAAAAGGATAGTTCCAAGTCATTGAAAAAAAAAAAAAGTTAACTATACAATTTCGTGATCTAAAAAGAACGCGATTCTCGTCTACATTAAAAACATATTTACTCTGCCAACCCGATAATAGCTTCTTGATAGGTAGCCAATAACGCATCAATCTTCTCGCATAATCAATCCAATCTTCCTGATTTATTAGGAAAAATCCCCTCCTAGTGCTGTGCATATAGCACCCCAATAATTCCCGTGTATTCGCCAAAGGCATTGTCATTGATTTTGATTTCCACTCCTCCTCTTCGTTTATCCCCTCTTGTTTATCTCACGCCTTCTATTTGCCCTTTTTTTTTTTCCTTTTCAATTTTTTGCAAAAGTAGAGATCTAAACTTGACCCAAGAGCTCACTTTGGAGCTGAAGAATCTGTTCGGCGTTGAGCTCTTCGGCATCGGCCTTGGCAGCCTTCTCAGCATCAAATCTCCACAAGCCACCTGTCTTGTCCTTGTCGCCATCTAGAGGCACGCCAGCAGCCTTGCCGAGCAATGTGAGCGTCTCGTCCTCGGTCGCAGCCTTGAAATACCTCCTCTCCCAGGTGTGGTTTCCTGCAGTCTCCTTGGCGCGCATGAGGCGCTGGGCCTGCTCGATCTTGGTCTTTTCAACGGAGACGGTGTCCATGTCGCTCTTTTGGATGGCATCGGCGACTTTGCTCCAGGCGCGGCGGGATTCGAGGGGGTGCTGCTTCTCGAGGGGCTCAATGACCAGCTCGGACTGGGCGGTACCGGCGGCGTCGTAGGTTGATACGAGGGTGGTTTTTGAGTTCTTCTTGGCGGGGCCTTGATAGATTTCGAATTCCTTGGTCCATTGGCCAGTGACGTTGTAGAGAACCTCCTTTTCGTTGTCGGTGGGGAAGACGGTTGCGATGACGGTGTTCTTCTTGCCGGACAGCCAGCCCTTTCCGCTGTAGTCAATCTTGGCGGAGTAGCCGCTCGAGCTGACAATTGTGGTTGAGCCGTCCAGCTCGACAAAGGGGGCGCCGAAGATGAGGCCCTCAATGTGCAGAGAGGGCAGAGTGATGAGGTAACGCTCGAGCACCTGGTTGTCGCCAGTGCCGCCGACGGGGACGGTCAGCACGGCGTGGCCAATCTGCTTGACAATGATTGTGCTCTTGAAGGAGGCCTTTTGCGCGTTGTACCCTTCGAGCTGGACGCCCGTCTTATCGTTGCGGATGCAGTAGGCGGTGGCGGGCGGGTGGTGGCTGACCTGCTCGGAGATGAGCGTCGTCTTGCCGGCCTCGTCGTTCCAGCTGCCCAGGAAGAGCTCGCCGAGGAAGGGGTTGAGGGGCTTCTTCTCGTTGCCGAATTGCTCGCTGCGGGAAGCGTACTGGTGCTTGAGCGTGGAGAGGAACCACTTGAGCACGAGCATGGCGCGCTTGGCAGGGTCGGATTCGTGCGCGGCGGCGGTGAGAATTGGCGGGTGGGTAGCCCAGTAGGAGGAGAATTCGGTGAGGGACTGGGAGGAGAGGATGAAGGGGGGGGCCGTCAGGGAGGACAGGTCACCGTTGAAGGAGGCGATTGACTGGAGTTTGTTAGAGATGGCGATGATGAGGATGAGGATGTCGCAGGGTGATTTACCTTGAGGAAGGCTGACCAGCTTCCGCTGTTAGCTGCTGTTGCGTCGGCCATTGTGATTTAGGGATGCTGTTGTTTTGGTGGTTTCGGTTGGTGGTTTGAGGAGAGAGTGGCGAGGAGCAGAAGCGTAGAAGAATTGGATCGAAGACGAGATGAGTAAATTCGCGGGGAGTGGAGGCGAGGCTAAACTTTAGATAGGAGTCGATGATGTGGCGCCGAAGGGATAAACGCAAAAAGAATAGTAGGTTGTACTACTTGTAGGATGTACAGAAAGTTTATAAGGGAGAGAAGGTTTATACAAGAATAAGTCTCTGAAATCCGAAGAGGCAGCCAAGAAAAATCGAAAAGGGAGGGATGGAACAAAGAGGAATGCGGGCGCGGGATTGAGATTGCAGGTTTATTAAAGGAGTTGAGTGCACATCCACTAAGAACCAGGTGCAGGCCTTGTTTTGGGGACAATGTACAGTAGTCTAGGTAGCGATTTTAGCCACGGTAAGGGAGGGGTGACGATTAGAGTATTTCCAGATGGAGGACAGAAAGCTTTATAGAGCAAGGAAGTTTAACACATGTACATTGACGACAGCGCTACTACCAGGCGTTTATCATGTATTTCAGTGCACGAAATTCCAAATCCTGTCTATTACAACTGCAATTTGTTGGGGCCCTCGTGGCTGTACAGACAAACATCAAATGCGACGCAAGGCTGGGCCTACCAACCGCAGAGTCCAGCACGTCACTCACTCACTTTTGGCCACGCGACAGGCCTCCATCGTCATCAGGGGAGATCGATATGTAGAGTCCCGGAGCTGGTGCGTGCCGTGTGGGGTGCAGGCGCTCGGAATGGGCTGCTATTGGATGGCTTCGGAGCTGGAGCAAACAGGGTATCTTCTGGGGGATTTGTTGGCTGTCTCGGGAATACGAGTACGAGCGAGCTGGGGAAGATGAGACGAAGCAAGCGGGCTTACTTGGCATGTTTGTGGATGACATAAGATGGAATATCTACCCATCCGCAGTGCTATTGGGGTTGTATGTGTGGTGCCTGGATGTGTAATACGACTTCTGGTGCCGTCTTATCCTACCTGTACGACTATTCAAATACGACTGGCTACCTATCCCCCTTGAGACAAATTAGATGCTTACTGCACTTATACTATTGGAATATGCCTAGGACCGACCCGTTGGCTTTGCCGCTGAAGGCTGATTTTGTCAAATCATTCTTTGAAAGTTTTGATGATTCCAGAAACGCCCTTGTGATGATGCCGCTGGGCTAGAGGTGTATGTGGACGAGGTCGCATTTTGGACAGCGCGGCAGATTACCCTGTGACACGACGGCCAGCTGAAATATATCGAGTAGTATTACAACAAAAACTTGCTGCTGATGATTTTGTCACATTGGCAACTTGGCATAAATAAATGGATGTATATCCCCAACAGAAGTGCTGAAGCATCCGTTGCTCAGTTTGAATCAGTCGTATTGTTGTTTGCTACCTTATGCTTCTGCTATATCGCTAATAGGATGCGGGTCACAAAGAAAGAGGCAGTGTTGTGCTCGCTTTTCTCGCTAATACGATGTCACTGAATCGCATACGCATTCTAGTGCAGCTAAGATTTGTAAAAAAAGAATACCTCTATCTTTTCCTCCTACTTGATATTATTCTTTGCTTCTTGACTATAAAAAAAATAGAGAGGAGCATTTATAGCGCTTGTGAATGCTCGCGTGAGATGTTTCAGACTTTAATATAGAAACAAGCTATTAAGTCAGACAAGAACAATCACATGAATAAATGAAAACACCTCCATCAACAACACTACTACTGGAAGATAAATCCGACTAAATATCTTCAAAAGAAAGCCATCCACAACCATACAAATGACTCTAAACGGGATTGGCGGGTCTACGTTCGCCCGAAGCTCTGTATCGCCCCCTGTAAGTTGTTCCGGCACGGCGCCGGCTCTGGCCTCGGCGCCATCAGGCCATCCGCCTTTCCAGATCCTCACGTCACTTCAACACCATCTCCGAGCCTCGCGATTCCCACAGTGACATCTTGCGACCGAGCACAGCCCAGACAAGCCGCGTCACCGCCCGAATATTTGTCACCGCCTGAATATTCTCGAATTCTGGTGCCATTATCGTCTTTTGTTCTTTTGGTTTCCCCCACATACTGGCGGACATTTTGTGGAAAGGCGCCGCTCCAACAGCGGAAGCTGTGGGTGGCCCTAAGAAGCCGGAGCCCATAATGTCGCAACCTCCCGGACTGCCTCGCCTTTCGCCTCAGTTTTGCTTTTCGACCGGCACGCTGCGTGGTATGTGATACAAGCTCTTTATATGAAAAAAACTATGTAATGCGACTTGGAAGCTGTTCCGCTAACATACTTCAGATTTCTTGCGCCTGTCTCGATCATCAATAGACGACTCGATTACACAGAATCTCAATGCCCTGGTAACGCCATCTCGGGCGGGTTTCGACCCCGGATCGACGTCAACACGGACCCCGAAGTCGTTTGCCGAGCAAATTAATCCCGAAGCATGCCAGTCGTTCAAGGAAAAAGTGCTGTTTCCCTCATGGAAGGCAAGGGCCGAGGTCCTCCGGTATTGCGGCATCGTCGCCACCAGCCCAGATCCAGATGACCCGGAGGCTGCAATTCTTGAATTGGAAAAGCAACGCGATCGCGAACGGATTGTCGACGAAAGGCTGGATCCCTACTCAGGGCGTTTCTTCCCTCGAGAGGCTCGGACTCAGTCCCTTGCTCTCTTGATGCGACAGGAACGAGCCGTGGAAAACATCGTGCGCAGCAGGACTTGGGATGTCATTCAGGGGAGGTGCGGTGCTCCTGGCCAGAGCTGGGATGATGCTATGAGTAAATGGGAGGCGGCACAGAAGCCTGGCCAGGGCGAAGATAAGCGATGACCGAGACTGAGAGGCATGATATCAGAAGTCACAAAACGGGATATGACTTGGATGTGAAAACGAACATGTGGACTGGAAAAATAGATGCCACGTCTGTATATAACAACTTTGTATTATTACTAGTGTAGCTGCACTCTCTAGCAGCCTGAACATATATACCCACCCTTTTCTGTATCACTTTTACAGCTTTTCGATGGTAGCATTGTTCGATTCAGTGCCGGTAGTTATTCACCTATTTCTATTTTCTTTCTTATTCCTCTGCTTTTGTGGTCACTCGCTTAATATATGAATGGCAACAATCCATCTCCGGATAATCGTCCGAATGTCATAGAAGCCATAGAAGGACAGCTACCCCACCAAGAGCTGCGTCTTCAATTCGGAGCCTTTGGTGGGGTCCTTTTCAGGCTTTGGTCAAGTGGCAGGGCCCGACTCCGAGGTGTAGCCGACACCATCTTCCTGCGCCGATTTCTGGTCCTCCAATTACACCTGCTTGACTCTGGCAGAAACACGCAGCCAAGCTTGAGACAGTTGTTGACGAGGGGCACAATTCAAAAAATTTGGAACCCAATTCCTCGCATTGTCAGTTTGGGAGTTGGCGGTTCACTGTTGAATCTGACTAGCCACGCGACAACGAGCCCTTCGGAGTGTGCCGAACCCTTTCGTCTTCGACAACAGCTTGGCTTGACCTAACAGGCAACAGCGATCTTACCGAATTGCATTAATTGGCCCGATATCAAAGCGAAAGAACGATCTCCAAACCGTATATATTCTAGCACCTGCACAAATCCGTCACGATGCCTCAACCACTGGCGCCGAAGGAAGCGGCGCAGTTCCGAACCATCATCCGCAGTTTTGAGGACAAGCAGTACAAACGTGGCTTGAAGACGGCCGATCTGATCCTCAAGAAATATCCGCGCCACGGCGATACGATGGCCATGAAGGCGCTGATTCTCAACAGCCAAGGAAAGCCCGACGAGGCGTTCCCTCTGGCAAAGGAGGCCCTGACGGTTGATATGAAGTCCCACATTTGCTGGCATGTTTACGGACTTTTGTACCGATCAGTCAAGAACTTCGAGGAGGCAATCAAGGCATACAAGTTTGCTCTCAAGCTTGATCCCACCTCTGCCCAGATCCAGCGAGACCTCGCCATCCTACAAGTGCACGTTCGAGACTACCAGGGATACATCCAGAGCCGGAAGGCTATGCTCCAGGCAAGGCCCCAGATACGCTCCAGCTGGACTGCGTTGGCAATTGCCCACCACTTGTCCGGTAACCTGACCGAGGCGGAAAATGTTCTCACTACATACGAGGGAACGCTCAAGTCGGCACCCTCTCGATTCGACGGCGAACATTCCGAGGCAGTCATGTACAAGAACTCCATCATTGCCGAGCAAGGCGACTTCCAGCGGGCGCTTGATCATCTGGAGAGCGACGCAAAGCACAACCTGGATCGTCTGGCAGTTTTGGAATGCCGCGCAGACTATCTCGCCAAGTTGGGTCGGAAGGAGGACGCTGTTCAGGCCTACCGACTTCTCATTGATCGCAACGCGGAGCACATTGACTATTACGAGAAGCTGGAACAGGCCCTGGAGATCTCTCGGGATGATGCGCCTGCACGAAAAGCCATTTACGACGAGTATGCCGCCAAGTTCCCTCGCTGTGACATTGCTCGACGTGTTCCTCTCGACTTTCTCAGCGGTAAGTAATGAAGCTGCTTTGATGTAGAAAGAAAAGCAAAGGGTATTACCAAAAGAGATTGTTAAACAGCATTCTGATCCAACTTTTACTTATAGGAGACGAGTTTCGGCAAGCCGCAGAGTCCTATGTGGCTCTTATGCTAAATAAGGGAGTCCCGTCTCTTTTTGCCAACTTGAAACACCTTTACTCTGATTCATTCAAGAAGGATACCCTGAGAGAAGTTGTCGAAAAGTACCTTACTTCTCAGGACATTGACTCCGAGAGCAAAGACAAGGGGGAGGCTGCCGGGCTTTACTACCTGGCTCAGCACTACAACTATCACTTGAGCCGCGACTTGGCAAAAGCTGACGAGTATGTCGATCGCGCCATTGAGAAGGATCCTAAGAGTGTCGATTTCCATATGACAAAGGCCAGGATATTAAAGCATGCCGGCAACATCAAGGAAGCGGCAGAGATGATGGACAAGGCCAGAAAACTTGATCTCAAGGATCGATACATCAACAGCAAGTGCGCCAAATATCAGCTGCGAAACGGCGAGAACGAAAAGGCCCTCAAGACTGTTGGCCTCTTTACGCGGGCGGAGACTGTGGGTGGCCCCTTGGCGGATCTCCTTGAAATGCAGTGCATTTGGTACTTGACGGAAGACGGAGAAGCTTACGCTAGACGGGGCAACATTGGACTCGCTTTGAAGCGATTCCAGGCTCTGAACAACATTTTCGACGTTTGGCAGGATGACCAGTTTGATTTCCACAGCTTTTCACTAAGAAAGGGACAAATCCGAGCCTACATCGACATGATTCGCTGGGAAGACCACTTCCGTGACCACCCAGTCTACTCAAGAGTCGCTCTTGATGCTATTAACCTTTATCTCGCCATGGCGGACAAGCCAGCTGCCAATGGAACAAACGGAGCAGATGAAGAAGATGCCCTTGAGAAGAAGAAGGCCGCTAAGAAGGCTAAGAAGGAGCTTCAGCGTCTGGAGAGAGAAGAGGCAGAGAGGCAAGCCAAGCAGGACCCCAACAAGGGTGGTCAGGCAGCCGATGCGAAGAAGAAGGATGAAGACCCTCTTGGCTTGACTTTGGCGGCGACAACTGACCCTCTTGGTGAGGCGATGAAGTTCCTGGGACCAATGCTGCAGGCGGGTCCTAAGAATATCGATGCCCAGATTGCTGGATTTGAGGTTTACATTCGCCGCAGTAAGTGACTTTAGTCTTTCCAGGCCTTATGTATTTACAGATTACTAACGACTGCAATCCAGAGAAATATGTTCTTGCTCTGCAGTGCCTAAACCGGTCTCTGTCAATCGATGCTGAAAACCCCAGGGTACACGAACAAGTCGTCGCCTTCCGCAAGTTGCTTAACAACGCCCCATCAGATCTTCCACCCAAGGTCCTTGAAGCACTGAAAGCAGAATTCACTGCCGTCGATGCCACGGCGGATCTGACAAAGTATAACCAAGACTTCCAGGAAAAGCATCAGGCCAGCCCTCTCCACGTGCTATCTGCCGTCAAGGCTAGGCAAACACTAGGTGTGGATCTTGCAAAGTGCGAGAAGGAAGTCCATGGCCTTATTGAACACGCCAGTGCGACATTTACAGATGCGATTGCGGCGCTGGAGACTCTTAAGAGCTGGAGAAGCGCAGAGGTAGAATCGTTCAGAAAGGCAGCACTTGCAAAGTGGCCCAACGTTACGAGGTTATCAGAGTAAAAAGGGAAAACAAATTACATGGACATATTGCTGTTCGAGAACAAAAGAAAGAAAAGAGAATTGGAGATCAAGTGAACCTTCTGATAGAGACTGATTTTGGGAGGGGAAAGGGGAATGAACTTTAGCTTGTCTAAGAGGTCTGGTTTTGCTTCATATCTTCGCATCATTATTCATATTTATATCGGTAGAGAGAGCCTGTTTGGTTGGCTTCTTCTACAGGTAGATGTGGCTTACTTGCTTTTGGCGGAGTTTTCTTTTCTTTTCTTTTGTTGAAAAAAAGGGGGGAGGACTGGGTGCGTTATACAAAAGTTGGTAGGCATTTGTTGGCTTGAGCTTTAACGATGATGGGCGAATGTTTGCGTCTTGATGCTGAATTGAGATTGAGTTGAATGAGATGAGAGCGCATTGGTAGGGAGCTGGTCTGAGCGCTGTTGGAGCATCTCCCCAGCTTTATGGTGGGTGTTGCTATGCTTGGATTGGATTGGAGGTTGGTGGGAATGTGACTGCGAATAAATACTTGCTTTAGCAATGAGAGACGAATAAATGTTATTGTCAAGCCATAGTCTGCTAAAGTTTCACTAATACTCGCTTACTTACTCCTTTTCTATTTCAACCCAGTGACATTCCCAGAACTCTCGCATTGGCTACCGTACCCAACGCATCAGGTACAGCCTCTGGTGGTACGTAATCCGTGCAAACGGACAGGGCACCTCTTTATTCGGAACAGCGATCCGACTGGGCGCTGCGGAGCGCTGTGGAGCGCTGCAAGCTCTCACTGGCTAATGCTCCTTAGCGACCTGCCCAGTCCGCTGCTTATCCCCTTATCGGAGCTGCTAGGGCCATCTGCCGCGGTTTGCTGGTAGCTTAGTGCTCTTTCATCACCAACTGCAATGCATCTGATTGACCGGCGTTGAACTCTCTCCCTTTCTAGCTATCATTCCTTAAACGCCAAATTCTCACACTCGCTGACATTTTATTTAATTCCTCTTTGTCCCTCCTCCCCCACGGGGCTTCTTGTTTTTTTTACTCTTCTATATTTCTTACTCTTTGACTTCTTAGTGTGTCGTTCGTTTCCCCCCTTGTCAAAGACGACGTCCGCTTAGTCGCTTTCAATTTCCAAACCCTGGAACGCTTCGGGTGCCTCGGCTTGCCCCAGTCTGAGATTTGATTCTTCTTCCCAATGCAGGACGCTGTACGACTCGCGAATATGGACGACGGAGGCAAGACGATGGATCATTCGGCGGCAATTGGCATGCGTCTGAGTCTTGGGGGCAACAAGACGCTGACGATTGGCGAGAAGGACCTTGTACTATTCGGTATGAAGACTCGAAAGAATATCGCGATTGAGATTGAGATGGTTGCTTGTCCATGCACTGTATTGGAGGCTGACAATTGATTCTACGTAGATACCGACGGCAGCAAACACATTTCGTCATCCGGCGGCAAACCGTCTGCCGGCAGGCAGCTCATCGAAGACATCTGCTGCCTCAACTGCTTCCCGAGCCGGAGCTCAGAGGGCAAGGGGAAGCACACGATCCCTCTATACAACGTTTTATGGGCTGAGCTGCGCGGCAATGCTCTGGTTATCGAGTACGCCGCGCCTCGCAAGTCGTCGCTGAAGCTGCAATGCTGGTCGTTTAACATCCCGAGCTCTGAAGTTGAAGCCGACGGCCCGTCGCCTGAGCTGTTTGCATCGGCGCTCATCGCAGCCGCGTATGGCGACGCGAAGCCGCGGAAACGAGCCTATGTGCTCATCAATCCCAACTCGGGCCCTGGAGGAGCGCTGAATAAGTGGAATAAGTTTGTCAAGCCGCTGTTTGAAGCTTCGAAGATGGAGCTGGAGGTGGTGACTCTGACGAGGGGCGGAGAGGCGACGGAGCTTTCGGAAAAGGCAGACATCGAAAAATACGACACTATCATGGCCTTATCGGGCGATGGAACTCCGTTCGAAATCTTCAATGGGCTCGGCCGACGGCCTGATGCTGCGAGGGCGTTGGCCAAGATTGCCGTTAGCCATATTCCTTGCGGATCTGGAAATGCGTTCTCGTTGAATACCAATGGAAGCAATGATGTTGGAATATCAGCCTTGGCGGTCATCAAGGGCGTGGTCATGCCTTTGGATCTCGTGTCCATCACCCAAGGCGAAAAGCGCACCCTTTCGTTCCTGTCGCAGTCTCTGGGAATCATCGCCGAGAGCGATCTGGCGACGGAAAATCTTCGATGGATGGGCAGTAAGCGTTTCGAGGTTGGCCTGGTGACGCGTGTTTTGAAGAAGAAGTGCTACCCCTTCGATTTGTCGGTCAAGTCGGAGATTGAAGGCAAAGAGATGATCAAACAGCACTACAAGAAATATGCTGTTGATCCTAGTCTCTTGAGCGTGGATGCTGAAGCAGAGGCGGGCGCAGAGGGCTTGCCTGAGCTCAAGTACGGGAATGTCCGAGATGAGATTCCTGCAGACTGGGAGACTGCTTCATATGATAATATTGGAACATTTTATGTTGGAAACGTACGTATTGAGACCATCTCGCGAGTGATAACATGGCTAACAAACCAAACATATAGATGGCTTACATGTCGTCCGACGCCAACTTCTTCCCTGCTGCTGTGCCTACTGACGGCTTCATGGACATGGTCCTGATCAGAGCGGATATTTCGCCAATGGCCGTCACCCAAGCGTTGCTTGCCGTCGAGTCTGGCAAATTCTTTGACAATCGCAACGTGACGTACAAGAAAATCTCGGCATACCGCATCACGCCGCGGAACCAAGACGACGGCTACATCAGCATTGACGGAGAGCGCATCCCGTTCGAGGCGTTCCAGGCCGAGATCCACCGCGGCCTCGGGCGCGTCATCTCGAAGAGGGGAGTGTATGAGGCCGCGGGCCCCGCCGGATGGGAGAAGGCATAGGGAGCATTCTGCCGGATGGCTGGATAACGTTGACGATGTGTCTGTTTTGTTTATTGTGGAAAAGAGGGAAAACTAATGTGACAGCGCGAAGAAGGGTTTGGGAGAGGACAGATCTTTGGCGAAAATAATTCAGCGGGAGAAATCGGAACTTTGACACGTATTGTGCGAATTTGAGAAAGCGGATAAGGCCATTAATGAAGACGAGTGAACAGGCCTCGGATACCCTCATTTTTTACTTTTTGCTTTTCTTTTTACCAACTGCTTGATATGCAGGAATGGATAGTATACCCAGTTTGGAGGGCAAGGATGCTCTTAAGCTACCTATTTACAGTGGTATCAGAAACTTGTTATAAAGCGTCATAGAAGCGGATTTAATGCTATGAGAAAATTTTATAAATGAGTACCTATCTAACTATGTGATCACGATGTCTTCATCATTTGCCTCCCTCCTGTTTTGAAAGCAAAATTTTCCCTCAACGCCAGTCTCGTATTTCTGATGGAGAATTCTTGCTGTGCATGGATCCTGTGACCGGTGAAGAGTCAAGATTCAAGCCTTGTGGGCCAATAAGCATCCTCATGTACCTTGATGGTCTTCGATGGCTTCGAGTGACTGTTCTTCTAGATAGTGGCTTGCGGATGGTTACGCGTATATGGCCGGTGGCGTCAGGCACGATGGCTTCGATGTTCACGAGTGTATACAATGGAGGTATAGAGGAAGTACTATTAGTAAAGGCAGCGAAGGTAACAGAGGAAAGATAAACCATAGAAATAAAACGATTAATAGAACTAGCGCGCGTATATGAAAGAGAAAAAGATGGAATCAGACAAAGAAGCTATACGTGTGAAATAAGCTCATACTGAGTCTTGTATGCGTAGGTTGGACAGTCTTTGTATTTACTATGAAGGTATCGTGAAGATCCTGGGCTTGGTTACCGGTGGCGTAACGGTATACTGGGCTGATGCTAATAATACGTTTTGGTGTGAATTTAATTACTGGTGTATGCCGCAAACAAGTGGAATACGTGTTCTCGTGGCGTTGCTATTGCGAGGGTATAAATTCGAGCGTTGGATCATCTTCTCCGGAGAGCTCCTTCTCTTCTCTTAAAGCGTTTTCACAAAGTGAACTTGATCATTGACATCAAACTGATAGTTCCCCCGGAACAAACCACCAATATATCAACATGAAGACTTCAACTATCATCGCCATGGTATTCACCATGATTGCTATCTCTTCCGCCCTGCCTCCCCCCCTGAGAAGCAACATCAGCGCTTCGCACGCCGACAAAAAGGGAGGCTTTACCCTTCAAGCGCGCCAGGACACGGTGCCCCGCTGCTCGGTGCCGTGTATCCAGAACGCAATCGCAAAGGTGACGGATTGCCATTTTGCGGATTATGCTTGCGCTTGCAAGTACCATGGCGAGGTCTCTGGCGCTGCGACGGCGTGTGTTGTGGGATCTTGTGGCCTGCAAAGGGCAGTTCGTATGTACTATCTTTCGTTTTCTTCTGCTGCTGCATCTATTAGAATACCATATCTGCTATATCTGCTACATCTATTACATCTACTGCATCTACTACTACTTCTTCTCCTCCCCTCTTTTTCTAAATTTCCATCATTTAAGTTAAATACTAATAAACTTTTGTAGAAATTGTTGTGCCGGCCATTCGAAAGTTGTGTGAAAAGGAAGCACTAAAGGACGTTAACGAGAAGGAAGAAAAAGTTAAAAGAGAGCTGGAAGTGGTCGAGGAGGAAGATGAGGACGAAGACGAAGACGGGGAGGAGGATGAAGACGAGGATGAGGATGAGGAGGAAGATGAGGATGAAGATGGGGATGAAGATGACGACGACGACAAGTTCGAGTTGTACGACGACGAATTCGATGAGTATGAGGATGACGAAGAGAAGAAGGAAGAACAGGCGAAAAGACAGTTAATAGTGCCTGATGAGGATGACCTGGTATTTGACATCGACCCTGTGAACGCGGATGACTACGATGAGGAAGAGGAGGAAGAATAAGCTGAAGTAGGGCCTCTTGAAGCCCCAAACTGTTTGGATCGGCTGTTTGAGTTTCCATATATTGTTTAATCCTGCTTTGTACGAGCACAAGATACCTCAGTCGTTAGGTAATGTTTTCATTGTTATTTACGACGATGTTAACGAGCGAGCAAATATTTTCTTATTGAACCTGTCTACTGCGTGAACTGCGGGGAGTACCTCATGCGACTTCGTGATGGCAGGTTTTGGCATCCCCAAGAGACGTCGCTATTCGGCTAAGGCTTCTAATTCAAGACGGTCGTCTTTCCAATCTTCTAATATTGTCCTCATAGTCTCTGAGCCCGGCTCTGCACCCTTTTCCAGTAAATCAAAAATGAATTGGCGATGCTCTCTTGCCTCAGTGAGAGCTAAATCTAGTGGTGTAAGCCCTTTGATATTCTTGGCATTAATTTCAATCTCTGGGCCAATGCTCATGAGTTTGTCAAGCATTTTGCACTTAGTAGAGTCACGAAATCTCCGCGCAGACAGTGTGTGCAGCGGAGTATCACCCTCCTTGTTCCTTTGCAATGCCGCTTTGGTGGTTGATGTTTTATCATGCTCTATTAGCTTTTGCACGGCTTGAACACCCCCACTGTGCAAAGCTTGCTGTAACGGCGAGAAGCCACGAAAGTTGAGCACTGTCGTATTGGCCCCCTTACTGAGTAAAGTTTGTATGAAATCAATCTGGCCTTTGCGAACAGCAATATGCAGTGGAGTATCATTTCTCCCTGATATAAGAGCGTCAATATTCGCATTAGCATTCAGAAGTGCTTGAAAGATCCTCTGTTTTTGGTTGAGGATAGAAATATGCAATGCTGAATATCCATCTCCATCAGCATCGTCAACGCTGGCTCTCCTGTCCAACAACTGCTGTAAAATATCTTGATTCTCCCCCAAAACAGCACCGAGCACTGGCGTGTATCCCTTTCTCTGATCTGCGTCGACGCTAGCGTTCATATCAAGTAGTCGCTGCACAGCCTCCCACTCTTTCTCATAGATTGCAATAAGCAATGCCGTTTGTCCGTACTCATCAGTTGCATCAATAGCCGGTGTCTTTAGGTTGTTGTCAAGTAAGAAATTGAGAAAGTCAAACAGGCTGCCGCTCTGCGCTGCTATATGCAATGCAGTTGCACCGTCTTTAGCCACTGTATTGACGTCGGCACCGGCGTGAAGCAATAGCTTTGCAACCTCCAACCCATCTTTTCCACGACTTAGTGATACATGTAGCGGGGTTCTTCCATCTTTCCTCGATGTTTTGACATTCGCACCAACTTGAATTAATGTTTGTACGGCATCTGTTAACTCATATTCCACAGCAAGATGCAGAGGCGTACGGAGTTCATTGTCGCCTATGTTGATAGTATATGTGTGAGCGTGGGATATGGACCGCAGTAGTTCATCGTGCCCATATATGGCAGCTAGATGAAGAGGAGTCCAACCGAACCGATCTGGTAGATCAATATCGTCTTCCAATAAGTGGACCATCTCAACGTTTCCTCGACTGCAGCCCAGTGAATCGGGTGTCTCTCGTTGCGATCCACATGGCGTATATTTCTTCTGTGCTTTTTGTAGCCAATCAGTTGTTGTACTATTTCGACTTTCCCGCTTTGGACAGCGCAGTGCATTGGCGTGATTCCGTCTTTCCCAGCAATCTCAATCGGAGTTTTGTATCTGAGCAGCATATCCACCAGTTCCTTGTTGCCGAAGACACAAGCATGGTGCAAAGGTGTCCATTCCATGAGGTCTCGAGGCGTAGGGAATGCAGTCTCGTCGCTTTCTTGCCAGTTGTTATCTATGTCTAAGGTCAAATTGGCAGCATAGTGAAGCAGCGACCAACCAAAGGCATCAGTCTTTTCAAATTCTTCGATATTCCGAATAGCTAATCTTTGCTTGGAATCTCTTGCCTTTATGATATCGAGATTCGTAGCAGTAATTTGAAAACTACTCGGAAATGATATCGGGGTGCTATTGATGCCGGCCAGCATGCTGAGAGTCGCGGCGAAGAATTGATGTCTATCTGGCAAGATGGTCGAAAAATAAGCTGAAAAAGTATCACCAGCCAAAATTTCTTTGAGGCTTTCTAGTTGTGTTATCAAGTCATCTTCTATCCTCCTTTCAGTTTCTTGAAGCTTTGCTTCATGGTGCAATCTGTAGAGAAATCCGAGGCAGATAGCTACAGCTCGCGTGGAAGAAGAATCCTTTTCGAGATCGAAGCGCAGAGCTAATTTGAGAAGACGATTACAGGTCTCAACCACATTTTCCCATTGTAGTGTGCGTTCGTATTCATGTGCTTCCCTTGCGACATCATCGATAATATTCTTGACGTTCGTCAACTTATGTTCAAGGGTGAGAGGTATAATTAGATCAATGTAGATGTCCGACAGTGATCCAAATCCGATCTTCTCTAATTTTTTCGCCAAGTCGGAGATAGTTTCGTTTTTAAGTTTCATCTGCTCCCATCCTCCACTCATTGTACTAGGAGACAAAGGATGTGCACTCGATGCGCTTGCAATGTCAACCTCCGGCATCTTTGCAATTGCGCGCATGAATGAATAGAACAATTCCCGAGAGAAGAGCCTTTGCCGATTGTCTTGACATTCAAAAACAAAATATTTCTTCATGAGGTCGGGCTGTGCTGTAGCAGTTGATTTTTTCGCGGCGCCGTCTTCAACGTTGTAGCCCACGGTTATGCGTTTTGGTTCTTTTTCAATAAGTTCAGTAAGTTCGTTTTCTGAATACGGCTTGAAGCTTTGCGGAATATTTTCGGGCATCCACCACTGAAGGTCTCTAGTTAGGCGTTCTTCAGATCCATCTAGTTCATAAGCCCTCAAATTCCGTGGTCGACTAATTTCAGGAAGGTCTATCGATGAGGTTGAGTACAACCATAAAGAGAGAATTGCCTCTAGTTCTGTTTCGTCAACTCGCCATGCATGTGACTCATCTTTGTAAATTGTTATGTAGATCTTTCCTTTGACAACCTTTTCTTCGACAACCTTTTCTTTGACATTCTTTCCTTCAGTAGGCTCTGCAACATTGTACTGTGTGTAAATCGCTGGAATGCTCCATTTATAGCTTTCGTTCGGTCCACTTAAGAATGTAGTCGCGACTGCTTCAATTGCTCTTGATAGATGGATAGCCTCTTCCAAGAATGGACTTTTCCACTTTGAAAGCTTTCCCAAACGTTTTCGCATCAGCATAATTCTATGAGGTTCCGAATCTTCGATAGGCTGACTGCTATCCGTATGACATGTCAGCTCACCCCCGGTACGAGTACGAATTTCCCATTTGGGCCGGGTTTCGTCTCTTGCATCTTTCTTTTGGTCGGCAGAGTCTCTTGAAGTTTGACCAGGATTGACCCATGGGGCTTTAGAAAGTTGTCCAAAGCTCAAGACAAACCAGTCAAGCTCAAATTTCGGATTCAAGGACGTATGAGCGGGAGGCTTTCCTAAACCGCGTCGAACTATGACACGCATTATAGTAACCAGTATCGTGATTCCAAGCTGTACGATTGATGCTGTCCAGTTTAGTCCTCGCATTCCGATAAATTGCGAAATGAATCCAATGAGAGAAATGAGAGCGCCAATAAACGTAATAGGTTCCATTGGCCAGTATAGAGGTTGGCTGTCAACTTCTGTTGTACGCTTGTCATTATTGTTGCCCGTTTTCTCCGCTGTTTTGTCGTAATGGAGTAGTCTGTTTAGGACATGAACAATAGGGCCTCCGATTTCATTTCGTCGATGCTTGATATTTCGTCGTCGAGACATGGTAATATATTGTCGTTCGCTAGTTGGGTAAACTGCAAATGGCTTGAACACTTGGTCGCTCACAGTATGATCTTTCTGTAGCCATACAACATATATGTGGTGATTCTCTGCTTCGTAGCATGTTTCTTTCGTGCTTTTGCCAACGACCCAAGAGCATATGAACAAGCCAAGCACAAGCAGCAGAGTTCCCACTGCGGCGCATGGAAAAGCGTATTTGACCACCTTTCTGCCATCCTTCAAGAAAGTGTCTTGGGTAGGTTTGTAGTAGGTAATGAAACCGAAATACACTACAGCTCCAAATTGTAGAATCAGGCCAATAGCAGCAGCAACATATATTTCGCTCCGGCCGACTCTATCGTGGCAATTAAGTAGAAGATTTGGAGCGCTGCCATCCTTGTCTTCAATAACAATGATTTTCAAGCCTTCTTCATTTTCTGGGTGATTTGTTGAAGGAGCGTCCATCGAATGGGCTTTCGTTCGAGTTGAACATTCAGATATTCTTGTGGGAGGGTCCATGCCTGACTCCTGTTGACTTTCCGCGGCTGAAAGGGAGCGTTCTTTTGTTGCAGGGTGAAATAGAAAGACTCGCACTCGTTTCAATTTGCCGGACATCAAATTTATACCATCTCTGTAGCCCTGCCAAAGGCATTTTAATTTGCTTGATATCGAAGTTGTACTCTTTATGAAACCCTGTTGAATAGATGTTGACCCAGTTCTTTCTAAGATGTACGTTAGCAAGCGACAAGAACGTGATAGGAACTATTGGCGCATACTTGTTATCTTGAACCACTCAGTTTCTTCTTGGACCTGGTTATTTTCTTTTTGGACCTGTTCAGTGTCTTCTTGCATCTGTGCAGTTTCTTCTTGAACATGTTTAGTATTTTCTTGAGCCTGTTCAGTTGCTTGGCCATCGGTTTGGTTGTTCTCAGCATTCCCGCCATTTTTCTTCTCCGTCTCTTGATGGGCATCTGCTTGTAGTTTTGTGCATTCAACATCGAATGGCTTCAAATCTTCGATTTTTTTGGTTTTCGGTATCAAGCAGATAAACTGGTAAATATCGGCCGACCCGGGGCATCTGACCACGCTGTTGCCATTCCAAAGTTCGCAAGTTTCTGTCGAAGTGGATGACATAACTTCTACCTCCGCCGCAGCAAGGTTTTCTCTCGCTCGTCCGATAAATGATTTCAGCCAAGCTGGCCCTGCTACCCTAATAGCGCTCACGACGGTGGTGATGGCTCCAATTGGGGCCACGGCCAAGAGGATGCAGTCTGCTATACCGACAGCTTGGCTCATGAATTGCATGACTACCCGCTCGCCAAATAGCGCGATAATGCTAGAAAGAAATGATCTTAGGTTGGAATTCAGAGATAGAGAAGGCTCATTGAGACAATTTAAAGGGTACTTACGGACCGAGATCCGAGGCGAGGTTATTCGCAAAGTCGTCGCCGCCATCGGCAGATGCGCGGCTCGCCAGCCACAGAATCAATAAAGCTGAGAAAAAGATTCGCTGGGACATTTTAAAACACTAATTTACTGCTCAATGAAGGGGTGTGAACTGATCAAGCAGCAAAAAAACAGACTTGGGCATATACTGGATGCTTGCGATCGATGAATTGCGTGTGGAAAGACGCGGACAACGTGGATCGTCGTGATACTTGAGGGGAAACAGCAACTGCCAGCAAAGATTTTCACTTAGGGGTTGTCTACATGCATATATAAGGTGTGTATGTCTTACTACATCTTTGCTTTTTCCAGTGGCCAATATTCAGCCGCACAATATATTCCAGAGCCTGATCGAGTGACCCCAGCACCCAGCGCTTTGCTCACCCGCAGCATCCTCTTGACTAAGCGACTTCGAACATTTTCAACTCCTCCACCATCAACCGAAAGATAACTGATATCGTTTTCAGTTGGCTGAACAGCTAGGCCGATGCTTGAAAGCAAAATCAGAAGCCTCTTGATATTGTGAATACGGATTATAGTATACTCTTGTAAGGAGCACTGGATCAGAACTTGCTTATGTCAATTTCACTTAGATATCGCTCGGAAAGGCCCGCATGGAACTAGCAGGGATCGAGTACCCTCAATACGCACTTTATCTGGCCGTAGTAGTATAAACCAAATAAATGGCGTAGTGGTCGTGGGGGCTACTGAGGGGAGCCCTCCTCTCGTTAAACAGCGAAATGTTGACTGGCTTTCCCATCCTTTGGCGTTATATGTATTCTTCATAGCAGAGAGCCGACTTTGTTTCCCGCTTTTCTCCTAAAAAAAGTCATCAAGACAAATAGCCTTGTTGACTTGGAATAAAGTCTAATGTGTGGGCCGGCATCTTTATCGCAGCCTTGTCCACACGCACCACAGCTTTTGGCCTGTCCATTCCTTCTTAACCCCTGTACCGCATTTATAAGCACAGCTGAGGGGTATTACACATCGGCGAATGAATTCAGCTCTGTTGTCGAATGGGGCTGAGGAAATACGAGATTCATGCCAACGCCTGAGGCTGCTCAACTTGGTTGCATACAATCTCTTCCATGCCTCTCTCTCTTTGCTTCTTTTTACCACTTCTCTTCTGATTCTAATTCAAGCAAAGAACAGGATTACCCAGTCTTCTCTGAGATCTTATCCATTAACCATTTGCCAATAGCAGTCATAGTGGTAGTATCTCACCACTTTGGGTTCTATTCTGGCGCAATTTCTTGGCCTCAGCTTTCGTCTGGGTCTCACTGCAGGTGGCACCAACACAGAACTCACCGAAATCCAAGTTAAACCAATAAGCGTCTACAACTGCGACAGGGGTATATGTCGGCTTCTCCTTTTCCAGCGGAAGCCGTATTCGTGTACCCAGCGGCTGGGTTGGCCCCGGTCCGTGTAGCTTACTAGTGATATATATCAGTAGCACTAGCAAATGTCGAAACACAAACGCAATTTGGAGTAGGTTGGGTGAGCGCCTCGGAGGCTGAGCGGAGGACGATAGTATTGTGAAATATATTTAAGTAACACTTAGTTACAGCGAGCCTCCCATCTTACTTCGCTTTCCTTCTCTAGAGGCACGATGGCAAAGCGCAGTTGTAACATCCACTAGCTATATATTTCGCCAAGATAGAGGACAGAGATAGCATTTTACAAAGTGAAATGAAATTTCCCAATAGTTGCGTTAGCTATTGTGCTGATCTTCCAATGATCGCATGTTACGCAATTTCGAGTCCTAGACTCATAAAAGGTTCGAAAAATCGACCAAAGGGAATCCAGCTAGCTTAAGTACTGATGTAATATAGGTAAGATTATAATTCTTTATGGGAAATACCTCAGCTAGGAGATCCTGGAAGCAAGTTAGTCAAGTATGCAATTTAATAACTTATGTTGTTCTCACCGTCGGAGTTTTTATTGTAATGTTGCCTAAGAGCTTTACCAATTGAGGCTGAGAAAGAAGTGATTCTACACCCAATGTGAGGATAATGGGAGAATTGTTGATCAAAAGAGGAGTTGGAGTGAATCCAAGATCCGTCGGTAGCCTTTCATGCTCAATTATGCTTCGCACCCATTCCAACTTGGGGCTTCCCCCGAGGCTGGCAAGTAGCAGTCCATTCTCCAAGGCGCCAAATGCAATGGAGCGAGCACCACAGTCTTGAGCAGGATTATGAGCAAAGTCAAACAAATCTCTCGCTGTTCTGGCTGCCCCTATGGCCTGAGGAGTGATAATAGAGTAGTTTTTCAGAACTTGGAGAGGAACAGACCAAATCGTTTCGTTGAAGTCATTATTATCGCCATCTCCAATATCTGGGCGAGATAGACTGCAGTCATGATCGATGAAGCCATGATTAGACAGCTCATGCAGATCAAATGAGGCAAGTGTGTATGACTTTAAGAGCTCTGCAACACCTGCGATAGCGGAGAACTCTGGTGAGAGACCCAAACCTTCAAAGGCGCCTCGAATAAGATCGATGGCTGTAATATTCTTGCCACTGTGCGGCAAGAAGCCATGGTTGGCGAGAGAGTTTAGAGCTGGGCAAGGGCCACGAGCTGCCACCTGATGTTAGGCTCTTAAAGTCGCGGTAAGACTTATACTTCAATCATCACTTACAATCGTCAGGTCCGGGTGACTGCCAGTCATAGAATCTAGGATCAAGCGGATTGAAGATGGGTAGTGGGAGAAGTTGGGCACATCCAATGCTTCCCATGAAGAAGATGGAGACCAGAATTGACAGCCACTTCATCTCGAAATAGGTTTAATAGGAATAATTGGCACGAGGTGTAATATTTCTGCGTCTTGTTCAAAATGTCTCACGGATGGATACTGGCCTATTTCTAGTCAAACGACTTTTATTAAATCCATCCCATGGCCCTTTATAGATGATGCTATACAACTCATCGCGGTACTGCGGGGGAATTTGATAAATATGCATCCTTGTGGCCTATAGGAACATCGATACCACGTTGATGATGGATGGGTGACAGCGAACGTATAGTCGATCCTATCACAACTTCGTGCTCAACTCCCAGGTCAACTGTTAATATACTGCGAGCCTCATAACAATGGCTTTATCAAGCCTATATGACGTAAAAGCTACGCTGCAACAAAGGCACATTGAGGTCTAGATTCTGCATGAATATGAAGTCGGGAATATCTATCGGTTATTACTGCCGGCTGGCAATGTGGTGGTTGTAGGTGTGGTAGATCTGAGCCAAAACAGGTTTATAATGCGACATTGATGGCAGAGCGTGATAAATGCTACGTAGACGGTGAAACTCGGCTACGAGCTACGTAGTGGATGGTGACTTGCAGCAGGCTCTGATATATAGTCCTATTATGGCCATATGCAGAGGGACTATTCCAATACCAGTTTTCTTTACTTATCATGGACCAATGATGTTAATCACGTACTTGGGCTCGAATCATTTTGGATAAACCCGAGTGGATTGTTCTTGGGTAGCTTCCATCCCATCTATTGCTTCAGTGCTGGCTAAATCAGGCTCAAAGCTACCGCCAGGACGATCTTCCGTGGGAGAGGGGTAATTGTGGTAGACGGAATCAGAAGCTCGCTCTGAGATTCCTCCGAATCTGTAAGGTGAATGTATAAAGAGGATAAGAAGCATTGCTAAGATACATCATAATAATAATGGCCAGCGCAAGCACTTTAAAAGCGATGGGAAAGCTAATAGTCGCGGCGGAATCTTAAGTATAACTCAAGCATCAGTTCTTTGTGTAAGCGACATCTTATTGGCACAAGCATGGTCGTCGTTTAAAGCTTTGAATCAGGAATTAGAACCACTGTTCAAAGGGGGCTAAAGAAGCTTTCGCAAATGATCAGTATAGAAAGGTGTGGCTCCAGATTAGCGGCTACTACTTGCACGGTGGATAGCTAGGCCTTGCTATACAACTACACATTGCATCCATAGCTGTTCTAACCTCATATGCGAAGAACATAATTCTAGATATGGATATGCTGGACGCATTTGACATCGATAGCGGGTCACCAGTCTATTCAGGCCGCCAGGAACAGCCATTATGGCCCTTTTAGGAGCTCACCGTAGCTAGCGCAAAGCTGAGAGAATCTATAATGGGCTCAAATCATTATAAATGGTATTCTGAGGCAATGCTTCTAAAATTTTATAAATTGACTCTAAAACAGAAGAGAACGGTCAGATTGTACACAAAAATGGGCACCAGAATCATTCTTCGAAGTCTGGTGGGATATTCTCACATGCAGTTATATGACGGCATGACTTATGCCTAGATAGACTCTTCACTGAGAGAGACTACCACTTTATGAGAGAACTGGCTCGTATAGCACGGATTCTGCATCGCTCGTAGACAAGATAGACGAAAGAGGAACAGCTTCAAAGTGCGATAAGCAGTATTGATGTAGCTTCAATTCGAATATAAATTGAAAATATTTCGGATATAAAAAGAGCTTTTATTAGAGCCTTTCCCTGATGAAAGGTACCATGCCTAACAAGCCTCAAATTCTACTATAGCCTATGCTGACGCAAGTCAAACCCCAATATCTTATTCTAGCTATAATACACTATCTTGATACATCTTTGACCTCTAAAAATTCACTGCGAGATCCTAAGGACACGTATAACAGTACGGTATTTGGCAGGGCTCCCCACCCTGGCAACAAAGTTGGTTTCCGTCGCAGGGGACAGTGATCTGTTTCGGAGTTAACAAAGCCTCACAATGTTCATTAGGTCACTTACGCAGCCAGTGGTCCAGGTGTCAGTCGCATGACGATAGATTGGTGGGTCTATTGTGAAAGTCTCGCACTTCATAGTAGCCCGTGTCTCGTAACGGTTGGGAGTTGCTAATGACCCTCCAAGCAATAGCAGAAAGCTTGCGAGGAGTTTTCCAGACATGAACATATTGTGTGAAGTATAGGTTTAATTAGGACTAGGGCTTTGAGAACAATGGAAGCTGTCGAGTAGTTTAAGTTTGTTTGCTGTTGACTGGTGGCGTAAAGACGGTATTTATATTATCTTCAAGCCGTGCCATTATGAAGGGTATGGTTTTCGTGGCAAGACCAAATAAATTTTTTTTTTACTCCATAATCGCAGAAAGTACTGCAATACCAAAGGCTGTACGTTCGCTATGTTCTTGCCCTTGGGGGTTCTTCAGCCTCGTTTGCGGCCGGTGAAATGACGCAGGGGGGACTAATGATGACCAACACTAAATCCACACCAGATGGCGCTCCCATGCGGTCCTCTTCAGTTTATACAACCAATGAAGGGTTACGCAGATAAATTGAACTGAAACTCTAGGTCGGGGTCCATTATGAAGACGAAAGGCTATAGCTTTATTGCTGCTATATCCGCCGAGCAGTCGGACCATTGGCAACACTGCATGTCAGTTAACCTGGATAGAACATGGCTGGAGGATCGCCGGAGGATCGCCAGAGGACCATTAAGGGGTCGCTAGAGGTTACACGGCAGCCGTTACCGTTCCTGTATTCCTCAAGATCCATTCATTGTTTATCGACCAGGAGAATTCGAGATCACTGCAATGCCGAAGCAGGGCTTTCGTATTTTGCTGCAGCATAGTACGGCCAGCTCAGCTACGAAAACCCTTGGCGGGATCTAGATTGTTACAGTATAAACGGCAAGTGTGGAGAAGCAGTTGTCGCGATGAACTAAGGACTCCAAGGTGGTTTCGCTTTGAGTACGGAATTGATCGTTTTCAGCTTCCCAAAACCGCAGAGAATCTGGCCAAACCCACTAGATGGATATCCCATCCATAGAGTAACAAGGCCATAAACGAGTGCATTTGCGAACTCTGCCATGTATCGCTGTAGATAGCTGGCTCTCCATACCTTACCAAGAAACATGTATTCCTACGGACGCTAGCGGGCGTTCCCGTCGGCTAGAGCGCCACAGCCACCTTCCAAAACAGCTTATAGCGCATTGATGTCTTGGAATCTGCAGTGCCGTGCTAAAAGTCTCTTGTGGGTTGCGTATCTGTAGCTAGCTGGGCTAATAACCACGTAACAGAGTCATCAGCTTTTGACCAAACATAAGTAAACTGGTTGCAAATTCAGGCACGTATAAAAAGTTGATTAGCCGCATAGACATGTTCGAGATCATACATTTATGTGTAAACATGGCTAACAGCGAAGACTGTGTTATCTCTATGACACCAACTACGCTCGATCGGCTGTCTCATTATGGGCATCAGTTCTAGATATACTGTGATTCTAATTCATGATGACGGGAAAATACACAGTTGGGGTTTCGCTAATAAGTGTTTGTCAAATCAGGCTCTAGCGGCCTTGGAGATTAGCATTGATGACCTTTAGTTCAACACCTTCACTGAGGAGACTGTTCTCGAGCTCAATTCCAGCAAATAGAAACATAGATTCACTCCTGGATAGCGAGACTTACCTTGATCCAAACTCGACACCTGCTGTTAATAGTCAAATGAGGCTCAATCTAACAGGCCCTCGTGACATGCATGGCGCAATTCAGCCTCAGGGAACACAGCCTCTGTGAAAACGCCTAGACAGCCGCTACAGCAGATCAAGTATGGGCGAGTGTGCCAAAAACCTGCTTAGCGTCTTGTGTCGCTAGCTGCTAATTGGCTGCACAAGCAATAAAGTCCTAAGCCACATCCTACGCTGTCGAGAATGGGCAACCTGCAAGTACAGTACATAAATGTAGAGACCTGTAGTTTGAGAGCTAGACGAGCCAGCTCTTTTATGCTAGATGGCGGCCTCGCGTACCTGAAGCATGGCTTGATACAACACAAAACGCTGCAAAATCCACTAATACCAAGTCTCCTGTTTAAATTGTATAAAGCGAATCAAGTATTTCATTCATATACCTCAATTCCGAATAACAATCTTTCTAGGAGGCGATGTAGTGAGCTTGTCGAATATACCGATTATAGCCACACGCGCTCTCTGTTTGTCCCCAACTTCCCATACAGCCAGTACATCTACAATGGTGCTTCTAAATCCTCGTCTGGGGTCTTTCGGCGAGTGCCTCAACTGCACCGCCTCCGATCTGTACGACATCTTCAGTTTTGAGTCTTCCGACCGTGTGCATGCGATAAAATTCCGAGATGCTTTTGCCAACAAGGAAATCTGCGCGTTTTGTCGACTTCTCGCGCAGACGGCCCGCAAATTCACGCCCCATCAAGTCGTTGATCATCGAGATGGAGTGCCGGTGACGTTCAACTTCTCTGTGAAGCATTTTCAAGACACTCTGGCAGAGCTAGGAAGCCGCTTTCTGCATGTCACTATATCTCCGCCTCCGTCGCCTCTGGATATAGATAAACAACTTACATTCCGCCTCATCCCAATATCCGAGTCACTGCCCGAGTCATTGTTCCACCGTATTGACCAGGACAAGATCGATCTCGAAATCTGTCGCAAGTGGATCGCCAAATGCGATCGCGAGCATACCAGCCAATGTGGTGCTTTTTCCAGTCCAACGCAATCTGGCCCAGGGTCGTCGTTTCGCCTAGTTGATGTCGTTGATGAATGCGTTGTAGTATCGCCGCCCGGCGCTCAATACATTGCTTTAAGCTATGTATGGGGCCGGACTCAATATCTGCAGTTGAATAGCCAGACTGCGCATGTCTTAGCAGAGAAAGGCAGTCTATTCGCTCAGGAAACTCCCATTGGCCAGACAATTACGGATGCCATCACGGTGGTGAAGGCTCTAGGCGAAAGATATCTCTGGGTCGATCAGCTTTGCATCAATCAAACTGAAGCCAACAAATATCTACATATCAAGTCGATGGACAGGATTTACGGAGCCGCCTTACTTACCATTGTGGCAGCCGATGGTATCGATGCAAACGCCGGTCTTCCAGGCGTTCGACCAGGAACACGAACTCGAAACATCAACCAATTACATGAAGAGATCTGGCCAGGCTTCTCTATTGCTACCGCTCTTGATCTACCCCTAGACCCGGCCGGCTCAGTCTGGGGCTCTAGAGGGTGGACATTTCAGGAGCAGTTACTGTCTAGGCGTCTGCTTCTGTTCTATCAAGGCAGTGTGTTTTGGCAATGCCGGAGTGCATATTTCTGCGAGGATGCACCGGCTACGATGAAAACTCAAGCAAAACAAATACAATGGCTCGAACAGCTGTCGCCTCGCTGGGCACAAGACGAATCTCCAATACAGCACATTGAGAAGCAATGGGAGGATAACGAAGAGGATTTTATGCCAGTCCAATTGTGTCGTCCTGTCGTCTTTACCGAATACGCAAAAGCGGTGACAGAGTATACTAAACGGCGCCTCACTTTTTCTGACGATATTATCAACGCCTTTGAGGGAATCTCGAGCCAATTGAGTCACCATATGGGACACAAGTTCCTGGCTGCCCTTCCTGAAAGTTACTTGGACATAGCATTGCTTTGGACCCCGTCTGTCTTGCAAGAGCGTCGGAAGAGTGAAGACACAAGATTTCCTAGCTGGTCGTGGGTTGGTTGGGTTGGACAGTCAGGATATGACGCTCCTGGCCCAGACGAGAAGGAGTTGATAGAGTTGACGACAAAGTGGTATGTCAAAGATGGGCCTGCGGAACCTCGTCTAGCAAACGACGTGGGTATGGGTATTGATGAAGCCCCTCTCGGCTGCATTCTCAGCATCAACGCGCTCTGCTGGGAGCCCATATTTGAGTCTATCGGAGGGCAATCTGGAAAGAGGCCAGCGGTAGACATTCCCAGCATGCAAGGCCCGTATCTTCAATTCTGGACGAGCTGCTCGTTCTTCACCATTGTCCACAGAAAGTGGCGCGATCCAGAGACACTTCAGATGAATTCATCAGTGAGGAAGCCGATCCATGCGCATATCCACTGTACGACGGGCAGCAGACGCCAACTTGCAGGACGCCTGATCCTCAACGGCAATGGGCCTGACGAAGTTGTAGAAGGCAAGCATGAGTTTATTGTTCTTTCTGGAGCCTTAGTAAAGGGATTTGACTCTATTACTGGAAACGTGACGTATTCGGACGAGGCGGAGATGTACAATGTTATGCTTGTTGAATGGGATGACCAGCATCAGGTTGCAACTCGGCTAGGTACTGGTAGGATATTCAAAGAGGCGTGGGATATGTCTTTACCTACCATTCGATTTGTAACGCTTGGTTGACCTTTCGTTGTAATCCACACATTTACGACTGTTTGAACAATCTTCATTCCGTCCTTGCTTCGGTGTATATACTTGGTTACGTATCTCATAATAGTTTGCATGTCAAAACATGATTGCACCCAGGATTCTTTCCTGCATCTATGATCAGAGCCTCTTTTCTATTCTTCCTCTAGTCTATCACGTCAAAGGCATAATAAGGAATTATGCATGATGAATTAGCTTAATTAGGCCACGCACGGAGCCCGCACCACGATAACGTATAACAACTGACTATGTCAAAACTAGTTACATCCTAACAACTCAAATTCTCCTATTACGTTTTGTGTTATCGGCTTATCTTCAGCCCGTATGACTCCTTGAAATTGTCATATGAACAGCGCCAAAGACATATTATGCGGTTATTACTATTGCGGCTTCTTCGGGCTAATGCATGTGTTGCTACGTGGTACGAGGACGGACGAGACTATTTAACTCCCTTGCGGCCATCGTGCTTAGCAACTAGTCGTCGCACAACCTCACTGGCTCGCCAGGCGAAGAGGCGCTGACCAAGGGAGGCTATGTTTTCGGAGCTGAGAATATATGACGCCTAATCTGGTCTTTGCTATAATATTGACTCTTATTAATATGTATTGGTACTAGTACTATATGCATTGACCCCTTACATGTGATAGCTGCTTGCTCTCAGCTATAAAGTCTATCCCATCGCCCTGTATTATGAGAACATGTCCTATATTCCATCTTCAACTTCAATTTGACTCATATCAGTAATACCAGTATAGACAACTCCAAGATGGCAACAATCAACACCAGCGTGATCTATGTCTTGAAAAATAGCTTCACGGCTGCAGCCAAGATTCTTGCTCAATCATCATCTGATGGCTCTCTTTCCATGGTCAACGCAAACAATGTCACATCCAACAGCCTCTGGTTCCTCACCCCTACACACACTGCTCACCAGTACCGCCTTCACACTGTTGCCAACGGTGTGCAGCGGTCTCTTGATGTCATCAACGATAACGGAGTGCAAAGCATCGGACTCCACTTGACTGGGACGGGAGACTTCTCGGGCCAATATTGGCAGTTTAACAACGTGCCAGGCAATTATCCTTATAAGCTAAGCAATGCTTTCACAGGGCCCAGCAAGTACCTGGATGTTTATTCGGACACATATGTGGCTCATCTGTCCAGCGGCGACTTTAGCGGTCAATACTGGTCACTGACCCCTGCAAACACTGTCATTGTGACTACGTCTTAATGAGTACTAAATATGTCGCGACGAGTATTTCTTGGTAGGTAACCGTGTTTTGCATTCTCATAAATAGGGGGAGCCGCTTTGTACTAACATATGTTAGCGAAAACATTCGATAGTCAAGCGGGATGATGAATTTTATGTTCTCGAGCAAGGCTTATTCGAGTGAGGGAAGACATTGAAACGAAGGCAATGAAATGGACTTGAGAAGAAGAAGAAAAGAAAGAAAAAAGAATAGAATCGAGTCGTTATATTTACATTGCTTTAGTATTTCTAGTTGACGACTACGACTGATGACGCATCGGAATATATGACATTTACATTTTATACTAGTACTCTTAAGCTCTCTTGCTGTTCTTGTACCTATTCCTCTCAGTACACGTTACTTGATGACGGGCCGTTGTTTACTTGCGAGGTTTATCACGACGTTGCAAAGTCTATTTGCCACTACCTCTGTAAAAAGCCATGTGGTAGCCCAACATTGAGTTCAAGCAGACTTCCATGCTGCTAAGCGGATACCTCACATAGATTCTAATATTCAGTAAATCACCCATTATGGTTTTGATATCAATAGTAGCAGCGCATAGCAAATGTAAATAGGCACGTAACAGCTTGCCTTATAGGTACCGGCTTGGTACACGTCGACAACCACCAACAGAAACACCAATTGATCTCTCCAGCGGGCAGAAAAACCAGCCGCCCGGCCGAATGATCCACATGATGGCCCGTCTTCTCAATTGCAACGGCCGTGACGCAACTGCGCAATATAAAGCCACCGACTGCCATTTTTCTCCCTCCGGCCGGTCCGCTACGCTGTACCTGTGCCTGTCCGATAGCCGCATTGGGCGCTGCAGAGGCGCTGTAAAGGCGCTGCAGAGGCACTAGACCGTGGAGGGACCCGGCCCAGCAGTTTAGCCGGGAAATCCCGGACTATAGCCACCGTTATGCCATGGCTAGTTTTGCGCTTCCTCGAGTCTATTTATTCGCATTGGGCCCGGAAACTATAAAGCAAACCACCTCGCCATCTCCAGCGTTACTGCACCTCCGCCAATTCTTGGACCAATTCCCTCGATCCTCTCTCTAGACAAAAATGTTGGGCTCCACCATCCAGCGCAGGGCTTTCTCTGCCTCTGCCCGCAACGTATGAGCTGCTCCCGTCTCTCCCCCACCTTGGCTTGGCCTCATCCACGATCCTCAGTGCCCGACTGCTTGTGCTGACCAGCTGCTTCTTGCGCGCTTCTAGCTGTCCAAGGTTGCCGTCCTCGGTGCTGCCGGTGGCATTGGCCAGCCTCTGTCTCTCCTGCTCAAGCTCAACACCCGCGTCACCGAGCTTGCTCTGTACGATATCCGCGGCGGACCCGGTAAGTCACCCGTTGCGTGGCCCTCGTGCGCCAATTTCATATAAACCTCGCAAATTTTGTCTTGAGCTTTGCTTTGCTGCTGCTACTACTGCTGCTACTACTGCTGCTACTGTCCATTGGCTAACGAGATTGCCGCGTCTAGGTGTCGCTGCCGACATCTCCCACGTCAACACAAAGTCCGTCGTCAAGGGCTATGAGGCCACCCCCAGCGGCCTCGCTTCCGCCCTCAAGGGCTCCGACATTGTCCTGATCCCCGCCGGTGTCCCCCGAAAGCCCGGCATGACCCGTGACGATCTCTTCAACACCAACGCCTCCATCGTCCGCGACCTCGCCAAGGCCGTTGCCGAGTCCGCCCCCGAGGCCAAGCTGCTCATCATCTCCAACCCCGTCAACTCCACCGTCCCCATCTGCGCCGAGGTTTTCAAGGCCCGTGGTGTCTACAACCCCAAGAAGCTGTTCGGTGTCACCACCCTGGACGTTGTCCGTGCCAGCCGCTTCGTCTCCGAGATCAAGAACACTGACCCCAAGGACGAGAACATCACCGTCATTGGTGGCCACTCCGGTGTCACCATCGTTCCTCTCTTCTCCCAGAGCAACCACCCCGACCTCTCCTCCAACGCCGAGCTCGTCAAGCGTGTCCAGTTTGGTGGTGACGAGGTCGTCAAGGCCAAGGACGGTGCCGGTTCCGCCACCCTCTCCATGGCTTTCGCCGGTGCCCGCATGGCCGATGCCCTGCTCCGCGCCGCTGACGGCGAGAAGGGCGTCATTGAGCCCACCTTTGTCGATTCCCCTCTGTACAAGGACCAGGGCATTGACTTCTTCAGCACCAACGTTGAGCTCGGCCCCAACGGTGTTGAGAAGATTCACCCCATTGGCAAGATTGATGCCAACGAGGAGAAGCTCGTCGAGGCCTGCCTGGGCGACCTCAAGAAGAACATTGCCAAGGGTGTTGCCTTTGCCCAGGAGAACCCCGGCAACTAAGCTGCTACGATAATGTCTTTCAAGCGCGAACTTGAGCGTTTCTGAACGAGGTAAATGTCAGAGGGAGGGGACCACGGGACTGGCTCGCTGCTACAGGTGGCTTTGGTTGGGCTGGGCTTTGTGAGGATGGTTTACGGAAAACACGGGGAGGTTTGGATGAAGAAAAAAGAAGACATATTTTTAGCTTTTTTGAGCTCCCTTTTCCCGCTGTTCTGCAGCTGCCATAGACTTCAATCGGGTCTCTGTATCATTAGCAAACAAAAATTAAGAAAATAAATACATAATCAGCAGAAAATTCTAACTTCTCGATCCAGGTCCTTCACTTCTAACACGAGGACAGTCCAGCTAAATCGCCATTTAGCGCTATGCGATTGAAGAGTTGCAAAAACTATTATTTGTGAGCCAGTACTCCGTACTGACAAATGCAAATAATGTTGAGAACTGGGCAATGTAGGTATGCTGTGCCATATCCGGAAGGTGGTCCAAACTCAAAGACATGAGACATATTACTGTAAGCTACACTATGCAAATGCCAAGCAAAGTTAAACTGGATGTGATGAGTGAGGTAAAAGACAAATGATTATAATGATATAAGGTACCTTAGTTTATTTAGACGCTAATATATAAATTTGATCACTCAACGTTCTCTTTCTGTCTCCATGAGTAGTACATGTGGGCGGCGACTAACAAAACTAGAGCCAGCCGCGAGAAATAAACGCCGTCGAGATTAGCGCGAGCCAAGACATCGATCGAGAAGAGAGCCAAGACATTGCTCAGATGAATCAGGACCTATGCCTCTAGTCTTTATATCTTTGCTTTATATTCTACTTTTCCGGCATATCACCTTGACAGTCGGTGGTGATGGCCGCGCTGAGCTTTGCGCTTATTGTCACGTCTCTAAACCTCATTCAGAAGATGGCTTCACATGCGGAAGAATCAGTTCGGCCACAGTTCCGTCGGCAAACGGAGATCGGACATATCAAGTACCATGGCCTTCTCCGTAAGGCAGCAAGCTTGAGTGGCTAAAGAACGGTAGCCTTAGAACTGGTTGAAGGATGGCAACGGTCATATTCGCTACTAAGCAATGGCGGCATTTGGGAGGAATCAGTCCGTACTATCACACGGCATGCCAGCGCCAAATATATTAAACTAAGCAGGATGCTTCATCGCGATAGGCTGGCCAAAGCATCCTCGCAGAACCTGTTTGTTATTCGATTTGCCACTTTTGGAATTGCGAAACCTGCAGCGTCGCCATAATGCAGCGTTTCTCAGCGCGAAGGATCAGAGCTAGGTCTTTTAGCCATTAGTTCGTGCCTTGTTTCTAGGTATTTCCTATCCAGCATCCAGTCGACATCCCGTCAATGTGACCTATAGCTTGGAGCTCGGCATAACTCGCGTTTATCTTTTATTCTCATTCTTGTTGCTTTATATTGACTCACTGGTCCATTCAATGCTCTGTCTTTCCATGCATGAAGTTGCAACAACGAGTGCTTAGTTGTGTATGCCAAATATGGAGACAAGTCATGAATTACACCATCTGGAAGCTCCACCTCCTCCCGAGCAACACCTTGAGCGCCTCCTCGGAAACCATGAAGACGACGAAGAGCCTCCTCTTATTTCCGGCCAGCGCTCCACCTCCGAGTTAGCACCACAGCCAGAGAAGCCTCCAACGGCGCGAGTCTCACCACGTCAGCGTGCGCGCTCAAAACTGCATTCAATAGCCTGGAAAGTGGAATTCCTCGCCTGGATAGCCAGTGCTTGCTGCTTCATTGCTCTTGTCATCACATTAAGAGTCTTTGATGGGCATCCGTTGCCGCAGTTGAGATTCGGTATTAGTCCTGGGGCCATCATTCAACTGTTGTCGGCAATCGGTGAATTCTTCTTGGAAACATCGTTTGCATCTGGATTAGGCCAGCTGAAATGGTTGAATGCGTTGCAAAAGACGCCGTTGGCCGACTTTCATACGATCGATGAAGCCAGCAGAGGAGCTTGGGGAAGTGTAGTTCTCATTGCAAAACGCAGAGGAGGGTAAGTCGTAATCCACGCTCTTGGTTATGGCCGCTTCTGACTTTGATCTTACTTTTACAGTCTACTGGCTTCTTTGGGTGCCTTTATTGTCATAGTTGCCCTGGGCATCGGCACTTTTGTTCAACAAGCCTTGGACTATGACACCATCTACCCAGTCTCCGGAAGTGCTCTGATGCCCATTGCGCAGTTTATGAACGGTGTTGGTTCAGCGCCGATTGGAAATGGAGGCACCAAAACGGGCATCGATTCTGTGCTCACTTCAGCTCCCTACCTGGCTTTCTACAGTCCTGCCGGTACAAACTTCACTGCAACGGCGCATTGCAGCACCGGCAATTGTACATGGAGCTCCTACCAGACGCTGGGGTTTTGTAATACGTGCAAGAATCTGACGTCCCAGTTGAAAAGAAAGAAACTTCACATCATTCCTAACAATCTCAAGGATGAAGCTTACATCACAAACACATATGTTTTGCCAAACGGTTTTGGACTGACTGGCATTCAGCCAGGAGACATGATCAATCAAGTCGGTTTCATGATTACAAACGGGATCCTCAACGTATCCACGATCAATACTCCAGAGAATTGGGCTTCTGTCGCGTTTTCGAACAGGGGATCTGTACTAACAAGCGTCCTCGCGGTTGCTGCCGCTCCTGGTACGATTCCCGAACAGCCAGATCAGACCATGACGGAGATGAAGATGACGGGGTCCATGTACGCGGCCCCAGTAGCCTATGAATGCCTGCTACAATTCTGCGTTCGCACCATGAACGCTACTTTTGTTAATGGCACGCTGCACGAGACTGCCCTTTCAACCTGGACAAATGAAACACAGGGTATAGTTCCTGAAACTAGGCATTATGTGCTTCGTCCGCCAGGTTCCTCAGATGAGTTTAAGGCTTCGAGCGCTTCAAGGGATGCGATGATTCCTTGGCTCAACTCTCTGCTTGTTGGTAGCGCATATTCGTCCAATCTCGATTCATTCGACTCTGGCTCTTCCTCTGATCTTATACGAATGGTGCGAACAGCTATGAATACCTCAGAGACGGGATTTCCAGATTTGATGGACAACTTGGCCCACAGCATGTCTCTCAGCCTGCGGAGTGCAGCATACCAACCGTCACCTACAAATGGGCTAGCCTTTTCTCCAGTTAGCCACGCCGTGGTGACGTGGGAATGGCTGATTTTGCCTGCGTTTGAACTGATAGCGTCGTTGGTGTTCTTGGTGCTAGTTACGCTGAGGACGAGAAAGGCTGGTCTCGTACCGTGGACGAATAATATACTAGCAATCTTTTACCACGGGTTTGACCGACGACCTAGCATGTCGGGAGTTGATGATAGTGAAAGCGCTTTGGAAGAGGAATCTCATGGGTTACTCGTTCAATTTCAACCTAGAGAAGAGAGAGGAAGATTGGCTATTGTCAATGGGCCCTAATTACACCAATAGCTAGCTGGACACAGCAAAGAGGCACATTTGATCACCTAATTTTGAACGTGCTAATATATTGACTTACTTTAGATGTTGGGTATTGACTCAACTGTTTGCTACATGATTTTTTGGCCAACTCTTATATTTCGTTCGACTCTTTTTCCCCAAAAAAGCCAATTCTAACCAATCACATTATGGAAGATGCTTCTCGGCTCTCAATTTATCGAAAACATTATGGTAGCTCTTGATATGGTCGGGCTTTTCAGTAAAGCCGATCCTCCTCGCCTCAGTGATGTCGAAGTTGCGATCTCGTTCCGAATAAACGCCACTATGTCTTTGTTAGATTGATGAATGAAACATTCCTTTTTTGCAAACACTCACGTTACGACGGTCATGAATTCCCAAGTCGCCTCTTCAATAACTTTTGGCCTCAATCCATTCTCTTTCGTCCACGTATCCCATTTCTCCTTTTGTGATTCAACCCATGGATACCCGCTCAATTCTCCCTTTGCCGCAGGTCCCACTCCCTTCAGCCCAAACCAAGCCGCGATACCAGGCCAAGTGTCTTTCCAAGTGGTGCCTGCATCTACATCTGCAATGTTGAATGCCTTTCCTGCTGTCTTTTCTGGGTGAAGAGAGACGTAGATGTGGAATTTTGCAAGCTGGCTAGAAGAGACGTCAGAGTGGAGATGAGTCCAAGCCTCTTCGGACCCTGGGAATGGGACTTCGACGGAAGGTGAAAGCGATTTCCATAGGGAGAGATAGAGACCCAAGGGCTTGGATAGGTTCATAGCGTTATTATTTGGGACAAAACCAATCTACATAAGTGTTAGTGTCGGACAATTTACGTTGGAGTGCACTTTGATAAGGGGAAAATACCACAGCGTCTGGGCGAATGTCCGCAAAGTTCCAGTTCTTGCCTTGGGAGAGCTTGGACAGTGTGTCGATTTGAGGATAGTAGAAGATATGGTCTCCATGAGGAGGTGGAACTCTCGGTGCGCTCTCTTTAAGAGGAGTTTCCAATTTCACCTCATCGCCAAATTCGAGCCCATACCACTTGACACAATCTTAGCTATGGATCAAGTAATAAGCAGTGATCGGCATGTTCACGCACCTTTCCACCAGTTGGGAATGTCCAGAATTGCAGCTTCGGACAGATATTCTCAACCGCAGTCACTGCATTGGCTATGAAGTCCACATTCTCTTTTTTGCGCTTCTCGGAGTCTTCTGTTCCCCATCCGCGGTGGACATATGCTTGTTATCCCAACCTTTTAGCCGGGACCAAATCCCTCAATCAGGATCGGAAGACTTACAAGCAAAATAGACATGAGTGGTTTCTTCAATATTGTCGATTGTGCTCAAATACTCAGTGATGCTTTGCGAATCCCTTGAGAGGTCAAGGCCGGGATACAGGTGTAATCGTGGATCTTGAGGAAGTCCTGCATCTTCTACACTCAGTGGCCGGTTCGTGAGGCCCACCACCCTCTTGAACGTCGTAGCTGTCGGATATGACAACGCCTCGTTCGTCAGGGCCCATCCAGTAATACCAGATGCTCCAAAGACTAGAGCCTGAAGCTCATTGGCCTTTGCTGCTGCCATGATACAAGCCCTATGTGACCTTGTGCGAGCTGAGAGCGGAGTTCAGACACTGCGTGGTGCGAAAATTCCAATGAAGCGGCCCTACCCAGGGGCGAAATGCGACATTTTTATCGGCTGCATGGCGACACCTTTTATATGAAAAAATATTCTGCGTAGCAGTCTTGTTCGAGGGGCGGGGGAAAGAATTAAAAATTCCCTTAATAGGCAATTGAAGTCTTATTGGACGAGCTGCCAGTTGAGACTTCGGTATGAACTCTCCGTCGGTCTGTGAGCCACAGCGCCAAAGAAAAATTACCGAATTAGGTGAGCTGGGCTGTTGGTTGAGCAGCCAACATACATGGGTTTTTACCAGGTTCATTTGAAGCGGCTCTTTGAACAGAAAGCCGAAGAAGCCTATAGAAGAAAAGCGGCTTCTATGAAGTAATCGTCTTATATCCGACTACGTAGATGCAACTCTCTGGGTTGCAATAGACCCACGCCTATCTCCAAAATACCGGCGCCGGCCGACAGGGCTTAGTGTAATCAACGGAAACAAGAAATAAAGAAGTAAAATAATAAAGTAATGCATCAAACCTTCAATGCAGAACGTCAGAGCTTTGATGATTAGCATTATTGAAATACAATCTTTCTTTTAATTTCATCTCAAGCTCTTGATAACACAGAAGTTGACTAGATATGTCATGCCTCAGTGTCGCGATCCATATAAAGCTCAGCTCAAGAGCATATGCACAATCTTCTAAACAACATGGATCATTGCATCAGGAATATTGATTATGATCAGCATTTCCTCGTTACGGCATATTGTTTGCTACCGCCACCAATGAAGTGTATGATTACTTTCCGAGCTACTCCACTTCTAAGCATGCAATGCTTGTCGTCATGTTCGCGATTCCACATGCCGTTATCTATACCCTGTTATGATGTAAGGGTCCGTTTCTCATTTTAGGCAAGAAAAGCTTGTATTGCTTATAGATCAGGATCATTTTCTCTTCTGTTAGCTATCTTTTCGTAGTGATAGAGTATTATATCCATGGCATCAATACGAATGCTCAATGGCGTCGGCGTTGCTTTGAAAGCCCGGTGTCTATTCTCCGCGTGACCCAACGTCTTGATAACATTTCGACCAAGATTGGAGGGAACGGCGAGATATTCAACGAAGCAGCTTAATGGAAGCATAAACTCGACCGCCACGATCTTTCGAGTTTAACTCTTAGTGGCAAACTAAGATCCGTCTCAGAGCTGCTTATAGCCACTCGATCCCGCCGTTTAAGCAATTGCAATCGTAGTATACCGCCCAACCATATGATGTTATACATCTATCAAAACATTTCTTGCAATGCCTTAAAAGCTGACTTATTTTGCCGATATTATGGCTCCAAGTATTGAAGAAAGTATATTGCATTTACTGCTATATTTGCGCTTTTCCTACGTTTAGGATGCATGTTAGTCTTTAGACAAAAAGTCTACACCAGATAGTAGCGATCCTCTTGAATTAAAAATCATCTACGAGTCATCTCGAAATATCGCTTATGTTTATCGACATCTTATACCTTTGAGGAATCCTAATGCTGATATCAGTGCTGTCAATCGGCATGGAGGCTTCTCCACTTACCTGAATCCAGGGCTGATATATCGTTTATATACAACCTTGAAGAGACCGACTAGGAGTAGATATTTCACTTATTATTCTATGCAAAGGCGATTAAATCGCCATGCCACTCGAAATGCTACCGAGGGACGTGAACTCCATTACAAGGCTTGTATTTGTAGAAACTCTATTCATGTCTCCCTGCATATGAGACTTTAGGCTCACATTTACACTCTGTATCCTCAAAGTGAACTAGGTGATAATATACCTTTTTTCGTATTTTGAATTGCTTTCAACTTTTTGCGAGAAAGGCATCATTGAAAGCATAACCTGATTGCTCGCAGCGTGCACTCAATACTCGCGCACGCATGAAGCTTACATGTAATCTGCCCCGCTAGTAGCTGCGCCGAACCACGATTTCTTCTAATCCAAGAACTCAGCCCAATCACTACAACACAAAGTTAACATAACCTTCGTCTTTCACACTTCTTTTCATATTCCAGCACTATCGTTTCTGCGCAAAAAAAGACATTTCTTCAAGAATAGGACCCTATCAAACTCTTGTCGATCCTGAGTCTGTCAATATGTCGTACTAAGCCTCTCACTGGACGAATTTCGACGATCTCGGCTTTCTGAGTCAGGCCGACCATACGACAAGATCGTTATTGGCGCAGCCACATTTTGTTATGCTCCAAATTCGACTTCTCCAAGCATCCTTCTGCTACAAAGAGCGGCTCACGAGCTGTACTTCCCAAACGTCTTTGAGTTACCTAGCGGAAAAGTAGACCCAGATGACGAAACTCTCAAACATGCTCTTGTGCGAGAGGTGAAGGAAGAAACGGGTCTAGATATTGTCGAAATCCACGCGGAGCTAGATCCAATGACTTATTCAACCGAGAAAACTGTCGTGGATGACTCTGGAAACGAAGTCATTGTTTCAAAAAGCGTCATACAACTCAACTTTATCGTTTCGGTATCTACTGGCACAGTAACACTAAATGCGAATGAACACTCAAATAGCCGCTGGGCCACGAGGGAGGATTTAAGTGAACTGAAAATTACGGATGCAATGAGAGTAGTTATTCGGGAAGCGCTCGAGTGGGCTGCCAACCATTGATTGATAATGACTGCACTTTTACTTTTGAGCGAAACGAAATGAGAGAAAAAAGTGATTGAACAAAGAGCGGTCATAACGCCGCAGTACTAGACCAAAATAGCAATATACCCAGTTTGTAAGGTGGGACCAGTTTTCCAACCCCCGCCTCAATTGCAGTAAAGTTAAGGTCTCTACATGCCCATCTATGGTATAGAGTTTACATAGCAAACGTAATAATTCTTGTACAAATTTTCCCAACTTTCTGCACGATTTTTGAGTACTGACTCATATGGTTGAGAAAGCTCCAATTCAGCCATGAAGGCGGCAAAAGTCCTCACCAGTGATTAGACAATTCATGGGGGAACAATGGCAATGGAATCACAAGGTGCAATATAAGCATCACAAATTATCTTCTGACAAGTATTTCAATTATCGACCTACGGATTTAGCGACATATGAAAGGACACGAGCCAAGCCGAAGCGGAAAGCTTATGTTGTGCGGTGTTTCATTCCGCAACAAAGCGCCGCATCATCTCGGCTCTTAGGTAAGAATATTATGCAAAAGCAGGTGTAGGATAGTGATATCACGATAACAATGCACACATGTACGATTTGCGTAATATCATTTCAATACCATTTCATTTATTGCCCTATGGAATCATTACGGGTTAGGACTGAGAGCCACCCTTCCGACCAGCCTCCCGAGCCCGCTCGCTGCCCGGCTCAAAAGAACCGCTCGAGGCTTTTCCGCCCTTGGATGCGATTTCACGCTGGCATGAATTAGCGTGATCATTCGAGTCAAATTACCGTGAATGTGAACACGCACCTGCTTGTCGGGGTCCATGCTGGCGAAGCCGCTATTGTGGCTGGCCTGGCCACCTTTGGAAGCTATTTCTTGAACCTCTTCCTTGGGTCTAGGAGTTGAATGGATGCAATTAGTTACAGCGACGTGGCTTGGCAATTTATTGGTAGTTGGCCTACCGGTTGGCAAAGTTTCCCGGGTTGTCGTTTCCAGACATAGTGGGTGTAGTGTATGAAAATAAGTTTTTGTGTTTTCTTAGAAAAATTGAACCTGGAATGAACTGTAGTAATGGTACTGTTAGTGTTTGGGTTTGGATGATGTTTATATAATTGTTTGCAGCGTGTTGATGTGCTTGCCATTTAGAAGGCTGACGCCCTACGATCGTAATAATGACCTACATGTAATATCATAGGATCATCACTTGGGAAACTGATTTATGGCATCTCGCTCATGCAACAATCTATCGATGATATCATACATTTCTATTAAGCTTCTGGTATTGTAAGCCTCCCAATCATGCATCGCAATGAGAATGCGTTGCGTTACCGGTCGGAGTAGCTTTCGGCAGCGTACCGTAAACAGCACTGTGAATGAACCCTTATAAGAGCTCTGTTTCCAACACATATCACAGTCAAACATTCAAAGGCAAGGGAATTATCTGTAGTAAACAGCTTTAATTCTATATCTTCAAACTACCGGTTACCATTATCTCAAGATACGGCATTCAGCATGGCTTCTGCACCCGCGCCAGGAACGAACGCTACGTCAGGCACAAACCCAACATCTGGTGTCGGCGATACCAAACCCAAGGTATTTGATAAAGATGGCGCTGTTGGAAAGCAATTCACAGGTATGTAACTGCACATGTTTAATTTACCAATGTGCCATGCACACTTGGATACTTTTTGAGATGGAATCTTACTAGTCTATCCTATGATTTAGATCAAGGTGCCATAGGATCAATAGGGCAGGCTGTTGGTGGTCCCCTGGATAAGGAGGGAATGATTGGCAAACATTTCAATGCGGATGGAGCTATTGGAGGCACAGCACAATCCATGATGGGTGGAAAGAAGAGTACATGAGTTCCGCTGCTTTTAATCCTAGTCATGTATAAGTTATCAGTTGTATACAAGTCTTATTAATGAATTGTATCTATTGATCATTCCTCATTCCTGAGTGGCACATCTATGCATTGATTAGAAAGGGCATTAATGACTATCACCCATTCTTACTTGTCCAAATTATAGACCAGTGAGAAGAAAGGTACTGTGATGTATGTCGTGGTGAGGCGAGTAATGTTAAACCACTTGACACTTGAAGATATCGAAACAGCCCGTTTAATTATTGTGAATCAAATATATTCACCAAGACTTAGACATGACCGTTTGTATTACTAGCAGTGCCTGAGCGACTCGGCGCATACAAGGATTAATTGCGTCGCCGTATATCCCTATTCTAACCCAGCTACCTTATCCCCCGGCTCCCTATATGTTCCCATTGGCTTAGCACCCCGAGTACGTTCGTCCACGATGTTCGACTTGTCAATAGCCTCCTTATCATCTTGTTCTGCATTGAGCGCAGGGTTAGCGCATGGACCGTCGTGCTATGCACGATAAGTGTACCACGCAAAGATGTGATGCTTACCCAATTGTTGATCAGAATCAGCACGTGATGCATTTATTGGATCTTCAACTCCCTTATTGTCGCTCTGCACTGGAACTGGCTCGTTGGTCTGAGTTGCGTATGAATCATCTTGCAGTCTGCTCTCGACGTTGGAATCCGGAGTGTATTCGGTAGACATCGTGATTTAACTAAGTACTATGTGGCGCGAAATAGTGGCGTCAATGTAAAACAGATAATAGAAACTCTCGTAGATGCTTCTTTATTTTCGATAGCAGATGGAGTTGTAGTCTTTATTATAGTTATTTCGAGGTAAGCTGTTCGCAGCGGTGGTGATGATGCCAACGAGGGCGCGTCTGAGACTATTGCTTGGCCATATTGTGCGTCACGAGGCGTGAAACTTTTAACCACCATGGTCCTAAGTTTCGGATGATTCTCTAGGACATCATTAAGAAACGTTTGTGATCTAATAATGCGTTATGAAAAAAATGTACGGGTCATACGGCTGGATGACCGCACAAGGGAAGCTCGTATCATAGGAGGGTCGACAACGAGTGATGTGATAACCTTTCTCCTCGACAACGGTAATAAGACATTTACGTTGCCCAATCAGCCTTTGTTCTTGGCTGGGTCTTGGCGAGCGGCTGGAAGCAATCAGAGTTGCAGTGGCGCAGATACTGGAATGGCTCGAAAATTTGTATCTTAACAGAGTCACATGAGCTTCCGATGGAAACGCAACGCGGCGATGGCTAGGAAGTGTTGTGGGTGCAAGGTGACTTTTGCTCTGTATGCTGATGTCAAAGTGATACACTTTCTGTTCGCTATTGGACTTCGGACCCAGATATATGGCGTAATAGAAACAACTACAAAAAGTAAGCAACCAAGACAGAATTGGCGGGAGAATTCTTAGCACACAATTCCGGGCAATGCGCGTATAGATAGGATTTTGCGCGTATTCAGCTTCGATTTGGTTTAGTATTCGCTTTGCTTAGATCGATCTCATGAATACGCCACTGCTTTAGCCCCGTTACCGTCAACGGATTCAGAGACAAGTCCATCTTCACGCCAGCAATTGACAGCCACGCAGGCCACGGAACACTGTGAACGCGGATCAGCTTGGCTCAAATTCATCCATGACATCACTGCTGATTTGATGTTCGCGGGTAACATCCCGCGGATTCACAAGTTTGACAGTAGCTCTTAAAGTGGAGGGTCAAACATATCTTCTCTGTCATGTGAAAAAAAAAAAAGATTTAACATCTTGAAGTCACTTTAATGATTACAAAATACTAGTAAATGAAATAGGGCAATGTCCTTGATAATGTTGCTAAGCTACCTTAGGTTTGTATATGGCGATATTGTTCGTCTGAGTTCATGTAAGCGTTGTTCTGCTGAGAGCCAAAACAAATGAGTCAAACGCGGCATTCATGAAATTAATCGTTTTGCCATGTGGAAAATGGATGGTCCATCCGAAAGTTCGTGCGTAATCGATAACATGTAAAGAATATTAACGGGGGGGCTTCCATGCGTGAACGCCTTCTATACAGCCTCTTTCTAAAGACAGTCTCTTAAGCGTGGCTGAAGTTGAGTGAATATGATGTTGCCGCTCAGGATTGACGCATGCAGATCTGCAACGCCAACTACGCGAGCAAGCCAAGAAGAGAATCCCAAGGCTGTTGGAAGGGAAAAACCAAGTGTATGAGAACTATTCTTATACTATGTACATGGACGTTTATAAGCGTGAGATGCAAGGTTCACATGCGAGGGGCTTTGCTTAGCTCAAACTTGTGCCGTAAGCGAAAGTATCAGCGGTCGGCTTCCACGCTGAAAATTTGCGAAAGGAAAAAAAAATAGACTGCTATTAATATAAAGAGATATCTTCTTCTAACCCAAGGGCAAGAGTGCTAGCATAATACGTAACGATGTGAGGATAGATAGAGTCCTTGGCGCCGCGGGGGGGGTTGGGATATGGGACGGTATAACGATTCCCCATCTCTTATGCCATTTCCACTCAGCTAAACAAAAGTGTGGGCAGGACCTTGCTCTGATGCATTTTCTTCGCCCTTTTTGCTGATATCTCTCGTTTCATGTAATCCTTCTTGCTCACGCCGACCAAGAGATGCATTGCCACCGGTCCTCAAGACAGAATTTGTGAATCTATGAGATAATGGCTCTTCTTTCGAATCTGCCATGGCGGCTCGGTGGCGTTCGGAAAATTGATTGACTCCTGCACTTCTTTTCCAGTGGGTGTTGTCGATGCTTCGATGTTCGCCCCATGTAGAACAGACTGTTGCGCCAATGATGCCTACGCCGGCAACTGCCGTCATAGCAAGCTTTTCTTTGGCCATTTTCAAGATACAGCTCAATTCAACTTTCTGATAGAAACCTTTAACAATTCGATGCCGAAAGTTTCTATTCACAATCCTCGAAAAGAATTGTAAGAGGCCGTGAATAGTACTGTAGAGGACACAGGTGGTGTGCGAACTTTTTGATCGACCGTATAAGACAGTGAGAAGGGGGTACTCGTGGTGTCTCACAATGCATAAAGCCTGATTGAGCTATATAGCTCTCTGAATCAACACCAGAGGGCAGATTATGGAAAGCTCTATTCAAGACGTCAACGACGTTATAACTTAATGAATCATGACGTCAATGTCTCAATACGATTCCCATCCATCCGCAGGCTATAAGACGGAGAAAGTAAAGGACCGGGGAGATAGATTCGCCAGGATAAACTTCTATGACATCAAGACGCAACTGATTAAATGTTCAACTCGCTTAGCATTATGCAGTAAGAAGTAGCGACAAAATTGTTAGCTATTCTATAATAACATTAACTCTAATACGAGAAATCCGCGCATTGTTATCCACTAGATAAGCATAGATATGGGTAATGGCAGCGCTCTATGTCATGTATTACGAACTGTCAGCAGTTTCGAGCCATTCTCTAACTGAAACCATTCAATTAGAACCATTTGGATAATGGATGGAGGGGAGAAATAGCGCTATTTATATATGAAAGATATCTAATTAATTCTCTAACAGCAGATTATCCAGGCGTCTATCCGTCAGCTCCATTCATGCAGTGTAGGTATCGCACATCCAACTGTCGATGCCGTTCCTGGCAAATCCGGCAAAACAAAGCAAAGTAGTTACTGTTGAACATGATATCCTTTTCCCCAGCCACAAGCTTTAGTCCTCGTCTGATGCATATATTTTCCACCTTTTCTACTCGCCGTGTGGTTTTCTTTATGCTGCTCCGCCAGCACTCTTGGCGGCTTCTTTATCCAGCTTGTTCCACTTACCAAGGACCGATGTGACAGTTGCAAAACCAGCGCCTCCAATCATGATGGCGAATGCGACTTTGATGCCAGATAAATAGGATTCTAAAATTCCAGGAATGACTTGTTCTGAGAACACGCCACGAATTCCGGTTGCTCCTGCTGCGACGACCATGGCTGGGTCAACTGAAGGGGCTTTGCTGGGCAACTCAGAGATCAACTTGGCAACGAGGGATCCTTGAGCGGCTGAGACGAAGAGGGCACCACCAACGGTTTGGAAGACTATAGTTGATAGTTAGTAAACGGCGACAAGAGTATTGGAACTAAAACTAAATGTTGTAAACTCACAAAGAATGATGGCAGTAATAAGAGAAAGATCCGCTGGATTGGACGTGCCCTGAGCAGCAATCATAGGAATCTGAATGTTGGAGCCCCAGCCAATACCGGCAAGGAGCTGGAATCCAATCCATTTACCATTGCTAGATCCAATGTCAAGCGTGTAAAACAGGCCGCTCGCCACAGTGGCCAAGGCAGCACCAAACGGTAGCCATGGCTTCGCAATGCCAGTGTTTTGAATGACGGCAGATGATACCAGAGATGCCATGACCCAGGGAACAATAAATGGCAAGCTGCGTACACCGGAACCCGTAGCAGAGACACCATATGTGGTCTGGAAGTAAATTGGTAGCACATAAATGGCTTGGAAAAATGTGCCGGCATTGAAGGTTGTAAAGAGGCAAAGCGACCAAATGTTGTACTGCTTCATGAGACGTGGCGGAATCATTGCGCGATCATCCTTGGTCTGTGAAATCTCCACTGCGACAAAGGCAAGAGTGATTGCAACAGAGCCGACGAGAAGACCGACAACGACGGAACTCGACCATGCGTATTCTTGGCCTCCGTATTGGAACGCCAGGATGAAGGAGATGGTCGCGGCCATGACGAGAATGATGCCGAGAGGGTCCATCTGGAGAAACTTCTCTAATGGGGTTGCGGGAACCGGCTTGGCTTCTTTGGGAGCCGTAAAGAAGAAGAATATGATGAGCGCTGAGAAGCCTCCGATGGGGAGGTTGATGTAGAAGCACCAGCGCCATGTTGCGTGATCAGCTAATAGTAGAGTCAGCCAAGATGTGAAGGGATTGTGAAACGATCGTTTGGTACTCACTCAGCACACCACCGATGATAGGACCAACAACACTTGCGATTCCATAAGATGCTCCAATAATACCCATGAGCAGAGGACGCTTCGCAGGCGTAGTCGAAAAGCCAACGATAGTATAAGCGCCGGATCCCAAACCCGCCGCGCCAACACCGGTAATGGCTCGTCCGACGATGAGGGCTTTGCTGTTTGGTGCAACGCCGCAGACGAGGGAGCCGACTTCGAAGATGAACATGGCGAGGAGGAAGCTGGGCTTGAGTGGGAAGTACTTGTAGGCCTTGCCCCCTAGACGAAATGTCAGTTTTCGTTTGCAAACAGTGTTGAAAATGTTGCTTACACGCTGATAGGAAGCCAGCCGTTGTCATGAAAAAGGCAGATCCATACCACGTGGCTTCATCGAGGCTGTGGAAATCGTCGGTGATCTTGGGGATGGCTGTTGCAACAATTGTCTAGTAAACTGGTCAGCCACAGCTTTCAACTTGTTGTCCATGTAGATTGGATCAAAGTATTGTTACGAACCATATCAATTGCGTATAAGAAGACTGCGAGGAACAGAGCAACAACAATGATTACCAGTCGCAATCCCGTTGGGTATTGACTCTCATCCGTCGTGCTCACCAGAGCTTCCTCTTGGGCCACCGCATCGCTCCTTGTTTCGTCGGTTTTCTCATTGTCTGAAGAGAGCTCCTCTGAGACTCCTGACGCCACAATATGTTTTTCGTTGAGAGTGTCGGACATCTGCTCGGATTCGGGTGTTTTCGACATGTTTACCTCTTCCACATAGGCTACACGAACCTATTGACAATTGAAAGCGAAAATCTTATTCTAGGGAATAAAAGAGAGAAAGATTTATAAAAACGACTCCTACGCTTATAAGACAATTGTAAAACATAATCACCACAGGAATGAGCCGCTTGTTGTTACATCTCAAGTGGGTATAACAAAGACAAAGAATACCAGAATACCTGGATGAGGCGAATGATCAACCCACAAATCTGTATGATACACACACATGGCGGGCGAGAGATAGAAAATTGTTTCGCCGCACTGCTGGTATTGTTGCACTCTATGCACGTACTGTTGGTCTGCGGTCTCGACTTTGGTGTTACCCGCTCGCTTCCCTTGCAAAGCACAAGCACGAGGGGCGATTAGGTATAAATAAAGTCGGACATGATGTCACCGGGTGCTTGCGGCGGCCGACAGGTACGGCAGCCCTTGTTGATGGCCCCTGTAAGCGGCTGCGAATTGGCCAATGGCGTTCATGCCAGCTCCCGACAATAGTACTTGCGCTACCTATTGATCCTTCAAAAGGGCCTGGTGTGCGCGGGTTAATTTCAAAAGAGCAAGTTATAAGCCGATAAGCGGAATAGGGCTAGATCCGGATCTCATCCTCCATCTGCGAGTGGCTTGTTGGAATCCCATGTGCTTGCCCGGGGCGGTTAGCAGTTTGAATCAGCACTTACACATGGCCCGATTTGCTCGGCTTTGTGCGTTGGCTTGTCAGAAGTAGGGGATTTTTTAGATTCGGCACTCTCTAGCTAGTTCTACAGGGTCCTACAGGGGGGGGATAAAAGCTAGCTCCTAGTGAATAAGAGACGACGGGGATATTCCTTTGAGCTTTGGACCTTGAGGAATCAGCGCGCCCAAGTGCTGACATCTAACACTAACAAGACAAATCAGGATCGCTTATGAGACTTTTTGCCACCTGCGTTTCAACACAATATCGCCAAGTCGATAATGGCAATTGGTCTCTTTCCACTAGTGCCTTGGTTTCAGCTATAGATCTGAAACTGTGAGAGAAAATCCTCCAGATGCCTTAATGATGGCGGCAAACTATCGCCCAGCCTTCAATACCTATTTGCTCCCCTTTTACCCTTCGGCATCCAACCGTAAAATCCATGCTGGGCCGCTGTATGTCAGACGCCTCGGCTCAGGCCTTGCAGCTTCAGGTAGTATTTCAGCGGGGACATTCAAATAGTCAACGTTTTTACAGAGCCAGGGCTTTTCGATAGTCGTTTAGATGCAGGGCGCTGAAACGAGTATGGTGTATCTTTCAATTGTGCTATACAGCTATGCTATTGCGACAACAAACACCTATTCCAGAAGCATAAATGATTTGCCGAGCGGATATTGATTGTTCCCAAAAGCGGAGTTATAAGTTAGTGGGAAAAGAATGAGGAATCAGACGCCCAGGCGGTAGCCGTGTCGAAGCTCAGCTGTCTTTTCGATTGACGATCCTGTAACCCCTCTTTACACCACCTTTAGACCATATTTATTCCTATAAATTCTTTCTTCTAACTATTTTCGCAGACTAGGCACTCCCTTTTGCAGTTCGGCCCACCTAAGCCTTGTAGTAGTGGTAATCTCAGTGAAGTACAGCGCGAGATTCATCTCCCAGATGCTGGAAGAACTTGCCACCTGCTGACAATGTCATGTCATCTGCTCGGAAGCGAAATCTGCCATTGTATCGCAGGGGTTCCTCCACGCTCAAGACCGACAGTTATACTAACATATAGAGTACGGTTTGTCGCAAGTCTGTGTATATCTATCATGCACTGGACCATATACCGGCAATCAGCCTATTAATGCAGCTTATATACCTGCAACCCATCATATAGATCAACCCGCACCCGCCCCGCTGTCTACTGTTGTTGCACCACTGACCCAATCGATTGCGAAAGGTCACGGTGCGAGCGTAATCCAAATGGCTCTCCGAATGATGAATCTTTTGCCACTCTAACCAATGCCTTCCTTTATATTCCCCACCATCACTAGACACCAATGAGAAATGAAATACCGAGTTCTAATCATCAACAGTTCAGTGCCAGTTCTTTACAGTTACATCTCTTGCCAATCTGTTAACACTTGTGGGATCCGATGCTTTAATCTTCGTAGATTGGTGTCACTCAGCTAGTCTTAAAGGCCTCAATGAGTAAACCCAGCATAACCAAAGACCGTTGAAACTCGATCTTGGTTCCTTTCTTCAAGGTACTTATTCCTCGCATCTAACTGAATGACTTTCCCCAGTAACACATGCTGGTTCGGGCCATGGTGTGGAGCTTGCGACTGGACCTTATTTTCAGGTATATCCTGGATAGGAAAGGGAATTAGCACCAAATCATAGTTGTAAGCAAAACCAGACCTTCTTACTTTCATAGCGTCCCCGGCCGGAGGGATAAATGTGACTTCCTTTGGCAAAGTTACCCTCAAAGAGATCTTTTGCTTACGCTGCCGCCGCTACTGCAGCGTAAGGCTACCATGACTTGCTCTTGTGCTCGTTCGATTTGTCACAAATGCTTCAGATCACTATACATGTAAAGCTGTCCATTAGTCCAGCCGCTCCATCTCGAAACAAGAGACATCCCATGCGTCTCGCAGCTTATCGCGACGCTGGGCTGATCTCATGACCGCGTTCGCCGATGCAACGAGACCGTAGTGAACCACAGGTTCGTCCGAGTCTTGGCCAAGGCGCTTCTCAGTTCGTCTGAGATCATGTTCCGATTGTAGTAACTTGACTGCCGTCAAAAGTACTCCAGGGGGTTGTTTAGATATGACTCAACGCTAAATTCTTCATTGTTCTTCCACTTGCCCATATCACACTGAAGAACACCATCTATAAGATTTAGTATCAGGTTACTAAGGTCTGATGTAAAGGCAATACAACAGAGGGGAAGCAATCTTTTCGTGGTTTCCCTTGGGATATCGCCAAGTCGGATATCTTTGCTTGCATCTTCGGGGTCTGGTGGCTTTGGAGCACCTCCCCCTACTTCAACCATAACCCAAATCGAACACTCGGAAATGTGCGAACCCTATTAGTTACCGTCTGCGCTGCAACAGTTGTCCCGTAAGCCCCTGATCCGTGATAGGTAATCACGATATTGTGCACTCCCATTTGGCCCACTACATAGGTACTATCATCATTCTTCTAGGTACTATCATCATTCTTTTCCGGCTGGAGCCACTCATGTTCTTCATCTAAGAGCAGCTTGCATGCATTTAGCTCAGAGCGGAGCACAGCTACCCATTTAACGGTATATGCATCGTAAGTGAGTTTTCTATACTCCTATTAGCTGTAGGTATACTTTAGTAGGAAAGAAACAAGAAAAAGGGGCAACATACTTGGTGCCTCCCATATTTTGGAGTAGTTTTACGGTATATGATAGGCATATCATTAACTTGGCATTGCCTTTTACTTTGTCAAGGAGAGAACCATCTTTATAAATAGGTAGCTCTCCCCTCTGCTATATTCCGTACTATAAGAAGATGAAGTCTAGCCGATATGTAACTTGGACGCGAAGAGGTGATGTGGCGGGTGATTATTGACCAATTACCATATATTCTCCCGCCAACCATAGAACGATTAGGCAGCTTCAAGTTAGCCTAAGCCGACAAGACGAAGTAATTGCTCTTGGGCACATATAAACACATAGAGACAAAAAAGATGAAGAGTCATCGTATTCGAGAAACAAAATTTGAATATTTCATTTAACTGCGCTAACAAGTATATACTTGAGATGTGACGAAAGCTCAACATCTGTTTTGCGGCGCATTGGCACGTTCCGGACATTAAGGGTGGTGTAGGTTTCGCAGCGCGTATAGTGTGAATACCACACCTCATATGCCAGCGACTAAGTCGACAATTACCTGCAGCGCCTGTCAACTGCCTTCGTCAATAAACAACATTATAACACATTCTGCATTAGCTACACCTTCCTGCTCTAGTCCCTTATTTACTATTATCCCTGACAAATCTAGGACGGGCTATTGAATCCACGGGCAGTGGTACTGCTACTCCAACCGCTGTTTGCCTGTCGGCGCTGGCAATAGAAACATCGCCGGTATAGCAGATGTATTGTTATCGCAGTTGTGGCTCCTTACCTAATGTAACAAGAGATTCAACGAGGTCGGTTGAAAGTGTCCGAATAAAGTAACAGTTGGTGGTCGCTAGTGCGTTGTACTACTCTTCTTGGTTTGGTGTCTTGAGGATTTTTCCGTACCTGCTGCATATAAGGGGAGTCGTGCCGCCCGAACATTTCCTTTTAATTCTAGGCAACGAAGTATAGGACATTTGTTAGTAAAGCAGACATGAAGTAAATGTAAATATCAAGTGTTTATGTTATATGGAAAAAATTAAACAAACAGGTTGTGACTATATTGGCTTATCAAGAGTCAAAAAAATGAGTAAGGTGTATCTCAAACTATTTGTTTACTTTTGCTATGGTTGTTTCCTATTGGTTACGAAAAATATATATGTTGTAAGGAAGTAGAATCGTATAGTTGTTTTGGTAATAAGGTGATAAATGTAAAAGTGTGCTAGGAATAGTATCTCGTATCTCTTGCATTAACACTCAATTTCCCAATACGAGAAATCCTGCGCTGTATACGAGACTTGAAAGTCTGCTCCAGTATTCTTCCCATTATAAATACAATGGAAAACTGCAGAACCATTTCGCTATTGAGTTTTGTTTATCTATCAATGGCTTCTTGTAGCTTCTAATGAATACTCCTATGGCTAAGATGGTTCTCAGTATTCGTGCAGCCGTCGTTCCCGCTGCCGCGGCAGTCCTGCTCGCAAGATCCGGCTCAGCGGCGGTTCTGGAATTTCCTGTCACAATTCGCAATACCTATGTCAGTCTACTATAACATCACTTGTCTGTGATTTTCTGCGAGGCCGGATCTAACATGATAATTCTAGGCCTGCATAGATATTTCTGTTGGCACTCCACCCCAGAATCACGTTCTGGTTTTTGACACGGGTAGTGCCACTTCTTGGATAGCGAACGAAAATTGTGTCGACGGAGGATGTGACAACGTTAGCGGGTAAGCCCCACAGAATCGCCAATCAACTGTCTGTCTGTTATCTGACTGCATTTTCGTACGCATTGTAGCTATCCTTGGAAGGCATATGATTCCGATTCGTCCGTAACCTCAAAGGACTTGGGTATCTATGACTCTATCAGTTATCTTGGTGGTGGAACTGGCGGAGAGGTTTACAGCGATAAGTTCTCCCACGATGGGCTAACTTGGACGCAAACCTTCATCTCCGCCAACCAGACCTCGATGGGTTTCATAGCAGGAGAGGGATTCTTTGGGTTGGCTTTCTCATCAATTGCTGAGGAAGATACAAAGACAGTAATGGAAACTTTGATGCAAGATCGCCAGGTAGACGTCCCCAGGTTTGGTCTCTACTACGGCACGGAGTTCAATGATACTCATGGTCACCCTGGCAAGGGTGTGCTTACTCTCGGGGACTCTCATGAGCGCAAGTATGTGGATGGCGACGTCGCCTGGGTTCCTGGAAAGAAAGACAGCGGAGTATACGAGCTCTGGCGATCAAACCTAAAGACGTTTTACGGAGAGCGCAAGGATAATAACGGCAATATCCAAAACAATGGGTCTCTGCAGTATGACCTCGGCGCGGCAAATGGTGTTTTCGATACTGGAGCTGGACTTATCTACGTCCCAGATGCCACCATTGACGCTGTTTATGATTCTATCGGTTGGAATTATACTGCCCTTCTACACGGAGACTATCTCCCATCCTGCACCGATATGAACTCAACATGGTCAGTCACGTTCACCTTTGAGAGTGACGAGAGTTCTGATTTCACCAACATTACCCTTACTGGTGACCAACTCAAAATTCCCGGCTTCGCCTACCAAACAGATAAGTGCAACCCACCCTTTTCCACCAGCGGCAGCCCCCATCTCTTCCTCCTCGGTCAGCTCTATTTGCGCAACTTCTACTCTATCTTTGACTTTGGAGGGTTGAAAGTGGAGGACTACAACGTCCGGATTGGTTTCGGTAACCTGAAGAAGGAATGGAGGGGAATTTAGCCCTTACTGTTAATTAGGGGTCCAAAACTAAGTGTATTAGCCTTTATTATAAGTATATGTCTTAGTATTCTACATCCCGAACAACCAGCCAGAGAAAGGCCAATAATAACAATTCAGCATCGACTTTCACCCAAGTGCACACAAGTTAGCTAAAGACATAGTATTATATTCAAGTCATTATTTACTTAAATACTATATAATATTACTTAAGATGCTTTATTGAAGCTCTTGTTCTATTTACTTAGATATACATTGCTTCAAGGCTAGAGCGAGGAAGAGGAGCCCGGGGAAGCAGAGGCGGCATATGCCTAGGAGAGGTGTGTGTGTTGTTCTATTTACTTAGATATATATATATTAATCCGTTTGGAATCTGCTTGCTTATAACAACAGAACAAAACTTAAAAAATAATATATCGGATTTTATATTACTTAGGCTTACACGAGATATAAGGTAGTATTAACCATTCGAAACTTAATGAAGTATAGTATGACAAATGGCTGGAGTTACTGGACACTGTATTTACAGAGTAGTAATGCTACTTTGTATCCTTACTGTAATAGGCCTAGTAACGGTAAATTACGAGATTTCCTCGTATGATAGATAAGACTTTGCTGAAGTCAATATTATTGTTAATTATTACAAACGTATCTTGTATGACCCAGGGGCATGTATCTTGCCGAGTTAACCGATAATAGTTGTTGTATATAAACTGTAATAATTCAAGTTTTTGCAGCTGCTTTTTTTCTTATATCTCTATACCTGATAAGTTTTTTTTTTTACCCAGTGACACCATCATGCGCTCCACCGCCTTATTGTTGGGGGCATACAATGTCCTATATTGGGTTTCTTGCACGAATGCTTTCGAGAACCTTGTTGTTCACGAAGATCGCATGAATATCCCCCAAGGCTGGACAAAACGCGGTAAAGCCCAGCCCGCCTTATCCCTACCGCTTCGCATTGGCTTGAAACAGCAAAACCTTGATCAAGGCGAGGAACTCCTGTACGACATCTCAAACCCAGCAAGTAGTAACTATGGAAAGCACTTGACACGAGAGCAAGTGGTCGACATGTTTGCGCCAGCGTGAGTCTTTCATATTAGCCTTTTCAAACGCGCCTGAGTCACTCAAATAAGTGGCGTGGCCATGTATGCAATACTGTTCGTCAAGAAACTCTGCTGACACGATGAAGCGAGGAGACGGTGTCCTCAGTGATCTCGTGGTTGTTGCAAGCTGGCATTGAAAGAAGCGATATCTCTTTGATCAAGGGCAAAAATTGGATAACAACAGATATCACGGTTGCTAAAGCGGAACAACTTCTAAAGACACGGTATTACGTTTACGACGACGGAAAGGGCCAAAATCACATCGCCTGCGAGCAGTACCAAATTCCTTCGGAACTTAGTGCCAATGTCATAGACTTGATCCTTCCGACGGTTCATTTCGACGTCAAGCTATCACTGTCAACTCCAAGATCAGCAAGAAAGCGTGAAAATAGCAGCTTCACCAATGAAACACATGGGCACATACCAACTAGTGGCACTGGTCTTCACAATTGTGCCAACTTGACCACTCTGGACTGTTTGTACTCCCTCTATGATATTCCGTCCAGTCTCTTGCCAGCGAGCAACAATTCATACGGTATTGTCGAATATTCCACTGCCGGGTATCGACCCGAGGATTTGGATCTGTTTTTCTCTACCTACAAGCCGGAACAGGTAGGCCAACGGCCACATCTGAATTCCATTGATGGTGGTTATCCTCAACAACAACAGGAGGACTTATACGACAACACGGAGCCAGATCTGGACCTCGAATATGCCATGGCTCTGGTCTACCCACAGGAGGTTACGCTGTTTCAAGTCGGAGATATGGTGGAAGGGGCGTCCTATAACAACTTCCTCGATGCTATCGATGGGTCTTATTGCACATATGACGGCGGAGATGATCCACAGGGTGACCGTCCCTACCCTGACCCACAGCCGGGTGGCTATAACGGCACTGAAGCTTGCGGGACTTTTCCCCCCACACACGTTATATCCTCATCATGGTCTCTTGCTGAGGACCTACCACCACACTATATGATTCGTCAATGTCATGAGTACATGAAATTGGGATTGCAAGGGGTTACTGTATTGTACCCTTCAGGGGATTACGGTAAGGCTTTCAGAAAAAAAAAACTGTCCCGTGGCTTATTTTCTAACGTCTACCTGCAGGTGTAGCAGGACTGGGTAAGAGATGTCTTCAGCCAGATGGAGACTCCCTCACCAACGGCACTTATGGACGGTTTCTTCCACTTTTCCCCGGCGATTGTCCCTTTGTCACCACGGTTGGTGCCACCCAAGTTATTCCTGGCACTGATTTGGCAACTGCTTTGGCCAAAGGAATGCAGCCTGAGATGGCCTGTGAGGTTGACATCTACAGCGGCGGAGGCTTCAGCAACGTTTTCTCGATGCCTGCTTACCAGGCCGAGGCCGTTTCCCATTATTTAACCCAATACCCCTCTCCGTACGGAGCTGACCGGTTCAACACCAGTGGCAACTCCCGCGGTCTACCTGATGTAAGCGCCAATGGTGCTCTGTACAATGTGGCTGTGGACGGAAGTTTTCAGCCTGTCAGCGGGACCAGTGCTGCAACTCCGGTCTTCGGCAGTGTTATTGCGCTTATCAATGGAGAGCGTCTTAATTTGGGAAAGAAGCCAGTTGGCTTTATCAACCCTGTTCTATACGCGCATCCTTACATTCTCAATGATGTTACTGAGGGCAATAATCCTGGCTGTGGGACAAGCGGCTTTGAGGCGCAGCCAGGATGGGACCCTGTGACTGGGCTAGGTACACCTAATTTTAAGAAGATGCTAACCTTATTTTTAAACCTGCCATAATCAAGGTTAATAAGATATTAATTATTAAACATATTAAACTATTATATCAAAACTATGTTAAAACTATGTTAAAACTATGTTAAAACTATAATTATACTCCTGCTAAGCAAATAGCTTATATACTCTATACATATAAAGAGTGTATATGCCCAGAAGGTCCGTTGTTTCTGCTCCTAGTATTCTGCACTTTTTTATAGTCTATCCAAGGTGCCACTGTACAAGGCAGAGGAGACATATTCGTATACTGTAAAAACGATACCTCCACTAAGCACAAGTCGGCCCAACCGCATGAAACTGCCGCTCCAAAATGATCTCACACCCCCATCCCGAAAAATATCCCTTACAGCTGCCGATACTGTAATTCCTGTAGCGCCTTGGGTACGCGTCTTTATTGTGTCAAATGGTTGGGTGGCAAAAACAGTAATAATGCCAGCAATTGCGCCCAACCCAAAAGTAGCTATCGGGTGATTGCTGAAACCCCCAAGGCGTGGCGACACGTTTTCTTTCAGTGAGTTATATGTACCCATGCGAACTGCAGACGTGGCTGATTGCTTGATTGTTGTAGAAACAAGGCCACGATAGACTTCACTCACGCCATGTTCCCTGATGATAGTATGTAATGCGTGTATGCCACCCTTATACCGTCTTATAGGCATTCTCGCGTCATCAATTCTACAATTTCGTTAGCGGCCGAACCGAACTAGGGAGTATCAGGGAGAAGCCTTCGTACAGAGCTGTCTTGATGCGTTCGGTTGGTGTAATGGCAATCACGCTTTCCACAGCACCGGCGGCCATGCCCGCGAGAAGACCACGCGCAGGTGATAATTTCCCGTCCCCATCGGAGATAATCTTCTTAATAGAGTCGAATGTAAGAAACCGAACGCCGGCTTTGCACGCGGTACCCTAGGAGGAGTAAGTGAAGTGATTCTAGTACCAGTATCAATGTAGGGCTCATATATACAATGACTAGAGTAGAGCAACCCGTGTACACCACTCTTATTCCATTTTGGCGAACTGTCTGCAAGAGCGAATAGAACGGACTTTTAGTTGTTATGGTAGTGGCATGGTATGCATTGTGCTTTAGCTGTAAGCGAGTTTTGGCAAACTCAAATGGATACTGGCAAGGGCAATATTAGTAAAAAATAGACAAGAGAGCATGCTTTGTTGTAGACTGACAGTAATGGCTGCTTCGACAGCGCCAGCTGTGGCACCAGCCAATAGCGAAACCCCAGGGCTAATATTTTGATTTCTTTGCCTATGATGGTTCAAAGGCCGTGATGTCACAGATATCGCAATGCTAGAATCTTGTAATCTAGACATAGTGTTACCGAATCATAAGAGCAGTCTAGCTGCAGCAAATAGATATTTTAAGAGTGAGAGTTAAGTTGGGCTGGACGATTTCTTTCTTTCTTTTCAACCCATGCCCCTCTATAAGATATATGCAGTTGCTAAAGATAACCATCCAAAGAAAGCAAATTGACGGACACTTACTATCCTGTCAGTTTAATTATGCCGCCACGAGCACAACTTTAGATAACAAGCCAAATTGCTATAATAGAATTCATTGGCCATGCAGCTCAGTTTCCGTTCAATGTCGCTGCATCCCGGCATCTTGGCTTCCCGCGGGAACGCCGGGAACCAAGTCTCTCAGGGCCCCCGCCGCTAATGTTAACTCGTCTATTTCCCCGCGCTGACTGTAACGCATATGGATTGGGAAATTGATGCACCAGACCAGACCTTATAGAGTTTTCCGGTACAGTGGCGAATCTGCAAGGTACACGAGAGTTCCAGCTATACTACTAGTAGTATTAGCGGTCTGGTTCGAAATTACTTGCGAGGCACTGTATGTGCCACAAGGTTACTAGGAGTGTAGCACTAGTGCAAACCAACGAATCTAGCATCTATGGATATGCTCCACATTGTTCGCGCAAGTAGGGAAAAGAAGCGTGGCGAATCCCAACAGCATTCTACACCAACTTCCTTCAAGTACAGAGTCACCAATGGCTTAGAAATAACCACGACCCGCGGCATTTCTTGCATCCAATTTTTCTTGTGGTCGAGCCTCGTTACTTCTCCACGCGCAATAGGCAGTACGTCAATGAATTAGTCCGTGTTCTCCAATGTTGGCTCGAGCTCAGCAGAGGGTTGGAGCTTCCCGTTCCGCGCCAAGTTCAAAGTCACGCCGTCGGGCAATTGAAGCCTGCAGCTTTTGCAGACGACGAAAGGTACGGTGTTCTGCTTCGACACGGACCAACTACCTATGAAATCTTAATTAATTATTCGCTGTCTGGTTTGGTAGATCAAATGTAATGGTGTGCGACCCGTGTGTGTCAACTGCCAATCTTACGGCCAAGATTGTACATACGAACCTGTAGCCGAAGCTGCAAAGGAGACTGGTCGTAGACGATATCGTTTCAAGACTCGCACGTCGCCAAACACTGACGGCGCTGCCGCATCCTCGCCATGGCGTGCTTCCTCACCTGAATCGGTCCCGGTGAACGATGAACATGCCTTGGGTAGTAACGAAGCTGGAGCTTCATCTGTTGAAGCGGGGGTTGCTAGGATTCTTATGTCTGCCGATGGCGTTTCGACCTATCACAGCCGTACGAGCACATTGTATGAAGACCATGCTCCAGAGAAACAGGTTGAAGTAGATGCTAGGCCCCGGATCTCAGATGAATGGGTCGAGAAAGGCCTGGTTGCTGAAGCAGCGAAACAGCGCCAGCTGGAGGACTTGAATTTCCGTCAACAAAGACTTGACTTTGACGGAGTTGACCCAGAGCTTGGCATGCATCTACTTTCCATACATTGGAACAGACAGCATCACTCATTTCTCGTCACTTACCGACCGGCCTTCATGCGAGATATGGCGTGTGGAGGACCATACTTTTCCAAGCTTCTTTTGAATGCCATTTACTTCGGCGCCTCGAAGTTTAGTCTCAGACTCGAAGTCCGCAAAGACCCAAACGATGTGCGTACTGCTGGATGGAAATTCCGTGAGCGTGTCCGAGAACTTCTTGGTAGCTCACTAGATTCAAGTCGCATCACCACCATCCAGGCCCTTTTACAGATGACAAATTCGCTATTTGCCCTAGGAGACGAGAGAAGCGCTGCCTGGCTTTATTCGGGCATGGCATTTCGAATGATCATTGACCTCGGCATGCATGTCGACTTGACCAAAACTGGGCGCTTTTCAGACGAAGACCTGGAAATTCGCCGACGAGTATTTTGGGGGGCTTTTGTAATCGACAAGATGCAAAGCCTCTACCAAGGGCGCCCTGTGAGTCTCAAAGATACAGACGTTCTCGTGCCAATCAAATTTCTAGATACGCACGAAGAGCTGCAAGACTGGCAGCCGTTTGCCTACTCGACTCTCACGCCTAAATATTCCGGGTCGCCGGCGTATAGTGTGTCGACCTTTTCCGCGCTCTGCAGACTTTCACTGGTCATGAGCGACATTCTAAGCTGCATTTATACTGAACGCTGTGTTGACCAATCATCAACCGATTTGACCAACATGTTGGATAGATTGCAAGTCAAGTTGGATGATTGGAAGGCTGGACTTCCTAACCACGTGCAATTGAACCTGTTCGACCCAGAAGGTGCAGCAGCCTTTCCCCCACCGCATGTCTTTAGTCTGCAGTGAGTATATAGCCTTCCAACCAGACGCTCATCTCCAGTCTTCAGAGTACTAACTTGATATCAAAGTGCTATGCATAATGTACTCATTATTCTTCTGCATCGTCCATTTGTTGCCGACGGTCATTTGTACAACACGTCACGATCAATCTTGGTAGATTCCTTCATGAAATGCGCGACTGCCGCTTCCAATATCGCCGACATTCTCCTGGCCTATGATCGAGCATTCTCTATACGGCACGCACCTTACTTGATATCGTACGCCACATATGTAGCAGCTACGATACTCGTGCGAATTGCCGCCAAACGGCGGAGCGAGTCCAAGATCTTTGCCGATTTGGCTACCTGCCTGGCTGTATTCAAAGAAAACCAGGAAACCAACTACGCCGTTCAGAAGGCTGCCATTGTTATCGAGACTCTGATAAAAAGGCTCGGCGTGGTTGTGGACCCTGCAATGGCCCATCCGTCTCCAATGGCTACGCAAGAGCAGCGACTGCAGTTGGGTGGAAATGCGTCTCCATCTGCTTGTCAACTGACGTCTGAGGTCATTCCATCTCATCCTAGTACATTAACAAGCCTGGTGCAATCAGATTCTTCCAATATTACATCAGTCAATGTAAATGAGGTGATACAACATTCCAACTCAGAGTGGTTGGATATTGATGGGATAATCCAGAGCTTCTTGGAGGATGGGGAATCGTCTGTCCCAAAACCGGCAATGGCTTACAGAACTGAGAGATCGAGATGCGATCACTGCAGGATGGCATTGACTAATAACCACGAGCATCGCGGCTACGCGGCCGATGTCGCTCCTGTTTCTGGCATTTCCCGCCTTGGCGAAGACGTCTATGGCGTTGAGTCGCAATGGTCAACGGGTGTACGGGAACGGGAACGGGAACGAGAACGGGAAGCACAACTTGATGGGCTTGTGTCCATCAATGATCCACTTTTCGGCTTCAACGGCACCATTTTCGCAAATGGTGGGTCATTCTTCTAGCAATCATGAACTCACGGGAAGCGCAATCCATGGCCTTCCCACGGGAATGCTAGATATGACGATCCGTAGCTCTCTTCAGCCGCCATGCTTCGGTTGCATTCTCCGTGTACCCCCTGTGCGTCTCTCTTTTTCTCCCGGGAAGACAATTTGGATGGAGGGAATATATATTTCATTATCAGTCTGAGTGGGTGGTGTGGTTCATCATGTCGAAATGGGCTTTTACCCTCAAGACATGTTTTCTGCTCTCCCATGTTCTGCTCATTTCTCGAGAGCGTCGTCATATCGAGCTGCGAGAGAGATTCACAACATAACAACTCAGATGATTGATGTTACCGAAGGATACGCCAACGAATTTCTCATACCTAACCTAATTCGAACCAAAGCTTCCTCAATGGCCATCACTCATCCGTCTCAGCCACCCAAACACTGCGTGCTGCCGTGTACTTGGATGCGCGCAGGCACCTCAAAGGCCTTGTTCATCAACAGAAAGAACCTGCCGGGTAGCCCCCTTGAATGGGGAAGGCATTTAGTCTCCGCTCTGGGTTCTCGGGGAAATGATTCTCGCCAGATTGATGGAATCGGTGGTGGCTTGTCTACAACTTCCAAGGTCGCCGTGGTAGCCGTTTCAGACCGCCCTGATGCTGATATTGACTGGACATTCGTCCAAGTCGCAGTGGGACGGGATTCTATAGACATGACAGGAACTTGTGGAAATGTATCGTCTGGCGTAGGACCTTATGCTTTACAAAGTGGTCTTGTCAAACGCAGGCCTGGTGAAAGAACGGTGTGACACCCCCATTAGCCACCCTTTACTAGACAAAGCTTCTTCTTGGCTAATTCCTTTGTTTAGATGGACGTCCGGATATACAATACAAACACCGATAGCATGATCGTGGAGACGATGCAGCTCGACGAAGCTGGTGATTTCTTGGAAATTGGCAATTATGCCATGCCCGGAGTTCCCTCCCCAGGCAGTGAAGTCAGATGTGCATTTTTACATCCAGCTGGAAGCATGACGGGGAAATTATTCCCTTCAGGTCAGCAACAACAAACTTTGCGCATCATATCAGACCCCAACTTGACGATGGGAGCGGCACCTTTCGACGTGCGGGTGACCTTGATCGATGCAGCCAACCCATTTGTTTTCATCGACGCCACAACAATGCCTATTCCACACTCTTCGTTGCCTGACGTGGCTGTACATGCTATTATTGAATCTATTCGCTGTGAAGGCGCTGTTGCTATGGGCCTGGCATCAAATGTGGAAGTCGCATCCAGGACGAGAGGGACGCCAAAAGTCGCGCTCCTTTACCCTCCGCCCATCTCACAGGACGGTTTGGGTCAGGCTAGTATTCGGGTTCAGTCATACTCCATGGGTCTTCCCCACCCAAGTTTTCAACTCACTGGGGCTGTATGCCTGGCGACAGCGTTAAATTATAAGGGCACAGTCGCAGCCAAGGTGTCCGAAACCTCACTTAATGAAGTTGCTTCCCTCTCTTCCACCACGCCACACAAGGGAGCACAGAAAACCTCAGTCATGGAAAAGAAGTTTGCAATAGCTCATAATAAGGGGGTTATAGAAGTCTTTACCACACTTGATAGCAATGGGGAGGTGCAAAGTTGTACTGTTTCACGCACTGCACGAAGACTCTTCGAGGGCAACGTATCTTATTATATATAGTATCATTGGCCAGCATGACGTGGATACTTATATGGGTTGAAAGGGCAAAATGTAAAAGTCTCCCATGTTAATATTATCCCCTCGCAATCATTACAAGATACGTGTACAAGTACTGCGTCATAAGCTCGCCATAAATTAACAGGTCTGTCCTATGTTCGGTCATAAGTAGAGACTTTCCGACGTTGGACTAAAGATTCACTTTTCTGTTTACGGGAGAAAGCCTTATAGCTTGTGAAGTCCAGCCAGTTCTAATTACAATATGCTTGGCACAGTATTGAGAAAAGGTTTTGCCAGACTGGTGTTGATAGGAAAGTTTATAGGGCACCCTAGGTACTTGCGTATACTACCTACCTTAGTATAAAACAAAAAGATAAGGACGCTCTTAGTTGGATAATTGAATGAAGAAATGCGTAAATACATTTTCCCCTTTCCATTGATGAATGTATGTATCCATTTTAGAAGAATATACAAACCGAACTTTTGTGAATTTCTTATTATGAAACAAAGTATATAAAATCCAATACTCAAAAAATAATCTAACCATCCAAAAACACTTATTAACTTTAGCATTGTAACTACATGGCTACAGAATCAGAGTAAACCTCGAACTACGCCTTAGAATGCTCTGAGTGCGTCGCATTGCATTCTGGCTCTTTCAATGTATTGCCGTTATCGTGATACAAGTGCTCAATCTGAGGCATACCAAACAACACGTCCATATCCTCCAAGCTAAGGCCCTTGGTTTCCGGAACGAAAAAGAAGACCCATGGTACTGAAATGGTTATAAAGGCCGCAAAGAGAAAGTACGTGCCGTAACCAATGTTTGTGATCATGTATGGCGTGCTCCTAGCAATGACAAAGTTGAGAATCCAGTGAACTGCTATACATATAGATACGCAAGGGGAGCGGATGCGTAACGGGAAGATTTCCGAGGCGTAAATCCATGGGATGCCGGCCCAAGAGAAACACCACCCAATAGCGTATATGTAGATCATGGCGATACCGGCGTAGCCTGCGGAGCTGACGCCGGAAGATCCACCAGAGCCGGGGGAAGCGAGTTTGACGTACGCGCCAATGTACCACATTGCGAATGCCTGCATGACTTTTAGTTTGAGTATTTTTTCGTTTTTGGCGTTGATTATGACAAAAAATATGACCAAATAAATGACATAAGCCTATGCAGTTTTACTTACCATCACGACACTTCCTGCCATTAAAGTTCGGGTTCTTCCAAATCGATCCACGACATATATCATGGCGAATATAATGGCTACAAACCTGACAACACCGTAGATACCCGTGGCAAAGAACGCCGTGTTTGGTCCCGTGAGACCAATGCTCTTGAAGATGGCTGGGGAATAATAGTTGATTGCGTTAGAACCTGCCATTTGCATAAATATGAACATAAGGCAACCACTAAGGAGCCTTTTCATGTTTCCCGGCTTGGCGAGCTCCTTGAAAAATGTTTTGATGCCGTGTCCTTCCGCAATGGCCTCTTCATGCTCGATTTGCTGAAAGATGCTATGCACCTCTTCCAAGAGATATGGGTGATCGGACGGAATACATCGGAGGCGTTGAAGGGAAGCAATGCACTTATCGCGACCCTTGCTCTGAGCTAGATACCTAGGTGATTCTGGGATGAAGAATGTGCCAATAAACAATAGTGATCCCGGAATGAGTTGCACAGCGAAGCTGATGATCCACTGCTTCGATGATGGCGTCACATGTTTCGCAAGGCCGTAGTTGATCCAAAAACCCAGCATGGTACCAGCTGATACGAAGACCTCGTAGATGCCGACCAGACGGCCGCGAATGAGTGGCGGTGATGCTTCCGCGACATAGACAGGCACTATCATGCTCGCAGCTCCGACACCAATACCTCCTATCGCTCGACCAGCAAGCATCAAAGCCCAAGAGCCCTTTGCACCGGTTTGTAATGCCGAGCCCAAATTAAAGATGAGTGCGGTCAGAAACAGAGTTGGTCGTCGTCCATAGGTATCACTAAATGGGGCGGCAGCTAGCACACCAACGATGCAGCCGGCTTGGAGAAGCGAGACTACATTTGCCGAGAAGGCATCTTTTTCCGACTGGCTTTTGTCGGTAAGGTGGAAGTCCCTGGATACATGTTAACAGAATTCGGTCAGTGATTTACTTGGCAGGAGTTGCACAAGTGCTGGTGACTTACTTTTGAAACGAGGGGAGTGAAATGGCAGTGCCAATAAAGCCCAAATCATATCCAAACAAGAACGCTCCCATGCTGCTGATAAGCGCGATTAGATAGACTTTGTAACCATACACCTCCTTCGGTGCTGGGATACCCAGGTCTATGTTTGCCGCACGTCTACCCATACTGGACGGCCGAGGTGGTTGCAAAGTTGAGATGAAGATGAATCTCAGCAGGCGTTGTATTTGCCAGTAGCGATAATAGCCAATGTGCTTAACGTAAATTTAAACATAAGATCCATAGCCCTGATATAACAAATAAGAGAATGCGGAGAAAATCCGGGGTAGAACTATAACAGTTAGAAGTCTGAGGCATACCCCAAGTTTGGATTGAATATCCCACGGGAGTAGTTTCCCGCGGGAACACTTCGTACACCAAGTGGGTTGAATCCCCAATAGTGGAACAACTAAATTAGATTTCTCCGGAACCTATTGAAATAGTAGTCTGCCATGCTGCGCCACCCTAACAGTTCATCTATCTTGCGGCGCATCGGCAACGTTCCGGATATTGAGGGTGGCGTAGGTTGTGCAGAGCGTATAGAGTGAACACCACACCTCATATGCCAATTAGAGGGCTCGCGCATGATCTTGTTTCATGAGCGCAGTCTGCCATATCTAGATATCATTATAGGTAGATGCTTTGTTTATTTCCTTAACGACGTGGACCCTAATTCATGGGCTACTTTAACAAGGTAGAAATATAGGTAGCTGGCAGTTAGGAAGTACTACGTGCGAGGACTCTGCGTCAAGTTAGTTATATGTAATTCATTTAGGCTTGCCCCGTCAACATCGGCTCATACCAAGTGCCCCTAGGACGCTTGGACGTTGATTAGTCAGCTCGCGTAGCTCAGTTGGTTAGAGCTTCGTACTAATACTTCAACTTGATTGAAATCTTGGTAATGCGGAGGCCGCAGGTTCAAGCCCTGCCGTGAGCAAAGTTTGGAATTTAGGTCCAAAGTAACCTTTTTTTTGCAGCATTCAATAATCTGATATTTTTTTTCTTCCGACGTTTACGCGCACGACGAGTCCTTTACGCAGGGTTGCTTAGTCAGCCATGATATAACATCTTTTCTGCCCATTGGGATTGAGCATGCTACAGCTTCTTCAGGTTCCGGCATGTCTGAATCACCATCATCTGCCGCGTCGGTGCTGAACTTCAATGCGCTGTTTGACAATCCGCTGTTTGCTGGAGGCATTGGCCTCGCCTCCTTAGGCGCTGCCGCAGCATTTGCTCGCAAGGGATCAATTGCGCTGCTTGGCGCTGCCCGCCGTCGCCTTTTGGTCAACGTTGAGATCAGCAAACAGGATCCGGCATATCCCTGGATTCTAGCATGGCTCTCACAGCCGCGAGAGACGCCAGGCTTCATTGCATCTCGGCTCACACGCATCCATAATCTATCAGTGGCCACGGCGACGGGAGCAAGAGGGCCGGGAGCAACCGGGCCAGTCAACGCTCACTTCTTTCTTCAGCCTGGATATGGACGGCATATCGTCAAGTTTGGCAAGGCCTTTATCTCTGTCAACAGAGAGAAGCACAACACTGCGAATATGAATACGGGAGAGCCGCATGAGATTGTCCAGCTAACCACTCTCTGGGCGCACCGTTATGTTTTTGAAGATCTCTTCAGAGAGGCGCATCAGCTAGCCGCAAAGGCGAACGAAGGCAAAACTGTGGTATACTCTGCACGTGGACTTGAATGGACTCCCCTCGGCGATCCTCGGAAGAAGAGGCCGCTTGGATCAGTCATACTGGACGAGGGCATCAAAGAGAGCATCGTGGCCGATGTCAAGGACTTTTTATCAAGGCAACAATGGTATGTCGATCGGGGTATTCCATATCGGAGAGGCTATCTCCTGTTTGGGCCTCCAGGCAGCGGCAAGAGTTCTTTCATCCAAGCGCTGGCGGGCGAACTCGACTTTGGCGTTGCCATGATCAACCTCAGTGAAATGGGCATGACCGATGATAAACTGGCATACCTTTTAACCAAGCTGCCGAAAAGAAGTCTACTCCTGTTGGAAGATGCCGATGCCGCTTTTGTCAACCGCCGCCAACGAGACACCGACGGATACAGCGGCGCCAATGTTACCTTTTCTGGTCTCCTGAATGCGTTGGACGGAGTGGCTGCCGGAGAAGAACGCATCGCATTCCTCACCACCAATCACATTGAGCGTCTAGACCCTGCACTGATCAGACCAGGCCGAGTGGACATGATGCTGAAGATTGGCGAGGCAACCCCGTTCCAGGCTGCGCAGATGTGGGATCGATTCTATGGCGATGTCGATCAGGATCACGCTGGCCGGGCACGATTCTTGGAACGCCTCGAGGAGCTGGGTTTGTTTGGGAAATACAAGGACGGCCAGGCTTCCAACCGCCATACGAGCGCCGCCGCTATCCAGGGCCTATTTCTGTTCAATAAGAGCGATATGCACGGTGCTATTGATATGGCCGAGGGTCTTATCCCAAGGAATTTTGAGGCGGAAAACTCTGGCGTCGACGGTGCAACCAAGACGCCAGTTTAAGAGGCTGATGGCGAGAGACCATCTGTGTACCAATTATGTACTGTATTTTGTAAGATTGAAGGATACCCTGTTGGAAAAGGAAACAGTCGATTGATACGATTGATTGATGAACAAGAAACAATCGTCGAGGATAAACTTGGCGCTGAAGGCAGAATAGGCATAGAAGGGGAAAATATCAATGTCTTAAGGCGATGCAATGTCCAATTTGCTATCCAGTACTACCTAGATAGGTAGGCGTATATATTGAATTTATTGAACGTCAAGAATGATTCATTCGGCCTCGCAGCCGCTTGTCCACCACGAGGTGACCAGCTTATAACACCAAGAGCACTACTTTAGTGCCAGAATCCTACTTTCTGACGATTCATGCCATTCGACAGCCTTGTGCGCCGCGACCGCTGCCGCCTCCGTCTCTAAAATGCTCTCCACTCTAGACCCGTGGCCCCATGGCGATGTCGTGATCGGCGCCATTCTTAGCTCAATATCAGAGACCAGGATGATCAACGAATGCCATGAAAACGCAATGCAGTGCTCAGCAACAGGATGTTAACTCATGAAACAGATGAAGAAAAATAAGATTTAAGAATAAAATGGAGATCCATATGCACGCCATACATTTACGTGTATCGACATAAATCAGGTCATATGGTAGCATTGATCTTCAGCCAGCCCTGTATATCTCACCGCGAACTCTCCCCCATCCACAAATATGTGGAGGCGCAAAAAACGTGAAGTGACGTGATTGCAGCGCCTGCAAGGATGCCAAAATCCCAAATCAGCTGGGATGGCAAATGCTACACAAGTACAAATGCAGAGGAGCGAGTCAGAGGAGCGGGAGCGACATGAGAACTCCATCTCAAGAAAAGATTGCGGTTCGCGCTGTGCCCAAGGTGCGTTAGTCCAGCGCAAACCACAGGAACCTAGACTTGAAGAAAAGGGATTGTACATGTTGAGAATTGGACCAACCGTCTTACATCACTTCTTCATTCTTGCATCATCGCCGTGGCCGGATCGCAATTCTGCTTTTGCGCTGTTGGTTTGATTGGCTTGTCTTTTTTTTGCGACCTAGGCTACTTGCTTGGTTTCTCTTAACGTCCTCTTCTCTCTTTTTCTATATATTAATTTGTTTTCCTCTTACAATTCGAGATACCCCAGAGAGTAAGCGAGAGAAGTGAAACAAGCATTTGCGACATCGTTCGCCATGTTCCGCTCAAGCAAATCTGGCGGCAAATTCGCCGACGAGCCGCGCCTCGACGATGTCTCAGCCGAAGAGGCTCCCGATTACAACCAGCAATATAGAGCACACAACCTCGACACAGGCAACGATGGTTTAATCGATCCGGATTCAGGCGTCAAGCGCGGCTTGAAAGATCGTCACTTGTCCATGATGGCGCTCGCTGGCATTATCGGGCCTGGTTTGCTGGTTGGCGCGGGAGGTGCCTTGAACAGCGGTGGCCCGGCGTCATTAATCATCGGATTTGGTGTTATTGGTATGTTTCACAGACTTTGGAGAAGTAATTGACCAAATCTAATGTTTGCGTCTTAGGTATTATTGCCTTCTCCATTATGCAGTCTCTGGGTGAAATCACCACTTTGTACCCCGGCGGCGGCGCCTTTGTCTCTTTAGCTGAACGCATGGTGGACAAGTCCTTCTCCGTGGCGGTTGGCTGGAACTATTTCATCATCTGGGCCACTGTTTTGGCCAGCGAGTACAATGTCATCTGCAGCATCCTCCACTTCTGGGCACCGCAGGTCCCTCTCTGGGGCTGGTTCCTCATTCTATGGAGCATATTCCTGGCTTTTCAAATCATCGGCGGCATCACTGCTTTTGGCGAGGCAGAGTATATCCTGGCCCTCATCAAGATTCTCGGCTTAACGGCCTACTTTATCTTTTCCATCGTATACGCATCCGGAGGATTGATTGGCCAAGACGGCCCTGTTGGATTCAGATACTGGCATAACCCGGGAGCCTTCAACGGCCATGGTTTCCGAGGAGTTGCGACTGTCTTTGTCTTTTGCTCTACTTTCTACGCTGGAGTCGAGTCTGTGGCTGTGGCTGCTACCGAGACGAGAAATCCGGGCACTGCTGTGCCGCGAGCTATACGTCAAGTCTTCTTCCGCATCATCTTCGTCTACATGGGATCGGCCTTCTTTTTTGGCCTCACTTGCCCGGCTGATTCTGATGAGCTTATCAACGGAGGTGCCAAGGCGCTGCAGAGCCCCATGACGATTGCTATACAAAATGCCGGTTGGAATGGAGGTACGTTTTAGACTCTGTGTCTTTTATAGACATTACTAACCGGGTGTTGTCTCTAGGTGTTCATCTCATTAACGCCTTCATCCTCATAACATGTCTGTCAGCCGTCAATTCATCCATCTACATCGGCTCTCGTACCGTCCTGTACATGGCGCAATCCGGAAAGGCCCCCAAGATCCTCGGCTGGGTCAATAAGCGCGGCGTCCCAGTCTGGTCAATCCTTCTCACAAACGCCGTCGGTGCCATCTCCATGATGAACGTCTCGACCGGAGCATCAGAGGCATACAGCTACATCATCAACCTCGCCGGTGTCAGCACATTCCTCGTCTGGGGAAGCATCAGCTTCATCCACTTGCGCTTCCGTCGTGCGTGGACTGTGCAGCAACGCCGAGTAAGCGATTTGCCGTTCAAGAGCATGTTTTACCCTTATAGCCCCTATTTCGGCTTGTTTGCGAATATTTTCCTTGCTCTTGTTCAGGGCTGGACGACATTATCACCGTTTACTGCTGGCAAATTTGTTGATGCGTATATCCTTTTGCCGCTCTTTGGCGTCATTTACGTTGTTTGCAAACTTTACTGGAGAGGACAAGATAGATTCAAGAGAAGCTGGGATATTGATTTAGACAGCGGGCGGAGAACCGATCTAGATAAGAGTGGCTTTGTTGGAGAGGCGTATGCGGAGCAGACGCAAAAGGTGCCGCTTTGGAGAAAGCTTTGGCAGTCATTTTAGATACCCAGGACATAATATTATAGGTCATATCGACCAAGGCCGTATTTTACTATAATTCTTTTCCATATGAAGCAGTCAAACAGCCATCATCCAAAGTGCCCATTAATCTTTGTCCAGCCTGGCCCATCGCATGTTTGCAGATAGGACAAAGGATCGGAGACCTTACGCGTAGCTTGGAGCTTCATTTTGCGCGCCTTGATCAAGTCTTTAATCTCCCAGACGTCCCACTTGATCACTCCGAGTCTCTCATAAACATCATTCCTGCCTTTTTCTTGGCAGAGCACAAGACCAATGCCCCAATCGCACCAAATCTGGCCCTTGGCTCGAGAGCTCTTTGAAGGTGGCTGAATGCGCGCCAGGAATAAGATGCCAATATTACGACCCTTTCGGCTTCTATGCAGCCATTGGAATTCGTCTGCTATTGTGATCTGATCAAATGGCTTCGTCATGGCGCTTCGGAACTCTTCGTGGAGTCCTTGGTTAAGTCTCAAAGCCGTCCTAGTAGTACCAACAACGTTCTGTGTAACTAGATAGAAAGTCTCTAGCGTTGTGTATTTGCCGTCAAATCGAACCATGACAGTGTCTTCGAATGTTGTGGCATAGAGACGAGCGCCGCCGGATCTGGTAATCATCTTCTTTTCCGCATCCATGGACGTGTCCGAGTCCATCTTCTGGCGCCAAAACAGATGAGCTTCATCCGTCAGGCTCATCTCTGGACTTACTCGCCAGGCCTTTCGAGGCTGACATGACCGGCTTTGCACCATGAGCTGGCTGGATATCGGATATCTCCGTAGCAATTGGGCGCCGAGCTGATCTTCAAGTTCTGATAAGCTGTATTTCTTTCCAGGGATGGCGTTCGGCGACGATTCGCCTAGCTGCATGTCAAAAACCTGCATGATGCCTCGGACGCGATCTGTTATTTCGTAGCACTGCCTCTGATGCGATGCTTTGAGAAGTGCCAAGGGGTTCCCCATTCGCAATGCGCGAGATTTTGAAGCGGTAGGGAGCTCGAGGGCTTTAAATATCTGCGCGTCTAGCCTCATCGCTTCCAATAAGCCCAGGTTATTGATGTCGGCTTCTAGGGCGTTTACTTTCTCCATGTCAACTTTTACGCCTTGATAAGTATGACCAATCCGAATATTCCTCAGTTTTAAAAGGATAGCATGCCAGCGGTAAATAAAATCCTTGAGCGTTCCCGATTGAACATGCGTAGCGCTCTGGAAAGCAAATAGGTCTCGATGAGTTCCATCTCTATACATGAGAATCGCTCGTGGGCTTAGAAATGCCTCCTGCAGCGTCCAAAGAGATGAAAACCACGGATCAGCTCTTAGTCTTCGGAGATGCGTTTGAACGTGTTCTGTCCAGGCATCCAAGTCGGGACTTTGGTGAGCTCCCACCTCAACGCCAATCACGGGTCTCTCAATATTCCTTAAACCACTCCACCATTCTTTGATCTCTGCGCGGCGAAAAGTTGTCAACCATACGATGACTTCGCTTGCGCCCTCAAAGATTCTGGCTTGCCTGCCCACTTCCTTGTAATAATCCTCTGTGTGGGGCTTTGTCTGGTCTATACATGCAACATCCAGCCACACAAACACAACCGGTTCAAAGCCGTCTTCAGCTGGAGGATTGGCAGCATTGATAACAAGCTGATGAAATTCGTCCGCCGTAAATTGTGAGGGCCTCATACGCGGAATGTTCCAAGGTACGCCCTTGACTTGCAGGTATGGCGTCGAGGCATATTCTGGTTCGGTGTTTCTGACGTAAAACCGGCCCCAAGTATACGAAATGGCGTTGTATTTTGGCTCTTTGTGGGTGCCATAGTTGTTGCCGGGCTGCCAGGGGTACGATGTCATGGAGGGAACATGAAGCAGTCGACGCGGCCAGCGGCTATTCTCGAACAATTGAGAAGTGTCCTTCTTCACTGGACGACGCATTTTTCGCGATCTTAGACAGATATCATGCCATAAAGAACAATATGAGACCAGGCAGAAATATCTGAAAGGGCCGACATGTGTGAACGCATGACAGATTGGGATATCAGCTGGGTACACGTAGGTATTTATACCTTCATGGGTACTTGCACGCATTCAGCGCTGTAACAAGGAAACGACTCCTTCGAGCACATGAGGAGCGGGGTAACACCGTTTATTCATCTAGTCTCTAGAGGAGACGGCATAATCGCCAGAAGGATTTGCGTAGCTCTAACTCTTATAGGGTATCATTGCAGAATGAGAAGCAATCAACGCACTTGTTGATATATTGTACGCTATAGATGCCGATTTTCATATATTTCGATGTGGTGAAGCGCCAAGGAGTTTCCCACTCTCAGTAGCTCTCTGGCCGCTCTATCAGTCTTTTATCACTGCCCTTGAATAGCCCTAGTATAGCTTTAAATTTGCCAGCAGACATTTTTTTTGATTCTTTTTTATATCGGCCAGTAAAGTTTTGCTTGCACAACGTTGCTTCTTTTGAGCCATTGCTAAGTTTGGCCGAACACATGTTGCAGCAAAATTCAAAAACTAAAATTTGAAGAGTATGAATGCCAATAAATCTATCATTAGCGTCCCAGTTCCTCCGACTGACTGGTCTGTACCTTGGCGGAAGCCATAGAACTCTTTTCTTGCTATTAGTCATCCAAGTGTCCCCTCTCGCAAAGCCGTAATTGCTTGTGTTCGCCGGAAGACCTAGATTTCGAACGACCCAAGCCGAGTCGAAGATGCCCATAAGAGTTTTCTTAGAGCTAGGTAAGCTCTCTAGGTGATAAATCCAGTTATCCCGCGCTGCAAAAGAATGAAAGGATTCTGGCGACGTAACTTGCTGAATTGTGGTTGCTGTGCGCGTGCCAGACGTAAGATCCCATATACCAAGTTCCCAAGGCTCAAAGTGAATAACTGCCAAACGTTTGCCATCCGATGAGAAAATTAGCACCACATCAAAAGCAGCAGCTTCTTTTAGCTTCCACAGTCGCTTTCCTGAAGAGGTGTCCCATATATTGATTGTGCCATTACTGGACGCGATAGCCATTTGCTTCCAATCTTGAGACAAAACTGACATGCTCTCAGCAAAGAATCTGGGAAAATGGTTCTGAAAAAGCAATTTTGGAGGACATGAATCTATGCTCCATATCTGTAGGCTCGATTCCCGAGCGCAAGCCAGCCGTGTAGAGTCCGGAGAAAGAATAGAGTAATATCTCGACGGTATAGCTGTAGATGTCTGGGAAATAGAATCCCACAGCATAATGTCATTTAAATAGTTTCTAATGAGTAGTTTTGTGGCATCAGGAGAGAAATTCACACGCCCGTATGTATTGGTCTCTTTAAGGTTTGTAGGAAGTATGCAGTCTTCCTCGGTAACGCTCAACACAAAGATTTGATCTGAGCCCGAGCAGGCGAATAACTGTTGTTTGTCTGCCGAGAAAGCCATTGAAACACAAGAGATAGCAATCTTCTGTATTAAGTTCCCTGAAGCAGTCTCCCAAATCCAGGTGCTCGACTCACGAAAACTTGCCGCGAGTAGACTGTTGTCAGCTGAGAAGCAAAGACTTCTAATATAAATCGCATCATGTTGCTTATCATGCTCAAGTTTCATTATCATCCTGTCCATCATTGAGTCCCAAAAGAGGATACGCTCACGATTTTGGAGAATAACCAAGAGACGGCCCTTGGACGAAAAGCAAGTGCCATCTATATGCTTCAAATCTCTATAGTGGATGAATGTCCCAGTCAGCACATCTAAAGTCTCGACAGAGTCACTGGTATAACATGCTAATAAATCGTCATTCATTGAAAAGGCGAGGTGATGTGCAGAACTTGGCCGCCTCCAAATAAGTTCGCATGTATCAGTGTTCCAGAGCTCAATAAAACGAGACGAAAGCGATGCAAGGACATTTTGTCTTCTAGGAGAGAGTGATATTGAAGTAATCCGATTTTCTTGGTCTTGTGCTGGGAGCTTTTTGCGATTCCCTTTTGAAACGTCCCATATTGTTATGCCGCCGTCATGATAAGCTGCGAGCTTGTCATTATCTAAAGGCGAAAATACAGCTCCTTTGTGCGAGTCAAAATCGTCAATTGTGCGCATCAATATCCCTGAGCCAGTGTCCCAGATTTTGATTGATTGGTCCCATGATGTAGACGCTATTCGGTCGCCTCTGCATGAAATGGCAATTGATGAGACCGCCCGTTCATGTCCTTCCAGCATCCGCGGACGCCAATTTGCTTCCAGTTGTGGTCCGATTATAACCCACTTTGGCATGTCTTTCTTGAAAAGCTGACGAATCAAGCTATTATCCGGACTGAAGAGTAGGGCCGAAACGTAAGTTTGCAGAGGCGCGTCATGTATGGCGTCCGCAAACTCCTGGACAAATCGACAGGCATCTCTGACGAGGTCTTTGATAGGGGTTGCTAGTTGTGTCTTCCTCTATTGTATCAGGTCAACAAGAGTGATTAAGATTGATAAAATTGATTTTACTCACAACCTGCCTCTCTAGCTCCTGTAGATCGACGGCTCCCTTCGGAATGTTGCGCAGGAGAGCAAGTGCCTCTAACCAATATAAATACTTCGACCGAAGGAAATCTTCAAGAGCTTTCATTCCAATGTCTTCTTGTGGGAGCGAATCGAGAAAGTGGTCAATCCAGTAGACGCATGAATACCGCACAGCAGCTAGTGGATCGGGATCCATAGCGGGAATATTGTGTATGGAATACCCTGGCTCTTCCAAACCGTAAATATCTTTCTTCAGATTCATCATCATGTTTGAGAGAGACGCAGAGAGAATTTTATTATGTGTTTTTCTTGGAAGGAAAAGTTCATCGGGTGCCTTATTAACTAGATAGTCTTTGGCGGATTGGTGGACAAAGTAAACAGTTTGGTCCTGCAGAACAAGAAACGAGCCACAAAGCCCCGGTATCTGTTCGGAAATATCGCATAGTGCATTATTCTCTCCGACTTTTCTTGGATTGAGTTCCACCAGAGAGGCCAATTCCAGTATTGTCAGAGGCCGGTAGGCAGCAAGAGCAATAGCCAGAATCTGCCTCCCAAGGTCAATCGCATTCACGTCGCATATCTTTTGCATCATTCGTTGATACAAATTATCAAGTCCTGGAGGGAATCTATCCAACACTGAGCGCACTTGAAACCTTGGCACCCGTTTCAGATTATCGCAAACCAAAGCTACCCAGAGGAAGGTACCATTGGCATGTTTCATGAGGTATTGCTCTACTTCAGTCTGGGTATCATCATCAACGTTCAGTTCTCGGACTTTGTGCCGGATGTATGATGCAACAGCCGCAGCAACAGAAGTTGAATTGAGCTCAAGACTCACACTTGGTGTACTTTCGGCGTCTTCTAGTCGCTTCTGGATATCTAACTCGTTGCGACTCGATACTAACACTTTTACCCGCGCAGATGAGGTTAAAATCTCTATTATCAGATCGAGGAGCTGATGTAAGCCTTGAAAGCATTCGTCCAGTGCATCAATAATCAGGATTGTGTCCTTTAAATTAGGGTCTTGGAGGATGTTGGCCAGGATTTGCGAAAGTGCAACCCAGGCATTTTGATCCTCAAACACGGTCTTGCCCACGTCGTCGTACTTTGTCCGGATATGCGGCATAAGAGTGCTGCTTTCGGACTAGCATGTATATGAGACCACGTAGGATAGCTACTGAGTTATTGATGCGGGAGTCGGTCTGTTGGCAAAAGAAGTAAGAGAGGTTGTAGGCAGCAGACTTCTCTATCTCATCCGCAATGCCACACAACAACATTGTCTTCCCTTTTCCAGGGTTTCCCCTAATCCAGAGAAGAGGGCATTTGGGGTCATTGCGCCATTGCATAAACGCACCATTTGTCAAGATCCAGGCGTATGAGTCCCGTAGCAAGCCACCCTTGGTCATTTGAATGCGCTTCTTATCGTCAGCAGGGTCTGTGCTGCGTAGGTCTCTCAAACATTCTCTGTTCTCCCGAGAGTCTTCAATTTGTGTAGAACCCGGATTCTTAACCAGGGCAGCAACCCGTTGATCGGTCTTGGGATAATGCTCGATGAGTCCTTTGACAACTGATGCCGCAGTGGCAGCGGCGAAGTTTTGCCAGTCCTTATTGTTATGGCTGTCGGCATAATCGCAAACGCCCTTGACGATGATACAAGGGTATTCGTCCCAGATGCCGGATCCTTCTGTTTCGAACGCTAGAATATCGTGCTCTCTCGCCAGTCTGTCACGACCAATCCCAGACTTGAGCACTGTATCTCCTGAACCAACTCGTCCAATGAAAACAGATGGCGCTTGAGCATCTTTGATGTTTCCGTCCTCCTCCAGCTGTTTCTTCTGCTTGATACGGATGCGCGGCACTAAGCGAGCAGGATCGCAGCCGAGTTGGTCGCATGAAAGTTTTCTGGAGGCCTCGCATACGAGATTTTCGTTCTGATCACTATTTGAACATCTACATGTTGGCGAAGTGCGGTGCTTATGATGGTAACTTGGTTCAAACAACTTGTCATTCGACGACCCCGGGTATGCGTAAGTTACAGTCTTTCGGTGTCTTTGATCTCTCTCTTCGAAAGTTCGCTGAATCACGTCCAAAAGAAAAGCAGCTCGCTTCTCCAGACGGTCGCTCCCGCGATCTGTCTCCAGAATGGCAGTGAAGCTTCGAATGTTCTTGCTTGCCCTACCGGGTTGTGCATCAATTGTATCTGTTGTTTTGAAAGCGTCCGGGTACCGGCTGCCGCGGTCATACTGGACAACAGTTTTACTGATAATAACGTCGCCCAGTAGGAGTTCTTCGCCCTTCACAAACGGCACGCCACCGCATATTCCATTCAAAAAAAGGACTTTTATGTCCGGATAGCTCGATCGGAGGCTAGCTGCAGAGCCTGCTGCCTCGACTTTTCCGATGCCAGGGAGAAGCAGGACGACAATATTGAAGCCGCCCATAGACCCAGTTGTATAAGTGTTGTTATCCCCTCTTGCTCTTCCATATGGGTCTCCTTCTTCATCCCAACACTGATCTAGAAGAATCACAACAGCATTGTATTCAAACGGTAGGGCGCAGACAATCGCTATCTCGAACTCGTCGCGACTGGCAGGACGAGATACTGCAGGCTTGGACATGGTGACGTAATAAAGCGAAGGCCATCTAAAGATCAGCAGTTATAATAAAGAGATTTGCAGAGTGAGATTTTGAATAGTTAACAATTTCGTTTTTATCAAACGAATATTTAGACATTTGATGCCTCAAGTATGTGCTTTTATTCGTGCCTGAACATTTGTTGGGCATTGGGCGCCGATATCCCTTGAGCAAAGAGTACATATACTACTAGTAGCTACTACTAGTAGGTTCACAGAGACATAGGTAGGTAAGGCTCCAACTTTGGAGCCCAAGGGATCAAAGAAAACAAAAACACTGCACGAGGCTCTCTTCCTCCAAGGTGGCGGAGGTCTGCACTAATCTAGACCGAACCCAGCAGGCGGCGATGCCTGCCTATAGCAGAGCCAACCACGGCTGCAAGACAACAGTCAAAAGTATACATTATGTAGTAGCTATTACCAAAGATGCTTTTGTTTATACAGTTCGATGTTATTCATGTTTCCCTGAAATACTTCACTTCATGTTGTCCCAGGGGTCGCAGCCCCTCCATCAGATAAAGCCGGATTATCCATTCTTCCCACCTCTTATCCCTCTTATCGGACAATAACCAGCCGGGGTCTGCACTCCCGCATCTTAGCGCACAAGGCCAGGTACAAGCGATGCCAGACTGGTCCAAGCCAGCAGAAACGCGTGGGATGAGGTCAGGGATGTACCTGTACATCCATCTCGCTATCAACTCCAGCAAGCTCCTCCGATCTTCAGCGCTTCAGCACCTCGACATCACGCCAAATCGCATCATCAGCTCCAGCATCGTCTTACCAGCATCCACTCTGCAGAATTGACTCGCTTCTCCTCCGTTTTGCGCTGCTTCCATCATCACATGTCTCTCGCTGGCCGCCCATTCCGCATCCACCCCCTCGACCCCCTCGATCTGTCCATCACCACCCGAAGCTACAGCCTCTCAGCCTCGCGCCTGAGGATCGACAAGGCTCGACTCCGGCCTCCCATCAAGCCGAGTGAATGCAACCACTAAACCCCTTTCTAGCCGCCTTCTTCAAGAGCCAGGTCGCCGCACAGTGCACCCCCGTCCACCACCACATCCTGCTGGTGCCGCTGACCGATGTGCTTCTCACCCATCGCGAGACGGAGAGCGGCGCCCCGGCCCACGAGGTCGTCGCCTCGGACGAGTTCCTAGCCAGCCATGTGCTGCGCATCCCCGGCCCCGACGGCCCTGTGGCTGGCAAGGACAGCTCGCAGAACCTGCGCGAGGCGCGAGGCAAGGCTCGCCAGTTTAACACACTGAACGGGAGGAGCGTCATCGTCAAGGACTCGTTCATCTACAGCAACAAAGGTATACCCGGCAAGAGAAGCTCAAGCAAGGCACCTCCGGTAGCTAATCCTATCATGTTCTCAGGATTTAAGAATCTTGCGCAAGCCCAGATCCTCAATGACACCATATGGTACCCGGATGTCACCGAACCGCGACAATGGCTGGTATACTACATCTCGAAGCCTCTGATTGGAGCCTGGGAGGAGGTCAGGCTTGAGCCTGCAGTGCTCGTATCGGGAGTCAGGAGCCGTGCCGCCGCAGAGCAACAACAAAAACGGCAAGCTAACGGCGACTCAGCCGATGCCCTGCCGCGCAAAAAGGACATTAGGAGCTTTCAGGATCTTCTCAACCACTTCCCCATGATTGCCCGGCAGATGCAGCCCGGGTTAGAAAAGCTCTTTGTTGAGTTTACGACAGTCTTCCAGAAACCCCTACCACCGCCGCCATCGGCTTCATACATTCCCGACCCCAAACCAGATGGTCCTGTTACTTCTGCTGCTAGAAGAGCAAGGGCAGACAGCTTGACAGCTAGAAATGGGAAAGCTCATCTACATAATAACTTGCCTGTGGAAGAAGACTTTTATGCGGAAGATGATGAGGATATCATGCGCGCTTCGCTCGAGAGCGCGGTTACAGCTGCCATTGATATCTTTCAGGGGGTGGATAAACAACAGCTGTCTCTACTAGGCGCCACAACAGACTTGACAGGTCCGCTAGTGGAAAAGCTCATTGAGCGCTACATTGCTGAAAATGTCCATGGCCTGTTATTCGGCAAGCTCAGTGCCATTAAGAGACGAGATGACCTGGAACTGGAAGCCAAGATACGCAAAATGGAGTTTATCGACATCTCTCAGCTTGGCATCGCTATTGATGGAGGCCTAAAGGCTAAGAATGATCTCGTTACCCAACTCAACCCTGCTGTCGATGAATTCAGGAGGATATCCAACGCCATGAGTCCGCCGGAAATGTTGGACCTATTACTGTCAACAATGAAGATTGCTTCGCAGCTAACCGATACTTCACGGCCTCTAGCCGGCGCCTCAACGGAGGCATCTACTTCTGAAAAGGCCATCATGACCGTCAATGCAGATACCCTAGTTTCGCTACTGTTATACGTCATCATTCGGTCTCAAGTGAGAAATCTACAGGCTCGACTCACCTATATAAGAAATTTCAACTTTGTCGAAGATGTAGATAGCGGGGAGATGGGCTATGCTTTGAGCACTTTCGAAGCCGTTCTGGCATATCTCTTCGCAGACTCGGCAGGATTGCGCCGTGCCAGCAAGAAGAACAGAGCCTTGTGGGATGCCGCCAAGGGGGCGGATATGAAGGCGCTGAGAGATATTATGGAGCCAAGCCCTGGCGCTGTTGATGACGACGACATTGAAGATAGTGACAGCGATGCAAATGATCGAATCCCAGCTAATGTCGGATTCAATAATCCGCCGCGCAGTTCGTCGAGGCGAAACTCGCTTGTTTTGAGCTCCTCGGACCGATTTTCTCATGGCACCGGACTCGGTCACGTTTTCCCCTTTCAACTCTCCAACGGCGATGGCGCAAGCGATTCGCTCCTTGATCTGCCAGTGAAGAAGATTAAGCGCGTGGCCATGGATACGCGCAGTCTATCCAGCGCATCAGAATTCTCATACCACTCCATGACAGCAAGCGTTGGCTCTCTGAGCAGTGCGCTAGAGGGTGACATATCTGTGGAGAGGCTTGCGCATACCAGCAGTGCCTTGGGAGAGTCAGTCTTGATGATGGCTGTGCAGGGCGGAAGTGTGGAAATCCTGGAATATCTCTTGTCCCTGTCCGGATATTATCCGTTTGACATTGTACTAACCGACGTGAACAACGAAAACACGACGCTTTTGAGCGCCGCCGTCCAGCTAGGGAACCGAGACCTCATTAGCTCACTTCTTGATTATCTCCTTGGCAAAGCCAATCCGATACAGCTGGCGCAATATTTCTCAGTACAGGACGTCTGGGGCCGAAGCGTTGGACACTATCTGTTCAACGCGCCGTGGATGATTAATTCTATCGGGACTCTTATTCAATGGCGCCAAAGAGACAAAAATGGACAGACGCCGCTTTTTGCGCTGTGTCGCTGTTACGACCACGTAGATTACTATGCTATGGTGGAGGATGGCATACGGGCTGCGCAGCAATCACAGCTTGATGGGCAGCCGCTACATGTCGACGAACACATTGACGGCAAAGGCAACACCCTGTTGCACATTATGAATGATCCGAGATTGGCATTGAGAATCTTACAATTCTGCGATGTGGATGTAAATGCTACAAACGAGAAGAAGTTTACGGCATTGATGGTTGCCAGCAAATATGGCCGATACGACATGGTCAGGGCTCTTTTTGCCGACCCTCGGGTAGACCTTGGAGCTAAAGAATTACGGGGTCTCACCGCGGTAGAGCTGGCTAAGGACGACGAGGTGAGAAATAGGATCGATGACCTCGGGCTTTTCAGCATGCCACCAGCACGGGATGGGCGGATCACGGGCGTGGTCAGGGCCTTTTTCGTGGAAGATAGTACTGTACGGTTGGTTCTCAAGTCGGCAGCTCCAACGGACCATGATAGTTATACCGTAACTACGAGCCGCCGATCCCTGACCGATTTCGAGCAGTTGGCACGCCTGCTGGCTGAGGAGAATCCAGCATCGTGGATCCCGTCCATGGCAGACACCCGATGGCCATTTCAGCTGCCGTCCCGGCCGTCTCGAGCAGCGTTGCGAGATATTCAGACACGAACCGACTGGTTCCTGAAGATTATGCTGAGCCATCCTACTCTTTCTACCCACGAGATGCTATGGGAGTTTTTCTTGGTACCGGAGCTACAGCTAGAGGTCATGGAGCAGAGAACAAAGCTCAAAGCAGAAACAAGATTAGAAAAGGTTCGAGAGGAGTACGAGCCGATGGAAGACATACGAGTAGTGGAACAATTTGTTGACCACGCTCGCGATATGGTTCGAAGCGTCAGCTATTCGACCAAGAGCGTAACGAGGCGTGCCAATGCCGCCACTCAAGTTGCCGCTGGTGAGTAAACCCCATACTTGGCTGGAAATCACGATGGAGTAGAACACGGCTGATGATGAGAAACCCTTTCGCTAGATTATTATGATGCAGCAGCGTTGCTCTACCGAGCTGTCTTTACTATCCAATTTCTTCCACCGCAGCACATTGTCGGCATGGAGGTGTTTGTCAGAGCCATGGCGCCGGCACAACACAACCCTCAGATTATATTCCATACCACGCTAATGGCGATTCAGTCCACAGTACAGGCAATGCTTTTATCACTATCCAAACCCGCAAGCCTTATTGGGCAAATCACAGCAGCGAAGCGAGAGGCGGACAGAAACGACAGCGCTGCAACACGACCTTCGCGATGGGCCCTGGGTTTGCTTGATGACTCTAGACAACGAAATCAGGAAGAAAAGGGGAAGCGGGCGCGCGAATCACGAGAGCAAGCAGCTTTTCTCTCCAAGGAACTCCGATACACACAACAAACGGTGGCAGCCGAACTGGCTGGGTGGAAGGAGTCACACGATCAGGTGGCTATCCGGGCCATTCGCGATTATGCCCGGGGCATGGCGGTGCAAGAGAGAATAAGGCTCGAAGGCATGATGCGAGCGTTGAGAATAGTGCGCATGGGTAACTATCAGCAAGGCGTGATGAACACCATGTCTCAGCGACGACCGCCATCGCCTCCAACGGATGGGAAGCAAGAGGCCGAAGATGGGGATGATGTGCCACCTGGAAACGAAACGAGTGGAGCGGAGTGAGTTGTAGAGCGGGGATAGACGATGAGGTTTTGTGACGGGCTGGTTTGTCCATCATCGACCGCATGCCAGCGTATAAGCGAGGCTACGATAGAAGACGCGTCACGAAGTGGGTGTTTGCCAAAGACGTGATAGCATCAAAAAACTCGTTGGACAGGGGCCTACGGGGTTGGGCCTCGACAAGGAGAGGGCTACAAAAATTAGAACAGACGAGGGTGAATGAAATGGGACGGTTAGCGTGTGCATGATGTGTCGGTGCTGGATACCTGACGACTAAACCCTGATTCAGGCACTTGGGTTGGCCTTGGCGTTGGGGAGAAACCGATGAGAAGACTATTCTACAAGATTTTATTTATAATGTTCATGATAGAAAAGACAGCGATGATATTTTTTGGTTTGGACTGGTACTACTTGTTCAGTTGGTGTATTGGCCGGTAATGTTGATATTATGCTCGACGTCTTGCTGGGTGTGGGATAAAGTATATGATACTCGACATATTAGTTGATGGGAGTATGGCTACCCTGTTACAACTAAAGCAAGCGTTGCTGCATACGAAGGAATGCAGGGCGAATCTTCATGTCCCCACGTTATGTACGCCAGATAGATTAACAACAGACGGTGAGAGCACGTTTGATACCCGAGGACAAGTCAAAAATTGAATGGAATCCAAGGCTAGATGAGTGAAAGAATCCCAGTTGATGCCAGCAAAAAGCATACAAAAAAGATCACGAACGGCTACGCAAGCATGCATGAAGCCCAAGCTAGCATTCTTAAGAGTCATACTTGCAGTAGAGACAACGCACACTGGAGCTCTTTAGATGTGTTTCAAAACAAAAAGATGGGGCTGCCCGCCCAACTGACGTTTGAGAATGGAGATGGTTCTCGTGCCCCAGGCAAAGATGAAACATCCGAACTTTTGCAATTTTTTCCCTCTTCTTTTTCGTGGGATAACCGAACTTGCTTACAATCTATGCTAGGGTAGAAGAAACACTTGACAACACAGCAAACATGAACACGTTGATTTCTGTGGGGTGCAAATTTTAGGCTTACTTGGAAGTAGTTTAGCTCGGATGCCCAAATTTTGGCGTGGGGCACTTGAAAACGGGCGGAGCTAAAGAAAGACTGAGGAAGAGGGATGGGCCAATCAGGGGGGGGAAGTGGCGTGCAGCGAGCCGATTGGCTGAGGAGGGCGGATAGACGACGCGCCGGGCTTAAATTTAGAGATTGAGAATAAGAGACGGAAAGGAAATGGAAGAGGCGCGTGTTGAGGAGGAGCAGTAGCAGCCTTACACGCGTCAATTTGATATCTGCTGGTAGCACTAGGTACTTGCTTTTACGAGCAGTAGGACTTTTTCTGGGTTAGAATAGAAGTATATGTAAGTTTGTGGTATAGAGTACAAGGTGTATTAATAGGCGGCTGCGGCGAATGAGCTGCGCGTAACTATACTTGCTGAGAGGGCTTTACGGCCGGTGATTGGACGATGGGGTTTACGCGCCTGGATAACTTGCTCTATAGAGATGAACGGACGATGTATCGGATGTTGCAGTATATAATAGACGTCTATTACAGTACACGCAAGAAGTATGAAGTGGACAAGGTGAGTTCCCGTTTAGCCAAGACAAGCGAATTTGCGCAACCGCCGCGGTGGGACGCCGAAGCGCCGAAAATGGAAACAGTCCAAAGGCGCACGTAAACTACAGTAAGATTCGGCTCCTCAGCTTGTGAACCTCTCACCTTGTCTCCCCAGATCCGTGCGGCAAAAGAGCCAGACGCTCGGATCACTGGCTGGGACCGACGCTGAGAATGCCGGGATACGGCCAGATTTTTATCCTAATTTCCCTAGGTGTAAGACAAAGAGACACAAGGTTTATGTTAGCAGCCTGGTTAAGCGCTCGGCGGGTGGAAGGGCCCGCTCTAAGCGCCCGGAAGGGAACTGCGCCTAAGTGCGGCAAGAGGCTTCTGGCTTTTTGGCCTGTCTCAGTGGTGTAACGGCGTAAGTGTACTTGATTTAATTTTCAATTTTAAAGTTTTAATTTGGAGAGAAGTGAAAAGACTCGGTGTGTAAGTAGTAGAAGGTAAAAATAGAATTTTTTTGCTCGGTACGACCCGGACGGTTTATTGCCGTTGCTGCATGTACTTCGATGGTGTACGAGATTATTACTGCATTGCACGAGTACCTTTTGTAATTGATGGAAGAGCGGTGACCAGCCCTTTTTTATTCTGGGAGCCTGATAGATGTACTGTATCTGAGTGGAGAGCATAGAGAGAGCCTCTTTGCTCGGCGCGACAAAACAATAAAAGAAAAAGCTACGATAATGAAAGCAGCAACGCGACGCGAGATGCGTTTCTCGTTTCGCGACGTTGGAAGCAATCGCGAACATTCTGGCGGGTTTATTTTCTGCCAAGCCCCAGTCAAAGATCTTCCCAAGATCTCGCATCGCAAATCGCAGCTTTCGCGCGCGTCCAACACGCATAACGGCAGCAAATCTCGCTCGAGCCAACAGAACACGTCGGGAACTAGGGATGAGTCACTGGACTTTGGGGACTGAGCCGGGACTGGATGTCGTTTCTCGCTGGGCAGCCACTCACGGGCCCGGCGCCTGCAGCCAAAACCCGCTCAGCCCCCCCGGTAAACGTTGACGTCTGAGCCCTGCATCTTCTGCTTCCCCCCCCTTGTCCTGTGTAAAGTACCCAAAAAGCCGTATTTTCAACGTTTAGTGGTGGGTAGAGGAAAAAGAGAAGCGGGGACTTATACGCCCCCATCTGGGTAGCATTTGCGCTAAAAGCTGTCTACCCTTGTCCCTCTATGTCGCTTTTCTCTTTTGTCTGCCGTTGCAAAGTCCCCAAAGCCTCGTCTGCCGGGCCGGCATTCAATCTGTCTGCTACGGATATGTGCGGTCAGCAGGCTGGAGGGAGCAGGTTCCCAGTCTTCAGGTGAATGAAGACGAAAATACGACGGGATACATGGAGAGAGAGAAGAGGCCGCGCGGGGGCGGTAGCAGACTTTGGATCCTTTGTCTGAGCCTGAGTTCGGGAAGTTTTCATCTTGTACGACTGCCTGCTAGGTATCAAGTCGGGCAGCAGCAACGATGCTAATTCTCGATTTCACCGCTTCTATGACTCTTCCTCATTAGTATTCTCTCTCTTTCTTACTCCTGCTTTGCTGTACATTCACACTTACACGTCTTCATCTGTTTCAAAGACCGCCATCGCCATATCAAAATCACGCCCAAGTGGGCAGACCAGAACGCGGCACAGCATGGGTAAAGGCGTGTGAGTGGACCAAACAGTAACCGCAACCCAGAAGCTCAACGTAAAAGCAGAGCCCGCTAAGCCGCCTCGCTGATCCACGAGCCGCTCTCAAGACCCAGACCAGGGCCAGACAGGCTGCTGCGACTCTGGGGCTGGGCCGCTAAGAAAACTGGCTGGGCCGGGGTGGTGCAGGGCAGAGCAGAACAGAACACACGCCTCTCTCTTATACACGCCCCCCTGTCCTTCTGTCTCTCTCTAAGCCAGACCAGACGACAGGCCGTGGTCCCTGCGGCCATCTTCGGACCCTCAAACCCAGACGCTGCGAGAGGATAAGAAGTCGGCTTCGTCCCTTGGTTTCCAATCGTTCTCGTCTCACTCACTCCAGATCGCCTCGACAATCCCTCTCCTCCAATCCTCATTTGTTTTTTTTGTTCACGTCTTTTATTTCCTAGTCTTTGCCTCATCTGTTTCTCTCTACCAACCTCACCTCTGCATTCACTTAGAACAAGAATCCTTGCTCGCTGGCCGACATACTCCAAACACTTGGAGAAACATTTTTTATATACAGCATTATCAAAAACAACAACACTTACTGGAGCCGGTCTCCATTCTTGCTTAATACAGCGATCCATCTAATCAACCTCTTCACCCTCATACCCTCTCAACAACCGCCATTATGTCAGCGTGAGTATTCACAGCAACAACATCATATTCCCATATACTAACTTCAACAGTCTGGCAGCCGACGTCTCCTTCGACTTCACCTTCCCCTCCCCCTCCCCCTCTCTCGAGGATCCCGCAACCCCTCCCATGGAGTCCCTCCCCATCATGGAATACAGCCTCGACCACTTCCCCTCCAGCCTCCTCGAGCTGCCCTACAACTCTCACAACGGCCACGTCCGATCGACATCCCGCGCCTCATCTGTCTACTCCACCATCTCGGCCGTAGACTCAATAGCAGAGTCGGCCTGCTCGCGCTTCACCACGCCTCCTCGCGCCAGCCCCCCAGTTCGTCAACATGGACCTCTGCTGCTGCCAAAGATCCGCTCTCAGGACCAGCAGCTTGATCAATCTCACGTTGCGCGCGCAGCTCACTCCCGCTCCAACTCAATTCGCTCAGCTGCTTCTGCGAGGGCCAGGATGGTTCATCAACGGTCTACACCTCCTCCGGCTTCTTCTTCCAAGCCCATCCGCACAAGCCACTCTCGGAGTTACACCAACCCAGAGACCCTCGCCAACATGGCTTTTGCTCACATCTCGCCCTTCAATACTCCTCCCCCGCAGACTCACGATGAGGCTCCCGTCTTTCCTTCATCGCTTCTCGCCTCGCCGCCAACTTTCGCTCAGGACCTGCCACAGCCTCGTCGAACCAGCACCATCGACACTGCCACCATTGACAAGTATGGCTATCCGACCTATCGACAGATGCCTTTTGTGCCTTCAAACACAGCTGCTGCTTCAGCTTCTCAGTCAGACTACATGTTCTCGTCCTATCTCCCGCGTGCTCCATCACCACTGGCTCTCGCCGCCACAGCTACTCCCAACTCAGAGCCCTCAACCACCCTCATTGAGCATCTGATCTGCGCCAATCCCGCCGCCTCTCTTGTCCGAACCATCTCCTTCCCCCTCCGCGACCCGTCCATCAAGCACTTCTGGTGGGACGTCCGCAGCATCTCCTCATGGTCAACCTTCAACGCCTCCACCGTGCTCTCTCTCCCCGGTGCATCTGCTCTCCTCAACTCCCCCGTCCCGGCTTCTCTCCTGCAAACACCCGCATTCTCCTCTCGCCATCCCGAGACCGAGACCGCCCTCCACAGCATCTACGCCTCATACTACCTCCCCAAACTCAACTCCGCCCTGGCCATGTCCTCCAACCGCCCCCTGCAGCTCTCCGTCCCAGCTAAAACATCATCCGGCGTCAACGACCTCATTTTCGTCGCAAATCCCATCGGCGAATCATCCACCGCCGCGGCCATGTTCGGCGGCAAGCCCACCGGCCGCGTCGTCGGCCTCGTCCGCAGCTTCGACCGCTTCAACACCGGCATGCGCGCCGAGGGCAACATCAAGCGCGTCGACTATCTCCGCGGCCTGGCAGCCCTGCACTACGCCATGCGCGAGCACGGCTGCCGCTACGGCTTCATCCTCACCGAGATTGAGCTCGTCCTCGTCCGTGCCGGCACAGAGTCTACTCCCTTTTTCGGCGACTTGGAAATCACTTCCGTCCAGCTCAACGCCGCTGTTTCCGAAGCCGAGCTCGATTCTTCAGACAATGTGCCCCTGACGGCTTGTCTTGCCCTCTGGGGTCTCTGCCAACTCGCCGGTGATCAAACTCCCGCTGGCCACGCCTACTGGAAGGCCGAGATTGGCGCTCCCGCCGACGGCACCAGGCGAAAGGCCAAGGCCCGGGATAACTGGATTCCCAAGCCGCAACTGGCAGAGAAGCGCGAGGCCAAGAGGAGCCGTGGCTGGGTGTGGCCTGAAGATCCCATCGGAAGGAAGGAGATGGGCAAGAGGGGCGTCAAGTATGGTGGATTGTGCTGAATTTTTCGCCTCCTTAAGATGCTTGGCTGGTACTCGCATCTCTCACTCTCTCTCAGTAGTAATATCTCTTATAATATGCTTTTTACTCTTTCCTTTGTTTGAGTTTATGAATGGAATGACTTTGGCAGGATATATCTCTAGTTAACTAATTACCCTCACTTTGACCATTTTCTTTTGCAAAATTACAAGACTGTTAACTTTACTTGAGACTACAATGACTGTGATAAAAGACTGTTTAATTAGTGACTAGACATTGTCATGTCCTCTGGCGGCTGTCAACTATTTCACTAAGAGCCGTCCTGTGTCCTTTGATAACAGAACCTACTATAGTAGTAGTGGTAGAGGATTTTATAATCTGGAGACTATTAGACGCAGCTTTTTTCCCTTCCCAAGAAAAGCGTACAAGAACCCATGAATGCGTAACAATTTCCCAAGTCACACACAAGCAATCGTCAAGATGACTCAAATCGGTGGTGGTATTTTACTGTTTATTTTCCTAACCGAGGGCAAAATGATCCCATTACATGATCGCTACTCCGCAGATATGACACATCTAGCTCTTGGCAGCACCGGCCTTGATGAGCAGAATGTCACCATCCTCCACTACGTATTCCTTACCCTTGGTCATGACCTTACCCTTGGCCTTGACCTCGGCTTCGTCACCAAGCTCCTTGAGGACGCTATAGTTGTAGACGATGGCCTGGATAAACGTCTTCTCAAAGTCGGTGTGGATGACACCAGCAGCCTGGGGAGCCTTGGTGCCGGTGCGGATGGTCCACTGGCGGACCTCATCGGTTCCCGTTGTGAAGAAGCTGCCCAGCTGGAGCGCCTTGCGCATCTGCACAATCAGCTTGGGCAGGGCAGACTCGGCACCAACCTTCTTCTGCTCCTCCTTGGCCTCCTCCTCGGTCTCGTAGCGGGTCAGACGCTCCTCGAATGAGACTGAGATGGGGATGATAGGGTCGCCCTCGGCGTGCTCTTTGATCCACTCGGCGACCTTGGGGAGGTACTTGTTCTTCTTTCTGATGTAGTCCTTCTCAGACAAGTTGACGAGGTAGACAACGGGCTTGGCCGTCAGCAGGAAGAGAGGGTTGATGACCTCAATCTGTTTGATGCTTGTTAGCACTGATACCACCCAAGATATATGAAAATAAGTATAATAGGGTAACAAGGCAATTAGTTCAGAATAGGTTTCTTCTCACTATGTCTAAGACATTCGACGAGCTGGGTTTAAATTGTTCGAGCCGTCAAGGCTCTTTGTCATCACGTAAATTGCGGGGGAGGGTAAGGGTATAAGAAAAAAAAAAGAAAGCGCTTACCTCCTTGGGGGTCCAGTTGCCCTTGCGGACCTCCTTGCCGTCCTGAAGCCAGGCCAGGACCTTCTCAATCATCTCCTGCTCAATCTTAGCCTTTTTCAGCTCAAGACTCTGGCCACCCATGCGGGTCTTCTTCTTCTGGTTCTCAAGAGCCTTCTCCACAAACTCAATATCCTTGAGTCTCAGCTCCTCGCTGATAATGTCCAGATCACGAGTGGGGTTGACATCACCCTCGACGTGGATAATCTCAGCGTCGTCGAAGCATCGAACAACTTGGAAGATGGCATCGACAGCACGGATGTGGGAAAGGAAAGAGTTTCCGAGACCAGCTCCGGTGGAAGAACCGCGAGTCAGACCGGCAATATCGTAGACGGTCAAGTTGGCGGGAACGACAGACTTGGGCTTGTATTTCTCAACCAGCCAGTCGAATCGCTCATCGGGCACAATGACGCGAGCTTCTTCGGGCTCGATTGTGGCGTAGGGAAAGTTCTTCAGGCTGTCAGCACCCCGGATGAAGAAAGACGGGCGGGGGGCTTCATACAGCTGGGTTGCCAAGATTGCACTTTGTGATGGCTTGGAAGAGGGTAGATTTGCCGACGTTGGCGAGACCGACCTGGCAAAGGGACGATGTGTTAGAATATCGAGGCACTTGCGTAGAGTATTGGGGGAATGCAGCCACTAGGGCTGGGCAGGAGAGTTGCTGCTCACAATGCCACTCTTCAAGTTGTTGCCGGGCCTGCCCAGAGGAATCTTCTCCTCGACAACCGCCTTCTTGGGAGGCATCTTTCTTGATTTTGCGTAGTGACGGGAGGGGAGAAAAGGAACGAGGCGTCGAGATGGAGCTAGTCCAAGAGCTGGAGCTGCAGACCTTGCTGCGCGCGACGAAAATCCAGAAATGAGAAGAGCGAAATGCGGCACGCAAGACGCGGATGAGGAAGCCAATGTGGTGGCTGCGGCTGTTCCTAGTCCGAAGTGACCGGCTCTAGGAAGAATCAGAAGCAAAGATGAGCTTCTTGGAAGTGCAAAGGGGGCGCAGATGGAAGTTGCTGGCCCTTTTTTTGACTTCGTGGTATTTTTTTCCTGGTGAGAGGAGGGGAGATGGTGTGAAAGCGAAATTTGAGTCTGGACCCCACATGTGGTGGGCTTTACCTGAAGCTCTGTCGGGACGCGGCGCCAGAATTTTCCGGGCCTCGGTCAGGGCATGCGTCATAGGGCATGCGTCGCTAAGAAGCGCTGCTGATGCTGGTGTTCGGTATCGCGGCGCTGCCGGAACCGGGCTGCTGCAACGAGGCGCCTGCGAAGCTACGTCGGGCGCTATTTGCCGCCGCCACGGGAGCCTGCCACGCCTGTATATTAGTTGAACGGCATCCTGTCGCAGGTGTCGCAGCCCATCTCAGCTCGCTAACCGACGTAATCTCACATCGCCTCTCACATTGGAAATCAATTGTCGCATCCCATCCCCCAAAGCTGCCATAAGACATAAGACGGGAAATTCTATTTAAATCCGTCTCGCGCACTCGCCATTCCCATCGACCTGCTCTTCTGTCTCTCCTCCCCGGCGGTTCCCCGCATTGTCACGGCTTACACGCGAGATAAGATCTCGAATCTCCACCCCCAGCGTCGCAATGCCTTCGCAGCATCATCACCATCAGCATCACCATTCGGGCCGGCGCGGACACAGATCGACACTGTCGCTGCAAAAGACGGAAATCAAAATCCACGTCTACGATCTTTTACCTGTAAGAATCACTCCCAGGAGCTCAAGTTGCCCCTTTCCGCATCTTGGAATTTGTGTAACAGTAGCTATGAAGCGCCCTGCTTGCTAACACATGCCGTTTGTCGTCGATAGCCCGGGAGAGTCGCCTCTGTGCTATGGACTGTCGGGGCGTCTCTGCTTCACTCAGGTGTCGTAATCAACGGCCGGGAATACGCGTATGGCGGCCACGATAAACGCGGAGTCACCGGAGTGTATTGGACGAAACCTCGGATCGAGCCTCCCGGCGGCACCTTCAAGTGCGAGATTCTGCACGGCTTCACTTTGGCCACGTCGGAAGAAATCGACGCCATGCTGCGACAGGCATCAGAGGAATTTCTAGGCACATCGTACAACCTGCTCACGAAGAACTGCAACCACTTCACGTCTTATCTCTGCAAGAAGCTGACGGGAGATGCCGGACCGGCATGGTTGAATCGTGCGGCAAGCATTGGAGTTGCGCTGCCGTGTGTGGTGCCGAGAGACTGGATCGAGCCCCCAGAGTACGTCAGCGCTGATGGAGAACTGATGGACGACGATGACGAGCACGCGGATGAGCAGTCGCGCATGTTGGGACAGCAGAGGCCGCACCTCCTTTCAGAACATGGCGACGAGTGGAGCAGCGAAGATGAACGGCGCAGAGGTGGAAGCGGCAAGGGAAAGCAGATTCTCCGAGACACATCGGGCAGACAGCTCCCGGCTGCAGAGAGAGCTATCCGAGCGTGATGATTGCGGTCAATCTCGTGGCATGTTGCTTGTTGTCCATCTTTGGTTTCATTCTAAAGGAGAGGGGGGGGGGGGCAGATAGGGGTTTGGCGTTCTTGGCTGAGTTATGACGTTCAATCAGATCGGACGATACCATTATTTCATGCTCATGGAGGCACTTGGAGTTCATTTTATCGGTTTGGCATCTTCACGGACTGCGCCTTGTAGCCCAACTTGGGCGGCTTTTTCTTGTTTCCATCTTTTTTCTTTGTCTTATATCTGGTATAGGTAGTACAAGATATGGTACAATCGGCTGTATATATCATCACACATAACTGATGCAACCGAGCATCTACAAACGCCTGGGCTTCTCGCTCCTTGTTCCTGCAAACTTGATTCTCGTTGAATCCGCAACCCGCACAATCTTGTCCCGCAGCACTTTGCCCTCTGGGCTCATTAGAACCTTGACCGCAGCCTCTCTGCCCTGACCAAATCCTCGTAGAACCAACTCAAGACGCTGAATCTTCATGGGCCACCCCGTGTGGATCAATCGCTCCAAAACGTATTTTGTCAGTGAATAGGCCGAGTCGAAAGTGCCCCGCCGTGATTTTCTGAAACCAATGTTGCCGCACGACATGGAAATGATGGGCTCCCGGTTCGGCTTTGTGCAGGTGATGTGTGTGTTGTGCTTGTGTGCGTAGATGTGAAAGTGGAAAGGCTCCAGCTCGTCCTCCTTCTTCTGGGTGGCCTGTGAGGGTGCGCCGGATAGGACGCTGGTATCGATGTTGGACTTGTTGAGGGCCTGGAAGACCATGCTCTGGGAGAGGCTGGCCATGGAATCAGGCTGCGTGGACCGGCCGCTGGATCCCAGTGAGGTGCCCCAGATGCTTTCGAGGAGGTTTTCGGTTCGAGGCTTCGGAGGCACCGTCTTGGGCGAGCCTGGCTTTGCATCTTTTGAGTCCTCCCATCGTGCGCTTGTCTGTGACAGAAACCTGGCGCTCTGCACGCCATTCCTGGCTGCAATGTTCTGTGATATCCGGGCGAGCGGTCGCGCCGCAAAGCAGCTTCTCAATGGCTGGCTCATTGTGTCTGCGCCTTGTCGTCTTCGTGCTGGTCGGCTCTCGAGATCGATCCAAAAAGAGGCCCTTGGAAACTTTTCCCACGCACCCATTCGGAATGGCCGCCCGCCATAGTGGCGCAAAGTGGCCTTTTGCCGGCATTCTACCGGCTGTCCGCCTGCCTTCCGCCGCCAGCCGACATCGCGAAACCAAAATTTCCTTCGCACATGAGCCACATCCTTTCTTGCCCACCACCGCTTCCGCCGCTCCGTCCAAGGGCTGCAGTTACTTGCAGACTTTTTTTTCTTCTTTCCTGTTTTTGTTTTTCTTTTCCCTCCCCCAAAGCAAAGATGAATTCTCTTGTCCGCAGCGCAGCCAATTCGGAAAATGCTCTTTCGAGAGCATCTCTTCGCTTTGTCCCCGCTAATGGCCGATGTCCCGCCGCATATGCTCGACTAGCTTCTCAGCTTGCGCAAAAGCCAGCTCGCAATGCTGCGGGCATTGAGCGCGCGACACTTCCTACTGCGGTTTCTACACCGCTGAGATCCAGATTCCTTCCTGCCGATTTACCAATTCCTTCAGCGGCTTCACAAACTCGGTTCTTGCATGTAAGCGGCCGGAGACTGCAAGAGGATAAGCCGAAGACCGAGGCAAAGCCCGTCGAAGAGAAGCCCGTTCAGGACGCTGAGCAAAAGGCCAAGTCTGAGGAAGACCCGGCCAAGGACTCAGAGGAGAAGACCGAGGGCAAGGAGGAGGGCAAGGCTGAAGGCGAGGGCGAAGGCAAGGAGAAGAAGGAAGACCTGCCGCCGCCTCCGCCCCATGGCGACAAGACACCTTGGCAAGTGTTCATGGAGACCATGAACACTGAGCTTAAAAAGTCACAAGAGTGGAACGAGTCGACCAAGCAGATTGCTGCGTCTGCCAACCAGTTTACCGAGAGCGAATCCGTTCGACGAGCTCGAGAGGCTTACGAGAAGTCCACCAGCGCCATCTCATCAACAACAACCAAGGCGGTCAAAACCACAGCTACCGCCATTGGAAAAGGTGCAGCATGGACTTGGGATACCTCGGCCATGAAGGGTGTGCGCAAGGCTGCCAACGTTACTGGTGATGCGCTCGACAAGGCGACTAAGCCTATCCGAGACACCGAGGCCTTCAAAAACGTCAAGGATGTCATTGATGATGGAAGTTCCTCGAGATATGGTGGATGGGTTGAGAAAGAGGAGCGCAGGAAGAGAAGAGAGCAGTGGGAGAAGACTCGTGGCGGTGACCATGAAGTTCTTGAGGAAGACCCCAAGTAAGTTTATCGCCCCAATCGTCTTTGTCAGCTGGGTTCTAACAATTTCGTCAGTGCTGGCACCAATGTCACTCTGCACAAGGATGCAGCCTGGAAGGAAGCCTGGAGAGATTTCCGCGACAGCAACAAGTTTGTCCAGGGAGTCTTCAGCATGAAGGGCAAATACGAAGAATCCGAAAACCCCCTCATCTCCACCGCTCGAAGCATCACCGACACTATTGGCGGATTCTTTGCCGAGAACGAGACCGCCATGGTCATCAAGAAGTTCCGCTCCATGGACCCGAGCTTCCGGTCCGAGCCTTTCTTGCAGGAGCTGCGCGAGTACATTCTCCCCGAGGTGCTGGACGCCTACGTCAAGGGAGACACAGAGACGCTCAAGGTGTGGCTTTCTGCTGCGCAGTTCTCCGTCTACGAGGCGCTCACCAAGCAATACCTCCAAGCCGGCATGAAGTCAGATGGTCGCATTCTTGATATCAGAAACGTCGACATCCTCAGAGCTCGTATGCTGGATCCTGGCGAAATCCCTGTCTTCATCATTACATGCCGAACCCAGGAGGTCCACGTTTATCGCAACGCCAAGAGCAACGAGCTGGCGGCCGGTATGGAAGACAAGGTGCAGCAGGTGACATACGCCATTGGTATCACCAGAGTACCAGAGGACGTGAACAACCCCGAGACTAGGGGCTGGCGTCTGATTGAGATGCAAAAGAGCGGAAGAGACTGGGTCTAAAAAAGCGAAAGACGAAAAAAAGAAAGCATGACTTGTACTCGTTTCTGTATGATTCACGGCGTCCGGGAGCATGGGAGTGATCCTTGGCAAGGGGGCCTTGCCGATCTGTGTTAATATGTATATTATGTCGTCAAAACCATTGTGAAGGATGCATATATCCAAGGGACTAAAAACGCGATACAAAAAAATGGATGGAAAAAAAGGGATTCGGGAGCATGAAGAAAATCATGCCATGATATAAACACCGCTCTACCTGCGTCTAATATGAGGCGCTTTTGTGTGTACGATGATGACTTGGGAGGGAAATGAAGGAAGGGCGAGAGGCTGGGATATAGACTATAGAAATAATCACCAAATGGGCCAAGCATATAAGGGCAATTGGAAAGATGATCTCTGTTCGAGGCTATCCTGGTTTTACCATACGATTTAGCAATAATAATGAGCCCGATACAAACAGCTAGTCGACCCTGAGAAATACAAAGCTACTCATCTTCAAGTTACTCCTCTTGAACTTTGCTCTCGCTCTCTTCTCTGAACATGGCTCTCACATCCATCAAAGCCTTGCCCAACAAGTTAAGTCCCCATCTCCGCCTATTCGCACCAGCATCCGCCGGCTTAAACCCAACTCCCCAAATCCTATCAAACGGACTCGCCTCCACAAGCTCCCTCTCTCCCGTCCCCAACAGCGTCACCCTCAAAGAGCCCTTAATTAGGGGAATACCATCCGAAGAGGTTCCAAGGCAGAATCCTTCTTCTGTCACGGCATTGGTGAATTTGAGATAATTGCCACGCCGAACAATGGCTTCGCGGTTGGCGTTCCACGTCGCTTCTGAGAAGTTTGCGACTTGGCGGCCGAGGGCCTTGATTTTGCGGGGGTGGAGGCTTGGTTGAATGATTTGGGCGGCGGTGATGTGGTCGTTGAAGAGGATTGCTTTTTGGTACATCATGTAGCTGAATAAGGTACATAATATTAGCCTTATTATAAAAGTCAAAGATTTCAGTGATGGATGTACTGTTCTGCAGTGTCATAGACGACTTCTGGATCTTTGTCGTCCTTGAATGGAAAGTAGTACCACTGTGAGAGCCATCCTGTGTGGGAGTCTGACTCTCTCCAGAAGTAGATGGGCTGAGACTGATTTACTGATTTCGGCATTCTGGACGATGGACGGTACTCGCTAGCTGATTGAGACTCAAGTTGATTGAGACCCAGGGCCAATGCTTTTCTCATGGAGAGAAGCACATTATTTATGTTCCTCTTAGTAAAAATTTGAATCATTTATCTAGATCCATTATGCCTATTAGGTATGAGTAATTGCTTTTGAAAGGCATTTGGCTGCGTGAATCGTTCCTTGCGTGCATTCACTGTGGCTTTGCGCGTTGGCGTTAGAAGAGATTTAGCCTCACTGACTCACCGGCAAGGCAGCTGAGCTGGGCCTTTCAGTCATAGCGTCTGCAAACTATGCACTCACTATAACAAGTGCATATACTTGCTTTTATCTCACAAAGATTAATTTTTTCATCTGCTATTCCCATTGGCATTCATCACACAATGGCGGTGGCTGTGTTTGCGTATCTTCAGATTGTCTCGAATTTGACGTGTGGATATATGGGTTGAATCGTGGAAGCGTGCCTAGGCGTGCACTTTCATTAACTTTTCTCAATTATAAAGATACCATCCATCATATTCTCGTCAACTTTTCGGCACAAACGCCATTTATCACAAAACCTGCTGTTTTCCTCTTATCGCTCGTTCTAGATGAAAAGGCGCTTTGGGTGATTAATATGAATCGGGCCATCGACTAGTAAAACGGGCCGCGGCGGTTGTGGCTTTCTCGTAGAGCTGTTTGAAGATGGATTTGATACGGGTGTATTCGAATCTTGCCTTAAAGTAAACTTTCGCTCTTCAAGCCATCTGGCAAATTGTGGCGATCATGGACCAGCCTGTGAACTACATAAAGCGCAACTTCCCCTCACCCATATCCTTGCATTCCATCTCTTCTTCTTTTCTTTTCTATCGCCATCAATACATGCTGTCATTATCACTATGGTCAAGTTATTTAATAGTGCTGCCACTAAGCTCCGGGACGTCTTTGGAAGTGGCCGTTCCGAGCGCAATGCTTCTCCATCTCCTGGCGCCCAATCTGCCGATAAAAAGCCAAGCAAACCGCTGCCGAATAAAAAAATTTCCGTTTGTGAAGATAGGTCTCTTGAAGACGCCGATGATGATAATGATGAGGAGGATGAGGATGATGAGGATGAGGACAATGTCAATGTCAACACCATGCCTCCCTCGTATAACGAAGTAACAGCTACGCCAGGGAATGCTGTTGCCAACGACAGTATCGAGCCATGCCTCTGCATGCATCATCAAGGCTGTTGCCGCATGCACAATTCGTTACGAAACCCTAATCGTGGTCATCTTGATCAGCCGGAAAACTCTAGCCTCATGGCATTGAAGAAGCGTACTAATCAAACTATGAGAACAAAAGCCCCTAATACCGGAGTTTCTTCAGCACTTACACTTCTGCCTATTCATAACGTCGTGAATTATCATCTCTCATTGGATCACTTAGCGTGCGTCCGGCGCCAATTCGACCCTAGAACAGATACAAACCTTGTCGAAAGCTTATCTTGCAATGACAAGCATACCTCCAGACAATACTGCTACTACGACTGGTTGAATGATATCTATTTCTGGCACGGGACCTTCGTACAAAGACAGCAAAATGCGATGTCATCTCAGCGATAGAACCAAAAAATCAGAATACTTTGCAGGGTGTCCGCATCAAACCCTGTGTATCTCTCCACCAAAATTTGAGTATAAAAACGGCATGCTTGAGATACAGACCAACATAAGCAACGAACCGCCCCGATGTGCAATGCATCCAACGGAAAGCTGGAACAGCTCCCAAGGGCCCTACGCTCAAATTGTTGTTTGCACAATATGCCATTCAGATGCAGAGTGCGTTTTAGAAGTGAATGGTTCCTATCTCAAGATTAAGTATACTTGCTACCGGGATCTTGGCCCAGGAACATCTCCAACTGATCCTAAGTGGCTTGCTTTGCTTGCGGGAGAGGGCAGCCCTCATCGACAAAAATATGACCTCAAACTATATGCGCGCGTTTGGGTTATTGGTAGAAGATTGGGTCGGCCAGGTATCAGCGAGGTCACTCACCAAACACCGAATGGACCATTCAATGCTCGCGATGAACTATTCTGAAGAAGGGGAAACTGATTATAGCTGTAGTCTCGCTAATATACTTGCATCTTTGCCTGCGAATCTTACACGCCTAATATCCAATCTAACTACTACTGCCTCCCGCTCAACTCTGGTGTTGCCCTTCACGCCTGAACGGGCACACTTGGAATGATTGCAACTTCCAGCCCACAGTCTCCGCGGCTCCAATCAAACAGCCTAATGGGATGGCCTGTTAGTTATCAACGTTTGCTGAGCTTCTCTTGCCACTGTCGCTGATGCTGGTGGCCGTCTCCAAATCCGCAAAGCAAAGTCGAAGGCGCAGCCCGGATGCCGGCCAGGAAATGATATCTTCCCGGAGTGAATATGGACCTTAGCTAGATGTTCAGGAAAGCGCATAAAAGCACGAGAGAAGCTGCAAAAGCCCAAGAATGAAGCCGGCTACGCCTAATAAGCAGGAGCTCATAGCGACAGAAATTAATTTCCTAGTACCATGGTGTACCATTTGCATCTTCTGCGGTGTCGCTGTTTTGCTTCGCGCCAAAGTAGTTGCAATTTTTACGGCGGACATCATGTTATCGGAAGGAAAGTAGCGAGACAGATCATTGACACCGCGTCCTACAAATCTGTTTTGCGAATACGCGCACAGTTTCAATGTAGTCGTTGACAGCGACTGTCATTATGTTGAACATTTGATACGTTTCTTTTCTCTTTTTTTCTCCTTCTTTTTCCTTTCTTTTTCTCTTCTTTGTTTTTGGACATGGCGACAGCTCTTTTCATGGATCCGACTGCAGCTGTAGCTCGTATTTACCGATACGTCATGGCACCTTCCCATCGATGAGGTCGGATGAAGCAGGAACAGTGCTGCAACTTCCTGAAATAAGCGAGGCGCTGTTGTTCTTGCCTCTGCTCGAACTGCAAGGTTCTTTTGATTTATAAACAATCCTCTCAGACATTCTTTTACACCATCCGGATCACCGACAGCAGCACCAGCAGCAACACCAACACCAGCAACACCAACAACAACAACAACAACAACAACAACAACAACGACAGCAGCGACGACGAAGACGACGAAGACGACAAAGACGAAGACGAAGACAAAGACGAAGACGAAGACAAAGACGAAGACGAAGACGACGACGACGACGATGACGACGACGATGATGATGATGATTGTCTTGGTGTTGTTCCTGCTTTTGGGTAAAGCAGGCCCGGAACCACCTGCCCCCGGTTCCGACTCCTCTACGGACGGGGGTCGGCTTGACTTTTACTTTAAGTTAAGCCGGATCCTGTACAACTACTTCTTTATCCTCAAGAAGGTAGTTTACGGGATCAGGTGGTTCTGGGGAGTTGTGTCGGTTTGGCTCGCAGCCCGCGCCCGCGCCCGCGCCGAGGCCGAGGCCGCCGCCGCCCCACCCCCTCCGGAGCAGCAGCAGCAGCAACAACAACAACAGGAGCAACAACAGCAACAGCAACAGCAACAGCAACAGCAACAGCAGCGGCAGCAGCAGCAGCAGCGGCCCCGTTGGCGCCCCTAAGGACTAGGTCGTCCCCCCAGCCAGAGCACCTGTCTGGCTGGGGCCTGAACCACGGAGACTGTGGGTCAGACGCTTCAATCACTCAGCGTACCCGTTCAGGTCTATTAAGCATCATCATCATCATCATCAGCAAAGCCGAAGCCAAAGCAGCTCCATCGCCTTGCTCCTCATCAAATGCAGGCGTAAAGACGACCGACCTTTCATCAAAAGTCCTTGCCAACATCTACATCAATGGGCCCTTCCTCAACTCCTCGCCAAACATCTTCTTCTCTCTACAGACATCAACAACCAAGCTACCTGCTGCACGCACTCAAACCATTCCCTACACTCAAACATTTGCTGGATACAAACCATTTGCTGCGCTGCGAAAATGATTTCGACTCTGCTCGCTTGCCACCGTCATTCAGACCCAGGAAGTTACAACAAACCATGATTCACAATTAGGGCATTTCGGAATAACTTGTTGATGGGCGGATGGATTTGTATGGGAGATGGATTTTCATGGGGGAAGGATTAGTATGGGGGACAGATTTGCATGGGAGAAGGATTTGCATGGGAGACGGATTTGCATGGTGGATGGATTGGAATGGGAGAAGGATTGGTATGGGAGATGGATTTGCATGGGGTATGCAAGAAGGGCATGGGCGAAATATCGACGAGTTGTACTACTTTTACTACTTCTACTACTTCTATTACTTTTACTACTTCTACTACTTCTATTACTTCTACTACTTCTACTACTTCTACTACTTTTACTACTTCTATTACTTCTATTACTTTTACTACTTCTGCTACTTTTACTACTTCTGCTACTTCTATTACTTCTACTACTTCTGCTACTTCTACTACTTCTACTACTTCTGCTACTTCTGCTACTTTTGATACTTCTGCTACTTCTGCTACTGTGTTTAAGCACGTATTGTCGTTCTATGGTATCAGTTAGACCATATATCTAGAATGCAGATTCGATTGTTTTATAAGCTTTTTGCTCTAGCTAAGTAGGTAGGTTTGCTGCATAAGGATAGTACACAGTAGGTAATTAAGCAAGTCGACATGCTAATCACAACTATTCTATGACAAGTAGACTCAATGCGCGCACCAGCAAGTCATTCATTGACAATTGATATGCCCTTGTGGGCTCTAGGTCGCCTGCTTCTGCCACCCACGACAACGCCGAGAGCTGCAAGGGCGGAGAAGAGGAAGAGTGGCAGCTGTTGCTGTTGTCTTTTACTGTCGCCATATGCTGGGTCTGTTTCAATCCAAGGTTGTTGGAGTCGAGATACGTGGCCTAACTGTGGAAGAGACAGATGCGCCGCCTTTGGTCCCCTTGATCCCCGCTTACCCCTTATCTCCCTCCTACCACTCTGCTCCCTCTTCCCTCCTACTCTCTGGTAACCCCAGAGGTCGGCAGAGCTGCAACGGCTGCGACATCCAGTGGGGGACCCCTGTCCTCGTTATGACATCACGCCAATTGTCGGACGCAGGCGCAAACAAAACAAGCCACTTTATGGACCTAATAGAGCTATGGGCTAAAGAAGGAGAGAGGCTGTGGCTCCGACTCTGCAAGATCGAGGGGGGGGGGGAAGCATTTTCGTCATTGCCGCGAATGTCGTCTTCATTGTTGCCATCCTTGTTCTGCTGCTGCTGCTGCTGATGTTGGGATCGGAGCCAGGGTGGTGGAGAACCTAGGGCTAAATGCAGGGCCAGAATCGAATCTAGGGGTTGTCCCGCAACCATTTGAGTCTGCTAGAGCAGAGAGAAAGAGAAACAGCCGTTGCCGTCGCTTCCACTGGTGTCGCTTCATCTGGGACCGGGATTTGATTCTAGGGCGGCGGATGCTTTTTTCCATCTACTGAAGCACCGGTGATGCCGGCACAAACAGAACACGAGGTTTTGTAGGTATTGCCGAGCCCCATATTAGAAAGAGGGCAGAGAGGCTACGGCTCAAGGGGCTGCCCAGGCCATCATCATCATCACCATTGCCATCGTCGCCATCTTCGCCGTCGTCATTGTTGCTGTTTTTGCTGCTGTTGCAATCTCTGAGGCTGAAGCCGCAGCCGGATGCTTGGCCGTGAGAGGGCGGCGCAACAAAACGACAGCGCCGGGGTCCCCCTTTCCCCATCTTTGCCATCTTGCACCTTTTCATCCCGAGGGCCACGAGGGGCGAGGGACATGGCTGAGGCGGCGGCGGCAGAGGCAGGGGCAGCTTTCACAAATTGGACATAGAACCACCACAACACGTTCACCAGAGCGGAGGAGCTGATGTAGTTGTAGATGATGGTGCTCAATTCGTAGTGGTAATAAAGAGCACTTTCGTCCGAACTGGTGGCTGCGGGGGCGGGTGGTTCCGTGTTGCTGGCTTGTGCGAAAACCGCCAACATCACCATCGTCATCCTCCTCGCCATCATCTCCATCATCATCATTTTCATCTTCATCGTCGCCGTTGTCGCTACCGCCGCCGCTGCTGCTGCTGCTGCTGTTTTTACTGTCGCTGCTGAGGCCAGAGACGAGACCTGAGACAGGAGTAGGCATCTGCATACTATCTTATGGAAGGATCAATTTGCATCGTAGAAACTCGATTGAACTTTCCAAGGCAGGCACAAAAAAAAAGTTGCTAGCTCTACTAGTGGGTATAGCTGATACTGCGCCTTTATTTACCGGGAAAAAAACTATAGATTATATGACTGTCAGATGGGTACAAAGCAGTGGCAGCAGTAGCAGCAGTAGCCCACGCTATGGCTGAAGCGCAAGATGCATATATTGATTGGAACAGGATTGGGGTACTATACAAAGTTTCCGTTTACTTATTAAACACGTTGGATTGAATGTAATCCTACACTATTAGCTATTACTACGCATAGTTTAATTCGAGACCGGCTCGCGGACCATTTGATAAGCTTTGGCCTGGGTAGAGGCGCCCCATTTCGATAAATCCACGACAATTCTATCCACTTCTTTGAAGCCAAACTTCTCATATAATGGTCTCCCCTCTTCAGAAGACTCAAGATATGATACGAGCCCCAATCTGTCAGCCTCTGCGGTTCCCCACTCTAGGCATTTGCTTCCGGCGCCTCGTCTCTGGTGGTCAGGGTCGGTGTGAAGAAGTTTGAGATCTACAGACATTAGCCTTGCCGTCATCATACATCGCAGTTATAGCTTATCCCAAGATCACGAGGAGCAACTCACAAACATGCGGCTTGCCTTCAAATCTAGCCCACCATCTTCGATCCATCTCCCCAAAGAAGGCATCGCACGCCTCTACATTTGTTCCAGGTCCCCAGGTGCGCTTAGGCTTGCTCGGCCTGAGGTCCCCGGACCAAATGAACCATAGAGTGCATGCAATAATGCCATCTTCGCCCTTTGCCTCCAAGTCTGTATCGACGACCTTCATCATTTGGAAAGCTGGCTCTTCGTTTTTTCTCGCAATCATAATGGCAATACGGTCCTCAGTCTTCATACCCTCTCCGGGGAAGAAGACAGCACTGGACTTGTTGGGTCCGTAGGCACGCTTTTCGATTTCGCTGGAGCGAATCATGTCGGCTTCTGTAGCCGGGGCAATTCTGAGAGGCATGATGGGCAGATTTTGTGCTCTGGCGAAGGTAAAGATATTAGAAGCAAGAAAAGAGAGACGATATGGAATGATGGAATTGTACAACAAGTCTTTCTTTATACTCAATCACCCAGTGCAAGACCTTTGGAGCTTCTTTGGAGAGCCATTTCGGCGAGCCACTTCGGGCAAGACGCCGCGGTGGGTCCCGGCGATGCGGACCCGCATGTGAATCCTTCTTGACGAGCAGTCACCATTCTATGCACCCATTGCCTATTTCGGATGGCCGAAAAGGTCTTTCTAGAAGCCAATGAAGTTGGTCAATAGTCACGCGTGTTGTATATCCTTGTTGTCACTTTGGTGTCAAATGAGCCTAAACGCTAGCCTAACATGTCTAATTGATGTATAGATGAGGTCGAAATAGCAAGCTTGGCGTTTACACATCCGCGATGCAGGTGGGGTTATCAACGCCGCTACGCACCGGGGTTCAAGCAAGGCTGTGAGCCGAAGCCGCTCTGAGAGCCGAAGCCGAGCTGAAAGTTGGAGTTGCTGATGAGAACGGCCACTAGCAAGGGAAGCATTCCTAAAATTGGGGGATCTGGTAAAGGCTGCCACGTGGTTCGATGGATATGAGACTCTTATCTTAGGTCAGATTGTGGAAAGATTGATGACTTACTTGTCTACACAATCCTATTTTTGTCGCATTTCTTGTTCTTTGTTAGAGGCCTTGGTCGTGACAATGTGGCTGAGTGCGTATACGCACTGTTCGTTCTCCTATTAAATAGACTGCATTCACGGAAACTTGTTGACCATAGTAGCTTTCAAACTTCTTATACTCTAAAATTTGGCAGAACTCTTTTTTCCGAGCTAGATGACTGCTGGGGTTTTGATAAGAGCAGTCAAGCTTTGATCATCATGGTCAACGATGGCTGTGTAAGTGCCCGTTAATGACGGCGGCTGACTAGCCAGCTCCGTTTTAAATCTACCCCCGTATCGAGCATATCATGTGATTCCGTTATTAACGGAACGCATTCCGCCACTGGGGCCCCACGTCTGCGAAAACGGAACAGGCGCCGTCGGCCCGGATTTTCCAGAACTCCAAAAAAGTCGTCACGACGCAAACCCAACTTTTTTCTCACCACACCTCGATTCCCGCTTCGGATCCTCCGCCACCTCCCGATCTTCCTCTCTCGGTGCCTCACAATCATTCTCAGCCATGGATCACGGACGCGACCCCTGCCCTTGGGTCATTCTCAATGACTTTGGCGGTGCCTTTGCCATGGGTGTACGTTGACAAAAGCCTCTCTCCATCACACCCACATTCAGGCATTGGCAGGCCTTGTCACTGCGGGCCTCACTGATGCCGAGTGTACGGACTATATCTAGTTACAGCAGACTGACCATTCTATCTTTACAGGCCATCGGTGGAACCATCTGGCACGGCATCAAGGGCTTCCGGAACTCTCCCTACGGCGAGCGTCGAATCGGTGCCATCACCGCCGTCAAGATGCGAGCGCCCGTCCTGGGCGGCAACTTCGGTGTCTGGGGTGGTCTCTTCTCGACATTTGACTGCACCGTCAAGGGCATCCGAAAGAAGGAAGATCCTTACAACGCCATCATGTATGCATTGAATCAATTCTGAGGAAAACAATTCAGTTTCGCTGACATCCCATTTCATAGTGCCGGTTTCTTCACCGGTGGCTCCCTTGCCTTCCGTGGCGGTGTTAAGGCTGCCCGAAACAATGCCATTGGCTGCGCCGTTCTTCTGGCCGTCATCGAGGGCGTCGGTATCGCCTTTGGAAAGATGATGGCCGGATCAACCAAGCTGGAGATGCCCCAGCCGCCCCCGAACTCGGAAATCCAGGCTTTGTAAACGACAAGCGAAAGAAAATATTACCTGCGACGAAATGAAAAGAACAAAGTCGAATTGTATCGACTTTATGCCTCTCAACTCTGCCTTTTATTCTTAATTGTCTTTTATTCCGCTTTACTGGTCTTTTTTTATGGCCTTGATGCACAACTATATCATGTTCTCTTCCTGCAGACTGCGGCGCCAGGGATGCAGCGAAGATGAGAACTCAGTCGAAAACGAACAAGGAGAAGGAAAACTGGGAAGAACGAAACCTGAGAAAAGGAAACCGATATCTATGGATCATCTGTAAATCGCATCGCACAGGCGTTTTCCGTGAATTATAGATGTGGAGGGAAATACCAATGGGCTCTTCGCCTGGGTCTGCGAAGGAAAAATACGAGGGAACAAGCGAATTCAGGGTAAATGGACCTTGTTGCTTGGGTAGCAAGGAAGGAGTCGGTGTTGGTGAAATGATCACATGTACGAATATCTACAAAAGAAGAGCCGGCTGGGGCAAGACGAGACGATGTCAATGCCATGCCGCTTGTGTATAAGTTGTTCCTGGAGGAATGGCCTGGTGATGGCCTGCATCACTTCTAAACCAACAAATAACAAGGAATGAATTGAATAGGGATATTCTCATCACTCAGATGTCTCTTCTAAATTGTTAATCTTATGTCTCCAATTCACAGCTCGTCCACAGATCCATTCGACCAAGCGCTCATCACCGCCTTACCCTCATCATCGACCCACGCCCTCCACATTCCGCCGCAGTTATAATCCATCAGCAGTTCCGATCGAACGCCCACCGCATTCCCATCTTCGTCTCGCACCAGCGTGCACTCGATGCCAATCATCCCGCCCTCTCCTTCACCTGTGAGCGTCCAGCGATCGCCCGCACTCTTTTGCAGATCGCCTCCTGGACCAACCACTTGGGACAGCGCCTTGTTGCCAGCCAGGGGCTTGTATCTCGCGATGGCGGCGACGGTACGGACGGCGTTGATGCGTAGGAAGGAATCGCCGTTGCCTGTTCCCGATACGCCGATGGACCGAGTCGAAGTCGTGGAGTTTGTTCTGCGGAGGCGTTGAGTTTCTTCCAAGTTGACGGGCGAGTACATCCAGGGGGTAGGAAAGCAGTCTGCAAGCAAGCCCTTCAACGGGCCCGCGAAACTGATCCCCGGTTGCGCCCTCTTCACTTGACTTGTGAGCTTCTCCCATGTTGACAACTCTTGAGTTTCATCTTCCCACTCTTCAGCCCAGAATCCGGCCCCTACAACGGGAGTATCGCCAATACGCCCGGTGAGCTTGTTCGTCATGCCACCCGTACTCGTCGCCGCGCAGATCACGCCCTCCGCATCCAACGCAACAGCTCCGCAAGTTCCCTGCGGGAGATACTCGTCCGCATGCCACGTCCCCAAGCCAAGTCCGCGCTTCTCCCTCTCCAACGCACGAACATGCTCGTCCCAGCGCTGCTGCGTGAAAAAGTACCCCGGGTCCACTATCTCAAGGCCATACTGCTCAGCGAGCCTCTCCGCTGTCTCACCATGAAGCTGCGTGTGCCCCTGCGCAGACGGTACATCCACATCTAGCAAAAGAGAAGAAGAGGCGTGTGACGACGCTGCAAGATCTTGTTCGCCGTGCTCGAGCATCTTGCGCGCGAGCAGGATCGGGTTGCGCACGCGCCGCAGGCCCATGACGCCGACGCCGCGCTTCTTGAGGCCCCGCGAGACCATGACGGAGGCTTCGAGCTCGTTGATGCCGTCGCGGGTGAAGACGGCGCCGTGGCCGCTGTTGAAGAGGGGATTGTCTTCGAGCTGGGCGACGGCGTGGGTGGCGATTTCTAGGGCTGAAGGGCCATGGTGAAGAGGGGCTTCTTTTTCTTGTGTTACTGGGTGGTTCTCATATGGCGATTGAGGATTCGTCCTTTTTGAAGACGAGTTCATGTATTGTTGAGTGTTGGAAACCTACATGATGAATTCATCTCTCTACATTAGCCCTACATATCCTTCATACAATAGAAAGAATGATACACAAAGAAGGGTAAATAGAGTATAAAGTTTTACTAGCGATACAAAAGAGAGTCTGTCACAGTTTACACCAAAAAAAAAGCTATTCTCACTCACAATCGCAAGAAGAGCGTTCCTATAAGCGGCATATTTCTCAGAGGGGTAGTTCTCACGCCGGATATTCCCCGCGCCCCCATGGATAATCAATCGAGGCTGGATCTTTGTCCGCGGCACAAACGACGCGAGCGGCTCTCGGTACTCCATGTCTTTTCTTCGTCCTGTTTTATGTATAATAAGAAGCAAAGCAACAATAGTGAAATTCTTAGTATAATAACTGTAATAGGAACCAATTACTGCATGAGGAGATTGATGCGTTAGCAGCAAAAAAAAAAGAGGCTTGCGGGGAATAGGCTGGTTATCGGCGACGCCGAGCCGTGGTGGAGTTCTGTTATTTCCTCGGACGGTTGTTTTAACTTCCGGGAAGAAGGGGGGTGTGTGAGAATGCTGTTTACAATCGAAAAGACGATTGGATCGATTTTCCTCGAAATAGAATTAGGAGACAGGCGGCGGGTGTATCGGGCGTCGGTGATAGAGTTTAAAAATACATGATACGATACAAACCAGCAGATTGCAACGGCTTGATATTCCTCCATGGTATCTGACCAGGCGGGCGGGTCACCTGCCTATTGCGGCATCTCACTGGCCCGCGGGTTTCTAAATGCCAAGCAAGTACAGCCCCCAGCGTAGCTTTATTTGGGTTCTAAACAGAGTCATAGTCTTCAACCTCGTCGATCCACCACGAATCATGAATTGATACTTGCATCTTGTCAAGTCATGTACGTTTACTAGTAACAACCCAGGATAGCCCCTGTTGTCTCGTGGTTCTCAACTAGCCATGTTACAAGTACAAGCCGCCCTATGCGATATTTCCCAGGCTATTGCCTTTAGTAGTAATTCTGCGTATAACCTTTTCCGTCATTCAACAAAAGGTTTCCCCCCACCGGATGTCAGCATTAATATCCGTAGAAATGACAGTGAAAAAAAGCATATCTCCGTTCCCATAAGGTTTCGTGAGAGTTGAGAAAAAGAAAATAGTGTTGAACAAAGAATGTAACATTCCGCTTTCCGCCAATATAATGATAAAAATTCCGTAAGCCTTTAAACTTCAAGTGGTATATCCTGCGTAACTCCCGTTGCTCCACAAATCAAATAATAGATGGGCTGAACTTGATGTGCCCCTAGATCAACTTCTCCAGTCCGCTCTCTATCCCCAAAAGCCGTGTAATATCCTTAAATTTCTGTTTCAAACATCGTTTACAATGATCGCTTGTCGTTGAGTAGTAATAGTATGATAATTTGCGTAGCAGCTCGTGAAGCCCCTATGTCCAAGATTCTTTTCGTCGGAATCGACTTGGTTTATGGTGCATGAGCAGGTGATAGGCCGGCAGCAACCTTGACTGCCTTGATAACATCCTTTGGTCGTATACCAGGCGTCCTTCCTAGACAAACTGATGCGTTCACCAATTCTAATGAAATGTGTTAGTAAAAAGGAACATTGATACATGAAGTAATGAGAGAGAAATAAAAGCAAATGCCCACATACCGTCTACTAATCGGCCCACGTCGACTGAAACTTTCGTCTTGGACCAGTTGGAACCCGTAGGCCACATGTGGTTGAAGTCGTGGTTATTCATAAACGAAACTAATCCTCCATCTAGGTCAGTCTTGTCACTAAACTCAATGGATTCCTCATTCTGACCTGGAGAGTCTCCTCGGAGAGAGCTTCCGAAATCACCCGGGCTATTCATCGGCCACATGCTGCCTTGAATTCCGCTGATGCCCGAGCTACCAGGAGAAAGCCCAATGCTAGCAAAGTTGCTTTTGGTGCTCGCTTCGTCGGCGGCTTGTAGTTCGTTCAGATCCAACTCGGAATCGACATAGTCAACGTTCGGAGGAATGGCTAGACCCAGTCGGCGCAGGAATAGCTCTACTTCGTCTGCTGTGAAGAATTCGCCCTCAAAGTTCTGGCAAAGTATTCGTATCCGATGCTCATTTTTTTCATCAGAATTAGCTTGAGACTGGGTTCCGAATTGGGGCATGTTGGAGAAGCCCGAAGCTGATTTGGTTATTGAAAGTAGCGCGTTATTCAATTCCTCCGAAGTAGCCGAAGAAAACTGATTTTCAAGATATCCAAACTGGTCATTTTGCATCGAAGGCGCTGGGAACTTCCAGTCTACTCCCTCGCTCTGTATCTTCTTCAGACTTGCTGCTAATCGTCGAATAATCGAATCACGGGATTCAAAGAGTAAACTGAAGCCAAAAACAGTCGCGTACCGGTCGGGCGGCGGGTTCTTCATGGTGGCCAATCTAAGGCCGCACTCCAAAGTCACTCGCTGCAGCCTCTTGCTGAAGCGTTCCTGAATGCCATATGTCGGAGAGGAGAGTCGAGGGTAGGGCGAAGGGTTGTTGAGAGAGGTGCTTAGAAAGCTACTGCTTGGCGGCTGCGAAGAGGACGACTCCATGGAGGTGAAGAATGGGAAGCTGGCGTTGTTTGGTGTGGCCTGGGTGATGACTTCGTAGTTGAAGGAACTAGAGTGATGCGGAATAGTAGGATAAGCCGAGCTTGAGAGATCCGATTCTCCCAAGCCAGTTGTCTGATGGCCATGGTGCATGCTCACGTCGCTGAGGCCTTTTCGAGCTCCCGCAGGCTTGGCCATGATGGAATCCTCGCTCTCGGATGTGATGCTGCTGGTGCCGACCATGCTAGAAATGCGGAGCAGTCGATCCGCAATGAGTCTGAGGCGAGGCGCAGCATGAGGGGCAATATCGAAAATGCCCTCAGCCAAGATGATGTCGTAGAATTTAGTAAACTCCTTGCTCATGGCCTCGTTTGAGGCCTCTAGATCTTTAACCTTTTGCTCAAGAGTGGTGATGGCAGTGTCTTTGCGGTGTCTGTACGCTCGCTGAGCAAGACGAATTTGAGTTCGACGACGCTGCAATGAAACGAGAAGATTAGAACTGCAACTCTCGTGGAATGCGGACCATCAATCAAAGAAGAAAATTCAAAAATAAAATAAAAAAAGAATTCAAGTGGGTCTATTGCGTATAGAGTTGATCTTCGGAGAAGGGTTCATGGAGACAGATGGAGAACAAGAAGTTGTGAATGCTCCACGAGTCATGGTAGCGACGAACAAGATGAGAATAGTAATGGAAAGAAGGCAAACAGCTCTGAACCTGATATCAAACAAGCGGGCAAGCAGACGGGCTACTCACATCGGCGGCGGTTTCGTCCTTGGTATCCAATCGTGGACGGCCCCTGGATCTCTTCTTCTGAACTCCATCGTCGTCGTCGTCGTCGTGATCTTCTGAAATCGACCGTTTTCCATTGGAAGATCGCGTGCGTCTGGGCTCCTCTCCATACTTTTCGGCGTTGAGAATTGAGATTTCACTCTGCATTGACGGCAGGGGGGACCTGCCCTCGTGTCGAGATAGTCGACTCATCGTGTCCAATTGATTAGTCGAGCCCACGTCGCGGTCCCAAGAGCAGAGTCGGAAATTTTTGAAATAATAATCTCGAGTCAGGAGAATAAAATGGATGAGAAAATCCTAGATACTAATAAAAAGAAGACGCAAGTGGAAAGCACCTGATAAGATTGAGTGTGACGTCGGGAGGATCAGAAACGGCGCGGGGCACCTGGAACGAATATGCCAATAATAAGTGATAGTGCTAGAAAAGCTATTCTGTAAGAATCGATGCTAGGGCGCAGTCTTTATTCATCCGCATTGGTCCGCTTCGGTGAGCTGCGGTCTTCGCTGACGAGTCCGCACCGCACCACACCGCAGGGACGCCGCAAATGACAAGAAACAATGCTTACCAGGTTGAGAACTCGCTACCGAGGTAACTGTAGGTACGTATAGGCGTGTACCTGCAAAGGTAGGTATGGGGTCTGGTGTTGGCTCAAGTGCTGGGCCAATGGTAGGTCCAGGACGTGGTGTAGTGCTGGTCTGTCCCAGGCCTGTGTCTGCGTCTGGTATGGATCAGAGCCCGGGGTGTCTGGTCTCTTGGTTCGTTGCCAGGGGATGACGACGAGACTCGAGACTCGAGGACTCAGGACTCAAGGCAGTGGCGGCAGTAGTGCCTGAAGCTGTGACCCTTCCTGACGCCTGCAGATTGCTAGCGCAAGCCCAGCCCTACAAGTAAGAGCTTGCGCGGGAGCCGGGTTGTGAGAGTTCGCTTGTGCGTCTGGGAGCAAGCATGGAGCATAAGAGATGCAAGGAAGCCCCAGGCTCAGGCAGCCAGGCGTCAAGGCGTCGAGGTCCTGGTCCTGGTCCTGGACAGCGGGAGATTCCACTATTCCCAACGGCAGATTCCACCGGCTCTTGATTGGAGGCCCCGAGCAAATATCCGCAGTTGAGTTGTGTCTGTAGTTGCAGAGTCGTTGTCGAGTTGTGGAGCCAGGCCAAGTCTGTCTGGAATTTGTAGTCTGATGAGCCAGACGCCGAGTCTCTTTTCGGGCTTGCTTACCGAGCAAATAAATGGCTGGCTTCTCTGAACAGTCCCTCTCCACACAAGCTGCTGAAACCTTCCAACACGTGTGAGCTAAGCCAGCAGCCGCCCCGAGGTATTATTGCTGGATCGAAGCACGACGCCATGATAACATGAACCAGGGACGGGCTCTCCGGCGCAATTAGCTAATGTCAGTCGGCTAGGCTGCTTGGGGCGCGCTAGAGCCGATTAGCTCTGACAGCACGCCATTAGTAAGCGCATCAAACGCTGCGGTTCCAGCGCCGCGGCAGCAGGGTTAACCGCCTTAGGCAGTCGGTAGGCTGGCAGGGGCTGGCACTCTAGCGGGCTGGTTAGCGATGCTGCGGTGGAACCTTCAGTGGCTTCAGTGCGTGGCTTCAGCGGGCTTCTTCAGTGTGACCTCCAGTGCGAGTTCCGTGCCGGGCGCCTTTCGCACCAGCCCTAGCCGCGTTTGTCAGCAGCCGCCAGCGACGCTGATTGGCCGATGGCGCTGCGAACCCCCATTTAGCGGCCTTGAACTAAACTCCAACACGCCGGGCTGCATATCGTGGGGGCTGGAGGGCATCCCAAACAGGGACTTGACCATCATTTCTACAGTGCAGCATGCAACAATTCAAGATTCGAGGTCCCAGTCCCCGTCTCTTCCTTGTCTTGTTTCTAGCACCAAAGCAGGCAGTCAGGTTGGTGGAGATTTTTCCGCCGCTTCCGCCGCCTCCAGCACAGTGTGGCATCTCACCGCTTGCCGCATCTCAACGCTGCTCGGCCACCGCCAGCCGGGAGCCATGCAGACGCTTCCAGAAGCTGAAGATCCTCAACCAGCGCCCAGCGTGATTACTATTCCATCGACAGATAGATGCCTACTAGACGCCACGATTCCCGAGCAGCAGATATTGGTGCCTATCCAGGACAATGAGCAGCAGGTGGACGATTCTCTCAGGACTGCGCCAGGAGGGCATCATACAGGCTATTAGTACAAGGACAAGGCGTCTGCGATGGGCATGTTTTTCCGTCTCTTTGACGCAGACCTCGGATTGCAGATACGATTTACGACGAGATCCGGAAAAAGAGCTGTTTCAGAGACTAGGCGCCATCGGCTGGTGTCAGTATTCGGACTAGGCACCGAAACGGCGCCCTATCAAATGCGATAGGAGCCCCGATCCCTGCTGATCTTCACAACTGCAACTGTCGGAAAAGGAAAATTATAGAGAGCGCGGAAAAAGGAGCCAAAACAGCGGCCGATCCGCCTCTATGTTCCTTGCGCCTCTCGGCCATCGAGTCTTGGCTGAGTCTTACCAACGTTAGGAAAATGTCACTGCATGTCTGTCTCCCCTTGTTGTCGCATTGATATTGTCCTGAACCCGACATTGGTCTCATGCCCGCATACTATTCCCTACAGATTTGCCCTTTTCGCTTCGAGATATGCTACCGTATCATTGTAGTGGCCCTGCTTCTAGAACTTTATTTCTGCCAGCAAGCCAGCCCTGGCCGATAGACAGGAAACGGCCCTTTGCCCGGAAGGAGTATACGTATATACGAGCACAGCTTGGGGGTCATACGAGTCAGCTTATAGTATGGGAACTGATTGGCCAGACGCCAATTACAACTCGTACAGGGAGTCCAAAAGACAAGGACCCTGTGCAAGTGATATGTACATGGCGTTTGGCTGTCTCAAAACTCTAGGACAGGACGGCTGCTTATCCAATCGATCTGCGGGTGTTCTATAAATGGAACACATCCACAATCACCCTTGGTCCAAAGAGGAAATTTTAGTCAGCGTGCTGCAGCCAAAAAAAATACCCAGAAGGGAAGTAGGTTTTCCGGCCTCCGCACTGTAATTTGTTGAATCTCTGTACGATCCAGCTTATTCTACGCATACTTACAATATGTCCGTGGACCAGGGCCTTCCACGGACGCGTGTTATGCCAAGAAAAAAGCAGACTCTGTAGATACACACCATGCCAGCTTGATAGAGATGACATCGGATCGTTTCCGGTTCCCTTTTGTATCGCTCACTTCGCTAGTCAGGATAGGCAACAACGATGACCGACGCCAAGATTGTCAAAGTCACGATCAGGAGGGATAATCCTTCAAATGACTCGCCAATCTCACAAGGATCAGAACGTGGCAAGCCAAATACAAGGCAAGGTTTCAGAAGATCAACTCCAGAAGGATCTTGCGATTCTCAGCTACGTAGTTTGACACCTGCATAGCCTCCGCTGCTTATGACTAAACTAGTACCTAGGATATGAAGCGTGTGTATTTTGTTTGAAGAAACTTGATGTATATTAGGTTCTCTTGGTTGTCTATTCTAATAGCTGTACAGTATAATGAGCCGAGTAGGAAACGGTATGCCTTTCCGGCTTCGAGAGATGGATAGGCAGGTGGCGCAACTCTACGGCTTGCAAGTGCCCACAATGCTTTGACCCGATGCGTTCTTGAATCAAGTTTAAACCCATTATTTCCACTACACATCCTACCAGCATGGCACTGGTGCTTATAGTCACGTTGATCATGTACAAGGAGTGATTTCCTGGGGTCTGCCACGATACAGAGACGCCAACGGAAAGCATCCGTGGCGAGTCATGCAGCCTTCTAAAAGCTTCCTAGCCAATCATGCAACTTGCACAACTACTCCTGGCTCACAAGGCTATTGTTGTGCTGAATCACACGGAACAAAAGGCAAAAACAAGAGGTAATGGCACGTCCCTGGAGCCGTTGCGGGCGCTCGACACTTTCAAGCCACCTTTGGCAACTAATCTACGCAGAGATGCGGTTGGCGCAACTCGTTGTCGGCACGTATACGGATAATTGAGCCGAAGCTGCCGCTAGCATATGACCTACAGGTGCTGTACATAATTCCCGACCAATAGTGGGAAAGCCGATAAATATCGGAGGTAAGGTTGCAAGTTGTAATTGCGCACTTCTATCTCCGTAATATTGATGCTATTCATACCGACAGAAGTCCGCTGATTTGGAATATTGAACATGTTCTGTGCTAAGGCTGTACTACAGCGTGAGCTGAGCTGCGGCATCCTGCGGACATCACTCTAGAGCATACCGCCACTCAAGACATTGCGCCTGCATGCTGTTATTTTTCCTCATTGTAGGTACTCCGCGTATCTTATATGAATATGTCATTTCACAAGAGCAGCCTACCCTTACCCAAATAGGAAGTTCTTACGACCCGCAAAAAGCCAACAATTCTGTGATATAACCGAAGAACCGAAGAGCCTCATCAGAGGGCGCAAAAAAGGCGGAAATGTAAAATCACCAGCGCTCGAGCCACGTCCAGGACGATATCTTTCTTTGAATGCCTACCACTAGTAGTCAGAAACAATGCATTTATAATACGGCATGGCAGGCTGCTTTATCGACATGCGGCATGTTATCGACAATTTGATGAGGATGGATGACAAACACGCGAATACCCCTCGATTCATTAGCAGTGACAGCCCTCCAATATCGTCAAACTATGTCTGGCTAAATGCCTCTCTGTAGATTAGATTGCATTCTACACTAAAGTGGTGGCACGAATAAGTTGTTAGCGGGCAGCCACTCTCTTCATGACTCAGCCATGTAAGTCATTATGCCCACCCCAAGCCCCCTTTGGCACAAGTGTGCGCCCTTCAACAACAGACTTTAACGAAACTTGTTCCCCCTGCTTGGTGGATCTCTCTTTTTTTTTTTTTTTTTTTTTTTTTTTGGTCTTGGTGACAGAAAACGCTTGGCCTTTGCGTGGTAGCAAGTCTGCCCTACTAAAAGTGTACATAGTACATACGTGAGCAGGGTTCAAGCGGAATTCCGCTTCTAATGTATGAAACAGCTGGATATGCTAGTGCAAGGTAGGCACTAGCACTTGTAAAAAGGCAAGGGCCGGCGATTTTGATCCGAAAACGTTTCGGTCAGCTTGATCCGACGATGCTTCTTGCAGGGGTGCGGCCGATACCCTGCCAAGAGGCACTCCCACCTAGGTATTCAAGCCGAGCCCCTAATAGCATCGTTACGCAGGAGAGTGTCTTGCCACTTGGGTATCAGGGCGTCAGTTTCTGCTTATTCAATGCATACGAAAACCTGAGTCTGGGCATGTGTTTCGATACTGCTAATTGCACCCATGAATTGGGGGGTTGATACTTCTCCAACGAGCAATGAGGTGCGGGCAGTGTCGATGAGCGGCTATGAGCGGCCGATCCCTGTCAACCAAAACTGGGGCATCTTTAAGCGTGATGCTAATACCTAGGCTTTGGGAGAGACAGAGAGGACAATTGAAGCAAACGAAGAGAGTTATTTCCACAATACAAAGCCGATGAAACTTGTCCAAAGATCTAGTTCAGTTCATAAACAAATTTGGATAGCACTTGTAAATGAATATGCACACGCGTTAGATTAATGTGAATAGCTCTGCAGCAAGTTTTGCAGCAGTCTCCTTTCAACCGACAATTGGAGTTGTTGGGGCAATTAGGTACACCATCGTGGCGTGTGGCGTATCTGCACTCCCCTCGCTTGTGCAGTTGTCCCAAGTTTGGCGCCTCCTATTTAGTACAGAGAGAATACAATGTGGATGGTGAGAATGGCTCGCCTATCATATTTCCACCGCGCCGCTCTGCTCCACAGGGCTGCGAGAGTGATGGACGATGATGGTTGTCTGTAAGAGCCACTACGGTCTTAGCTGCACCAATTAGGCATCTTTAAGAGCCAGCCCGTTTTGCCGCCATATCACCTGTTGCCGTCTTATTTATGCTCGGATGTCATTGATCCGCGGGGATAAGACGAAGCTTCTGTGTCGGTTGAAGCTTTCGAATCGGACGAAGCTGTCACATCGTACCAAGCTGTAATCGGACGAAATCTTCGTATCGTTGCGCATTAGCAGACGATCGGACTTTTTCAGCCCATTATCGCCCAGACAAGACAGTTACCATCTTGAAACTCTATGATAAACTAGACAATTTCTTTGCCAAGGTGACTAATGCCCAGAAAGGTATTCTCCTAAAGTCCGTTCTCCTCCTTGATATTAGAGCCTTTTCAACAGTCTCTTTATTCCAAGGTTGCATTCTTTTTGAGCTGACGGGCGTGTAGTAACGTAGAATAGAAATAAAGTAATGGACGTAATATACTCTAGTTTCGGCCCTGTTTCGAATATCATCTCTGGCTTGCCCATCACGTCTGCTTTGCCTACCCCCTCTAGCTAGACCAGTCGCAAACTAGACATGAAAATCATCGTCTAGCCCTAATCATTGTATACATCATGATTTCGAGCTGTTCGAAAGATTAAGCCTTGAATTGACGAGTTCCGTCGGCTGAATCCAAAGGGGTAGAGGAGAGTGTTTATTAATACAACATCAAAGTTTTTAAGAAAGAAAAAAACAAATTTTGAATAAGTAATCTCGAGCTACATAAGTGCATCAAGGAGTAATTAGGTTGAAAATTTGTAAATCACTCATAAACTGCCGTCTTCATCATTGCATCTTGAGTTGTAGTGAGCCATAACTGTCTCTTAGCGAGCCCATCTTCACACAGCCCCTTTTACTTCTGCATGATCTGATTAATTGCTTTTGGGCTCTGAATTTCCCTACCAAAAGTCGAAATACTGATCAATGGATTGCCGCAACTAGAATTCAGCCATCTTAACCACTACCTCCTGTGACTCAGATGCTGTCCCGAAGGACGACAAAAGCTTCAACAAAAGTTTCACCACATCTTGCTCACACATAATGGAACGATCAAGACCTTATTCTTGTGCGTTATTGGCCTCTTGACGATACTTCTCGACAAAATACTCGGCGGCATGGTGCGCATCGGTCGGCATATTGTAACCAATTTTAAGCGCAAAAGCCCTAAGCAAATCAGGAAGAACGCCCAAAAGCCTCTCTCGAACATCGTTATCTGCATCCAAATCCTTCAAAATACTGAACAAGGTATCCTCCAACCATCTTAGAAACGTCCCAGGCCTACCAGGGCAAAACCCCGACAACTCGGAAGAAGCGGCTGGGGTATCGTCGGCATCTAGTTCCCTTTCCCGCTCAGGATTCCCGTGTTTTGTCTCGGACGACATGAAACTATACTTTCTGATGGTCGTTTTGAGCATTGGCTCGAGACAATTCCAGGGGAGCATTTTAAAATCCATTTCCATGTCTCTGGGTCTAGGATGGCCAAAGTCCATAACAGTCTTGAAAAGTCCAGAGGTGTGGTTTTTTGTCCCTGAAATCGTTTGAGGATGAAAATCGTCAAGATTGTGGAGGAGTCGGTTCTTCTTCTCGATAGAAGAAGAGGCCAGGTGCTTCCAAGAGCTGTTCAAGTAGGTACATCGCATCGAAGTGTGTAAGATAGCAGTCGGAGAAATCATCACACCAAATACATGAAATGCAGATGCTATTGGCTGGAATTTCAGTTACTGGAACAGCTTTAGAATCCACATTCAAGATGTCGCCATCCTGAGATTTTGAGAAGTGAACTATTCGACGGCGATTGGTCCACTCTTCTTCAGTCCACCTTGCAGCCATTTGTTTGAGATTGCCGTTGACCTTTAAGACAGTTTTGCTAGTATACATGGATCGATGATTGGCGATGGGAGATGTTGAGTTTAGTGATGGTGTTTCGTTGCTTTGCAAGTGTAACGTCGGCGGCGCCAGTAAGATGGGCTGCATCAGTGTCGGATCTTGGCGATTCGTTGTCTGCAGCGAATAATCAAGGGCATCTATTGCAGCTAGTAGAGGTGAGGTATCCAGTTGTTTGCTCTCGGCTTCCACCACTAGCGGAGCAGACTCGCGCTCATCTTCAGTTTCCCCCATGTCGGAGGAGACTTGACTCATGCTTTGTAATGGGATGTTTCTCAGATAATTTAACGTGTGGCAAGCTCCGATTATGAATCCTTCTTGTTTTCTCGCAGATCTATATACGCGATCATAGAGCCTATAAATACCATTACCTTGTCTAACATGATTGAATGCTTCTTAGGCAGCCATTACAAGTTAACAGTAAACTCGTCTGGGAGCTGATTTGTGCAAAGCATATGCCTTAGAGTTTCCTAAAGTTTAATTGAATCAAATACCTCACTTGGAGCTGGTGCCTAGGTATTTGAGACAGTTTCAGTGTTTGATCCAGTCATTTTATGCGGCATGTCGTCTGCATGTTTCTCAGCTACACAGGCCTCTCAAAGCGTGAATTAGGTTATTGTCTTTGCGTATCAGATTCACGAGTACAGTATCGTGTTCTTTCTGCCTAATTGTGTCTCAATCGGAAGTGTATGTACTCACATTTTATACTCCACCCTTTCTTTGTTACTATAACCATGTCTCTCGTCAATTACATATATGTTTGAAGTGAACACTCAACCAAACTGCAGCGATATATTACTGAGTGCTACTATCACTGTACCTGTGCAGACTTGCTCTATTGCTGTTTCTTTCCAGCATTCCCTTAAGTTCGACTGAGTCAAAGCAATTTCCTGTCAACGCCCCGCAATTCTCACCTATACGTATGGAGCCCCTAACAGCCCTGGGTTTTTCGGCCCGCGATTTAGCAGCCGTTCGGTTAAGCTTCCATGTCATACAAGGCTCAATTTCCCTAAAAAGCCGTGCGAGGTTCTTCGGTATCAATGAGATAGGATGGAGAATATAGGACTCTGCTGTTACGTCAACATCGACTGATCTGGGCTTGCTTCACTGAGATCTAAGAGTACATGTGCGGTGGGAAACATTCATAAATAAGAGTAATGAAATATCATTATTTGTTAGATGTAAATGTCGCGGTACATAATTCCAGCAACACCAGTCCTCAGTAGAGGTGAAAGCGGTCTCCTTAAACCATCATCTTCTGAAACATTGCGACTGTCTCTTCCAATGCCAGCGACCTAGCTTCGAGATCCAGTGTACGGCGCTCAACCAAATGCCTAGCCTCAGTAGCATCGATGTCCTGTAACTTACTCAAATCTGCCTTGTGCGCGTCATTACTCTCTTGATCCCTTCTTGCCTCAGCCAACTTTGCCTTGAACTTCTCAACCTCCTTTCCAGCATCTTGTACACGATCCTTAACTTCAAGATAAACATTCGCCTCTGCAGAGACAGGAAAGACTGCGCAACCAGCTGGGCTAGCGCTTCCAACCGGCAGAATGCTGATATCCACTGATGTCTTGCTGCTGAGTGACTTGATGGCGGATAATTGAGCAGACGCTGTGTCGTGTGCCGTTTGGCTGAGAGGTATGATATAAGCTACACCATTTTCTTTAACAGCATATTCTGCCAAGAGGACACGGAAACCTCTCGAGCAGCCCAGTACAAGCTCATAGGCTACCTCAGACGTCGGATCATGGAGGGAGTCTTCAAACTCTGGATACTCGGCAATCGAAATTGAAGATGTATCATCGCCTGGTCTGCGTGGAAGACGCTGCCAAAGCTCTTCAGTCAGGAAGGGCATGAATGGGGCCACAAGTCGCAACCCAGTTTCAAGTGCGGTGTACAGCGTGTCCATGGCCGAACGAGCTTCTTCGGGTGTGCCATCCGAGATTATCGACTTGGAGTTCTCAATGAAGATGTCAAACAGTTCGTCGTACAAGAACTGATAACTAATTCGGGTCGATTTGGCGAATTCGCGCGCCTCGAGTGCCTGGTTGATCTGCTTCGCAGCAGTGTTCATCTTTGTCAAGATCCATCTCTCAGACAGACTCTCCTTTCCTGTGAGGGCAGAGCTTTCGCGAGGAACAAAGTCATCACCAAGCTTTCCGAGGACATATTTTGTGGCCTGATAAATCTTGTTACAAAACTTTCTGTAGCCGTGCATGGTTTTGATGTCAAAGTTGATGTCGCCGCCGGACGACTGCGTGTAATTGATGAGTGAGAACCGCAGCGCATCGGCCCCAATGTCGGGAATGCCTTGCGGGAAGGCCTTTTTCTGGTACTTTTCCGCATTCTTGATCTCGTTTTGGGCCAGGTTGCCCTGTCGCAGCTTCTGGTGCAGGCCTTCGGGACTGATGCCGTCGATTATGTCGATTGGGTCAACGACATTGCCGAGCGACTTGGACATCTTTCGGCCTTCGCTGTCACGGATCAAACCGTGGCAGTAGACCTCGTTAAAAGGCACCTTTCCAGTCAATTTCAGAGAGAAAATGATCATACGGCTGACCCAAAACGGAATAATGTCCCAACCAGTTTCCAAAGTGGAGTTGGGAAAATACTTTTGGAGATCTTCCGTCTTGTCTGGCCACCCAAGGGTGCTGAAAGGCCAAAGCCCAGAGCTGAACCAGGTATCCAAGACATCTTCATCACGTCGAAGTGTCAGCGTCTTGCCTGGGAACCTCTGCTCTGCTTTCTCTCGAGCTTCACCTTCTGTTCTGCCACAGACCCAGTACTCCTCATCGGCGTCATCACCGGCGTCTTCGTCTTCGATACTGACAAAGTATGCTGGTATCTGGTGGCCCCACCATAATTGTCTTGACAGGCACCAATCCTGAAGATTTCGCATCCACTGAAGATATGATCGCTTTTGTACATCTGGCCTAATGATCAGCTCGCCACTTTCGACGACGTCAATGGCAGGTTTCGTCAGCGACTCCATCTTCATCCACCATTGTGGTTTGAGAAGCGGCTCGACGATATCTCCTGAGCGGCTGCAGATCGGAACAGTCATTTTGTTTGGCTCCGACTTGGTGTAGAGGCCAAGACTTTTGAGCTCTTCAATTATGCGGTATCTGGCATTAAACCTTTTCTCTCCGGCATAGGGGCCAGCGTTATTGTTGAGAGTACCGTCTTCGTTGAGGATGTTGATGAAAGGAAGGCCATGTTTCTTGCCGAGGTTAAAGTCGTTGTAATCATGGGCGGGTGTAAGCTTGACTGCACCAGTACCGAATTCCCTGTCAACGTATTCATCGGCAACAATCTTCAGTTTTCTGCCGGCAATAATCGGATGTATCGCAGTCTTGCCGACAAACTCTTTGTATCGGTCGTCCTGAGGATGCACGGCAATACCAGTGTCGCCCAACATCGTCTCGGGCCTTGTTGTTGCAACCTCTATGGTTTGATCGGAGCCCTCGATCTGGTATTTAAAATACGTGAGTGTTCCGAATTCGACTTTTCTGTCATAACCTGGCACGTCAAGCTTCGTCGTCCCGTCAATCTCCTTCTGGTCGACTTCCAGGTTGGACAAGGCTGTGGAAAGGCGACACGACCAATGCACAAGCTTGTTGGCTCGGTATATAAGGCCCTCTTCGTGGAGCTGTACGAACGTTTCGGTGACAGCTTTAGACAACTGCGGACTCATCGTGAAGGCTTCTCGAGACCAGTCTGGAGAGATTCCGAGTCTGCGTGCCGCATTATTGATGTTCTGCCTGTAGTCCTCCTTCCAGTCCTGGCATATCTGGACGAATTCCTCTCGACTAAAGTCTTGCCTCTTGGACTTGCCATTTATCGGATTCTTGGCGAGCTGCTTTTCGATAACAGCTTGGGTCGCAATACCGGCATGGTCGCATCCAGGGATAAAAAGAGTCGTGAATTGTCGCATGCGATGCCACCTGACGAGCGTGTCTTCTAGCGAAAGTGCCAGGGCGTGTCCGATATGTAGCTTCCCCGTTACCTATGTACTCGAAGAATTAGCAGATGAGCATGTACCAACGTATAGGTCCACGAGTAGGTACATACATTGGGCGGTGGCATGGCAATGACATATTTGCCTTTTGGTTTCAGACTTTCATCCGTTTCTGTTTGCGGCTTGAACAAGCCTTGATCTTCCCAGAAGCTGTACCACGCAGACTCGACGACATTTGGTAGGTAGGCCTTGTGAAAGTCATCATCCAATGGCTTCAAAATCTTTCGATGCCCAGCAGGCGTCTCCTCGACCCAGTCTTTGGCCGAGACCGTAGGAGGGGCCAGCCTCCTCGCCTTCTTGTCCAATGTCTGTTGCGGCTGTTTTGCAAGACTCTCTTGCTTCTGCTTGAATTTCTCCAGCTTCAGCCGCTGCTTCTCGGTCATGGGCTTCTCAGAGGCCTGTGTTGAAGACATCTTGGATGATGAATGATGGTCGAGATGCTAGAGAAGTGGAAATCGTGAAGGTGAGTGCAGCAAAGTTATACTTGTGCCTGCAGATGTGCTGGAATCTGAGTGAGTCACGGGCTTTTCCGATCCCGCTTCCAGCGCCCACCCCTCTCGGCCACTGTCAGGAAGGATTTCGCAAAAGCGATAAGTGTGAGTAACTTCCCCTAAAATGATGGAATTAAGGAGTGAAATGTGCCATTAAATAGCTGTTCTCTTCTTGCAGTACACCGGTCCATCTGTGTAGCTGGCACTCTCCTCTACGGGGCCCTCCAGCCAGTGGACCGTAGCCACTCTCGCGACTAAACACTGGATGTTAGTGACCCAAGACTAACCTTTTCCCATCCGCACTGAATACACGTTCCATCTTTAGTAAATAAATGCTTGTCAATATAGGCAATTTTAAACGATATTTGTAATGTTTGTCTTTACTTGCTTTGATATCCTCTTGCTGTTGTATCTGGGTGAAGGAATTCTACTAGTTAGTGCTCAAACCTGAGGCTAGTGCTGGCTCTGTAGTTATACATTTTGAATCCCTTTGCTCTAAGCGGCACGTCCGAAAAAACCGCCATTCCCGAGAAAAGAGATTTTGCAGCTTCATAAGCATTTTAAATGCATGGAGTTCTCGTTTATAGTACGGAATGTATTCAGCTTCGATTATCCTGTCATCTATGGTGGTTCCATTGTATGCTTGAAAGTGGGTGGATACACGTACTTTCGCCTACCCTTGACTCATTCAAAATGCCTGCAGCGCTGCCTATGACATCTGACTCCTTCGGGACAGTTTCTTTCCCAATTTTCAAATAGTTAGAAAGAGAGAGGAGTGACCAAGTGAGAATTGTGTGAGCTTCTCTGTAAATCTAGCGTAATTAGGTGCCACTCATTGAGAAGGCTCACTACGACAACGTAGCATTTTCCTTGTTTGCCTTAGGATATGTATAGAGATGGCAGCGATGGGCTTGGGTCAGCTCTTACTGCTAGGTACATTACCTCTCGACCCTTTTGCAAAAATTACTGGGTATACTATATCCAATTGGCCCAAGTGGCTTATTAGACTTATCTCATGAGTCCAGTGAGTCGCATCGCTAAATCGACGGATGAGACGATAAATCGGAACTTTGGTCAGCTGGTTCTAGCCATCATCGACTCGGGGTTTACCACATGTACCCTGTCAATCAAACTTCTTGCGCTCACCGAGATAAGGCACTTTCAATAAAAGAAAAGACCAGCTGTTAACACCTGATGATGGCTGGAATCCAATTATAATGACATACTGCATATCAGCCATCGTCATTGCCCATCCATGCTTACGCACCAGCTCGCTACATTCCGGGCAGAAATGGTTCGACTGGCTGGGCAGATACAGCGCACAAGATTACGATCTGCCCCAATCCTTGCGCGTTGTTCCCAGGCTTCTTCACAGAACGGGCCAATGGAGCGTCGTGCAGAGAGATAAAATGGCCTAATAAGGTCAGACCTTTTTCCTTTACGAGCATAGCATGGGCCCTGGGCTGCGCAAGATCAAATTTGACAGCTTAGGGGGTGCCCTTTTTGGGTGGTGAGAGTGAGCAGACTACGCCGCCAAATCACACCACTGCCGACTAACCCGCACCACTCTCGAACAATCAGCACACAACTCGACGAAAAGAAGACGCCACGGTCGGGAGAAGCAGGCAAAACGAATTTTATAAATGCTTTTCAATAGAATGTCAGATGCATTCCAGTGCGCATCATCAACAGCATCGTACAAAAGCAGCATCTTGTCCAGTCTTTAGTGTTTCAATCTACAGCTCGGCTTCAAGTCTCCAGACCATCATTCATCCCGACACTTACACCACTTATCAACATCAACATCAACATCAACATCAACATCAACATCAACATCCACACACACACACAACAAAACCGCAAAAATGGTCACTCAACCAGCTAAAATGCCCCCCATGAACCCAGTCGTCGCTAGGGTTGTGCCCGTCGTCATGACCGTTGGCATTGGTAAGTCATCAGCTAAACCTCCGCGCGACATTGCTACCAGACATGTATACAGTCCGCTAACACCACTTGCTTTCAGTGTCCGCCGTCGCGATGAACATCCGCTGGCAGCTCAAGACACATGCCGCAACGCAAGACCGCTTCTTCGCCCAGTACAAGAATCCCCAGAGCGAAGCCGCCCGCAAAAAGGTGTACGAAGGCGCCAAGGAGGACCCGCGAAAGAGCTGGTTCAATGTCCTGGGCTGGTGACTATTAGTGGATTAGGGGATGGAGTTTAAACATAATCACATTGCTGGGCGTTATCTTTTTTTAGGGGGGAGTTGGAAAGGATACCTTGTTTGTTGGCGATGGCATCATGCATCAATCTGTTGTTGCAATGCGACCACCCTGAAGAAATGGTGAAGGGGTCGTCGAGGGCCCACAGGTTGATTGATACTAGCCGTATTTAGGTGACATTTTTAATTACTACAAAAGGTCAAATGCCTTTGAAGATTTTCATACTCTTACTGCTTTCTCTGCCGGCACCAAATTGAAGCTAGATATGAGTTTCTCAATGTGTAAGATTATAGCTAGTTAAATATAGCTCATAATTCGCATAGTTGGAGAATTGAACGACTTGCAAGACGTATATAAGAAGAGAGGAGGTATTCCATTGCTTTACGAGCAGGTATATACGCCTTTCAATTACAACATCTGATGGCCCAACACAACTTGGCCGCACACATATCAAGATGGTGTTGCCTTTCGTCAGCTTATAAGCTCCTCTCTCTCCGTAATACCTGATAACGAGGTCGATAACGCAATATTTTACAAAGAGTAGGTAATCAGCGCAGCGGTGGTGCGGCATTGTTTGAATCGATGCTGAGCGGTATTTTGTGTGCTTTTTGGTCTGACACTGTGGAATTATCAAGTGACAATAATATCCAATCTAGAATAGCTTTCAAGGTGCACGATCAAGGTCTGTGGAGCGCCGGCTCATAGCATATTGATAGAAATTAAGCGAAGAGTAAAGATAGTGTACTGGCGACTACTAGAGAAACTGTGTTTCTAGATTTAACTACATGTACACAAACATGTTGTCTGTCGTTTCATCGAACAGTTGACAGGCATCACCTATGATATGGATAAGACTGAGAGTATCCAAAACTTGGGTTTGTCTCTCGGGAATCCAATGTTACTAAGCGTACAGGGAACGCAGCTTGTCAAGCGTTTTGTGCGGCTCTAATCCCTGCAGTCTCCCCACACAAGGTCCCCATAATCTGGGCTGCCGGGGACGGTGGCGCAGCCGTGGCTCAGCCGTCGCATCGCACTAAGGCGACCTTTGATAAACCCAATTTCTCAGCTTCTAAACGACAAGCTGACAAGACGGTGAACAAGACGTGAGAACGCCTCATTGTCTCGCCCGTTACTGCCAGGACATCATATGTGCCCGTCCCAGCATGGGCGATCGGGGCATCGGCTGGATCACCGTGGGCCACAGACGCCTGGTCTCCCACGGCCAATCTCAATCATGGGACGAGCAGGAGATGCTGGAGCGGGAAGCCATCGCCGCATGGGACAGTGACGAGCAGTGGCCAAGCGTGTGAGTCATTGAAGGAGCCGTCGGAAGGGAATCCCAGTTGCTTGATAGCAGCATCGCACAATTGAGGCTAACCAGGCAAAACGCAGTCATAAGCCGACATTCAACGGCGCCGAGGCCAAGCGATTCGACTCCCGACTAACACCGCTCGACTACCTCGGCGGCGGCGCCTTTGGCCGTGTCGACAAAGTATCCCATGGCTCCGTCTGCCTCGCCCGCAAGCGCATCATGCGGCGCCGCGGCCTGACGATTGACGATCTGCGCCAGGAAGGGCTGACGATGAGCAAGCTGGACCATCGCCATGTCGTCAAGCTTGTCGCTGCGTACATGCCGCGGCCCCACGAGCTGTGTCTGCTCATCTGGCCCGCCGCCGTCTGCGACCTCGACACTCTGCTCGACAATCTGGATGCGATACGGACGGGCAAGGGCGATCGCGAGGACATCATGGCGAGGCTCGATGCGCTGGGCCTTAACGATTTGAGCGCAATTGAGCCTTCCACCGAAGACCAGATCATGGACTCGCCGGCAAAGTGCCCGTTTGAGTTCCTTCGCGGCGTGGTTGGCTGTGTGGCTCGCGCAATGGCGTATTGCCACCGCAACGGCGTTCGGCATCTGGACATTAAGCCGTCGAACATCCTGCTAAAGGCCGACCGAGTGTATTTGGCCGACTTTGGCATATCCAAGGACGTCAGTGGACAGGATCAGACCACCATCGACGGCAACCCTGGCACAGAAAAGTGGCGAGCGCCCGAGCTCTACAGCGAGAATGGCGCCAGCATGCAGCTCTCCGACATATACTCCCTAGGATTGGTCTACCTCAACATCGCAACAGTTTTATACAATGTGAGGCTCTCCGAGTTTGACGACGCCCTCAACTACGATATCGACCTCTCCCGCGGCGAGAAGCTCGCAACCCGAGAAGCGAAGCTCAAGCGCCTTCTCGAGACACTCACTTCCCACGCCTTGGTAACGCCTCAGTTCATGTTCACATACGAAGGCCAAGAAACAGTAAGACCGCGGCCGCTCGTGAGCCTCATTGCAAAAATGATTACTCCCTCGCCCCGTGCTCGACTACCAGCCGACAAAGTCGACGAAAAGCTGTCCATGATAGGAGGTATCCAGCAAATATATCACGGCGGCTGTTGTAAACGGCCCTTGCCATGGGTTGAAGGCAGGTGGGATAAGAAATTTGTCAGCCTGTTGAGTCTCAAGGCAGAGAATGACGACTTGAAGAAGAAGATTGCGGAACTACATGGAAGAGACGAGACGTATGAGAAACGACTAGAGAATGCACGGAAAGCGCACGAACATGATGTTACAAAGCTTCAGGCGTTACTAAAGGCTGCTGAGGAAAAGTGTCGCGCGCTGGAGCAAGCTCAAGGAGGACGCAGGAAACACCATGAGCGCGAGCATCATCAACATCAGCACCGCCAGAGCGGCCTAGGAATAAAACAGCAGCGTTCGTCTCGATCACCAACTCCAATCGGTGCAGGCCGCGGCCAGTCCAAAACTCGTTCGCCACCGTCATCCATCCCACAGCGACCGCCACTTAGGCCCTTGTACCAGTCATCCTCATCACCTCGGAACTCATCAGTCAATTTCCAAATGCCCACACCACCATCCCGTTCGTCAGAATCACTATCACGCTTCAGTAACAGCTCGACGGTCAAGGCTTCTCAGCAGCCATCTCCCGGTCTAGCAAACAGAACTTCAAGCACCACGAGTCTATCAGGATACACGCTACGATCTCGCGGCTCAGGCTCCAAATTGCCCCTTCCCGTGACTCCTAGCAGCAGATCCGGCACTCCCAACCTCAACCAAGAACAAAGCATGACGGACAGCAGCATGGCATCGTCCATTTTTTCCAGGAAAAGCATAGAGACTGTGCCCACGCCAGCTCAAAACAGTCCAATCGTGAGTAGAGTATCGACAGCCGGCGATGGACCAGTTATCGACTGGGGCGCTCTCCCTACTGGAAGGGACCGAGATCGAAGAAGACCTTCTACACCTCCGCCACCTCCGAGTCCAGGCTTGTCGATTTCTCCCTCGACTATATCATCACCCATGACGCAAAGGTCTTTTGCTGACTATGACGACGATGATGATGATGATGGCGACGGCGGCGTCGATCCGAATGCCACTACGAAGCCACAGAGAAGGATCCCCTCGCTGCAGCCGATGAAGAGCTGGGCCGAGGTGGCGAAGAAGGAGCTAAAGCAGCTAAATCGAAGAAAGCAGTGAAGATGGAAGTAAACGACAAAAGAGGAGGAAAGGAAAGGAACAAGGATATCATCGTTGAGAAATGTTTGTAAAAATTTGGAAAAAGCATATTCTTGGCAAAGCGATCAAACATCTTCTGAGCGTATGTATATATAGATATGTACATCTAGACATTGAGAAGCGCTGATGTGTTTTTGGTTCATGTTTGAAAAGGCAGGAGAGATTTGCATAGCGGCAGTTCAACGTTACTTCGAATGAGGCAAAAGCGTTCATTATATAGCACCTACAATACCCATTTATGAATAAATAGCATGTATGTACAGAAGAAACAAGGAGAAATCTACAATATTGTTCTATTTGTGCCCATCCAAAACGCCCATCCATCTCCCGCAAGCGGTATGTAGTATATATATATTGTACAGTCATATCTCATTATTTATTCCAAGTAACCGATTCCTCCATCAAATAAAACAGCCGCAGCTTTCAATCACCTTTCTGATCTAACAACATGCCTTCTTGCCCACATCAACATTCTCCCCTGCTCTGTCTTCACCAACGTAGCCCAGGCCGGTGACAAGAATGGATCGTGCGGTGCCTCGTCTTGCGCCGACTTTGTGCTCTCGGGTAAATTACTCCGTAGAGCTTCTAATAGGGGTAGCCCTGTAGTATCGCTAACGACGACATTGGGTGGCGCGTCCTCGAATTCCTGAGCGTCTCGCCGTAATCGTGCCGTAGCTCGGCGGTTATCCTTCTTTAACAGATCATTTTCACTTCTTCCTCGTTCCTTCTCAGCCAAAGATCTTTCTTGTTCGACGAGCTCGTGGAGGGCTTCTCCCCTGGCAGTCCAATCCTCCCACGTTCTCTCGACCTTCCATTCCCACCACAGCCGGGACAGCTGCACGCTCCAGCCAAATGTCTCCCCCATGGGGAAATAATCTTGGTCATATGTCCGCCTTGAAAATGCTTGATTTTCCATCTTCTTAGGGTTCTCCTTTGCCAACAGCTTGTCCATCATGCGATCCCACTCATCTTCCAAAGCCGCCTGCGAGGCAGTCCACTCGTCTACATCTAGAATATTCATGATGCGGTCGTTGAAAATGTTGGTCTTTCGGCCTATCATCTTGGACATGGCATGCGGCTGGGGTTTCCGGAGTCGCACAAACGGCTGGCCGTCTGCAGTGGCGCTCACGGAGGGGACTTTTCGGGGTCCTGGTCCCTTGAGCGAGTCCCTTGGCCGGGGGAGGATGTTGGATGTGTATTGCGGGGGTTCGTCGGCCTTTGCGACGTTGATGATGAGAGGCTCGGGTGGGAGGATGGGATCGGGTTTTCGTGGAGGCTGAGGGATTGCGCGGGATGCGGCGGCGGTTTGGCGCACGGATTGCAGGTGGTGTATGACTTGGCTGTGTTCTGGAGAGTTGGGAGTTTGCGCATTTGTAAGAAGGTTGAGGAACTATGTACTTTATTAGCACGTCATTACCATAACAATGTATGTCTCAAAGCGATTGCAAGATGGGAGGAAAAGGCTTCTTCTGCCCACCTTGTAGCCCGCGGTCATGGCTGCATATATAAGCCTAAAGCTCGTGTACGGCTTATTCTTCGCAAACCGCTTCCTCACAATCCTCACGACCGGATTCGCCTTGAGCTCTTTTGATGCCTTCTGCGATGCAATTTCTAGCGGTACAGGAACCTTGCTCGCAGTTCGTAGGAGCGCACGATATAAAGCGAGAGCTGCGGTGCGATGCCGCGAGTTGCGGGCCGCAACGAATGTCGAGCGCGACATGGGTAAGATTAAAGGACGTCTATATGGCCATTGATTGTATTAGAGAGAGTTTTCTCAAGAAGTGAGCTGATGATGAAGCTTTGATTGCTGACGTCGCAGTTTGCATAGCTTCAACTTCAACTTCATTAACGAGTGATGTAAATTCTTATCGATAAGTTAAAGAGGGGTCCATAGATTTCCGTATTAGGCAGTGGAGAGCTGCTGCTTCAAGCATTCGCCAACTCCAGATTTTACCACAGAATGTCCATCGTGCCACCAATACGTAACTTGGTTCAACATACAACCGGCAGAATAGATTAAGCAGCATTTACAAAGTTTATCACCTCATCAACTTCTCCTCGTAAAGCTTCTTAGAAAAGGATGCACCCCTCTCAATTCGCATTCCTCCATCACCAATCTGCATGTCTCAGTTTGATTCGTATTCGCATTCGCCAAAGCAAAGCGAGACAGAATCTATCCGAGACTTCTATTGTCTGCTTCGTACAAAGCGCTGTGTGTTGGCTTATTCGCAAAACTCTGCAAGAATGCGAAACTAGGCTGTTTGTTTGCTTTTTTTAAGTTTCATCATGTGCCATCCCGCGGCACTAATTGGGTCATTGCCCCTTTCCCGAAGCGTTGCAGATACGGCATGTATCATGAGGATTGTCGTTTTTTTTTAGTGCGATTTACACTATCTGTAAATGGCAATGTTTGTGAAATCTACATTGTCAGCCACAGTCTATAAAACAGGTATAAGACCAATGAAAGCCAATACTAAGAGAATGGATCCTCGGGCGTGGCATCTTTGGAGTCACGAAACATGATTTCGATGGATTCAGCTACAGCTTGCAGAGTATGGAGAATGATATGCAAGCTGACTCCGTGTCTCGAGCTTCAATTGGCGACTATCAAGATGGCTAACGAAACTCACTAGATCCTTCAGCGAAAGAGGCAGATTTTGGCAAATCACGCGGATCAGTCTAGATACTCTTGTTACTGATACATCTCGCTTAGAAAGTGAAGCAACATCCACTTGATGTATAACTGTCCATCGCTTTTTGTCAGATGAGCGCTCGGTCTCTTTTTGATAACTAATCCGCATATACTCCATACGGGATCCAATAGCCCTATGGGGCAGCAATAAACGCCCCTCTTCAGCTCATCGTGAGATGTCCAGCATCGGTATTAAAACCTCGGCATCTTGCATGTACGGATGTTGCTAGTAATCTATCTGCTTTTTGCATCCCTACGACCCGTTTTGCTAGATGCTGCTGCTAGTGCAGATAAGCTTCCCTCACCCAGAGAGCCGGGACCGTGACATTGAGAGATGTGGAAGCGTACAGCCGCAACAGCAAGGCAAAAGCATGCCGATGGGGCAGTTAGCCATAATTCGTGTGCCGCTTGATCAAGTAAACATTTGGTCTAAAGAACGTGCCAGTAAGCTCAAAAAAGGTTAATTTCTGAGCAGTCGTCATCCTCCGCAGTCAGGCCTTGTCATGGTGCCTTTTCTTTGCCTTATATAGCACAGGGCCCGCGCGCTGCTTACATGTCCGCCCAGCCGCCCCATCGGATCAACATCAACGAGGCGTGCTCTCATTCAGGCTCGCTGCTAGGTCAATCAGTGCTATCAGTAGGCCTGGCCTGTCATCGAGAGGCATCTCAGCCACGGCGCAGGTTAAGGAAGCGTGGCGTTGGAGCTAGGAGCCGTGGCACGCTGGGAACGGCTCCTGGCATGGATCCTACGACTTCAGCGAGAACGAGAGCAACGATAGGCGCCTGTCAGGCTTCTCTAGGGCTGATTCCAGAGGGCGCTGTGATATCATTGGGCCTGATCGTAAGCTCCCTCATTGTCGTTCACTCTAAAATCCTTTTCATTTTGAGAAAAAAGGGAGCGATTCCTTGCTGATGCTGCTTCTAGCTTGGTATAGCTTGGTAAGCGCTCTGCTGCCTCTTTACTCTGTGGTCTACTGTGGAGTAAATGATTCCAGGGGAAAAGAAAATAGGTCTGGCTGCTTGGTAATGATCGCGATATAGTTTTTTCTTTTTTTTCTCTGTTCCCGCGCAACAGGCAGTCTGGAGTATCGGGAAACTGCCAAGGCCGAGCCTAAGCCTCATGGGGCTCTTTTCGTGCGCGGTGGAGCGAGACGACTTTGTCGAGAAAGAAAAAAGATGACCCGGAAGATCGGACCCACGGAGTCGGTCCCGGCCGAGGGATTCATTCTCGATTGTCCCCGGTTATCCCAGCTTTTGCGACCCAGTCTAGGGCCTCGGGCGGCTCAAGAGAAATTTCTTACAGAGAGCGGAGCCCTTCGTCGGCAGTGCTAGTCGTTTTAAGGTTTGTGACAGATAGAATCTTTTCTCTTGATTCGGAGTGGAATTAGAAGCTGGTTTTTCGTTTGGGTATCACATGGCTCTGGCGATATACTAATTCTAGACGCGGGACGTCTTGAAAGGAGCTCATGCATGCATGTGCGGTGTGATGTGCTGGTGCTAGGTAATGCACTCGGACATCCATCGTCACATATTCCCTTGATTATCGGCTGTTGCTGTTACTGGACAGCATGCTATATCATGCAAGGCGAGCAAGGTTAGGTCAGCCACTTATAACGAACGGATGCTATTCAGCCGCAAACAGTCGGTGAGATGTGGCCCGACAAAGGCCGGCTTTGGATTCTCGACTCCATCGTCGGCTACTCGTAGTGCCTGGAGTAAGTTACACCGAACTAGGAACTAGCAGTTCTATTGCTTTTGACTAAGCGGAGGACCTGATGTGGTGGGACTGGCGGATGCTGGTGCGGGAGCTTAATATCACGATGACCTCGGAACGAGACAAGAGATGGAGCGAAATACGTATTTTGTAGCACCGTGCGTGCAAGAATAGGGAGCAGAAAAGTGAAGCAAACTCCACGGAGACGGAGGCTTCGAGTGGAAAGAAATGCCGCCGGTTAGACACTATAGCTTGATTGTGGTTGATTGTGAGATGTGGTGTTCCTATTCTTTCCACTCGGAAGGTCACTTCGCTTCGCTTCGCTGCATTGCTGGACCAACGGCAGCGCATGCTTCTAATGCATCATGCATGCAGAGTCTCCTCCTCCTCATCCTTTTCCCCCAAGCAAGGCATGGATGTTAATATACTCGCGCGCCGTTACTGTACTTGCACCTCCAGCAATGCCACGCTTGGATCTGCCACTGCGCATGTGCTCCCCCCCATTTCTCCCACCCTTCGGCAGGCAGACGACGTAAGTGGGTGGCCGGCCATTGGATAGTGAGGCTGTTTGGCAGGGATCTCGGTCCTCGGAAACGCGGGCTGCCCCCTGTCAGAAGGAAAAAGAGACAAGACAAATTCTCCATTCGTCGCTGTGCACGCGCTATTTTGCTGGGCGGCCCGCTATTGACCTGTCGTGGCGCCTGGCGAGTCCGAATACGCCGGCAGTCTGGTGGCAGCCCTCTGTATATCTTTTGTTGTTGTTGTTGTTGATGAATGGGAGATATAGGGAGGGAAAAAGGGAGAGGGAGAAGGAGATAGGAGGAACATTCAAGGAAAAGGAGGAATCATGAGGATCAAACTAGCGGATGAATGCGAGTCCGAAGCCTGGCGTGACTGATGTATGTAGGACAGCAGACGGGATGCAGCTGCTCAGTGCCTTCTACCAATTGATGGCTAACCAGCATTGGCGTCTAGTACTCTGTACATGGACCCAGGCTTGGCTTTAGGGTTAGTTACTGGATAGCTGGGCGTCTCTGGCTCCATCGGCGTGCCACCTGCAGTACCCGTTACCTGCATCTGCAGCTATTCGGCCTGTGAGTCTGTACCACTCACTGTAAGCAGATGCCATCCTCTGAGCACAGCTCCTTTCTTACTCGACTGGGCTTGGGTTCCCCTTTCTTTAGCCAGCACAGGCCTCGTGTCCATTATTTCCAATCACTTGTGTGAATATAGCGGATAAGCAGCTTAGAGCAGCCCGATGCCATCGCTAGACTTGGCGGCGGCAGCTGGAACAAAGTACCATCCAAGTAGCCGAGAGGTACCTGCCGCCCGGGAGAGGTCAACAGCGACAGTTTTCTAAGCAGTAAGAGGCATCGGCCACACTGACCTCATCCTCCAACGCCGTCTCACTATCCCTACATGTAGGACTCAGGACTGCAGTTCTCCCTGCCTACTGCACCCGTACAGTGCTCAAACCTCTGGTGACGCATCAGCCCAGGGTACTCCAGCCGTACTTGGGCGCTACGCCAAGGTGCCAGCGGCTCTTCCGGCAACTCCATGGACCAGCCAAGTCTGCCGACCAAGTGGCAACATTCCGTGCTCCATAGGCACGCCCAGAAGAGAAAATCCAAACGTGGACATTGCACTAGCCTCATAGCTCTGATGGGCGCAAAACGCTGTTTCGAGGTACCAGCCTGATTGCCACTGGCTTACAGACATTACAGGCAGCTTACCAGAACGAGTTGGTGCTCGGGCACGTTTACGAATACATGCTGACACTAGGACGGATACAATTTCACAACTCTGCGCTACAAGACCTGCCAAGGCCCCGACCTCCATATCTCTTTCGAGCTGAACACAGCCCGACAACTTCTGGTCCTGAGTTTCAGGTCTCACTTGCTCATAATCCCTCGAGATCCCCTTCTCTTGGCTGTCCTCGCACACGTTCTGGTGGCTTTTCGTTTGGGGGAATGTGCTGCTCTCTGGGGTAACACCAGACGAAAAGGAAAGGGAAACAAAACGAAAAGAGAAAACCTACAACACAGGCCAGAACCCGCCCAGAGCATCCGGGCCGCCGCGCAAACTTCAAACTCCGCGCTGTTTCGGACGCGGGCTTTTCTGCTTTTCCTTCTCACCATCGACCATCCCGTACCGGGTACACCGACTGCCCCTGTCGTCCCACTAAATAAGGCCTGGTCGCGTGCCGACTCATGTACCGGTAACATAATCTGCAAGCTTCGCTGCTGTTGAATCCTGTTCTCTCACGACAGACCACCACTGCAGACACAGCGAGCCATTTGCGTTGTTCCTTTCTTCCTTTCCTTTGTTTACTTTATATCCCTCTTTTTTCTCTCCCTTGCAATAAACGCCGGTGCCTGGAGTACAAGGTGCAATTCCACTGCTCTACAGCCGCCTCTCAAGCTTCACACTATATGCGCCGGCCGCTTAACTCTCTCATCGCCATTCAAGTCTCTCTGGGCAACCAAAGTTGAAAACTTGATCACTCCACGCCTCTTTACTGCCAAGGTTAAAACAACGGATACCTTTACAAAGCCTACAAACGCAAATCTCTTTTACCCGACGATATTTTTTTTCCTTCGCTCTTCTTTTACTGAACGGCGTTCAGTCTGCAATTTTCATCTCATCTCATTCTATCCGACGACGAATACGAACCAACCACATAGACACCATTTCCCTTTATCCATTTTGTCAAATACGAGCAATAACCGCTGCGGCTTTCTTAAACTCCTCCTTTCCTCGACTCGTATGAACTTATAGGACACTAGAACTGCCCTGGTTCGTCCCTTCGTTTCCGGTTCCAGGGCAGCCTTATGTAAATCGATCTGCCTCACTTACACACCACCGCACAAATACCCAGCATGATCGTCCACTCAGGTGCGAGCCTTCATGGCCACGAATTTTCCACGCCGCCAACAGAACAACCTCCAGCGAGACGCTTTGCCTTTCTATCTGCTTTGCGACCATTGTCTGATGTCGAACCGATATCTCGCCACACAACGCCTGCTCCCGACGCCGCCGATAGTCTGCCAGCTCGTCCCGTTTCCGTCGAGCCTGCCCACAACCCTCGTTCTGCACTTGCGGCTCGACGCCGGACCACATCTGATATTGGACACACTGTTAGATTTCGCGAGCCAGACTCCGATGTAGTTGTTCACTCCAACGCTCCTAGCGAGGATGAAGAGTCGCTCGTTGGTTCCGAGGTGAGCGACCAGACGGATGCTTCCATCCGCCTCAAGAAACGGAAGCGCGGACCACGGAAATCGGCAAAATATGCTCTGGCGTTCCCGGCACCTCAGCTGCGTACCAAACAGCGGGCCTTTTTTCATATTCGGCCTCGTGTACTGCTGCAGCTTCAGGAGCTGGGAGAGAAGCGTGCAATTCCAGCGTTTGACGTTGTTCCATCGAGTCTCATTGCAGGAACTCTGATTATCCCCGCTTTGGCCAAATTGTACCCGCGAATGTTCTATGCGAAGCCTCATCTCGGACAGAACGATCTTCTCCTTGTCCGGAGCGAGGACTATGGTGTTCCACACAGCCATCATCATCATCCCCATCTTCACCACCATCACGATAACACAGATAACAACAGCAACAGTAAGAACTTGGACCATCAGGATGTTCTCGCCGTCGTGAGCACGACGTCTGATGACGACACCGTGGAAATAGTGTTCCAGGACGGTTCGACTTGGACCTCTAGCCGCATGGCAAATGGATCTTACGAGTTCAATCACGTCAACGAACAGGGAGAAAATGTCAAGGCTCGGTGGGTCAAGAGATCCTTGATGTCACCCAGAGCGAGTTGGGGATCTGCCAATACTGCCAACACAGCGCCCTCATCGCCAACCACCCCTACGGCCCCAGACAGTAGATGGACTTTTAGCATCATAGACCCCTCGACTCGCAGACATCCTATCCAGGGTATACTCAACTCTACATCTTTGGAAGTTTTTGATACATATAATACAATGTCAACATCAAGCGGCATTTACCCCCCGACACGAGGTTTTGGATCCGACATGAGCGGTATCTCAGAAGAAGACACAACGAGCATTACGGATGAGCGCACGACGCTAGAAGTTACAGAGTACACCAAGACTCTGATGCTAGCTACAGCAACTTGGGTCAGTCTTCGACAAAGAGGTTGGCCTGCGTCGGCAACACCAAAAATTCCGCGAGTTGTGTCTCAGCGCGTAAGCTCCGGGCGTTGTCTATCCCCCTCCATCGACATTCCGAGGGGCATAGATTCTCAGGTTTCGTCGGCCACTGAGGGCATGCCGTCTCAGGATATCTCCGCTACTGGTCAAACACCTACCACTGGTAGGATTCAGCGGGCGGTATCTTCAGGGAGCGAATTCATGAGAAGGAGGCGTGAGGCGGTCGCTGCATCGGCAGCAACCACTTTCGCAGAGAGAGAAGCTGTGGAGAAGCTTGGCGATCTCGAGGTTTCGGAAGAGGAAACACCAACTTGCCGTGTTCGAATACGGCGGTTTACACACAAGTTGTTTCACCACTCGAGGAGTCAGAGGGTCTCATAGCACATACATATGCGTGTATAGCTGTATAGGGTATATTTTGATGGACATTTTTGGCGGCGCTTTACCATTTATACGGTACACGGTTATGGACCTGCATCTATCCAATTCAGGTTTTGGGTATCGGAGTTTCCACATTTTCTTTGTGTGTGTTCTTTTGTACATATTATGATTGAAAGACGATGTAAATACCAGCAACAATGCATAACCCACTTTACCATGAAACAAATATCTGACTAGTATATAAAATGCCTCAACGAGTTGTTAGCGTGTGTGATGTCGTCGACGAATAATGAGTGAGACACGACATGTTCTACGACATTGTTCGCATGAAGCTCGGTTCAAGCTTAGTTCAAGCTTAATTCAAGCTCAGTTGCAGGTTTGATTCACACATCATAGTTGCCTTGGAAGGCCGCGAGGGACATACGTCATCGTATACGTCGAGGGTATGTGAGCAAGAGTTCCGATAGATAGGATTTGGAGGGGTCCGTTGATCGATATTTATATAGCACTATTGTTTTTACTAGGGTGCTGTGAGTTGAGTGTTCGCTTGGCATCTTTTACTTTGCAGCCACTCGATTTTGAATAAATTTGGGTTGAGCACATGCAGTGATTCAGAAGGGCTATTAGTGTGAATGGGCATTGATGTGCTGTGGTCAAGTCTATGGTGCGATGATATGATGCATCGCAGATATTTGGTGTCACCTGCATCGAATACTTTGTTCAAGCAGACAATGTAAGCCATATAAGCCAACGAGTATAACTATCGAAGGTGTATATATATGTGCAAAGTGGCATCCAGGAGTTGATAGGGAAGGCATCGTTTCGAAAAGACACCACAAGATACCCAACCAACCTCAACGTCTACGTCCGGGTAGACCAATAGATTCTCACAGCTTTCAGAGTAGTTCTCTCAGCTCTAAAGTAGGTACCAGGGAGCCTTTTGCTCTTCACCTTTTCTAGTTGAAATGCCTCGCGTCTGCGCTGGTTGTAACCGCAGCCGCTGTCACGATTCGTATTCGCCCAGTGAATGGCGCAAGGGGCCCGGCGTATCGAAATGTACTACCTGTGTCGATGGACAGGTATCCCACAACGCATTGAATCGGATTCGACGCTCTGGTAGCGCCAGATACAATGGATCGTACTCTGGAACCGTCTCAGTCGATGATCTCGACAGGCCCTGGGCTCAAGGTGCTTTCCGCTGGGTAGCCAAGGGAGTGTATAACTCGGGTCCTCGTCAGGGCGAACTATGCGTTATCAAGTGGTTCAAGTCTGGCGCGGTCTTTGCGAATGCCTTTTTCACTTACGACATCAAAGCTGTCGATTTGGCATTGGAAATTGTCGAAAGATTCAACCGGCGTAACTTTGTTAGCAAGGTCATCAAGGTGAATGTCCTACGGTATGGTCTTTTACAGACAGTAGCCCTTCTCGCTGGGCGGGACAGAAAGTTTTATGCGAGCCCTTTACCCAGAACTACCAGAAATTCAACAGCAACTCTGGATGGAATGACGCTTCCACCGATTGGGGGAAAATCATGCAGGCTCTAAGTCATTTCAGCTACCATATATCGGGGGGAGATTGCGTTCTGTGCGATCTCCAGGGTGGCGTTTATCAGCACGAGGCTGACATCACTGATCCTGCCATCCTCACTCGGGATCGAGACTATGGGGTGACTGATCTTGGGCAAGCTGGCATCGTCAACTTCTTCAGTCGGCATGTCTGCAACAGGTACTGCCGTTCTCATTGGATTAAGCCTGGTAATCCGGCTCGATGCTTGAACCCTGTCCGGGGCACAGCTATGGTTAGGCATGCTGCGCCGACGCGTCGTTTACGACCTGCAGTGACATTGAGTCGTGACTAGCTGGCTTTGCGCGAGGAAATGGTGTTGAGTGCTCGATCACTTTGGTATGGGATGGATTGTAGCGGAGGGACTACTGGCAGTTGGCTTTAGCTGTACCCCGGTATCGGCTGTTGCAACATGTCGATACGTTCATAACATTTTGGAAGCTCTTAGTTATACGTTGGCGTTAATGCGAAATAACCATCAGATTTGGCTGCTATAATCTACGTTTCCTCTCTCTTTGTTCCAAGGCAACTCAGCCTTGAATTTGCTCGTAGTTAATGCATGTAGTTTGGAGGGGCTGCAATTGAGCGATTGAGGCGTCGAGGTGGGGTTCGCCGGCGGGAGGCAGGCTGCCGGCTACTGACGTGTCCAAGTGCCGTGACGGAGGCCACTGCGGAGGTGCGGAGGTACAGGCTGGAGTATGACCAGGCCTGCGCCGGGCGAGGTACTGGCGATCGCTTGCGGCCTCATCGCCAATAGTACTAGTAGTAATATCTAGGCAGACTGACTAATATTGCAGCTTCGGGGAATGCAAGCTGCGTAGTAACACTGATGCCTCGGCGAATAGCAGGCACTCAATGCTGGCATACATGTACACTCGCACTCCAGTAGCACTCGACGTGAACGAAGGAAGCTTCATGTTAGCGGCCGCGTTAGCCAGCTGCTACCTGAGAGCCGCCTGTCACGGCCATTTATAGGCCAGCCAGCGCTGTTTGCTCTGCTGTCGACCTCGATTCGCAGCTGGCCAAGTGGCACCACCCCGTAATTTAGTACCAGTAGCTTGGTGGTTGCATTAGGCCCACGACTCAGTGTCGTAATTCCTCCCATTGGAAGTCGACCTGGCCCTTTATTTCCGCCCCAGCTTTCCCACCAGCATCAGCATCATCCGAATTGCATCAGTACCAGACACCACGTATTATTCCTCATTCTAGTCAACGTTCTGCTGTTGCATCACCTGCTCATTGCCGTCCGCCTTGCTGCGGATTCCCCCATGGGTAGCCGCAGCGCCCGTTGTTGTTCCTGAGCCTGCACCGTTGCCCCCCCAGAGCTTCGGTCGGTTTGCGTGAAACCCCTCTCTCCCGCGTTTGGATTTCTCAGCCTCGCCGCGTGAGAAGGGAAACGCCACAGATACGCAGCGATAGAGCCTCCGCTGGCCATGGACGAGAATATCGGTCCCAGCCATGAGGGCCCAGTGGCTGGCTTGTCTGCGAGTGCGGCGTCCCACCTCATGACCAGCTTCGCCGCCTACGAGCCCATTTCGCGTGCCACAACGCCTGGCCTGCCCTTTTCCAAGTCCGACGATGACGACAAGAAGCGATACCGACCCCGAACTTTTGCATACTTCCAGCTGCTGCCGTTTGAGGTCGAGGAGGAGGCCCAGCGAGATGCTGCTCTCCAGGGCATTCTCAAGCAGCTGTACATTGCCATCCAGGCCGAGGACTTCTCGCCCGGTGCGCTGCACTGGACCAGAGAGCTCCAGGGCTGGCTGAATCTCAAGTTTGAGATGACGAGGGAGCTCAGGGCCAAGCTGGCGAAGCTGTACTACTCGCTGGCGCTGGCCCCCGGCGTTGATGCCAGTGCCGCAGATCGCTTTCTGCGCATGGTCCTCACTCTCACGAGGTACGTTGGAATCGAGAAGTGGCCTGCAGCAGGCTGTTGACTGACTGAATGACTGACTGACGCTCAATTTTAGAAAGAACCACTATCTGAAGCCTGGCGAAGACCTGACTCTCGACTGGAGACCACTTTGGGGAGAGGTCAAGGCATGGGCCCTGCCCTCCGAAGTGGCAGCCCACCAGACGAACCGAAGACGATCTGCGAAGCAGCTCTTGAAGCTGACCGTTCACGCACACACATACTTTGACCCCAAGGATAGACTGACAATGCTGCATGAATTCCTGCCCTACTTCAGCACAAACGACCTTCAGAACGCTTTTGTGGTGGTGGGGGCTCTGAACAGCCTCTTGCCCAGCCATCCTGCCCCAGAGTCTGAAGTGGGATCGCACCCCGCCAACTTTTTCCCGACTCTCTTCCACTTGTGGTCCTTGGTCAATCGATCCAAAGTCGTTGATGTGGCCTTTATTGACCTGCTTTCTCGGATCGCGAGAGACCACAGCCACTGCTCCTATGTCCCCTTTGGAGAGCACGGCATTTTCACAAAGGCTCAATCTGACCTCATCTTTACAGCAATTCTTCGATTGACTCAGATCCCGGTTGGACAAGCCAACTCTCCTTATACGCCCCTCGATTACATGGCTGGAACTGGCTTGTATTTCGAAAAAGACAAGAAGAAATACCCAATTGCCTATATGATAGCTCGACTGATCGTAAGCTCTCTATCTCCTGCCTGCTGCGACCATGAAGAGTCCATCATGTCGAGTCTGGAAGGTCTGATGGACTCCATTGACACCTTCTTCCATCCCTCCAACCAAGGCAACTGGTCAGGTATGCTCGGCCAACTTGTACTTTATTTGACCGATGGATTTGTGTCTCGGTGGAATCGCGAGCAGAGCTCGGAGCTAGATATCCCGTATGAGCGAAAGATTAACGATGCCTTGAAAAAGCGATTCGTGAACTCACTCAAAGAAGTCACCTTCATGGGTCTGTTCTCGAAGAGTACTCGTGTGGCGCAGTGCTATTACAACACGCTGCAGGGGCTGGCTTATCTTGAGCCTGACCTGGTCCTCCCAGGAGCGCTTCAGCGCTTCTACCCAAGTCTTCAGGGCTTGGTTGAGGTTCACCGAACTACGTCTAGTTTGAACGGCTTGCAAATGATTGCCAACATCATGTCAAAGTTGAAGGGCTACCGCTGTCACATTACAGCCTTGTTGGCCTTGGCTCTTCCTGGTATCGACGCCAATGATCTTAACAAAACACAGTACACTCTGCACTTTATTCAGGCAGTGGCATACAGCATTCCTATCGTTCCGCTCACGAGTGGCGAGAGCCATATTCACGACACGACTTTGGCCATGGAGTGGGTACAAGGCGAGATGGACCGCATGGAGCTTGACGGCCAGAATGTCAAGATTGACTACAACTCTGAGCTTAGCGATGAAGATGAAGCAAACATTCTACGGTCTTCGACTGCCGGATTTGGAGAGTTCATCATCACACTCTTGGGTAAAGTTTTCACCTTGCTTGAGAACCTCCCCGATGCCAACCAGGTTCGTGGAGGAACACCGGAAGACAGCGTTGTTAATGCTCTGCCGGCCGCTCTTTCCCCACTGTTTGCATCCATGTCTCCGGATCTTTTCGACATTACACTGGAAAAGATTGCTACTTTTGTCGCCTCGCACGTCGTTCACCAAGCTCGGGATGCCATGGCCTGGATTCTCAATGCTCTCTGCAAAGTCAATCCGGAGAAGACACTCAAGGTGTTCATCCCCATGCTTGTGGTCAACATTCGAAATGAAATCGACTTTAACCACGCAGCTTCTGATCGTACTAGCGGGACAGACTATTTGCCCAGAGATCGGGCTTTAGTATGGCATGTCACTATGCTCGCCATGGCTGTGGTGCACGTTGGCCGCGAAGTTCTCAACTACAAAGATGAGCTGCTTGGAATTGCACAGTACATGCAAGAAAAATGCCGAGGCCTGCCAACTATCCTCGTTTCAAACTACATTCATCATCTGTTGCTCAACCTTACCCATACCTACCCCATCGATCATGCCTTGTATGAACCTGACGTTATCAAGAGAGGGCTTGATGTCACCGACTGGGGCAAAACTACTGCTCCTGCCGACCTTACCATCAAGTGGCACCAGCCGTCTCCGCCCGAGATTGAGTTTGCCGTTGAGCTTTTCGCCTCTCAGACTAAGTCAGCCGCTGAACAGCTGGAACTTTTGCTCAGCGACGATCCGCCGGTCAGCCGAAAAGGCAAGAACAAGGAGTGGTCTGATGAAGTTTCTCGGCTGATGCAACAGATTCGACTGGTCACAAGCGGCATGGCCACCATGTTCGATCCCAAGCGAGCCTCAGGGGAGATTACCAAGGAAGACATTGAGAATGCCGACGTTGCTATGGACGTCGATGTTGAAGTAGAATCAGAAGATGTCATGGTGGATGACGAACCCCTGGCGGAGGTATCTGAAGACGAGGAGTTACGTCCCCAGTACAGATATAAAGCCGGGTATCTGCTTAGCCCTACTGACCCTGTGTATGAGCGAATCCACGACTTGAGAGAGCAGCTTGGTCAGCTGCTAACGAGAGCGCACACGTTCTTCACCCAAAATGAACCGGATGATGTCGAATGCTTCACCACGTTATACACTGCCTACCGGACGTGGATTACAGACGTCGGCATCGAGCGATCAGCCCACCCGCTGGAACGACACTTGCGGCTATACAAATGCGATATTGCTGCCTTCAAGATTAAGGGCCTGAGAAAAGTTTATCCTCGACCTTTGCTCATCAAGCGTGCAGAGGCATACCAAATGCTGCGCATGAAGCACAATGCTTCGGCTCGACAGAAGAGTGAATTAGACAAGCGCCTCTTGCTGGACCTTGCACAGTCATGTCTCTCATCATACGCAGACGTACGCCGCGTTGCACAGAGCTCGCAGGACTCGTCACTCAAGGTGCTTATCGGTGGTAAACCTCTGGTTATCCCGGTCCTCCTTGACGGATTCAAGAAGGCTATTGAAGAGAATGACCATGACAGGATCAAAGGCGCCATGTATTCCCTGTTTTTCACGTCGCTTTTGAGAACACTGACCAGAGACTGGAGATTTGCCCCTGATGCGATGCGCCTCTACATTGAGACAGCAGGCATCGACAAGCCATCTATACAGAATCTTGGATCTTCTGCCATCTATTCACTGATTGAATTTGGAAAGTCGTTTGAACGAGCCATCTTGATTGATGATGCACTGGTAAACACAATCAAGCCTGGCGACGACGTATCTTCTGCCATCCGCAGCCGCCATCAATTCATACTGAACAGGCGAAAAAGAGTCGAGGCTTCCAAGGCGAACCTCGGACTGGAGCTGACGAAGCTGGCAAAGGGGGCCCAT